AACCCCAACCCCAACCCCAACCCCAACCCCAACCCCAACCCCAACCCCAACCCCAACCCCAACCCCAACCCCAACCCCAACCCCAACCCCAACCCCAACCCCAACCCCAACCCCAACCCCAACCCCAACCCCAACCCCAACCCCAACCCCAACCCCAACCCCAACCCCAACCCCAACCCCAACCCCAACCCCAACCCCAACCCCAACCCCAACCCCAACCCCAACCCCAACCCCAACCCCAACCCCAACCCCAACCCCAACCCCAACCCCAACCCCAACCCCAACCCCAACCCCAACCCCAACCCCAACCCCTTATTATTTTTATTATTAAATTTTTTAGAGAATTATTTATGAAGAGCTAAGTTTTTTAAAAAATTTGTTTGTTGATCGGTATTTAATAGATAATAAATAAATTTTGACTTAAAATTTTTTTAAATATATAAATAAATAAAATAAGTGATAATAAATAAAATCGTTCAAATTAAAGCGCAAAATGTCAAAAAATTATAGAATTTCAACTAATTAAGTTCAAGTTAGGCATGACTTGCATAAAAAAATTATTAAGTATTTAGCACCTCTTCCAGACTAAAGAGCGTTCATTATATATACTAGTCAAGAGTAAAATGAAGATGATACATACATAATTTGCAATTTGCTTAATGGCCAAATAAAATATGGCCCTTTGTTTTCAAAAGCAGAAAAAATAGAAAACATTAATGATGATTTGATAGTATTTGTAGACTCAAAGAAGCAAAAACTATAAGTCTTTAGCATAAATAAATAGGATTTCATTAAATTTAATGACGTTGCCGTTCCATCCTTAGATGCACTCCCTTAAAATTAAAGAACTTAAGAACAAATTGGGGATGCTATTACTGATCTTACTATTATTCGCTTTTCTGAGTCTAAGTCTATCGTAGTAATAGAAAAGAAATAAGCAACAAATTAAAATTAGGTTGAATTCATAATGTCTGCATATTGCTTTGATGAAGATTTCTTAGAATCTAAAAATGGTATATGTTAAGTAACTAATCCAATTAAATTTAGCTAGTAAAATCTTTAAAAAGTTTATGGTTAGTTAAATAACACTGATACTGTGATAATATCATCTTAATAATTCTAAGAAGGCACTTAATCAAAGTTTTTGATGTGGAATTTCAAAGACAAAGTTTTATCAAATCAATTACAACACATATCACTTAATTCAACCCTAGAAGGTACTATAATAAATATAACTCCTTGGTAAAAACCAAGTGAAATAGCATTTTGGTTAAATGGAAAGCCTGGAAAACCTTAAATAATAGTATACGATTATATTTCAAAAACTGACTATGAATATACTCTTAAAGTGTATACTAATTTATTTTTGTTAGTGAATGTTTACGAAGTTAATTTTGAAAAAGAAAGAATTATATTGAACATAATTCCTGAAACACAAAATTCATGTATTGATATTATAAATCCTATCAAAAATAGAATTACTTACACATAAGACATTGATAATACACAGGATACAATATAGTTTTCATCAGATTGTCGCTATTTTATAACAAATGAAAATAATTATGATGTGATGGGTGAAGATTGCAGTGATTCTAGAGAAAGTCTTTTGACAATCCATTCGGTTATAGGAATAAAAACATCTCTCATGAACTTTTTGCTAATGAAAAATATTGTTAACATTTACGGAGAAGAAGCTTCCAAATCCATCATTGATTTACTTACAGATGAAGATAATGAAACAAGTAATAAATGAATGAGATGAAAACAAAAACAATTATATTTATCACTAAAGAAAGGGAAATTAATTGTCTAAGTGACCATAATAATATTATAATATGTAGATGATTTAATAATATCAGTATTGAATTTAAGTTAAAATTAAAATGATATCATATATATACATATTTTAGGTTAATAATGAATTTTAACATATTTATTACTTACTCTACACTTTTATACTTATTTATTAACAGATTCACAATATTTTTTATTCATTTTTTAAATAAGTTAATTGCTTTATTTTTAATCAATCTGTTTTGTTTTTCTTTTTTAATTCATCTCCATTATCCTAATGTTCTTATTAGATTTCTTCATTTTATCCTTCTTCAACTAGAAGTCTTTTTAATAGAACAATTCATAGTAAAATTAGTTAAAGCTCTTATAAGAAAGATATAAAAATTACTTTTGAGCAGGTCTCTTTCCTGGTCCCCAATTTTTCTCTGGATTAGGAAGCCATCTTGGTAGTTTATTTTCAACATTAATATCTAAATCGAAGTTGGGCTAGCATCTATTTTTTTTAATTATAAATAGTATTTTAATTATATGTAAAATTTAAGCAAATACATGTTTGGTTTAGAGACTATAGCATAATTAGAGCTTTCCTTATCAAATGCCCTGAAGAATTCTTCATCATTTGGCTATAGGGTTCTTTTCTGTTTTATAATATTTAATTAATTTTTTAGCTTTCTAAAACTTATAAATAAAATAAATGAATGAGTAAAAAAATATATTTTTACCCAGTTTCTGATAACATCAAAAACTATTTCAGAAGGAGCATTTGTTTTGTATATAGCAGGATTTAAGTATGTTTATTCAATAGAATAATTTAAACTTTTAATTGCTGAAAAAATTTTCTTTTTGCTTGGAACTGTAGTTTTCATCATCTTGGATAAGTGTTCAAAGTTAAATCCTAAAGGAATATTATCAACACCAGCTTTTTACTCCTATAAAATTATTAATAAAAATTATATAAATTGCAAAATTATTTAGTTTTTACAAGCTAAATTGAGTGCAACATTCCTTCAATTTTCTTTTTAGTAGCCAAAGGTAAATCGAATTTATCTGAATTAAGATAATCAATAGTTTTTTAGATGAATTCCTAATCATTCAATTTGTCTGTCCAAATAGGTCCGTCTTTATAATTAATATAAATAATTTAATTCTTTTTATATTTTAATAAATACAAAGCTAAATATTTACTGATGGTAAAGCTTTCTCCACATTAATTGCAAATATTGCTAGGAAGATTCAATTTTTAAGGAACGTGCTTTTGGGCATCACTTTGCTTAGCCTTAGATTACTTACCAAATGTTTGGAAGTATTAATTCTAACAGTTATCACAATGAAAAACATTACCAGTACGTACTAAAGATCTTCCACATTCAAGTTTACCAGGCTTGATTATAAGAAAGACTCTAACATAAAATTCACTCATGTAACAAAGTAAAGGTGTAATAAACTTTCCATATCTATTGGCGATGTTATTAGCTGTATATAAAATAATTCTAACTGCATTCTATATTAATTAATAATACATTTATTTAACTCAAAATTTCCTTAAAATATCTAAAAGTTACTTCTTCATAGGCAGCGATTTTAGCTCTTGATGATCCATATAAATAGTAGCACTTTTAGGTATCTGGTCCACAGAGGATTCTAGAATCAGTAGAAGTAATGCATAGTAATGTTTCTCCAACAGCGCCTTAAATGGCACAGTCAAGGAATGGAGCACAAGTTCCATATGGATCTAAATCAATTACATCAAAACGAGCATTTCTATCTCCAGATGAGCTCCTGAACTTTTATTCATACATTAACTAAACGGCATCCTTTAAAGTCACTTAAATATAATTTATAAAATAAGAATTTATCTACCTCAATTTTATTTAATATTATGAGTTAAAAAATATGTAAAAGATGTTTTTACTTTCAATTTTGCTAAGATCTAAATTGTTCAATATGAAATTATCCATCATTAACTTATGGGATGCTTCGGAAATATCATTTGCATAGACTTTCTTAATATCTTTAAGTTCTTTGCTAAATCTAATTGCTCTAAGACCACTAGCAGAAAGAGCATCTAAAATAGTTATTCCATCAAATTTTTCCTTTCCTAAATTTAATTTAAAATATTTTTATCTTAATATTTTAAGAATCTTTAATTCAATAATTCCAAAATTTAATTACTAGTTTCCTTTAAGTATTCCTTGAACATATGAATAACCAAAACAGTTAAGTCTCTATTGAAAACCTAATGATCATAATTAAAAATGTCTTTAGTAAGATGATAAAAAATTTATAAACAGCTAATAAAAATAAGCAAATTAGCTCAGCTCATTTTGAATTTAATGCTGCTGTGTTAATGTTATTAACTTAAACTGGGTTGTAGAACACTTCTGATAACAACTTTTTACCATCTTCTGAATTTTCAATGTAAGACTTTTAGATCTTAGCATATCCCTCCTAAATAAAGGTATTATCTACTGGTTAATTGGTAATTTACTACTAAATATTCTATTTAGATTCTTCTTGAATTATCTATTAAGGAACCTCCTCAACTTACATTTGGTTTGTAACTTCGCTATCCATTTTTCTAAAATATTTTGTAAAATCGAAAATAAAAGTTCTCCTTTTTGCTTGAATATTAGTTTGATTATGAAGTACTGTTTATTTATTTTTGTTTAATTAGTTTCCAATTATGCTAAAGATTTTTTTTAACATTCCTATATTCAAATAAAATTAATATCTTATAATTCTTTTTATTTTTCAGATTATAAAAAGTAGCTACTTTAATTGAACTTATTAAATCTATACGATGCTTTGTATATAAAAGTGTGTATGCATGCATATGGAATATATTAATAAATTAAGCACCAGTCATTCAGTCATCAATCAATTACATTTTAATATCTATTTTATCAAATTCTGTCTAAACAGTCTATCTAATTATTATTAATAGATGCTATAATTATTGAGAGAACAATTTCGCTAACAAAATAAAATAAAAAAATAATTTATTTAGATTTTAATCATGTTTTCTCAAAAAAATTTGTAATTGAACTATTCAATAAATAAATGATAAATATTTTACTGAAATGGAATTATTTTATTGATTTGTTAATTTATATATTTTACAAAACATTTACAAATAGTTTAAAATATATTTCCAAATTTATTTTTAAATATAAAATATTTATCTCATTTTCCTTTTTTTCCCTTTTTCTTATCATCTTTTTTAACTATTAAAGGTTCATCAATAGCACCCTCATCTTCTTCAACAGATCTTACACAAAAACCTTCAATTTCAAGAACTTAAACTTGCTCTTCTTCATCTATTGTTTAGTTATAAAGTTATTAAATATATTGCTATTTTTAATGTAATCTAATGTTAAAGTACTTTGTTGAGCAGGTAAGTAATAACCAACGACATAAGTATTTTTATCTGTCAAGAAAGTATTAGCTATTGTATCAGCTTTTGTCTTTACAAATTTTCTTTCTCCTTGCTTATCAAATAGCTCAACAATTAAGTTTTCATTTTTCTCAATATCTATTTATAAACAAACAAACAAACAAAATCAGATTTAAAACCATAACTTATAAAAATTTCAATAAAAAACAATTTAAATATTTATGAAAAATATTAAGCTATTTATTTAATATTTACCTGCTATTTTTTGTTTTGCTGCTTTTAATTTTTCAAGCTTTTCATCATATTTAACAATACTTTCTTTAGATTTTTCAATATCTTTTGTTAATTCAAATTTTTCAGCTTCTAAAGGGTTTGAGGGAACAACTTCTTTTCCCTTTTTACCTGGCTTAGGAGCTTCTTTTTTAGGTTCCTTTTTAATATTAAAGATAAAATAAAGCATAAAAAATGAATCAAGCTTATAAATTAAATATTAAACATACTTGTTTAGCAGCTGCTTTCTTCTTGTCTCCTGTAGTTTATGTTTCTGTAGCTAATTTTTCTTCTTCTTCTTTTAAAAGCTTGTCAAGTTCTATAATTCTTGCCTCATGTCTACTAATTTTTTTAGCTAATGCAACTTTTTCTTTATTATGTTAATCTTCTTTTGCTTTTAGATTGTTATTTATTTCCTTTAAACATGTTAACCATATTGTATCTATTAAGGTAGCAGTAAGGCAGTCTATACAAAATATTTTACTTTGTTTATATCCAAAAAGTACTAATATTAACATTCTCTAAACTCCTACTAAACTATTTACTTATATTATATTTTCAAAAACTATTTATAATTAATTATACAAAAGTAAAAATAATAATAAATTTTTGAATAAAGTTACTTAAATTAAATAAAAAAAGATACATCACAAATAATTAATTCGATTTAATATATTTTTTTATAAAAAAGTAGTTTTAATCAGTTTTAAATAATATTTTAATGTTAAATTTTGAGAAAATATTTCCTTTTTCAAAATTAATCATCAATTACATACAAAATAAAACATTTCTTTAGTCAAATTAAATTAAACATAAGTAATTAAGTAGTAGTTTTAATTATAATATTATTAACTCATGGGCCGAATATGTCACAGAATATAAGTTTAAAGATAGACTTATCACTATCTAAGGGTTCGTAAATATAAGCTTGTTCATGAATAAGCTTCTTAAAGCATGGACAAATGAAATGGAAGAAAACCCAACATCCTCCAGTAGCATAATTTAAAATTTATGAGTCATCATACATTTTCCCTACTTCACCTTTAAGAGAATAATAAATTGAAAATAATTAATTTTTTAAGACATTAAATGTTTTTATCACAAAATGTTGTTTTATTTGATATGAATAAAAAACAAATCTTTTAAAATAAATTCGATGATGAATACATAAATATAGTTCAAATTAATATTCTAATTGAAATTTTTATTTTTTAAAATAAATCATTTATTTTATTTGAAAAATTTTTCATTATTTCAATAAAACAATTTTTATCTTTTTAATGCTGCTTAAATTTGTGTATAAAATTGCATCTGTCAAAAAAAATATGACACTTTTTAAAGATATTAAATGATTATTTATTTACCTTATGGATGATCTAAAGAATAATGCACTGCCTTTGTGCAATCAGATGTACCAAATATAAAAATAAATTGAATTATAATAACTAAAGCTATGACCCAGTGTAAAAAATTTATCAATAGCTTCAAATTTCTAACATAAAGACCGCATGTTCCCAAGCAGCAACCCAATTTTCTAAATCTATCTGGATCCATAGCTTCGAATTTTCTAATGCAGAGCAACCCCATTAAAGTTAGAAAGATTATTATGCAATATAAAATAGTGATTACTATTGGGATTACTGCTAATTAAATGCTACTTGTTTTAGTAGTTGTCGTACTTGTTCCTCCAGACGTAGAAGGATCAGATATTTATTAGATTTAGCATTTATCAGCAGAGTATGTACTATAAAAAATAGCGTTATATATTGCTATGCAAGCAAAAAATAGGCACATAACAAGATAGTAGGTTACTACTGAAGCCATTTAAAATTTTAATGCTAACTACTAAGAAAAATTATAAATTTATTTTAAAAATCTGCTCTGCTCTGTTATAGTTTATAGCTTACTTTAATTGCTTAAAAACTTAAAAATATCTAAAATTTGTTAATTATTTATGTATTTTTTTTATATTTAAAAATTTTTATCAAAAAGGATTTCTAAAAATTAATTTTGAGAAGAATTGTAAAAACGAAAAAAAAAAAAAAGCAAAGGGTTAAAAAGCTTATTTATATTTTATTAAATCATATTTTTTTTGTGTTATAAATAATGAAAGATATTACAAAACTATTTATTACTGATTGAAATAAAAAGTAAATTATTTTTGTGATTGTAAATTTTTTTTAATAATTGATTATAGTATAATCTTACTTAAGATTCGTCTATGCTCATATTAAAATGAAAATTCTTTTCTAAAAATTTTAAGCTGCAATTTAAAGCTTGCAAACAAAATAGAGTAGTAAATTAAATTTAAAAATAACTAAGTATTCATAACACAACAAACATAGATTTAATTTCAAAGTATTTTAAGCCAGTAAAGTTGTAAAGTGAGTTTACTTAATTAACTGTAGCAAAACTACAAGCAAAACTATGAAAAAATAGTGAATTTGATAGACTAAAAAATAGATAATTCAAATATTTATAAAATACTACAAATATAATTTTTGTTTTATTATGAATGAATGTTTGAAAATTAATTATATTTAATATCAATTTTTAGTATTTCAATATAATTTAATTTTTCGAACTAATTAAAAAAGTAAAAAATACGCAAATAAATAGTGCATATAGGTTTCTTATTAAAAATAGCACAGTTTTTTGCAAATGAGAGCTCTAACTAAATAAAAATCAACCAAAAGTTTTGACAAATCAAAAACTAAAAATCTTAAAAATAAAAAGGATGAAAAGAAGCAACTTGAAAGATAATAGCTAAAATAGGAAATAAAAGAAAGGGAACAGCATCTTAAACATGCGTTGGCAAACTTTATGAACTAAGAGCAAGGTATCTATCAATCAATCAATTAATTACACTAATTTTAAAATAGGATATGCTAAATTTCGCAATTTAAATTCTAAATATACCTTTGAAATATATAAAATATTTTAATAAATAAAGCTTTAATAATTTTTATTTAAGATAAAAATGCTAATATTTTTTAAAGTTATTACAAGATAGTAGTTTTTATTTTAAAGATTTACTTCATTCTGCTAATTAATATTAATTAATCATTAGAATAATAAGAATTAATTGGCTATAAGTTGCTAATAAGTAAATTTGATAATATTTGTGTTCGATGCAATTAGATAGAGGAATAGCTTAATTTTAATGATTGATTTTTAATAATTAAAAATTAACGAATAATTCAAAATTTAATTTTACTTCTATATTTTACTAAATTCTACTAAATAAAAATTTAAAATTAAAATATTTTACTCATAATTTTATGGTTATTTTTATCGATCTAATAAAATGAAGGTTGAATTAGCGGCTAAAATATCAAATATGGTATTAAATTTCTATATTCAATTTTTAAAAATATAACATTAGTAGAAATTTGTTTCTCAAATTTTTAATAGAATGAACTTACTTTTGGATTAATTTAAATTAAAATTTGAAATATTTCGCAAAAAAGTATACTAGTATATATATACCCAAAAGAACAGGCAACTTTTTTAACTAAATTACTCTTATCAAAATTAATTTAATGAAAACTATAAGCCTTAATATAGAGACAAATTTTGTACAAAAGATATAGTTTTTGTTAGCTATCAAGTAACTAACCAAAAACCACCACCACTAATTTAAAGCTTTATTGTGGAGAACTGTATTTATGAACTCAAAAAATAACATTTATTTTAATATCCTTATGCTAATTAGAACTACAAATTAAAGAAAATTTTCATATTGATAGATAAATAAATAAATAAACAAACAAACAAATAGAAGTTTAGTAGTTAGTTGGTTTAAGAGCTAATTAATTAATTAGTGAACTAATACTACCTTAAAAATTTTAATAAAAAGCAAATAATTTATTTTTACTTCTTAAAATTCATAGAAGAAGAAAGGTTAAAGCTAGAAAAGTAGTAAGAACGAGAGAAAGAGCACAAAGAAGAAGAAAAATAAACGCGATATATCTTGAAGAACGTTAAATTGGTTTAAACAAAAAACTATACTACTGCTCTTTCTCTTTCTGCAGTAGAGAAGTTTGACCTTACATAAAAGCTTGCGAATTTATGGAATTTTATAAGCTATTGTGAAAGAGAAATTACAAGGCCTAAGATATTAAATATAATTTTTATATGCGTATACTTCTTTTAGCTTTTTAGTATCAGCGTTAGCTCTATTTCCCCAACTGTTAGTGAAATTTCTTTAAATACTATTTACTATATTGCTAGATCATCAAGAGTTATTCCATTATTAGCTACTCTTAACTATGCAGATATTGTTGGCCTTATTGTTATTTTAGTTATTTGTATAATAGATTCTATATTTTTTTATTGCGCTTGGGACCTCTCCAATAGTTCCACCAAGGAAGAAGAAAACAATTTTAAGCTCAAAAAAGGAAAGGCGTAGTTTGTTTTATATTATTTACAGCTTTATAGATGGTTTCTTATTGTTCCAAAAATTGATATCGCTTTAGGTGGATTTTTTTGTGGAGTACTGAACGATAGCAGCAAATCAGCAAATGTAGAACGGTGTAGTGATATGTTATCTTTCTCTAAATACTAAATAGTGATTGCATTTTTTAGTTTTCTTTAGATAATCTCAATTGTTATATCTACCTATTTATTCGTTATTGTATATAATACTGCTAGTTTTATGCCTGCTAATCCAATCAAATCTCGTTATTCAAACAAAAAGTTCATAGAAATATTTTTAGTGTTTATATTCATCCTATTCAGTTATCCCTAAGTAATTTCATAAAAAGTATTATTGCTTATTATGCAACACATTATCGGCGTGTACTATCAGCTTGAATATTTTATATAATTTCCTCTCCTTACTAGAGAATACACTACTATATACGCAAATATTATAAATACTTATGCTTTTGCTTGTGTTTTATAAACCATCCGCTATTCAGTCAGCAGTTTTTTAGATAAAAACTTTCTAATTTATCTCACAATTGTGAGTACATTCTTAATGGCCCTCTAGTAAAGTTATATGACATAGCAGCTCAGTCGCATTAGGGCATTTGATTTAAAAGATTAATTAAAGTATCCAAATTTGGCTTGTTTGTATTTTGAGGAGCTTTTGTTTCTGTCTAAAAATTCATTAAGAGAGAAGCGAATGTATTTAATTGTTCTAGGAATGCTTGAATTTCATCAATAAAAATGCAGGGATCAAAAGTGTCCTTGTTAAGTTGTAGAAAAGTTTGAAGATTATGGGTATGACATACCCCTTAACGAAGCAAAACTTCTAAATACTCCAATAGGCTTGTATTTGTATAATCTTTCCAAAGATCATGGCTGTATAATTATTAAATTGTTATAAATATTATTCTCATTTATTTATCAGAAAAGAGTTAAATTTGAATTTAAATTATACATAAAAATAAACACTTTTTTAAAGTTTTGTATTTATTATTAATATTATTTATTATGAAATAGAATTCGTTATTTGGGTCATGAAATTTGTTGATTATCACATTAGAGATCTAATACATCAGCTTGAAAAAACACACATAGAAAACAACCAAGTATAAATAAAATCATCATTAATTGTTATGAATTTGTTAATTTTGTTTATCAATTTAATTAAAAAAGCCAAATTACACAATTTATTTTATTTTTTGATAGAATAAAATTTAATTAATTACAAATAAATAGATTTATCAAGATGTGTCAATGAGATTTTGGTTTTTTTGCATTAGAACATAAAAAAATGTCATCAAAGCACTTTTTTCACTAAAGGCAAACAGCAAAAAATTTGTAAATAAATCAAGATTTTTCCAAATAATAGAACTGGCTACTGGAAGAATAATAGAAAATTCAATTAAAACAAAAGATAAATCAATGAAATATTCATACAGGTAGTTTATATTTAAAAAAAAAAATAGCTTACCTTTTTGTTTAGATAAAAAGATGCTGAGAAGGCAAGACAATTTGAACTTTTTGAAAACATGGTGGCAAGTGAGGCAATTAAAAAGAATCTTAAAAAATTTTTATAAGAAACACTCAATTAAAAATAAGATATGATGCAGAAACTAATTGATGGATATGAAAGCTTTGATGATTTATTTAAATCTGCCTTAGATTTACTAAAGAATATAGAAAAATTAGAAAATTTATTAAGAAATGAAATTTCATATAGAAAAGATAACATAGAATATCTACGTTTATTATCCATATTAAAAATAAGGCTTTTGAATGATCCTATTTCATGTAAAGAGCTAGATAAGAAAATTATTGAGATTAATGACAGAGATAAGTTTTAGGATGAAAACACTGTTAATTCTTTGAATATTTTAAAGGGTAAATAAATATTAAATATTTTAGAAATTAAGCTAAATTATATTATATTTTATTTTATAAAAGGTAATGTCGTTTCTATGATTAGCGGATTCAGCACAGCTATAGCTTCAATATTAGCTTTTTCAGAAAGTTCTCCAAGTTTTTTTGGATATAAAAAAAGTGAATTTGAAACATTATCTTCATTAAATGATTTGATCCCTGAGTGTATAGCAGTGTGGCATGATAATTATATGATTAGATTAGTAGAAACAGGTGTTTCAAAAATTATCAGAAGATATAGAGTAGCTATAGCCAAAAATAAAGGTAAATTTTAATTATTTTCTAAAACAAATCAAATGAATTCCTTTTCTAAAAAAGATAAAATTTCTAAAAAAAGTTAATTTACTAAAATTATTATAAAAATGATTATTTTTTTAAATAATATGATGTAAAAAGAATATAAATATTTTTTTTATTTAAAATGAATGATAAATATTTTTTTAATTATTCAAATATTTTTTAAAAATTAAATGATAAATTAAAAATAAATTCTTTTAATTTGGTTTCATTAAGAAATTAAATGAAGAAATTAGATTTAGAAATATTGCCTTATATATTTGTTTTTATGAAATATTTTAAAGAACAAAATAAAATAAATTAATCATGAGGTGTTTCTTCATCATTAAAATTTTATCTTTTATTTTATAAATAATATTCATACTGTATTCTAATATTAATATTTTTCTAAAATAGAGGGATTTATGTTTCCAATTAATATTTATGTAAACTATTTCTGGCATATAAATTATGACTTTTGCTTCTCTGCTTTGATGCTTAAACTGAAGACTAACAGCCAGTTTGTATTAGTGGATCCTAAGGGAATTATTAAAGATATGAGTGCAAACTTTTATAAGTTCTTCTCAGAGCTTTATCCTAGATAAATTGATATAAATGTACTTACTGGTTCAAATATAAGTCTAATAATACCAAAATTATAAGAAGTATTTGATTCCTATGAAACTAGTTAATCCTAAAATGCTAAATTCGAAGTTAATTTACCTAGAAGTAATTAATTTATTTCAAAATAAAAAATATTTCTTTTAATATTACTTATAAAAATTAGAATTAAACCAATTTCTGAAAGATTATAAATCTCTTTAAAAGAATAATTAAGCTTTTAATAATCCTACATAAGTATAATCTAATAGTAATAGAGAATCTGAAAATGAGAATTCCAAAGTTTCGATTACTGAATTCATTACTCAGTCGTCTAAAAACTATGGAATGCATTATTTGACTTTTGAAGCAATTTGTTCGATAAAATAAGAAAATATTCCATTTTATAATGGAGGAGCGCTTATACTTTATTTAATTGAAATACAAAGTTACACTCCTATTAATCCTTATGCAAGCACAGCTTCTTAACCAATGTCGAGTAAACCAAATTTAATGAACTAATAAACCTTAGGAGATTCTATGTCTTCAACTTAGTAGATATAGATTAGAGGATAAAAAGATAAAAATGGGAAAAAAATAGACAATGATAAAAAGAATGATATAAAATTTGAACTTGATGGATCAAACTTAAATGATGACTATATATTTTCAAATATCGGTGCTGGAGGATCTGCAACACCTTTTCAGTTTTAAAATGACGGCAGGGTATTAGAAGCTCCGTTTATAGGAGTTAGAAAATACGATTAGGAAATGTAGGTACAAGACATGGATTAGGATTTGAATAATTTAGATATTATGAAAATTAATAAAATACAATAAATAAACCACACTCACTTTTTGACTACTTCTTAAGATGATCTTTAAGATTTTTCTCCAGCTAATTATTCAATTCCTCAGATGAAATCAAACACAATCTAACTAACTGAAAACAACGAAGAATAAGCAAAAAGCAATTAAAATGGTTAGCATTTAACTATTCATTAAACTATTGAAAAAGATACGAAAACAAGTAGCAGTAGTGATCCTATTGCAGGGATTAATACTCCTTACAATTAATTATTATAAACTGGAAGTATGGATTAATTATAAGGAAATTCATTCTTAATTTATACATAAAATAATTTTGATTTGCTTAATGATACTCAACTGCATTTAAACTAAACACTTGAAACAAATTTAATGACTCCCAAAAATAATTAAATACCTCAAGCAAGTGAAATAAATGTGACTCAATCATACAATCAAAATATATCTATTCCTTCAGACTCTAAATAAAACAAAGAAAGTAAAAAAATTAATTCCTAAAATTTGCCTGCTAACTCAACTGACAAATACAAAGGAGCTACAGTTAACTTTAATTATAATGGCATTAAAAAAGAAGGCTAGATAAATTAAATTCCTGAAGAAATTCTACCATTTGAGGGCACTTCTCACCATACTGAGGAGCTTTCTTAAAGATTTAAGGAGCTTTCAAAAAAGAGTGGAACAATTATAACTTTCACAAATTAACTAACAAAATCTGACGGAGAGAAAGAGGATGACTTAAATGTATCATCTTCTGAAGAGGAAAATGTAAATAAAAAAGGATGGTAATAACTTTCAAAATTTATTCAATATATAACAATAATTTATTTTTAATTAAGGGAAGACGACATCCACTAGTAAAACAGTATTTCTTCTAAAGGAAACAGAAGCACATACAATATAGTAAAACAAATTCATGCAATGGCAAATGAAAAGAGAATGCCTGGGTTTTTGATGGCACTGTACTGTTCTTATACTACACAATGGGCGCTATTTATTTTGCTTAGCTTGATAACTTTCATAAATATTTACAATTAATTACAAAATTATAAAGTTGTAATTAATGATCTTTAGTTTAGTTCTTCTTTTATGATTCCACTTTCCTTTATTTCTCTAAGTGGAAACTATATAGGTCTCTCCAATTCTAATATTATAACAACTTCTAACTCCAATAATTAAAATTTCTTTTTCTCTAATCTTAATTAATCATTCAATATTACAAAGCAGCAAATGAACAACTTAACTTTCGATGAACTCATTTATAGTTACCAAAACTTTTTATTGGAATAGCAGATTTAACTAAAATTAATAACATCTAATATATAGTTTTAGAATAATATTATCATGTACGAAACTCTCTCAAGCATTGTTGAAATGTCTTTCGAGTTCATTTAAAATTAAAATGCAATATTTGAAAATTCTACTCTCCTTTACACCATATAATAAAATTATGATAATTTGAACAGCCAGTTTGATAATTTGGACAAACTCTATGCTGAGGAATTAGAAAATGTAAGATCAAACTTAGAAAGTATAAATTTATAAATTTTAATAATTTCTATCCTTATGCTTGTAATATTCTCAGCTTTGATTGTGCCACCATTTAAAAAGTACAGAGATCAAGTACTTAGAATCCTAAAAACTATTTCAAGAATAACAGAAGAAGAGGCTATAAATGAAATCCTACATATCAAACAAGCTAGTAAGCTTTTAGATAGTGAAAACGAAGGTATAAAAAAAAATCTTTTTATCTTAAAACTTATATTTTTATTAATACAAGAAAACACATGAAAGTTAATTTAATCAAAAATTTATTTAAATAAATAAAACAGAATATTTGATTACTAGATTCGGAGAACTTTAGTAGAAAGAAGACGAGTAAGATGAAATGGCTAGGTAGCTAGAAAGTAAGCACATCTCTACTACTAACATAAAGAGCATGAGGAAGAGTTAATAGAAAAAAGAAAAACCTAAAACTTATTCTAGCGTTTACCTTAACGATAGAGTAAAAAGCAACAAACTCAGCTTTTGGCTTGTATTTATCATAATTTTTGTTTTGTTTATGTGCTCTTGCGTATTTTTATCGGTAAATTTAAATTTTAAATTAAGTTATGTAGGAATTAATCATCCTTAATTAAAATTTAGGTATATTTTGTATTGAGAAATTTCCTTGATACTTTTAGTAAGCCTATTTAAGACTAACTCGGTTTCTCAAGATCCATTCGATATTATGGGTCAATGTCTTTCTCGAAGAACATGAATCTAATTTCATAATCTATCTAACAATACAAAACATTGAACTAAAACTATAATAACTTTTATGCTATGGATTAAAATATATTGAATAAGATGCAGGATGATGGCGTTTCAATAGCTAGTTCTTTTTTGCTAGGAGAATTCTTATAAATGGGAATAAACAGCTCATAAACTAATGAATTGAAAAATTTCCTTTAGTCAATTAACAATGGTAATACATGCTAGTTGTTTTCAAGCATTTTAAATCCAGTAGAGATGAATGTCTGTCTAACAGCATCTAATGGATTAATAAATATCGGTTTAAAAAATGCTATCACTTAGTCTATCAATTAAGTTAGCGATTTCACAAACTGGAGCAATAAGATTAGTTACTAATATCTCATGACTCAAACTTATGTGCAAGAAATCTAAGTACAAGAGTTAGTAATGAAGATGTTCATAAACATCATGGAGAGAATAGGCAAAGACAATTGTAAAATAATAGATAATTATGCGTATACTATCTTGCTCATTTATTTACTAGGAGGCATCTTAATTACAATTTTATTTTTAGCAATCTCTGTTTATAGTTTATTAAATACTTTAAAAAATTTCACTTATCTCAGAATGGCCATCTATTTAATACCCTTTAAAAGGCTCTCTGAAGACAGCAATACACGTTTCCTTTTAAAAAAATTCATGGAGTTTCAGTCTAATTGTCTTTGTTGAAAAATATCAAAAAAAATTTACCTTAAACTAAATCCTAAGAAAAATCTTACCTTAAATTTAATATTAAAAAATAAAAAAATCAAAATCTTTCACATATGTATGTATATATATATTAAATAAAGCTTATATAATTTATTAATTGTGATTTTTCCCAGATATAATTTAAATTTTTTTCATTGCTTTTTAAGAGTTTTCAGCATTGTTTTTTACTTAAAATATTTTTGTCATTTTTTATAAATGTTTATGAGCATTGGTTTTATATGCGAAGTTTTTGCTAATTAGTAATATTATTTCCTTTAAATTTATTATTAATTAAAATAGATTATGTTTTTTCGCCTGTTTTGAAAAAAGCAAAATTATATTTTAAACTAAATATTAAGATATATATTAAATTTAAGAATTAAAAAGAAATCAATTATTTAATTACACATTTATATGTTAACTTAAGTAATTTATTCATTTGTATTTTTTCCAGAAATAATTTAAATTTTTTTAATTACTTTTTTAGAGTTTTGAGTACTACTTTTATACTTAAGATATTGATTTATCTTCTTTTAAAAATATTTAAGAATAATTTAAATACTATCTTTATGTTAATATCTTTTTAATTAGCCATAATAATTTATATTTTAGACTTAATATTCATTAAAATTCATAAGAAATGAATGCCTGACCAGATAAAAAAGCTTTACTGATTAAGATTATAAATACAAATCTTTTATAGATTATTTGAATGAGATAATTAAACTTTGATAATACTTGTTTATCGATCTATATTTTTGCCTTTTTATAGTTATCAAATAGTTGTTCAAGAATTAATTTATCAAAGTATTAATTTTTATTAAAAAATATTGGTAATTAAACAAAAGAAATGAGAGTAATCAGAAACTTTTTGAAAATAATTTTGCTCGGCATATTCTGTTTTAATAAATTAACATAAGGTAAATAAACACGCCTCGCTTTTTAGAATAATTCAATTACTTTTTTAAACTTAAAGGTGCTTATTTAATACAAGATTTTATAAATTTTGATGAGAAGAATTGTTAGTAGTTTGAAGGATATTAAGGGAAAACTATAGGCTGTACAATGTAAGGATCAATTGGTAAACCTGCTTAAGGACAAGTTTTTCTATTCGTCTTGTACAATCCTGTATATTATTTAACTTTTAGACTCCAATAACAGTATATTATTATTATTTTAAATAGCTTTAATACTCTGTAGTAGATACTAATCTTGTTATAAATTCTTAATGCACAAGATTGAGTTAATGCCCTTATGCTGTAAATGCTCCAAGCTCAGGCAAAAACTTTTATAATTAAAAAAAATCTATTACTTATTAAGTAGAAGGAGGAGATTATGAATATGTATGTTTGATTTTAAATTCTATTATATATTTTTTAATTTCTTTTTATAATAAGATCGTTTATGACAGTCCTTATATGCAAGGAAAGTACTCTTCAGATATCATTAAACTTTCATCAAATAATGAGTTTATAAATATGAAATTTCTATCACTCAGCAACTTCGGATTAACTTTATATGTAATATAATTGTTTGATAAATAGAGTAATTTAAAATATAAATTATTTAATTGTTTATCTTATAAATAAAGATAGCTGATGGAGTAATTAATCTATCTAGAGGTAACTCAGATAATATATTTGTAGAAGGTTATAATCAATAGAAGCTAATTGTAATTTAAAAGATTAATTTGATAATAATTAGACTAATATTTTATAAATAATAAAAATCTAGAGTCCAAAATTCATGTTTGGAGTAAAGTCTGGCAGTTTTGGACTTATGTTTAACAGAGATTTTAATTTCGAAAGTTCACCATCTATTAAAACATATTCGAATGATTAATGGGTACATTCTTTCTGATTTATAATTAAATATTCACTCATATAATCTAAAAAAAATAGAATCTATAAGTTGCAGGAATTCGTTTTGGAGATGATGATGTGATAGCAGCCACTCACTTTTAAACCATTAGTTTGAATACACTTTAAAATATATATGTCCCATACAGTAATTAAATTAATTAAAAAAGATAAAATTAATTAATTTATATTTAAAAACAACAGGTCTTGCTCAATATATCTAAAGCAAATACCCTTAATATTACTCAAATAATGAATATTGGTCAATTAAAAACTGTTTTGCATGTAGCTGTTTAGTTGATTTCCCTGATATTGTTATATATACTTCTGAATATGCAATAACTTTTAAAATGGCAGACTTAACATATATAAGTGGTTTAGCCTGCAACATGTATATTTCAAGCACTAATTTTATATTTGGAATGTAATAATTAATCGATCTAGGAGTCCTTTTCAATCCATTAGAAGGCTCTGTTTAAATGATATACAAGTAAATTTTTTATTTTATGCAAAAAATTAGCTTTATTTTAAAAATATATCTAGCTCTAATACGATGATACATCCATCTATATCTAACCTTTATGTTATAATGACCTTAGCTTCTATTTCATTATTTTTGCTGATTTTAGTTTTATTATACTTTGAAATTAAGTTAATCACTATTAAGGACGAATTTGATTTTTTTAAAAAAATAATGTGAAAGCATTAATAACAAAAAAAATTTTAAATAAATAATTATTAATGTAACAAAGATTAAAAATAAAATATTTCAGGACTATAAAATAATTACTTAACTTAAAAATTAAAGAATGAAGTATTATTATTTTTAAGTTTTACAAAATAAAACTTCTAATTATTTAATAAATAATATTTAATTATGTTTTAAATATTCTAGTAGACTTTATTTATATTTATAAATGTATATCAATCAGACAGAGCTAATATTAAATAATAAATAAAATTAAAATTTACATAAAATTTGTTGATCTAAATAATAATTATTTTTTCAAATCTCTTTATTTTAAATTAATTTTTTTTTCAAAAATTATTTTTATAATTTTTAAAAATTTTAACACCTTAATTTTAATTGTAGTTAATGATTATTTTTTATTCAATAATCAAAAAGAGAAAATATTGTTTTCTTTAATAAAATTGAAAAATTAATGAAATTATTTGTATTAATTTTTGCTTAAATATAGTTAATCTTGAGTGTAAAATAATTTATTTTTTGCCATAAATTTATTATTTTCATAATTGAAAAAAAATGTTCTGAATTCTATTTGTTTCTTTTTTTCTCAATTTGAAAATCATTTGTAAATTTTTAAATTTAAAGTAAAAATATTTTTTGCATAAAAATTAATAGGCATTTGATTTATATCAGATCACAGTTAGCATAATAGTTCGGTATGATAAACTTAGATATATAAATACAAAAAAACATTAAAACTAATTGACTAATATTAATTTTTTTATATAATCTTATTGAAATTCTGCCATAATAATGTAGCCAATCTATCAGCAGAATATCATTAGGTAAGCTTCATTACAAATATTATGAAAATTTAATAGATTTTATTTTTATTTTGAAGAAATTGAAAAATTGGGAGTTTTTTAATTCATATTTAAGAAACTATACAAATTAAATAGGATTGCTGTCTAAAATATTTAGTTAAAAAATGGTTTTAATTTGTACATTTATTTTTTTGAATTTAATAGAATCCAAAAGATATCATTTAAAAAGCAGTACAAAGAAGATATTAAATTTTTGAGTTTTAAATACAATCACAAACAAAATATAATTCTGATAAATTTTGTTGGGTTACATAATGTAAATAATTAATATATTTTTGTTTAACCATTTATTTAAAACGAAAATCGAATAAATAAATCTGAGGCATCAAATTAGAGTCTAATAATTTATCAAATTTGAGATAATTTTAAATAATTTTAAATGCTATTTAATTAAGTCTACTACTAATTTATATTTATATTGCTTTAGACACATTAAATAAATTGAGTAAATTAATATCTTTAATTTTTGTGGAATCCTCATAGAATTTTAAAAGAACTTTTATTTCGAAATAGCTAGAAAGATTTATGAGGCATTTTTGTTTGTTTAAATACAATTGTATAAAGCATCTTAGTAATATATAATTTATGTAAAAATATATTATCTGACAAAATTAATTTTTGTAAAACAATTACTCTAAAATCTAAATTATTTATAAATGCAACCAAATAGCTTTGAATTACCTATTAGTCATGCTTTACACGGTGGATATAAGCATCCTGCTTGCAGAAATTGGGTAAAATAAACACTTTCTGCTAATAACCTCGTATATCCTGTCTTTGTTTTAGATGAACCTGATGCTGAATAAGAAATTAAAACTATGCCAGGAATTAAACGTTTTGGATATAAAAAAATTGTTGATCACTTAAAACCTTTAGTTAAAAAGGTAAAAATTATTTAAAACAAATTTTTAAGATTAGCATAAGCTATTTAAATACTATATTCAACTATTTTTCTTTCATTATAAAGGGTTTGTAATCAATTATTATTTTTGGTATTTTGAGTGATGATAATAAGAAAGACGAAAGAGGTTCTCATGCTGGTGGAAATGGAATCAAGGGACCTACAAACTTAGCTTTAGAAGAAATAAAAAAGGAAATTCCAGAACTTCTTTTGATAGTTGATGTTTGTCTTTGCGCATTCACTAGTCATGGTCACTGTGGTTTATTAAATTGTGAAGGATATATTGATAATGCTGCATGTAAATTAAATTAATTAAAAAATTAAAATAAAAAACAATTTATTTGAGGATCTTTTTATGATGAAATTTTTAATGCTTATTAAATTTATTTTATTATTTAAAAAAAAAAAAAATTTAATAAACTCTTATAATCAATTAAAAGCTCTTAAAAGATTGGTAGAAGTAAGTATTTCTTATGTATAAAGTGGAGCTTAAGTTATTGCTCCTTCTGATATGATGGATGGTAGAATTGGAGCTATTAAACAAGAATTAATAAGATAGAATCTTGAAATTCCTGTTATGTCATATGCTGCTAAATTTGCTTCTAGTTATTATGGTCCTTTTAGAGATGCATGCAAGTCTGCTCCAGGTAAATCTGATAGACAAGCTTATTAGCTACCTCTTGATTCTACTTAATTGGCTTTAAAAGCAGTTTAAAGAGACTTAGAGGTAAACATTTTATTTAAAGTGATATAAATTTTAAGGAAATATGAAAAAGTAGTTATTATAAGATATCAAAAATAATTCAAGCTATTTGAAAGCTAATCTAAATTAAAGCAATGATTTAAATTATATAATGAATAATTATATTACCTTTCAAGCGAAATTTACTTTAATTAATTATATCTATCTTATTAAAATAAATTAGGAAGGTGCAGATTATATCATGGTAAAGCCTATCACTACTTATTTAGATATAGTTAAAGAAATAAAGCAAAGATTTAATCCTATTATGGCTTGCTATCATGTCAGTGGTGAGTATGCTATGGTCTGTTTTGCCGCTTAGAATGGAGCTTGTGACAAGAAAAAGGTTGTATTAGAGACTATGAGATCATTCAGAAGAGCAGGAATTGATATAATTATTACTTACTTTACTCCAGAGCTTTTAGATTGGGTAAAAGAAGAATTTTGATAAGAATGATTAATTGTTGTTGACTAAATTATAACTTTTTAAAAATATAATCAATAAGTTGAAAGAAAACAAGCAAATTAACAAAAAAAAAGCAAAAAGGCATTTTATTTTTTATAATATACTAAAAAAATTTTTGTTTATTTTTTGTTTATTCATTTTGATTTTGTAAGTAATTTTATTCAAAAAGATAAACAATTTCAACGCTTAGATTTATTTATGTTCCTATTCAAGTACTTGAATTTATATCTAAATATTTTGTATGCTTACTTAGTTATGATGTAAAATTTTAACTTTATCTTACGTTTTCTTATTTATTATATAATTATTTAATGGTAAATCATTAGTGTTTAAATTAAATAATACATTATCATTTTAAATTCAGGATTTTAATAGTTAACTTACAAATTTATCTAAATTTTATGTTTTATTCATATTTGTGTGTTTCAAACAATATTATGCATTCAAAATGTAAAAATAATTCTATTACCTTTTTTAAAAAAATGATAATTTTATATAAATACTACATGTATCGTAATTTTATTAGTTTCAAAGTTTTAACTGAACTAAAATGAAATCAATTTTATTATTTATAATCTTAAAATTTTAAATTATTTGAAAAAATAATAGCTTTCTATGAAAGATTATGAAGTTACAATATATAAATAGAATTTAAATTTGTTAACAATATCACACTCAAAAAAACAAAGCATTTTTTTATACTTTTAATTAACTGTAATGTAATTCGTTGTAGGTAAAAAATGTTATGTTTTTCTTTTCTCTTTTTATATTAAGTATAAAATTTTTAGATTGTAATCAGATTAAACGATTTAAGCTGGATTATTTATTTTGATTTTTTAATTTAGGTCAAAATGAATTAGATTACACTGCACTTGAATTTATAATGAGAAGAAAAACCAATTATTTTAAGCCTGTTTATGGGAAAAAGAAAGAAATAGCATTTTGTAATTTTTTTTCAGATAAAATGATAGTGCTTATTCAAACTTCAAAAAATCAATCAAACAAACAAAGAAATAAATAAATAGATAGATAATAAATAAATAAGGTATTTTGTTATAGATATTGTATTTTATTAATTTTTATTTGAAAAGAAATCAACAATTAATTAATTGATTTTTTTTTATATAAATTTGTTTAGGTTTCCCTTTTTAAAAAATAGTAGTTTGTATTGTTAACTTTACATTATTTTTTCAGATATTTACATTTACTTATATTATAAAGCATAGAATCATTTAATAGATTGGATATTTATTACTAGTTTTTTAGAAGATGTTGCATCATCATTATCAAGATAGATTTTATTATTATGTAATATATGACACTGAATCATCTTATATATTTTCTTAATTACTCTCACTAGAAATATAACAGTATTTCAGAACCTTTTAGGTCATTTCATCTAAAACTATTTTTTTTTCTTTTTGCATGCTGAGACTAGTTTCTGATGCAAAACCTACTCTGAACCAGATTATATGGCTGAAGACAAAATTAAACTTTGAATTTAGTTTTTTCTTTTTATAATATTTATCTAATAGCATATTATAAGGTCTTATAAATTAGAAATATTTTTTTCGTTTGTTTACTCTTAGATATACTTGATATCCTCATCGAAAGTGGAGATTTCCTTAGGTTATAAATTTAAAACCTAAAACAAGCAAGTTCGAAGAATTTGAATTTCATTTTTAAAGCTCGTTATCTATTGAATTAAGGGATCGGCATCCATTGTTTGCTCCTTTTGTTTTTTTCGTAAGTTCTTACCATTTGCACAGCCCATTAGATGAATATTTTAATATATTATAAATAACTTTAATAATGTCTTTAGTAGCAGAAAATGGAAATGTATTTGTTTTGCTTTTTGTTTTTTTGAGCAAAATACTTTTAAATTATATAATTATTAATTATACTTTTCAATTATTTGAAAACAATTCACCTAAATAAATAAATAAAATTATGAATTTTTTTTGTTAATATTCTTACCTTCTTATCTAATTAATTATTTGAAAAACAAATAAAAAATTCTGATCATTTTTTAGGTGATTATTTCAATGATTTTGCTAATAAATTTTTTTATATATTGCTTGAGATGATCAAATATATTACTTTTTTAAAGACTGTTAATTAAATTTATCGCTGACTTCTTTATTTGATACATATTGATAACTTATTTTGATATATTTATTACCCATTTGAAAAATATGCTGTATTATTCTTTTAGTAACAAAAACAGTTTACTAAAAATAATTTAGTTAAGGATCAAATTACATTAATTTTTTTATGTAGTTACTTTTTTTGCCAAGTATTTTTTAATCTACGCATTTTTCAATTTAAAATGCATTTAGTTACAATCAAAATAAAAGGTAAAAGTTAATTTAAAATTAAATGGTTAATTATGATTGCTCAAAATTGAGTGATATTTTAATTGTTTTACATTGATTTTTAAAAAAAGCTGAAAGACAAAAATTAAATTCTTACATTTATTTTTTATATAATTTATTACATTTAATTTAATTAATCTGATGTTACTCTCATACAATTTTACATTCAATATTTTTTTTGGAAATTCATGGCAATATTAAATGCTTGAATCATATTAATTATTTTTAAGAGTATCAAAAAAGGAAATCAAAAAAATTTACTAAAAATCTAAAACTCTTGCATTAAATATATAATTCTAAATACAAATTAATAAGAACCAAAAGGTTAGAATCGCTTAACTTATGATTTCTCAATATTTAAATTTTTCTGATAAAATCATAATCAATTTTTTTTTCATTTTGAGAAGTTTTTGAAAGTTGGTAAAAATAATTTGATCATTTTCTTTGCAAAGGAATGATAGAATAAAAAATATGTTAATCTATAAGTGATGAAAATTAAATAAAAAATTCATGTTATATAGTTTAATGCATGCATGTTGAATTTAGAAATTAGAAACTTAATTAAGAAAGTATAAATTTAAAAATTTTACTAAAGAGGAAAAACAGTAATTAGATACAAAGTAAATTTATATGATTTATTAAATTTAAAAAATTTAATTAATGTAAATAATGATATTTTTGTAAATTTAATACTTTATTCAATGTAAATTTAAAATACTATCTCTATTCAATTTTAGAAATAAAAATTTTATCTTTTTTAATTTTTATTTACCCAATTTCTTTCTGTTTGCTGATTAATTTCATTATTAGAAGATAATTATGTATTTTCCATAAATAATAGTTTATTATAGAAGTTGAGATAAAATTCTGCTTTATGTAACAAATAAATAACTATATTTTAATGTTATTTCACACTTAAATGAAAAAAATTTAAATCTTAAGAGCGAGTATTAAGTTTAAAATGAGTTTTTTAGAAAATATTTTATTTTCAAGTATCTTATTTTTATATTTACATATTATATATCATATTTTTTTATACAAGAATCAATTAAAATTTGTCTTATTTTTAGAGTTAAAAATATTTAAATCATATGAATATAATAAAAAAAAAATAACTTAGCCAAAAAAAGGTGTCACTCATTTAATTTCTATTTTTAGAAACTGCTTTTATATAAATTTTTAGAGTAAAATATTTATATAAAATTGATTATTTATAATTACTTTTTAATTTTATTCTATAAATATTAATTAATTTTTAATATTTTTATTAATATAATTTTTTACAGATAATACTATTTAAGATCTTCATTTTTCAGCTGGTTTATTTATTAATTTTGATTTGATATTAGATTTGAATTAAGAATTATGCTTATATTTTAAATTTTCATTATTATTACCTAAAATTTATTTTCTACATAAAAATTTTGTTAATTTTATATTATTTTCAATGTTGCAATTAATTTTAGTTAATACAAAAGATTTATTTATTAATTAAATTAAAATTTTTTTCATAAATTATTATTAATAAATAGCATAAAATTTTAACTACTTAATGATTTATGTTCTGATAACAAAAATATCTTAATCTCTGTTGAATAATAAATATACTTTGATTATTAATTTCTAAACAATCAATATAATTAAATTTTCATTATGAAATATTTTAAAATTATTCAATAATATAAAATTAGTAAGATTTAAAGTATTATTATTATTTTTAGTTATTTATTTTTAAGATTTTATTGTTATAAACTACTATATAATTTTAGATATAGATTGATATAAATTATATATTAATTGAACAAAAATATTAGAAAAGTTATAAATATTAATATTAAGTATTAATTATTATAACTTAAGATTAAATTTCATAAAACTATTTTTGTAAATAAAATAAAAATTGAATTAGCGACTCTTTATGAATTTTTCTTAAAAATTACAATTTTGATGACTTTAGCTTATAAAAAATTAATAAATTTTATCCATTTTTGTAATTTTAAATCATAAATAGATTAAATAAATTGTTAAACTATTAAAATAATTAAATTTTCATTATCATGCATTTTAAAATTATATAAATTTATAAAATAATTTTTATTTAAATTATTCAAAGATCTTTAGATTGTTTTATTTATAAGCTTTATAGTTAATTAATTAATTATTAATTACTATGAAATTTTTTGGCGCAATTATATGTAAATTAGAAATTAATTGTAGCAAAAAGATTGAAAGAAAATTCAATTTTAATAATATATATCAATAATAATAATAATAAATTAAAAAAAAAAAATAAGTATTTTTTTATATAGAAATGAACGACGATAATAGTGACTATTCATAAGAGCCAGAAGACTTTGGAGATGAACTTATTGAGGATGATTTTGATGATGTAGAATTTAATGAGGAAGAAGATATTGCCTTGCTTTAAGCTAACGAAGATTAAGACTTATCAAATAAAAAATATTGTAGACCTCCAATTGATACTACAAAAATCAATGAATAAAATGACTTTTATTTTATGCAATTGGACGCAGATTATTATTTGGTCAGTAATAATAAGAAAGATGGAGATCAAGGAGATGATAAATAAAAGTAAGCTTAAGAAAGTAATAAAAAAGAAGATGAAAATTCAGAAAGAGAGCCCATTATTAGAATGTATGGTGTTACAAAAGACTAGCATTCGGTATTAGTAAGCATTCGTGGTGTAGTTCCTTATTTATTTGTGAGGTTACCTCCTTAAATATAACCTAACGCCTAAACTTTAAAATCTATTATGGATGACCTTAATAAACAAGGTAAAAAAATATACAAATTTATATAAGCTTATAAAGAATTCATTAAATATGTTTCATTAATTAATACATAGGTAAATTCTAGAGAAATGTAAAAACTACTAATTTTATAAGGAAGATAGAAGTAGTTAAGGGTGAATCAATAAAATATTACAAAGGAAAAGATTATGCTCAAGACACATATTTAAAGATATACACATTTATACCACCTTTCATTCCTGCTTTAAGAGGCATGATTGAAAAAGGTTATACAATAGATGGTATAAGATTCCCAGCTGTAACTTTTGAATCGAATATACCATTTGCATTGCGTTATATGATTGATGCAGATATCGTTGGTATGGGTTGGATCAAATTAGATAAAGAAAAATTTAAAATTCGTAGTCTTGATAAACATAAATCTAGATGCTAAATAGAAATTGATGTTGATTGTTAAAATGTACACGGTATGGATGCTTAAGACCCATAATGGGCTGATATTGCACCCTTAAGAATATTCAGTTTTGATATTGAATGCCTTGCTAAATCAGGAGGTTTCCCAAATGCTTCAAAGTATGTTAGTTCATAATGAAGATATAATTTTAACAAATTTATTAATTATTTTAAAAGGGATGATCCTATCATCTAAATAGCAACTGTGCTTAAAATACATGATTAGCAGGAAGATATAGTAAGAACTGTATTTACGATGGATACTTGTTCCAATATTCCTGGTTGTATAGTCAAATCTTTTAAAACAGAAACAGAATTATTATTAGAATGGGAAAAGTTTTTGCAGAATGTAGATCCTGATATCTTTCTTGGATATAACATTACAAATTTCGATTTTCCTTACATTCTTGAGAGAGGAAAGCAACTTAAAATTAATAATGGAAAGTAATTCGTTTTCAAACTATGAATATTTCTTAAAAATGTTTATATATTAGGTATGGTTTCATGGGCAGAATTAAAAATACTATAACAAGAATTAAAGATGGCAAATACTTATCAAAGGCCATGGGTATGAGAGATGTAAACAATTATTTATTTATTTTAAAACACCTTTATTTATTTGTTTATTTATTTATTTTATCTAATAATTTGCTTTCTAAAGACTAAAGAAATGAACTTTGAAGGAAGAATTCAATTAGATATGATGATGCATATGCATAGAGAAACAAAGTTAAGTAGTTATAGTCTTAATAGTGTTTCTTACCATTTCTTGAATGAGTAAAAAGAAGATGTCCATCATACATAAATATCAGGTTTATAAAAAGGTGATGCTGAAACTCGTAAAAGATTAGCTGTTTACTGCTTAAAAGATGCTCAATTACCCTTAAAGCTAATGCAAAAACTTATGTGTATTTACAATTATACAGAAATGGCTCGTGTCACAGGTATTTGATTTTTTTAAAAACGACTATAGTTATTTATTTTTATTAATAATATTAGGTGTTCCAATCAACTTTTTATTCACAAGAGGTTAATAAATTAAGGTTGCTAGTCAACTCTATAGGAGAACTAAACTTTTGAACTTATATATTCCTACTGAACGCTCTTAAGGTTAAGGAGATAAATTTGAAGGTGCTTTCGTTCTCTAACCTAAAAAGGGATTTTATGATAAGCCTATAGCAACTTTAGATTTTGCTTCTTTGTATCCTTCAATTATGATGGCCCACAACCTTTGTTATTCTACTCTTATTAGCAAAAGTACAATTATAAAATTTAGTTTAAAAAAAATATAAAATTCTTATTTATTAATTAGATGTGGCTATGAGTATGAACAAAGATGACTACACTTTAACTCCTCATGGAGATTACTTTGCTAAACCACATGTAAGATAGGGCATTCTACCTGATATCTTAAAGGATCTTTTAGCAGCAAGAAAAAAAGCCAAAAATGAACTTGCTAAAGAAACAGATCCTCTTAGAAAGGCCGTCTTAGATGGTAGATAGTTAGCTCTTAAAATATCTGCAAACTCTGTCTACGGTTTCACTGGTGCTCAAGTAGGTTAACTACCTTGTCTCGAAATTTCATCTTCAGTTACATCTTTTGGTCGTTAGATGATTGAAGCAACAAGAGATTTTGTTCTCAATCACTATAACAAAGCAAATGGATACAACTATGATTCTGATGTAAAAAAATAAATATATAAAAATAAAATTAAAAAAATAAATAATTATAGGTAATATATGGTGATACTGATTCAGTCATGGTTAAATTTGGTTGTGATTCTATTGAAGAAGCTATGAAGTATGGTAAAGAAGCAGCTGAAATGATTAGCAAAAAACTCTTTATTAATCCTATTAAACTTGAATTCGAAAAGGTCTATTATCCTTATCTCTTGATTTCAAAAAAGCGTTATGCTGGATGTTTTTACACAAAGCCAGATAAATATGATAAAATCGATACTAAGGGTATGGAAAATGTAAGAAGAGATAATTGCTAATTTATTAGAGAAATGATGAATACTTGCTTGAGGTATATTCTTGTCGAACACAAATAAGACGGTGTTCAGAGATCAATTTAATTCATAAAAGGTTGCATATCAGATTTGTATCAAAATAAAGTTGATATTTCTAAACTGGTGATTACTAAATCTTTAACGAAAAAATCAGCAGACGATGATGAAGGCGAAGAAGATGGTAAAAAAGGTAGTAGTCATAATAATAAGGCAAAAGAACCCTCTGCTAATTAGTACAAAGGTAAATAAGCACATGTTGAATTGGCTAAAAAAATGGCTAAAAGAGATCCAGGAAGTGCTCCTTGTGTAATTATTTTTAATTTAAAATAAAATGAAAAATAAATAATATTTTAAAATAAATAAATTAGATTGGAGATAGAATTCCTTATGTTATAGTAGCAGGAGCAAAATCAGCTAAAAATTATGAAAAAGTAGAAGATCCAATTTATGTGTTAGAAAACGATATCCCTTTAGATTACGATTATTACATTGAAAAGCAAATTAAAAATCCTATTACTCGTATTTATTCCCACATCATAGATAATGTTGATTCGTTATTCTATGGAGAGCATACTAAAAATAGATATCAACCTAAAGTTAATAGTGGACATGGTTTAGGAAAATTCATTGTAAAAAAAGAAAGTTGCTTACAATGTAAATGCTAAGTAAATGGTAAATAGCCTGTTTGTGATAATTGTCTTGAAAAAAATCCTCAGAGATTGATTGATATATACACTGAAAAAATTATTTAGCATCAATCTATCGAGTATTAATATAACTAACTTTGGACTTAGTGCCAAAGATGCCAAGGAAGTTTGCACGAATAAGTAATTTGCTCAAATAGAGACTGCCCTATTTATTACAAGAGAACTAAATTATAAACTGATTTATCTAGATCATAATAATTATTATCACGTTTTGATGAATGGTGAAAATAAATTAAAAAAAATATATACTAATAAACGACTAAATTTATTCATATTTACTAAGTAGTAAGCTAGCTACTATTAATTATATATTTATATGTTAAGTTTTAATATTTTATTTATTTATTTATATTTTTAGATATAAAAAATTATTTGTTGAAAAAATAAATCTTTCAAAAATATGATATATAGTTTAATTAATTACATAACTCTTTATTAGCTTATGTAAATCAACATTTTAAATTGTAAATAAAAAAAATTATAATTTTTTATATTAACCAAATATTTTCCATATGAAACTACATTTAAGTAATTAGCATTAATATGGGCATACATACATGCTAATAATTTCTTTTATTTATTTAATGAACTAAATAACTAAGTAAAAATTTATTTAAATATTTTCTACTGACAACACTTTAAATTAAATCTATATTAGAACTTAAAAAATTAATTTTATATTATAAAAACATACAATTTAAAACAAACTTGTGAGGTAGGTTTATTAAGTGAGAAAATATAAATTATTAATTTATTTAGATGATTAAAATTACAAAATAAAATAAATGAGTTGTTTTGAATACAAATATTTAAATTAAATAGGAAAATAATTTAACATAATATGATAAAAATGAATGATTGAAATTAATTAATTAATAAATCAATCATCTTACTTAAATTTATTTTTTCTTATTATTTTTTTTACAGTGAACTCTTCAGCTACTTTTTACTTCTCAATATTTTCACTTTACTAGATTTATTCATTATTTAATTTTTTTTTAATTGCTTTTTTTTCAATTATCTCAGAATGTATTTATTCATTTTAATCTTCTTCATGTTTACTTTCACTATCTTAACCTTTTATTTATTTTTATTTTATTTTCTATCTATTTTACTTAGGAGTATCATCATTAATTACTGATGATTGATTTTCCTAAATTTCTGTAAGATTTTTAATTTATTTGAGATTATTTCCATTTTTTTAAGTATTTAATATTTTATCATCTGCTGCTTAAGATATAACTATTTTAATCGAAGTTGTTAAACTTTAATCTTTTTACTATTCTACCAGATTTTGACTTTTGCTTTCACTTTAATGTTACCTAAATATTTTAATGAAATATATTTAAATAATTATCAGCTTATTTTAAAATTCTTTTTTTTATTACATTTCACTATTGCTTTAGATTTATTTTTGTTTACTCAAGTTTTTCTATTTTGGGGGTTATTCATCTTTGTTTTCACTTTATTTTTTTTCTAAATTACTTTCATCTTCTGAGTCTTTCTTACTACTTGATTGAGAACTATTCCTTTCATGTTCTCCATTTTTTTATAAATTTTTCTTTAATTAAACACTTTTTTCCTTTTATTGGCTTTATTTTTATTTTTTATCAAGTTAACTTTCATTTTTATAAATTTTCTTCATTTCTTCTGCTTTTTATAACTTTTTTATTTTTTTATTTGATTAATTGTTTTACTGTAAATCTATGACTTATCCATTACTATTTTTTTATGTTTTTGACTAATTTTCTCTTTTTTTGCTTGACTAAACTTCTAGATTACTATTTTTATTTGGAGATTTACTGACAGATTTTTCTTTTGTTTTTACAATCCTTTAATTATTAGACTCTATAGACTTTTCATTTTTAATATGTTTTATGTTTTTAAGCTATTCATTTGTTACTTTAACTTCCTTTTACGCTTTTTTTACTTAATTATCTGTTTATTCATTAGAATATTCTTATTTCTTCAAACCTTTAGTAAGCTTTTCTCTATTTAATAAAATATTTGATTCTTTTTTAATTTTATCTTGTGAATTTTCTAGTCTTTTTTCATCAACAATCTGTTTTTTTGAATTTTTAGGAATCTTTTAATCAATTTAGTTTGGATCACTTATTCCTTTTTTCTATTTAATCGTTTTTAGTTGGTTTTTTTAAATAAAACTTTCTTGTTTGCCATTTAAATTCTATTCACTTTAATATCTTTTAAAATTATTAACATTTATTTTTACTTTTTATGGTAAGTTTTGTTTATGATTAGGAGAGAATTAAATAAATTTATCTATATGTTGAGTAGTTTTTATATTTTTATCTTTGCTAAGACTACTTTTGTCTTATCTTTAATTTTCTGAGCTTTTAAATTTTTGCTTGTTTAATGGTTTCTCAGGATAGAAAACAGTTTATAGCTTTTCATTTGAGTTATTTTCTTAAAATTAAAATTTATTTATTTTATTTTCCGAATTATTTTCAAAATGCTTTTTTTACTTCTAAAATGTCTGATTCTTATTGCTTGAATAGCTAGAATCCATCCTTGGGGATGTACATTTTATTTATTCTTTATTTAATATATTTTTATTTTATAATTTAATTTCGGTAACTTTTTAATTGGGAATGTCTCGGTCTAAACTTCTTTATTTTTAAGAGCTGCTCTTTAGATTGTTTCTATCATTTTCAAAGTTATTAAGCTTTATTTATTTATTTGAATGAGAATAGAAGCTATTAGTTGTCTTTGATTTCTCGTTGATTGTGGAAGCACAGCCACTTTTATTGTTAATTATTGTAGTTAAATTTAATGATTTTTATGAGTCTGTTGCTTGTGTTTCAGCTTAAAATTTAGATGCTGAGTGTGGTCTTTGTGCCAACTAATTATCACTAAGATATTTATTATCTTTACTTTCCAAAGTATTTATTTTTAGAGATGACATATTTTTAGTAGAATTCTTTTATTATAAATTTCTTAATGAAGAACTTTAACTTTTAATATAAAATGTATTATTTTTTATGTCATCTTAACTTGATTAAACATATTTCTATTTATGAGTGGATGATGAATTATTATCAATCTAACTTAAAATTTAGTTCTTTATTTCTTACTCGTGGAGCCATTTATCGTGCTCAATTTAATACATGAATTTTATTAGTAGACTTTTTTTTAAACTTTCATCTCTTTTTTATTTATCAATAGGTGAAGTTCTTCTGATTTTAGATCCTTTCAAACCATAATTAATAACTCTTGATACTTCAGGAGTTTAATTTTCTTTAAAAAAAATTAGCTCTTTGTTTTAAGAGACAGAATTCAAAATTAAATTTCTAAAATATTCATTTTTTATGTTCTCTAAATTTTATTCCTTAAAATCATTTGTTTGAGTGTCCAGTTTTTAATTTTCATTAGTTTCATTTAATTTATTTGAAACCTTTTAAATTTATATTTCTCCTCTGTGCCTGCGTGCTGAATTACTACTTTGAATTTTCCTAGCAGGAATGAGTTAGTTTGAGTTATATTTCTCCTTTAAACTATATGATGACTAAGATTTTTCGTCTAGATCTTGGTTGTCATCTTGAATTTAATCAAGCTTTAATTTTACAGTTTTTACTTGCCTTTAATGAGCTATTTCTGTTTATTAGATATTCTGATTATCTTAATTAGAATCTGCAGTAAAATTATTTTTATCAAAGCTTTTTGAAAACTCAATGTCCATTTTCTTGTAAACTGCATGAATTGGTGGAAAATAATTCATCATTTACAGTTTTTCAGATTATTCTCTCTACTTAGCATTATATGATAAAGTACTTTAATCTAATTTCATAGCCTTCTTTACGAATTAATTCTTTCTAAAATTTTGAATAACAAGAGGTATAGGGGAATATGCGTTTTCACCTTTTTACTCATTGATGCTTTGAAAATTTTGTTTTTCTTCTTCACTGCTTTTAAATCTGATTCTTTAGTTAGTCTTACCTGTATTTGGACGTATTTTTTAATCAAATATAATCTAAGATTGATTTTCAAACATACTTTTATTTTTATTTAAATTATTTTAATTCAATGATTCAAGCAGAAATTCATTAACAACTATTTTTTTAACCATACTTTAGCTCTCTTGCTTAACCTCATTTTCGTTTGAGCTATTAAAACAGCTTTAATTAAGTTTTACATTGTTATTAAAATTATTACATTTCTAGCCTTAAAAAGCTACTTTTTTTTAATACTATTTTTCCACTTATTAATTGTATTTTGAAGTAATCGAGTCTTATAAATCATTTTCTTCATCATCATCGCTGTCTATTAATTCCAATTTCTTATTATATTATTATTGAATATATTTCAATATTATTTCTGGGATATGATTTTTATTTGTGAATTTAAATTCCAAGACTTCACTATAAGGTGTCTTTTTACAAACACTGAATTTATATTATTTTTTTGAACTAAAAACAATTTCCTCACCAAAAGTTTCTCCTTTTTATAGAATTGCCACAGTTTTAAATTCAGTAGCCTCCTTTTTGTTTTAAACTGTAATAATTTATTTTTAATTAATTTGATTACCTATAAAATTATATTAGTTTTAAACTTTTATATGCCTATTTTTGCTCTGCTGTACCTACAACTCAAAGAAACCTTCTTTTATTATATAGAATTTTAGCAATTCTTATTGCTAACTTGTATTTATCATTTTATCTCCCTGTTTAATATTTTCTTATAAAACATACAAGTCTTTAATTTTTTCAATATCTTGCTCACTAAAAACTATTTTTTCTTAAGAAAATAGATTTTCTAAAAATGTATCATATGTTTATAAGTATGAAAATCTTTCTAAAAGAAACTGCTGAAGACTTTCAATATCCAATGTTAAAAACGAAATATCTGTTAAAGCGTAATAACTTAAATCATCATAATCAATGTCTCTTATTTTAAAAAGATATTTATTTAATACAAAACCAGATTTACAATCAGTTGAAAAAGTTATAACATTAGGTTGCTCTAAATATGTCTCACCTTAGCCAAATGAGTTAAAAAATTATGGAGGTTAAAAATAAAATTCATCATCTTCATTAATAATTTTTTGTCTTAAAGTTTTAATACTATTCTGGAATGTTAATTAATTAACTCTCTTTCTATTTGAATACATCATATTAACATCTACATATTATAAGTCTTCTGCTGAGTAATGCTAAAATTTATATCCCTTATCATATAACAGCTCGCTTACCTCCTATTTTATTTCTTCTTTTACAGTTTTATAAGCTTTGTTACTTTAAGTGTTTTTCTTATTATTTTTCTATTTTTATCTCTGATCCTTTTCGCTATAATTTAAAGATTCTTCAGGATCATAATACTCTTATGGTTGATTTATTTGTTCATTATCTATCATATAATTTGGGTTTTAAGCTTCGTATTTAATTTCAATACTTCCTTAAACCAAGACTATAACATTTTTTTCTTATTAGCTTTGACTAACCTAAATAGGAGTATCCTGCTCAAATTCTACTAATTTAAATTTTTCAGCCAACAAATCAAGTAACTTGTCACTATTTTTAGTAATCTTTTCCCAAAACTCCCATTCACTATAAGATCTAAAAAACTCTCTGATCAGTTATTTATCTTTTGAGTTTCTGCTCTTCTTTTAAAAAACATCCTTTACTTAATCTAAAAACTTCTACTTATCAAATTCATTCATAATTTCATAAATATGCAATTTAATCTTACTAGAATTTAATTTTAAATAAAAACAAACAAAACATAAACTTTGTTTTATTTCAACCTGACCATAAAATAATAAGTTTTTATATATTTAAAAAATCCCAAAAAAAAAAAAGCTAGTGCATTTAAATGATAAGAATATCTATAACACAAAAATAAAAATTTTTTAGCTTTAATTACTGGATTTACTTGTTTAATTAAAGCTTTAAAAATATTTTTTTGCTATAAATTTAAATTTGTTTTTTGAATTAGGAAACTTAAAATCACACTCAATATAATAAAAAACCACCATTTGATAGGAATTGAAAAATAAAATAAATTTTGTTTAATTTAATAACAACAGGAAATAATTAATATTTTATCTTAATTATACAAAAAAGAGTATTAATAGATTATTTGAAAATTTTGATAGAAGATTAAATAAAAATGTTAATAAACTTAAATGATTCATTCAAAATCTTATTTGATAATTAGAACTATTAATGATGTCCAACCATTAAAAGGATATCCTCTTTGACCCTACCCTGTGTATGGATTGTAAGTTTCATATAAATATCCACTTTACTTCCAATTTTTATATACATTTTAAATTAGATTGTCTCTCAGCTCATGATAAATAATTTTAGCCTTTTCATTTTAAAAATAATAGAGTTTAAGAGATCTTAGAATTAGATAATTAAGGGGCATCCATATGGCTCCTCTCCAGTAGTCATCTCCTGTTCCTTGTAATGGATCTTTCAAAGAAAGAGACCTTATCCCGTAGTCAGTCCAGAGATGCTCTTTAGAGTATAATAAATCAAGTATCTGTTGAAGTTCATATGTGTTGTTTTTTATAGCATTAAAAATTAAAGGATAAGTAGTTATATATCCCAAGTGAGTTACAAACTGTTCATCTGTATTATTGAATACTTTTGCACCAAGATCTTTAAAGAGATATGATTTTCGGTCTAAAAATTCATTCATTAGTTATTATTTAAGCTATTCTTTAAATTTTTTGTAAGATGTTTATTTGGCCTTATAATTTAATCTTGCAGATAAAGTTTCTAAGCTCTCAGTAAAAAATATCATCCAACTTTATAGATCTAAATGCTGCTTTGAAATAACTAAGGGATCTTACCTTGGATAATCATCTAGACCAGATCCCATAAAATTACCGTCCTTGCAATAACCTTTACACTACCATCTGTAATGAGGAGGGAGTTATTCATTTAACATGATACGATTTATTTTATCCTTGTTATGAAAATCTAATCCTGATTGAGTTTTTGAGAACCATTTAAACCACTTTTCAAGCTTTCTGAAAGATTTCTATAAAAAAGAGATGTTCTTTCTGCCTTGTGTAATCTATAAAATAGGAAGTAAGAGAGTAGGAGGATTAGCCTCATAAGAATCTTAAGATCGAAAACCATCGGGAACCATTATAGATATTTCTGTTGTTCTGACTTACTCTCTAGGAATGTAACCAAAGACATCTTAAATTTAGAGCCAAGAATAAATAAATTATTTGCATAGAATCTCATTCCATACGCATATTATACTATCATGAAAGCCTTCATCCCACAAAAATGCTCTTGGGAATATTTTGCGAGAAGGTGATGCTGAAAATACTGTCTTATATTCATTGTTCTTCATTAATGAGTTTCGAACAACAATTTTACCGTGATAGAAAACAATTCCTCCTAACAAATTAGAAATAGTGGATTGAATCAAATCTTCTTTTTCATATCCAAATTTTTGTTTTAAATCAAGTTTAAACTTGTCCTTTTTAAGCTTTGTCAGCTGTTCAAACACATAAATGTTTTCAAAATAACTTGAATCTTAAAAACTTGAAATAATTTTTTATTTCTATTTGATGCTTTAATTGCTTAAAGTATCATTTTACTACGTATAATTCAATTACCTTTGAGTTATTGTAGAATTTTAAAAACGAATAAAGAAATTTAAATTGTTTCTTGAAGGATTTGTAATTTTTAAAATAGCAATGTTATGGTTTTGCTTGCTTCTTTTTAAGCTTTGCTTTCTCTTTTTGCTACACTCTCTAATGCTTTAATCAGAAACTCCAACACAATGATTTTACTCTTCTTCTTTACTTGGATCAGTTTGCATTTTTAAAGAGTTTTCCAAATTTCCATTAAAATCGATATTATTGTACAAGATTTTTTGCATATCCCAGGTTTCTTATAAATTTGCTGATAATAATTTTAACTCAAACAAAGAAGGCTAATCTTGTTTATTGACCTCTACAATTTCAATATAGTCTGAAAGGATAGATTTTTTAGTATGCTCAATTTCTAATTTAATAGGTTAATTGTCTTCAAAAGTATCAATTAAAATTTTTTATTTGATATTGTTATTGCTTTCGTATGTACTAGATGTTAAATATAAATAGACAATAACTCCATTTTATGAATCTCCTTAATTTTTTATTTGCAAATTAATACCCCATTATTATTCTTCATTTTTTACAAATACAGTCTGAATTTCCACATTCATTTTGCTATCAACTATTTTTTATTCTGCGAAATCAAGCCCATTATTAGAAATGTAATCAACAAACATATGATCATTTTTATTACCGAATTTCCATCTTAAATTATTTTTTACGTTTTAATGTATTCCATTAATCTGCTAATTTGCATAAATCAATCCAAAGTTTATAGGATTTAGTGATCGTTAAGTAACGCAAAACAAAAGATGAGGTTTGTATAATCCCCAAGAATTATCTACAACTTAAATATCATCAAAATTCTATTCCTGCTATGAGTTTGAGATAATAAAAAGAAGAGCTAAAACTATTAAAAACTTATACAATAATTTATGTTATTTTAGCATTTTTTCTACTAATATATTAAATTAAATAACTTTGTTTTTAATTAAAAAAAATTTGAGAATTCAAAGATATTTGATTAAATTAAAGATTACTTTAATTAATTAAAAACTGAATGCGAGTATACAAAAAAGCTAAATATCTACTTAAATTAATAAATAATTGACAAGTCAAATCAAATCAAAATAAATTAAATACAATACAATAAAAATAAGTAAATAATTTTAATTTAAATTGTATTAGGAAACTTATTTCAAACTAGATAAATTTTTAATCTTTTACAAATATAAAATAAAAAACTACAATAAAAAAACCAAGTTAATAATGGATGATGGATGGATGGATAGATAGATGAGTGACATTTGTTTTAAATATAAATTAAATCAAGTATTTATCTATTGATATCATTATACAAATTTAGAATTAGTTTTAATATTAGATTATTCATTCATTCATTACTATATTAAAATCTTAATTTTAAGTTAAAAATATATGAAAATAAAGTTTAAATGCTTTTACATAGATAGATTGTCCTTCTGATTAACCCTGAAAAATATTATCACTAACAATTCACTATATCTAAGAGTGCTTCTTTTATAATTTCTTTTTTATATTCTTTACTGCTTTCATCCCACTAATATTAAGTTAAAGCCTTTAGTATTTTACTTTGAGTATTAATATGTTATTTAAGTAATTCATCATATTCAGGGTTTTCATTCAAATAAACTGCTCTATATATTTCCTTTTCCTAACCTTTTTTTTCTTAAATTGTAAGTTATCTTTCCATTGCCTATACCATATTTGAAGTAAATACAATTTAGTTCTATAATAATAATGGAATTTTTTCAAACATTGCAATTATTAACTCATATTTTAATAAAACAATTTATTATCCTACCATACTTTAAACCTTATTCATTTAATTCATTCCATTTTTGTTTATTTCTTAACATTAAATATCAGATAAAGTAACAGAAAGGCTTTTTTATTTTGCTTTCTCTAGTAATTAGTCATATTCTCTCATTTTCACTTGTATTTTTTATTTTAAAACCAGTAATTATGCATAATCTTCTTCAATTTACTTACGAATAATTTCTTTATTTTTTTATTCTTCATCTTGTTGAATAGATTATTACTAATTTTATGATTGAAAATTATGTTAATCATATTATTCTGATGAATTTTGGCACTATTGATTCGATGAGGATTGGTTACTATCTTTATTAGAGGGTTAATAATTTATTCCCAAAATACTTGCAGCCTTTTATTTTCCATCATCATTTCTAAATTATTCTAATATATTTACAGCAGAGCTATCTTTAGTAGTAAATCTTTGTAAGAGTTATAAGCACTCTAACTTTTAAGATTCATCAGATATTGATTTTAAAACATCTTTCACTTTACTTGTTGAAATAGAGTATAAATGGTCATAATCTACAACATTTCTGATAAGTGACATTTTATTGTAACTGTAATTTACAAGTTCAGCAAATTAAGTTTGACTAAATTTAATGCAGCTAGGAAGCCTTCTGCATATTTCACTAGTGTTACAGTTCGAATGAATAGTTGAAGCTGATTCTTTAAATTCAAGGCCACCTGAACACCTTTCTAGAGGAATATAATTTATGAATATATTAATAAAGTTATTGGTATCTACCATATCCAATATCTCGATAAAGTCCCTGAATGAAAGTCGATTAACACATCTATTATCAACAAGAGCTCTCATAATACTATAGCTAGATCTGTGACCCAGCACTTTTTTGAGGTAATAAGAGTCAAAAGACTAATAACCCATAGAACCGATAATTTTTATAATATCACTTTCATTAGATTTCTTTCTAATTTCATCGTAAAACTAGGATCCCATTATAATTATATATATATATATATGTATACAGTATATATTTATTTATTTAATTAATATTAGTTTTATTTATTTCTTTTCAAATTTAAGGATTATAAAAATTATATATTTCTGATTTGAAATAAATAACTTTTTAAACCACAATTATTTGTCAAATTAATTGAGAAAATGTGTTTTATTATCTATCTATGAAAATATCATCATTATGATTTTCTTATTTAATCTCAATACCTACTAATTACTTCTTATCAGAAAAAAATTGTATTTTAAATTGACTCAAAAATAATTATTTAAAGAGATTTCATTTTTTTACGATTGAGATTTCTAGCATGAATAAGGAAAGAAATATCTATCCATATCTTTTTGAATGCTATCTACTTCACATAAATATTTCTATTTTAAAATAAAAAACTCCAAAAAATATTAATTTACTGAAAAAAGTAATTAAGATAATTTAAATTATTTCGTATTTCATAATATTGGTTTACTAATGTTATAATAATTTCAATCAAGATTTCGTCTTATCAGCAAAAAACTAGGTTTTAAATTTATTAAAGAAACAATATTTTGATTATTTCTTATTGAATTTTTTAGTTATTAGTTTTATTTAAATATCAAGATTTTCTGATAACTAATTTATAATGCTCAAATAATGAAATTTGAATAAGAGTACATCTAACAAACAAATTATTTTTTGAATCTTTGAATGTGAAAATCTATTTTTATTTGTTGCAGAGTAATTTAATTATTTTTACAGATTTTTTCGTTATTTTAACTATCAAATGAAAGAGATTTATAAGTTAAGTGAGTAATTAAAAATTTATTTATAAATAAAATTTCTATAAATTCTTATTAAAAGAAAATACATAATTTGAAAAATAAAAAATTATTAATACTCACTCATATTTATTCACTAAAAAAAATTTTTAGTAATATGTAAAAATTGTTCTAGAAACCATTTTGTGTTAATTTAGTTATTTTTTCTTTATTTCTATTTTACTCAAAGCACTATTATACGATTATGATTATAATACTTACCAAGCTAATATTATTCTTTAAATTTTAGAGGCTAAAGTGAGATATTTTAGTGTTATTTGAATCAAACGAAAAATAAGTTACTTTAAAAGATGGAGTTTTGCAACAAAGTTATAAGAAGTTAAGTTTCATTAGGTATTGAAAATTATTCAAATTTATTTTATTTAAAATAATTAATAAATTAATTAATTTATATTTCATTTAAAAAATAAAAAACAAAACTAAATTTTATAATTCTCAATGATTTTTAAATAACTATGGTATGGCTATTTAAAATATTAAAATATTTTAAATATTTTATTATTAAATTTTAATTAAATTATTTTTATTCATTTTAAAACCAAAAAAAAAATAAATTTAAAGATCAGATAAACTTATTTATTTTACAAAACTTTGGTTTGAATTTTCAATTCTATTTTTCTAAATTATTGGCAAATTATTTTATAAAATACACATAAATAATTAATTTTAATTAGAAAAATATTTAAATTTTACATTTTTTATAATTTAATTAAAAGTATTTTGATTTTTTTTGAAAAGGTTTTTGAATTTAAAATAAAACATTTCAAGTTTAGGAGTTTTATGTCAATTAGAGCATTATTTATTTATTTAGTTGGTTGGTTTTGATACTAAATCAATAAAACCAGTTTTTCATTATAACAAAAATAAAAAAAACATATTTGAGTGGCGGCTATTAGTTCTTAAATAGCTTTTATAAAAATTATTATTATTGAATTATTTTAATGAAGATAATGAATTAATTATGTTTGAATAATTTTAATTATTACTTTAGAAAATATTTTATTTATGAAATAGTATTTAACTTCTAAAAAAAATGATCTCTTCTTATTCAAGTTGTTTGAGATCCCCAAGAAATTAAATTAAATTTAAATTTTTAATGAATTCATAATTCTGAGGGGATTTATAAAATATTATAAGTATAAAATAGTTATAATTAGAAATTAAGAAAAATAAAAAATTAAATTAATTTTATTAATTATGTTTGTAAATACAAGCGAATTATTGTTAGGATTAATAAATTAAATTTGATGAAAGACGAGAGTATAAATTTAATATGTAAAAGCACAAGAAGAAGGAAAAAATAAAAGCTAAGAAGGCAAGCAAATAAATACAACATAAAGGCACTCTAAGAAGTAAAGTTGCTATTTAAATCAATTAAAAGTGTCGACAAATAATATTTTTTTTATAACCGATTTGTCTTTTACATTTCTCAATAAATTTTGACATATTGAATCTTAAAAGAATATATTTTACAGAGAAATTCTAATATATTCCTATTTGGTGAAAGGCGAGAATTATTATAAATTTTAATTATTAATTAAAATTCTTATACTTGATTATTTCGGTGGGAGATGAATTGCTTAGGATAATTAATAAATAAATAAAGAAGAGGGGAGAAAAGTGTTAAAAAAACCAAGTGATTAATGTTAGAATCTATATGTACAAACAAGAGAGAGTAAAAATTAATTAAAAAGGATAGTTTTGAGGGGATTGTTTAAAAATATAGAGAGAAGTGAGGGTAATTTAAAAGGATAGATTGTATCTAAAATAAATCAAAAATTAAGAAACAAAGAAAGGATAAAGAAATTTGACCTTAATAAAAATAATAAGAAGTAAGAAAAGAAAAAGTAAAAATGCCTCCTGCTAAAGTTGACAAGAAAGCTAAGAAGGACGCTTTCATCAGAAGATTCTACGAATTACTTTCCAAGTACGACTCCATCGCTCTCTGTACCTTGGAAAACGTTGGTTCTTTACAACTCCAATAAATCAGAAGATCTCTCGGTAGCAACAACATCATGGTTATCGGAAAGAATGTAAGAATTTATTTTTTTTTGTACTTATATTTTTGTATCATAAATCATCATGTTCATCTTCAACCCTTCAACCTTCAACACTTAATTAGCACAGGTTTAATCTAAAAATTCAAAATCTTCAAAGATGCGGACTTTCAAATTAGAAATCATAATCAAATTTATCTACTTAATAACCAGCCAATCTACCTTAAACTCCAATCAATCAATCAACCTACCTACCTATTAATCTATTCAAAATCATTAATTGATTAATAAAATACACTCTCGACATGAAAGCTTCACATAATCTTTCTCGAGCTAAAAAATTAGCATCAAACATAAATTTCTAGTTAATTTTAAAAAGCAATGCAACATCAAATAGATATGCTGAGTGAAAAAGCAGAATAATCGCTCTTCTCCTTCAATATGGATTGCTTACTAAGCAAAAAATATAGCTATTAAATAGTTTTGGTAAATAGCGAAGATTAAATTATTTGTTATTTTTCAGAGATATTATTAGTCAAAATTAAGAAAAATATCTTGTATTAGAAAGGAGGCTAAAAATTAAAAACAAAAGAAAGAAAGCGTGAATTATGTTGAAAAAGGAAAGATTTTTAAGATCATAAGGATCTTCATAGTAAATATTTATCAAAGCATGTGGTGGAAGGAATGGTAGGTAATAAGTTTGAAGATACAAAGGTAGAAACTTCAAAAGCGGAGTATATTTGATTAATCAATCTATTTGAAAGTTTCATAACAATTAAAGGATAGATGAAGCGTTTTGTAAAAAATAAGAACATTTTAAACTAAATTAGCAAGCAAGCAGCGCATAAACCAAATATTAGGTAGAAATAACCTATCATTGTTTGCTTGCAGCTTAATGCAAAAATGTCTGTTAGTCCTTCGAATTTAAATTTCATTTTTCATAGTGAAAATTATACTAAATTAATTTGTCTGACCTCATATTAAAAAACTACTTTTATCACCACATACATACATATAAGTAGAAGAATAAATCTGTCAACAAAATAAATAGTAAATAACGAGATTTTATTCTTTTGGTGAAGCCATCCATAATAATAACAAATCATTAGCTAATTAACTTTCGAAGGTGTTAATTATATCAAAAAATAAATAAATAAAGATAGTATGAAACAAACAAACAATAAATCAACCATTAATAATTAATTAGACTTAACTGTAATATCTATCTATCAATCCAAATCCAAAAATTTCTAAATAATACTTTAGAACCATAGAATCAAATATAAATTTTTAGAAAATGTGCTAATTTAAGCATAAAACGAAGTGGTAAACTTGGTGAAGAAAGAAGATGAGCATTTTAGAGTTTAATTTATGAACAAAATTTTAGCAAACTATTAAAACACTTAATATATTCTTAACCATATTTTATTTTTTTGAAAAAAAAATATTTCTACCAGCAAACAAAAATTTTAAATATTTATTTTAACTCAATTTCTAAATTAATTAAATAGACCGTCGTTAGAAAGGCTGTCTAACTTAAGTCTGCTGATTTACCCACTGACTCCAAGTACGACTGGTACAGACAATTCGGTGCTCCCAAGCCCTAACTTGCTTCCTTGATTCCTCACTTAAAGAACAAGATTGCTTACGTTTTCCACAACGACCCCATCTTCGCCTTAAAGCCCAAGATTGAATCCTTCGTTGTTCCCGCTCCTGCTAGAGTTGGTACTGTTGCCCAAAAGGACGTCATGATTCCTCCTGGCCCCACTGGTATGGATCCCTCATAAATTAACTTCTTCCACGCCTTGTCTATCTCCACCAAGATTCAAAAGGGTCAAATTGAAATTACCAAGGAAGTCTAGGTCTGTACTAAGGGTAAGAAGATCGGTAACTCCGAAGTTTCTCTCTTGGAAAAGATGAACATCCAACCCTTCTCTTATGGTATGAAGTGTTTCTCTGACTACGACAACGGTGAAATCTTAACTGAAGAAGTCTTGTCTATCAGTCCCAGCGTTATTTTGGATGCTTTCGCCCAAAACACCTTAAGAATCGCTGCCGTCTCCCTCGCCACCGGATACGTCACTGCTCCCTCCGTTCCTCACTTCATCCAAAATGCTTTCAAGGATCTTGCTGCCATCGGTATGGAAACTGGTTACAAGTTCAAGGAAATTGAAAATGCTGGTCAAGCTGTTGCTGTCTCTGCTCCCGCTGCTAAGACTGAAACCAAGGCTGCCGCTAAGCCCGTCGGTAAGAAAATTTTATTTATATTACATAAAAAATTGAAATTAATAAATATTTTTAATAAATTTTAGTTGAAGAAAAGCCTGCTGAACCCGAAGAAGATTTGGACATGGGTGATCTTTTCGGTTGATTATATAAATCCTTCAAAAGCTCTCATAAATAAAAAATATAAAATAATATAATTCACTTCTTTTTGTTTATGTATGGACTATACTATTTTTAATCTTATTTAAACTGGTTAAACTAATTTTAAGTATCCCAAAATCTAATATCTTCATCATCAACAAACCCATTATTTAACTAAATAGTAATAAACATACTTATCTATCCCTGTAAATCATTACTGTAATTTTGTAAATAAATCAAATTTATTTTTTTAAATAATAAACCTAAATAAATAAATAAATAAAAATACCAAATCAACAAAAATTAAAAAAAAAGTATTAAATCAATTAATAAAATAGCATATGTATTTAAAATTCATTTAATTAGCTTTTTTTGAATTAAATTTGAAATCATAAGTAACAATATGTAATTAATTCATTTTAAATTAAGTAATATTTTATTTATAAATGAAGTAAATTAATTTACTAAAAGGAAGATAAATTTAACACAACTATTTTTAATTAAAATTTAAAATCTAATTACAGTTTTTCTTTTTTGATTACTACTAATTAAAATTTAAATTTTGAAATGAAAAGATTCTCAATACACACATTTAAATTGCTCAGCTAATAAATAAATAAATAAAATATTAAATTTATTGATTGCTTATTTTAATTAATTCTAATAATTTAAATTAAATTTTTGACTTTAAAAAATCTAGGTATGAATAAAGTTTTTAAAAAAAGTTTTTATTTTTAAACTATTTTTTTATTGTTTTTTGTGAAATTTTTATTTTATTTATTGAATTTGTTGATTGTTCAAATGGAATACCTCCCCTTTTATGTGTTTGAGTAAATAAAATTTATTAGTAATATTTTAGAAAGCGTACCTATTCTTAGAAACATTTTCTATTTCTAAATTTTATCAATAAAGTAGACACGTTAGTAATAAAATTTCATTTTTATTCAATAAAAAAGCTTTTATTTGAAATATAGAGTATGTATGTATTTATTTATATGAGTATGCCTTCTTGTTATCTTTAATATTTTAGGATCTTTTAATAAAAACTTTAGAAAAAATTAGATATTAAATAGAAAAAGTAAAGTAAAAAGATTGAAAATAGTATAGATGACTTGGAGATACAAAAATCCTTGATTTATATAAATAAATAGACAAGCAAATAAACAACTATTGAATGAATGAATGAAAAATTAAATGAATCTTATATGTATGTGTGTGTGTATTTAGAATGGTTTGATAGTTTGCTTTTCTTTTATTAGTAAATTTGTATCTATAGGATATGTATGAATGATTGATTGATTTAAAATTTAGAGTAAAATTTTGAATGAGAGAGAGATAGTAAAATACATGGAAAGCAAAAATAAAAAATTAAAGTATTATCTATATAAATAGGAAAAGAAACATTGTAAATTTAAAAGGAGAAAAAATCAAAAAGAAAGACAAACAGTCAAAAAAAAAAAATCACTAGTTTTTTATCTTTATATATATATAACATCACTTATATATAAATTATAGTAGAGTAAAGTTTATAAAATTAGAACTTTAAGTATATAAAAGCATATCATTTTAATATTATATATATAGAATTACTTATAGATACATATAATAAAGAAAGACACGCAATGGCTCACTAGAATATTTATTCTCAATAACCCCAATCTTTTTAAGCTTCTAATTATGATATTGGTTAGTAGGTTTACATTTCCAATCAAAACAACTCCAACCAAAGCAGCAATAGTCAAACCGCTCGCACTCAAATAATGCATATTAACCCTTCCAATAGCGGTAAGTATAAAACCAGTATTTGCAGACATTTTAGAAACGGTAACTGTCAACTGGGAAATACTTGTCACTTCGCTCACGGTTAAGATGAAATGAGAAATGTCAATGATCCCCTCCCCAACAACATTCCTCAACAACCCAAAGTTGTCTGCAACAATTTTAAAACAGTCAAGTGCCGCTACTTCGAAAAGGGTTTCTGCAAGAACTAGCACGCTTGCTGCTTTGCTCATGGCGATCAGGATTTACAGTATAGCTAATTCGTTAATCCTATGCAATATTTGCCTCAACATAATAAATTTACTGATTCCATTCTCCTAATTTCAATTTTACAAAATTTAGAGCACGTTTTCCCCAACGATCCCTAGATCATTTAAAAGTTGCAATATGCTTAACAAATTGCTCGTAACTGTGATCAAAAGGGAGCCTTTAATATCATCTCTGACATTATGAAGGACCCAAAAAGAACTGAAGAAGAAAAGGGGTTATACAATACCATTTACACTAATGCTCAGATGTTCTACAGTTAATAGTAATAACTTAGTTAAGCTTACATGCCCTCATACTAACAAATGGGTATGTATTCTGGTAACGTACTTGATCCTACTTACTACATGCAACAATAGCTTGCCACCTAATAGCAATAAGCTTAGTTCAAGACTAATTGAGGAGAAAAAAATTTTATCCTCCTCTAATAAAGTATCTAGCTTGCTAGATTAATATCTACCACCTCCCAAAAATAAATGAAAAAGCATAAAAAATTAGGCAAAGCTGGATATCAAAATTCAGAAAATTCGAAAATAAAAAGCAAACAAACAATAATAATATTTAATTAAGCACTCTCTTCTCTACCTATAATTATAGTTATTTGAGCTATTTTCTTGGCAAAAAATGTTTAAAGTATATACCATTTCTCAATTCTAAAGCCCACCATTAATTAAGCAAAGCTTGATCATTCTTCTATGGTTTTAACATTTACTTTTCTCAAGTTCTCTACATCCTAACCCATCATCATTATCATCAATAATCTATCAAACAAACAAATAAATAAACAAACATTCATACATGCATGCATACAAAAAAATCGCCTAGAAAATAGATAAAATCTACTTCATCATCTATTTTTGAAATAATTACTGAATATTTCAATTTTTTTATTTTTTTTCATTAACTCCTCTTGCCTTTTATATAGTAGAAGTGTTCATTACATTTTGATTTTTCGAAGCAGAGGAAATCTATATATAGCAACAAAAGGAGGTATGTGTAAATGTATCAAAGAAAGAAATGAGGGAAGATTAATTTATCTTTTCCCAAAGGCGATCTTATTTGTTTGTGGTTTCTCTCATTTTTAAGATAAGTTAGTTAGTTTGTAATAAGAAAAGTATGATAACTCAACTGTTAAATCATTTTGAAGATGCTCGTATCAATAAATAAATCAATAATTTATAGTAAAAACATAATCGCTAGCTAGGTCATAAAAAAAAATGTTTATCAACTCTTTGTAAACTTCTTAAACAACCAATCACTCATTGATTACTAACCTTAATTCTTGTTTTTCAGGCTGTAAAGATCTTGAACCGCTTTTTAAAAAGTATGTACTTTCAAAAGTATTCTTTGATTTTCTTTAAGTAATATTTATTTATTCGCTCAATTGTTAACTCTTCTCTCTTTAAGAATAATTCAAAGAAGGTGCTAACTAAGCAGCTTAAGGAGCTCTAGTTTCTAACCACAAGCTGTTAACATCTGAGAAATTCTCCATGTTTATGCAACTTGAAGGTATGGAGCATCGAGCAGTAAAAGTGGATGAAGCATCTAGGAAGATTAAAGGTGATAATCAAAAATAGTTAGAAGAATTGGGAAACTATTTATAATTTCAAATTTATGAGGATGATAGCTCAAAAGACAAATAATTATAGAATTTCTTAAATAAGCTTATATAAATACATATATATAATATATACAAATAGAGTTTATATATATATTTTTATTCTCGAATTAGTATGTACTTCAATACTATTAAAATAACGGGAGAAAATCTATTTTTATCAAATTTATTTAACTATTTTTAAAATGTTTCTCTAAAATCTTCTTTTTTATCATTCCAATTTTGAGATAAATCTTATTTTTTTCTCAAACAAAATATATAATTGTGGCATTTGATCCTCTTTAGTGATTAAAAATATTTAATTAAATGCTTAAGTAATTGCTTATTTTAAATAAAAAATTATTTCTTTTTACTTTATTAAATACTATGGTTTAGCTAATAAAATACCAAATCGAGTTTTTTTTTCAAAATATGAACAAAGACATAATTAAATATTTATTTTATATCTTTGAATTTAAATAAATATATAATTAGAACAATAAAAAGATTAATTAATTCAGTTTATCTGATAAGAAATTTTGTTAATTTTCTTTTAAAAATTTAAATTGAATATTTAAAAATTAATTAAAGTTAAAATAAGCTTTATTTAAACCAGATAAACTACATCGCATCTTTTTAATATTGATGGAAAAATATATGTAAAAATCATAAAATAAAATTGTATTAAAAATTAAATTCTTATAAAGGAAAAATAGATTTAAGATGTAAATGCAACAATAATAAAAATAGCTCATATTGATAAAATTTCTAAAAAATGTAGTAATATTTTATGATATATTTATTTTCTTTTCGACAGAAAAGGATTTAATGTAATACTTTTTTTATATCTTTATTAAATTTGTGTTATTATATAATAATTTTGTTGTTGTTGTTGTTGTAATTGTTTGGTTATCATTCAATCAATATCAACTCAGAATTTATTTTTGCATCAAATCGAATCACTTCTCAGTTTCTAGGAACTTGAGTGGAGTATCTAACGATGCTTTAAGAAGAGCTAATTTAGATTTGAGAAATAGATTGATTGAGACGTTCTACTAATTGGTTGTAGCCTTGGATCTTAGAATAAGTAGAACTCCATTCCAAGAATAAGCTGCTTATTTCCTTGATTTTAAGAACTAATGTAGTGTTTTCTTATTCCAATCTATATTTTAAAATATTATTTTAATAAACAAAACAAAAAAAATTTATTAAATTATTACATTTTAACTCTAGCAATAAGTTATTCGTTCTATTGAGCGAGGTTGCTGAATTGGGCATATTGAGCAAGTTAGCTTTCCAATCTATTTTTATTAAAAAAATTCATTAAATATTTATATTATAATTTGCAAAATTAAGTTTTACTGTCTGATTCTAATGTTGAGTTGATCAATCTATTGATTGAGTTGGTTGTTTCTTTCTTATAATAAGTCGAATTATTTCAATTTGGCTTCATTTTCAGCAATAATTCTTTGTTTCTTAAGTCTGTCATCATTAATTTCAGTGACTTAGGTGATAAGTTCTTAGACTCTCTAGTTCAATTCAGCAATTGTTCTTTCGTATTGTTGTACCTTAAGTTCAAATGTCTTGTATGAAGCAAGAGTTTATTCAAGTTGAATAATGGTTTGACGAAGCTTTTCATTGTCCTTAGCAATGAGTTAGAGTTATTCGCTCAAACGAGTGTTTTCAAAAACGAGCTTTTGGTTGTTGTTTTGAGATTCAGCAAGCTTGGCTCTGAGTTCAGCTAATTCTTATTCAGATCTGTTATCTTTAGCAGACTTCTTAACCTTTTCGTCATTGACTTAGCCGAGTAAATCTTCGATTCTTCTACGGAGTTGAGCATTTTCGTTTTCAAGATCATTGATTCTTTATTCTCTCTACTTAAGTTATAAGATAACGATTTCCATTTCACGGATACGAGATCTGAGTTCTTCGTTTTCTCTGCTCAATCTGTTAACAGATTCTTGTAAACGATTAACTTCTTGTTAGAAGACTTGAGATTGACGAGTGCTAAGGGCAAGGTTTTGATTTTCAAGTCTGAGTTGATTGATTTCATTGTCCTTTTAAGCTAAGAGGGCTCTGAGCTTGCTAACTTCTTCAGAGAGAGCAGTGATCTTAATTTCATAAGTACCAGAAGATCTAGTAACATTTTCTAATTCAGAGTTTCTTAAACGTAACTTTTGTAATTCCTAATCTTGCAAGATTTGGTTTTTGCTTAAGTTTTCAATGGTGATTTTCAATTATGAGATTTAGCTTTCAAGGAGAGCCTTTTCACGTTAAGCTTATTCAGCAGAAGCATTAACACGAGATCTCTTAACGTTTTCATCATTGTATTGGTTGATTACCTATTCAATGCGGATACGTAATTCAGCATTATTCTTTTCGCATTCAATAAGCTTTTCTTAGTAAGGACGGAGTTGAATAATTATGGTTTCCTTTTCTTGGAGGAGTCTCTTTAATTCATCGATTTCACGACGGAGACGGAGAACTTCTTCTTGGTTAACACCAGATTGACGGATGTTGATTTGGAGTTGGCTGTTTTCTTAACGGATATTGTTGAGTTGTTAGTCCTTTTCAACAATGATTCTGTTAAGGTTTTCAATGGTTTGGGTGAGTTGACCGATTCTTCCTTCCAATGTAGTGATAGTGATACTGGCAGATTCTAATTAAGAGTTACGTTGACGGAGATTAGCGTTTTCTTATTCTAAGCCTTGGATCTTTCTGTTCATGAAGTCAACTTAAGTAGTCAAGTGTACCAACTTTTCTTCAAGAGACTTTCTATCACGGATGGCATCATCAAGATTGTTTTGTTGTCTTGATTTCTTGACCTTTTCATCATTGACTTAGTTTTGTAAGTCTTAAAGAGCTCTTTAGAGTACTTCAATTTGTTAACGAAGTTAAATGTTTACTTACTCTAATTCAGCATATCTGCTTTCAAAAGTACGTAAATTGATAAGTTGTTGTTCAAGCTCTCTGATTCTCTATTTAAGTTATTCAATTTCACGAATTCTTAAGTTAAGTTCTTCGCTGCTAGCACCGACTTAGGTGATACGGATATTTAATTGATTGACTTCAAGTCTTAATTTTTGGAGTTCAGCTTCCTTTTGATTGACGAGTTGGTTGAGACGTTCGTTAGATTCAATTAATGATTGAATACGAATTTGGAGTTCTTAAATAGTTCTGCTGGAGTTTTCTAATTCGTTAATTCTCAAACGAGCTTAATTTAATTCGTTTTCAAGTTAGCTATTTCTACGTTAGAGGGCTTCGATGGCTTGATTGGCAGCAAGAAGCTTTTCTTATAAGCTTCCACTTTCGCGAAGAGCTTATTCAAGTTCAGTGATTCTTTATGACTTCTTTACTCCTTCTTGGTAAAGGTCTTCAATTCTCTTTCTGAGTTGAGCATTGTTAATTTCACATTCTTAAAGCTTAATTTCATATTGAGAGAATTGAGTGTATTATACTCTAAGCTTGGAAATTTCTTCATCTCTAAGACGAATTTAATCAATTAAACGAGCATTTTCTTGAGTCAATTAGTTAATCTTGTCTTCTAATTATTAATTGTCATTCTTTGCAGATCTCTTTACTCTTTCGTTATTTTCAAGTTGACCTTGTAAATCTTGAATGGTTTTTTATAATTAAAGGATGAGACCTTCTTGTTCACGAATTCTATCTTCAAAAGCAGAAACCTTTTGGTTTAAGAATTGGATTTATTAGTTACGCTCTTAGACGAGGGCATTTAATCTGTTAATTTCTTCTTATTAGTTAACTCCAGATTATCTGATGTTGACAGTCAAGCTGTTGACTTCAAGTCTCAAACGTTGGAGTTCGCTTTCCTTTTGGTTGACTAAGTTATTTAATCTATCGATTTCAAACATGAGTTCTTCAATCTTTTTTCTGAGTTAGTTATTGACGTTTTCACATTCATAAAGCTTGCTTTCGTATTGCTTATAAATGGTCAATGCCTTTTCCATTTCAGCGAACTTGGATCTCCAATCATTGAGTTAGCCATCCTTTTGTTAGATGATAATTTCTAATTCTCTAATTCTGGTTTCCAATTAGTTAATTCTGACGTTGTCGCTTTGATTGTTTCTAAGTCTTTCTAACTCGGCATTAAGGAAGACAAATCTATTTTCGTATTCCGAAAGCTTGCTATTAAGACCGAGAATCTAAGCTTGCTTGGCTTACATATCTTCATCGTATTACTCACGGCTTAATCTATTAATTGATAATAAAAGCAAGTCAGTTAGTTTATTTATTTGTAATATACTTAATAAATTAAATATTCAAGCATTTATTTTTTTATTTGCTTTGTCAAATTTAATTAAACTTATTTTCTATCATCACTTTTTCTACTTTGGCTATTATTATTCTATAAAGAAGGAGAGTAGAAAATAGTGAGTGAGAGAGACAAGAAGTATAAGTTTGTTATAATATAGTTTGCTTAATAATTTACTTCATTTGCTTGGTGAGTCTTTCGATTTCTAAAGTAAGAGTGTTAATCTTTGACATGTAATCGTTAGAACGAGCATCGCTTTGACGAACTTCATTGTTTTGGATTTGGGTGATTCTGATGTTGAGGCTATTAATTTATTCTTACTTTTCGTTCAAGAGAGCGTGTAATTATTCAATTTGAGCTATGAGTTCTCTAATCTTTTCTTCACGGTCATTGTTAGCTTTTAACATTTCACTCTCATTCTATCTGCCAGCCTTCTTTCTTTTTTCGCCTTCTTCTTGTAAACGTTCGATTTCTCTTTCTAATAAAATAATTCTTTCGTTATTTTCTACTTGGATAACTTGAGGTTATTGTGGTGTTTGGTTTTTATAAAGTTCAAGTTCTTAAGCGAGTTACTAGTTAGTTTATTCTAATCTAATTTGCATTAATAAAGAAAATGATCAATTAAAGTTTATTAAAAGAAAATAAAATTATTGATGGATGGACTGACTCCTCTATATGCTATTTGTTATTAAGCAAGTTAAGTCATTAATACATACATACTTGCAGCTTAAAATAAATTTTTGATGGGATAACAATAAAGTGATTAATATTAGATTAATTCACCGTTTTTATTGCAAAAATAAAATTTAATCAATCTTGGATTGATGAACCAGTCACCTCTCATTTGTTAATTGATATAAAAGCAATAGAAAATATAAAAAACTAGAATAAATAAGAAATATTTACAATTGGATTCTTTCACTCAATTATTGGACTTAGAGGGTTTAGTCAGTAGCTATTTCGACTATCTTCTCAATATAGATAGGCTTTTCAACTTCAACAACTCTTTCTTGGATTTGAACTGGCTATCTTTGTTATTCGATGATATAGAGAGGAATCTATTCTTTGACGACGGCAGCAACAGGAATCTATCTATCTTGATAAGTGGTGGTACGACCAGGAGAAATGGATTCAGTGACATATCTAAGAGGGGATTCGCTATGACGAATGATGGTTCTAGAATGTCCAGGAGGAGTTGAGTGTCTGTTGCTAGCACGGACTCTGCTTTAAACTTGGAAGCTAGGACTAACTTGGGTGACTGCACCAGGAGCATTGGATGAAATCAATTTAACAATGGTGGAATCCTTAGGATATTCAGTGGTAGTAACCTAATGAATACCATGGGGAGTTTAACTAATTTAAGATTGAGTTAAAAATCCTTTTTGGTAAAACTCATTCTTGTTAAAGACTTATGAGTTACTGATTATTTGAGGAGTTTGTTGCATCTTTATATTTTTTTATTCTTCTCTGAAACTAAATTCAAGTTTTTTTTACTTTTTTTTCAGTAAAGATTTTTTTCTTATTTATTTTTATTTTATTTTAATGCTTGGGTTTCTAAGCCTTTTCTCCGCTCTTCCATTAAATAAAAAGAATCTAGTTAATTACTTAATAAAAGTGCCATTCATAAACATAAACATACACATACATACACACACACTCACTCACACACACATGAATAAATATTCATATTAGTCCAATTAAGTCAATATCAATGCCATTTTCATGCAAATAATAAGTCAGTCATTATTGTTTTTCCTCATTTTAAGTACAACTAAAGTCATATTTTCAATTTTTTTTCATAATAAAATTATCAATAATTTTTGTTTCAAAAACTACTGATTAAGATATTTTTTCCTCTCATAAGTGTTTGCTTATTAATTTATTAATCTTTCCATTCTCCTTTACGCACTGAAAAAAAAAAACAAATCATTAATCTTATTAAATATATGACAAAATTTCAAATTTGCACATTTTTCTTCTTGTTTTAATTCATCGGTAGCTTTTCCTTAATTTTCCTTAATATTTTTTTATGATAGTTTCAGTTAAACTACATCTGTATGAATTTTTTTTCATTTTTACTATGAAGCAAGCAACGAATATTTATTTTTTAAAGAGATACTGATATCTATCTAAAATATCTGCTTGACTATAAAGATAGAAATAAAATTTATTAATTCACTCTGAAATCTTGATTTATCATCACATAAAAAAGAAAAAGATTTGCAAAAGCTTCAAAATTTAATTAGTGTTTATATTCTTTCTTCAAAGCAATTTGAAATAAGTATTTAATACTAACAATCATAGTGCAATAAAAGTGTTATCATTCCATTTTTTTTGGAGAAATACCAAATATTTGCACAAAATCAACTTTTGAACAATTATCTTTCTGGAATCAAAACTGTTTTATGTAAGTTAATGCTTAATTCTTTTATATATATATAATAGTACAAGAGATATTATTCTATCTACTACGTCACAAAGGAAAACATTAGAAATTCAGCCAAAAACTTGAATTAGTTTTGATAGGATACACATTTATTAGTAATTAGAATAATAAACTAAAAAAATGATTTCAGTATAATAAAATATGGAGAAAAGATGTTTTGGATGTAATACATTTGGGTAAAACTACTATATTAGGTATTAGATCTAAAATTATTTATACTTATTTTTGATCAAGCAAATATCTTTAATTATATTGTGTTATCTACATACCTCATAGTTAAGAAAGATATAATAATCTATGTTTAATAATTTAATTGGCAGTTATCGTTTTTGGAGATTCTAGCTTTGAGAAAAAAAATATGTAAAATTCTACTGCTCAAAGTATTTTCTCTTTAAAGCTATTATAATTTTAAAATAAAATAAAGAATGCTTTGATACATATATAACTTAATTTGAAAGCAATTTCTTTCTTAAATTATAAGTTAATAAATTTTACTCTATAGTACAAATACTAATATAACTCAAATGATTTAAGACACGCTAAATTTATATTTATGCTTTTGTTTCTGAAAAAGATATTTAAAATTCATAAATAAGAAAACTCAAAAGTATTTTTGATTTTTTTCTAGAATTTTTTCTATCCATTTAAAAATGCTTAAGTTGAAATCAGTTTCTGATACTTCTTAGCTTGTATTTGAATTGTTCATTATACATTTGAGTTTTTATAAAAAATATTATATAAAAAATTCAAGCATAAATAAAATCAGCCAGATTATTTTTTGCAACACTATAAAGAACTTATTGATTGGAGCTCGCTGAATTAAATTTATAATTTGATTGATTATTTTATTTCTTTTGAAGCTATCTAAAGTTTTTCCTTACTGGATCAGAAATAGCTACAAATAATTTAGAATAATAAATTTTATTTTGATATTTGCCTGAGATTAATACTGGACTTATTATACATTTATAAACAAGCACCATACATACATTCATTTATTATTTATAGCTTTAGCAAATAAGTTCTTTATCATTAATTCCTACATAAACAATACATTTATAATTTGTAAATTTCTTAACTATTTTTTTATTATTAAAATTTTTTCATATGCAAAATAAATTTTATTGCTAAATACAATCTAAATATATCATTAAACTATAAGATACAAATTGACTAATTCATGTTTGTTAACTATCTACGATTTCTATGAAATATTTTTATATAGAAAAACATTATGTGGGTATTTTTGTAAATTTGAGTAAATTTAAACATTTTATATGAGTTTAACAAATTAAATATTTTAAGTGAATTAAAAGTGGGAAAAAAACAAATAAAACTACTGCAAAATTTAATAAAATTGCTACAATTTTTTGCTTAAATTTTATAAAGTATTTATTAAAATTAATAATTTCAATATATTTTTTCTATATCTCAAATTACAAATTTAAGAAAATTATTGAATGAATTTTAAATTGAAATATTTAAATTGTTTTATAAACTGATTCTATTTATTTTCTGATTCAGAGATAATTATTTAGATAAAAAATATCTATTATTTAAAGTATAAAAATATAAATAATCTTCATCAATTTCAATAAAAGTTTCTAAACATTAAATATAATTTTATTTTATTTCATAAATTTTGAATAAAAAATATTTTTAAAATCTTAAAAAAATAAAAACTAAATTTTTTGAAAATATTATTAAAAATACCTTCATTATATAAAGAAATGTTATTTTTGTATTAATTTTATGCAGAAAACTAAATATATATATATTTTTGTTTGTTTAGACTTAGTATATTTAATCATATTTTTAGTTAGAAAATATTTTTCTATCTAAAATCTCAAAAGAATCAATTACAGCCATACCCACAACCTTTTCTATAAAAGTAAAATGTTTAATAAAGTTAACAAATTTGATATTTTTAAAAACTCTTACACTCCTTTTTGATATCTGATCTCTGTCTATTGGATCCTTTTATTAAAATTTTTAATAAAAAGCATTTAATTTTATAAGAAATTTACTTAATTAATTGTTGCAATTATTGTAAATCGTCATTAAGCCTCTTATTTTCAATTCTGTACTTGTGGATTAGTTAATCTTTATCACTATTAAATAAAATTATTAAAATTTAATAGAAAAATATTTATTTTTTTTACGCTTAAGAACCAATTGATAAATCATCAGGAGCACCTGATAATTTTTTAGTCTTTAAAAATTCTACTTCTCCTTATAATTCTGCATTTTTTAAAGCATAGGCAGCGAGTCTTTTTTTGTGCTCTTCTAATTCTGAATCCCTTTGGCTTTTAATTATAAAATTAATTGAATGCCATTTAATTACATTTATTATTTTACCTCAATTGTAAAATAAGCTAATGATTATTATCAGGAGCTGATATTCTATCTGTTCTCTTTAGCATATTGATTTCTTCTTCTAAATTCCTGCATTTTAATTTAGTAAATTTAACTTATTTTTATTAGAAATAAAAATTATTTACTAAACTTGAATTCTTAGTCTTGAGTTTTCTCCTTCCAAAAAGGTTTATTAGTTAGCCTTGTTCCTAAATTTATTCAAAAAAACATTTTTATAATTGGTATCAAAAATATTTATTTCTACCTCCATTAAATCATTTCTTGATCTTTTTCATTTAAGAAACCTTTTAATCTTTCTACATTTTCAGCTACAATTAAGATATCATTTTTCGATTATTCATACTTGGCTTTCCATTCACTAACTTCTTGCTAGAGAGTGATCAATTAAATTGAGCTATTTAAAACATAAACTTAAATTTATCTATAAGAATAATTAATTATGAATACCTTGTTTAGTTTGTTTTTAAGACTAATATTTCAGAATCTTTTTCTCTGAGTTGGCGTTAAAGATCTGAATTTTAGTCAATTATGATCTTGTTACTCTTTTCAATTTCGTTAAATTTGAATAAAATTTATTAAGTTTCCAAATCTTTTGAATTAATTTAGTTTTGTAGAATCACGCACTTATTTGCAAGGTCAGTGTTATCTTAGCGGAGAATTTTCATTTCCATATCATTATTTTAGAGATAGTTAATGTCAAATGAAGGTTGTTTATTTCCTGACTAAGACTCTAAAGCAGAACATATAAGAACGAATTAAGTAAGTAACTCAAAATAATTTCCTTATAATTGATTATATTATGTTTCATAGAGGTAAATTTAGTTGATTTAAACATTGTATTAAGATAATTATGATTCTAGTTATTATACTTTATTGACCAAGTCATTATTTTGGCCAATAATAACCTTATTGTTATATTCGCTTTCTTAAAATTAAGCTGAGATATTTTAATATTTAGCCTCAGCTTCACTTAATTACCTAGTTAAATTATCACAGCGACTTCTTAAATCATTTGAATCCATATTTTATATCTTTAATTATTGAGAAAGATTATAAATTTAATTGTTCAATTCTTAAATATGGGCTTCCATCATGCCTGTGTTACCCTTTGCAGACTCCATAGCGCTAATTTATTGTTCATAATTTGCACATTTCTACATAAGTTCTTGGATTTTATCATCTCTATTTTTGATTTCGTTCTCCATCCATAGTTACTACTATTATAGCTTACTTTCTTTTTCTTTATTAGATCTCTTTAAACCTTCTACTTCATTTAAATTGGACAATTAGTTTTCAAGATTTCTGCATCTATCAATCAATACATTTATTTCTTATTATTTCTTTTGAAGTTCATCATTCATAATGATGAGCTGTTATTCCATTTCCTCAAGTCTTTACTTATTTCCACCTGACTATTTGATCTAAGTTTACAATACTTAAATTTAGGTTTCATAATCCTTTATTTTTAATTCTAAAGTATTAATTTTAAGCATAGAGCTTTGTAGTTCAATCGAGGACCCTTAAATCTATTGAATTTGAATGTTCAAAGAAGAAATCTAAGCATTTAAAGTTTAAATCTAAGACTGCAAACTCTTATTTTCAATCTCAAGTCTGATTTAATTCTCAGAATTATTTTGAATTTAAGCAAGTTGCTATTTTAGACGCTCGATTTCGTTGTTTCTATCCCTTTAAAATTAAAATTTTTAATTTTTGTTAGCTTTTATAATCAATTTACTTTAACTGCATATTTATAATTTCCACTTAATAGTTAACCTGATTGCTTTATGAAAGCCTCAACTATTACATTTCTGCCTCAAGTTATCCACATTTTTATTTCCATACTTCAGCTTCTGCAGAGAAGTTTGATTACAAAACGACTGTCTAAAATTTGCTTTAAAGCATTTTAAAAATAATTTTATTAACTTCTAAATTTGCTAATTATTATATTAATTAAATTAAAGTAATTTAAGTTACCCTGCTGATGATTAAGCCTCTAATTAAGCAGTCAAAAGGAAAATATTATTCAACAAATCATACTTTTCTTCTTCCTTGTGTCTTTTTATATTAAAATGTTTTCTTTTTCAAAAAAATTAATAAAATTTTATTATACTGAACAATTTAAGCAAGTTATCTATTGTCTTATTCAAACTCTTCACACTTTCTTAGTAAATCCTCAAACTAGGCTTGCAAAGCTAAGTATTGTTGAGAATTTTAACTAACCACGTTAACAGAATATCCGTTTTGTTGACGAATTTAATTAATTTCAATGCTCAATTATCTAATTTTAAAGGTATTTTATATAATTAAAATGATTTAAACTTTTAGTTTTTACTATATTTGTTAGTCTTTCAAGTCAGTTGCCTTGATAAGCTAAGAGATGTGAGCATCTTTAAGAGTTAGCTTGTTATTTAGGTCTTCTATTATCTTCTAAGCAAGCAAAATATAAGATTTTTTCCATACTTTCTGTTTTTTAAGTAAAGATTTGTTAAAAAATATTTGATTTAATAAAGTTAATTACTTTGCTGAATTTTAATTCAGTTACTTCCTTTTATTCATCATCAGAACTATCTGAATCTCCACCGTTTTTGTTGTTTGTTTTTTTAACTTTTTCTTCTTCTAATGGCTATTGAGCTACTTGTTAAACTAAGTTTTTAAATTAATAAAATGATTGAAGGATCATAAAAATTAAAATTAATAAATTTATTCATTAAATTTACCTGCATATTGGTATGGATTGTATTCAGGAATGCTACTCTTACTTTGCCTAATTAATATATTTTTTTATTATTTATCCTCAATAAGTATCAAATAATATAAAAAAGTGTTACTAAATAGAATTTTAGCTTGGTGTTCTTTTATGCTAAGTCACTGTTGTTGTAGTTACAGTTACTTGCTTATTAAGAGATGGATCAAAAGAGCTGTAAATATTTGTTTGAGGTAATATTGAATTTGATTCATTGAATTAAACTACTCCTCCATTACTTGTTCCAGAATATGTGTAAACTGTTGTAGGTTTCACTATATCAGTAGAAAGTTACCCTAAACCTGAATTAGGAGAAGAACTAATAATACCGAATTAAGTTTAAAGTTAAGATAAACTTTGATGTGTTTATGGAATGTAAGAGCTCTAAGATTATTGCATTTTTGGTAAAGCTATTTCTAATATTAATAGATAAGTTAATTTTATTTATTATTAATTATTTTCTACTTATTTATTATAAAATCTTAATTACTAATATCTAAAAATAATGAGGTGATTTGATTGAATATTATGCTTAAGGATATTTTTTATAATTTTTTATTTCCCAAACATTTAGGTAATTTACAAAACCAAAGATTTCTAATGACTAAATGAGTGAATCAATTATCAATTGGAAAATAAATTCCAGAGAGAATAGAAAATAAATACATAAAAATAAAAATAAACGTTTTTAGTTACCTTTAAATTAATTTAAAATAAAAGTCAGTGTATTTATTTAAATTATTATCATTAAGTAATCTAAAAATTTATCATGGAAATATATATTTTATTTTTAATTAGCGCTGTTATTTATATTATTTTCTATTACTTTTGAAAACCAACTTTCTCAAAAAATAACCCATATTACATTAAATAACCAATAAATATTATTAATTATTTAAATGCCAATTTTTAATAAAAAAAGGAATAAATTTCACTTAATTTAATTTGATGGTTTTTAATCTATGTAAATAAAAAAGGTTAACTTACTTTTACTTCAAATAATTTAGAATAACTTAAACTAATTTAATAATTATTTATAAAAATATATTTTTCTTTTCTTAATTTGAATTTATTCAAAGAATTATTTTAATTCTCTTAATAAAAAATTTATGTGATTGATTATTAAATTAATATCTAAATTTGTTTAAAATATTGTAAGCACCAAATATTTATGAAATAAATAAATCAAAAAAATGATTTAAACTTTTTAAAACCTAAATAGTCAAATTAATTTTAATTGATTTTTAATGAAATTCTTTTTTTAACTTTAATGAAATTTTAAAACAAATGAAATAATTAATTGTTTCATTCTTTCAAAAAACTAAACATTTATTAATTTTCTTATTATAATCAAAATATTTATCAAATTTAGTTTATTAAATGTTTTATCTTTGTTATTTCAAATTTTATCAAAAAATTAGTTTAAATATTGCAATCAATTTTAAGAAAAAATAAATTATGTTAGAATTTTATTAATTTTTAATCAAATAAAAATCTATTAAAACAAATTATATTTTAAATATTATTAAAATTATTTAAATTTATTAATGAATAATCCTTATTTTTTAAAAAGCTTAAAGTTCTAAAGATTCATATAAAAAATCTACTTTATTTATTATTCCATTAAAGTAAAATTTAGCTTAAAAATTTGTTGTTAATTTAAATAAAATTAAAATTTCTATTCATTCCTAAAATTTAAAATGTCTTTTTATTTATTTATTTATAAAAAATTGAACATTTATCTAAAAATAAAATCTAAAATGAAAGTAATTATTTAAAACTACATGTTTGTATATAAAATTTAAAATAAGAAATATGCAAGTTGATTGATATATTTATTGTAAGAAAGTATGTACATTATATAAGATTATTATAGATTTATTCAATTAGCTTATAGTTATTTTATAATTTATTTAAAAATAAAATAGAATTAATATATTTTGTATAATATCAAGTAATATCAAATATTATTATTTATTTTTGTTTTATTAAACTTTATTAGTTATAAATTTATCAATTAATTATTAACTATAAAACATTCATTTATTTTTTTATTGCCTTTGAGAATTTTAACAAGCCTTTTACAAATATAACCTCATTTTTTAAAAATTGTATGTTTCATAGCTAGTTGCAAAGTTTATTCAAAAATAGATATTTTTGCTTATGATCAAGAGTTTACAGGATTTAACTTAGAACGTACATAATCAAATTTATGAGCTACCAATTCTTATAAAGAATCAGGTTTATATTTTTTGATATTCTCAAAATATTTTTATTCTACATATTTTGAGTTGACATCAATGAAGTTTTCAAAGAATTCTTCTATCATAAATGAGTCCAGCATTTCATTAACATGAAGAAGTACTTAACGTGTTTCGTTTGTGAGTGCCATATATTAATGAGAAGTAGTAGACATCTACTGTAACTATAAATGGAGTTCTTTGGCTTTTGAAAAGATTTCATCCACATAATTGTAAATCGTTGTCTAAAAGAATGAGTTATCAACTGATTGTATATTATTGATTTCATTTTTTAGCAACTGATTGTCTTAGTAATGAGGTGATGTTTTTATCAGTCTTAGAATTTCAACTTTAAAGAGGTCAACTATGTTAGATATTAAATGGATCTCCCTTGTCAAGATTCCTTTGAATTTTTTAAACTCATTTGAGTTTTCGAAGGTCTCAATTTTTTCCATTCTTTTTGATAAATTTGTAGATTTTAATGTATTAACAGTTAATTTTAACTGATCTGTATAGATATTAATATATTTCATTATTAAGAAGGCTACTACTGGAGTTTTTATAGAGTAATTAAACTCTAAAAGAGTGCCAAGTACATTTGATAAAAAATTTATTTTGTTTCTTTCCCTTACTAGAATACGCATATTCATACTCATTTTAGTCTTCTCTTCCTGAGTAGATCCACTACCCAAAGTGTTACCAATAGTATTAACATTGCTGTTATTGCTAATATTGTTGCTTGGAATTAAGAAATTTTGGTTTAAATTACCATTTTGAACTGTGTTGTTCTATTAATTTTGGTTGTTTTAATACGGAGCATTATTTAAATAATTACCATTGTTATTTCCATTATTATTGCTGTTAGGTGGCAAAGAATTGATTGCGCTGCTGAAGTGGTTTAACATGTTATTTGTATTACTATTGTTAGAAGGGGAGAGAACATTTAATATGTCTTTGTTTGCAGAAAGTGGCGATATTCCGTTAACAAGACCTGTCCCAACACCACTTAGAGAAGAAGAAGGGTTAGTATTAAAATTATTTGAATAATTAAGGTAAGTTGTTCCTTAGCCTTAGTTATTATTGTTTTTAGAAGGTAAAAAGTTTAAGTTATTGCTAGAACCAAGGTTGTTGGTGGAACTAACATTGTTGTTATTATTAGTAACTCCTTAAATGTTATTATTATTATTAAACCCAAGAATATTATTATTATTATTGGTTGATAATCCAAGTCCTTATATTTATGCATTGCTCCCTAAAGAATTTCCTAAACCAAAGTTATTTGTATTATTTGTGCTAACTCCAAGATTATTATTTAAGCTTCCTAACATAATATTGCTACTGTTTTGTCCTATTCCTAATCCATTAAGAGAATTTAAATTTGGAGGTTATTATGAATTTGGTGAAGTGTTGACACCAAGATTAGAAGAGGAATGTTTTTTCATTAAGAGCGGTTGTTATTGTTACTGTTGTTAAAAGTGCTACTATTAGTTTTACTAGTTAGATTGTGTTGCGTTCTAAAGTTGAAGAGGCTAAGGTGATAAATTTGAATTCAAATAAGTGGTAGTCAAGAAAGTAGATCCTATTTAAATATGAAATTTTTCTTCAGTGAGGGCAAAGAGCTATGGCCAATCTACACGTTTACGAAAATCGACTACAAGCATTGCGCGAATTAAGTCTTCAGCCTTCTTGGAAATTTAATTTATATAACGAGGAATTTATAATTCTGTGTTATCAATTTGAGTGATTAGCTTAGCTATACTTTAGTCTTCATAAGGGCAGTACCCAAACAGACACTCAAAAAAAACCACACCCATAGACCAAACATCAGCCTTTGTATTGTATGGCATGCCTTTTAATACTTCTGGAGCCATGTAGATAGGAGAACCAACCATAGTAGAAGTCATATCCTAAGGATTCATCAAAGATTTACAGAATCCAAAATCCGCAATTTTAATTACATTATTGTGGAATAAAATATTAGATGGCTTTAAGTCTCTATGAAGTATATTTTCTTTAATCATAGCCTTAAATGCATTCAATAGTTAAGCGAAAATCTTAATAGTTTCGCCCTCAGAAAGAAATTTTTTGCGATGAATTGCTTGTTCAAGTGTTCCTCCATTGCAATATTCGTATATTAAATACATGTTATTTGAAGTTTTTAACATTTCCTAGAACTTAACACAATTAGGGTTATCAATCTTGGCTAGGGTACGAATTTCGTTCATAGTGAATTCATGCAGCTTTGGAATTTCTCTAAATTTGTCCATTTTTACTACTTTAATAGCTACTACTTAATCATTGTTCATATTCTTAGCCTTATAAACCTTACCATATTACCCACTGCCGATGACTTCATTTAAAACATAATTTTCTATTACTTTACTCATTAACTTAACTATCTAGATGCTTTTTCTTTTTGGTATTATGATCTTTTTTTATTTTCTAAATGTTTCCTTGTATCAATAAAAATGCTAACTAACTAAATTGTCTTAACCTGTTTCATAAATATAAGAATAAGTTAGATTTTCACAAATTGTCATTTTCTATTCATAAAAGCTATTTTTAAAATTTTCTACTATGATTTCAAAACTATGTAAAGATCAAGTAAATGTAAAATATATATAATTATTCTGAGATCTAACTTTTTTTCATTTGAGTGGTAGATAAAAACACTGAAGTGAAGGATTGTGATAAAAATTACCTTGATGATAAATACGCTATATGATATGATTAATTTTTAGTCTTTTGAATTGTTTTAATGAACTATTATCTTCTTACACTATTTTTGAATTAATTTTTAATATTGCAAAATATTAAACTAAATTCTTTTTAATTACTTGAATTATATACAAATATTATTAATTAGATTTTTTATCAAATTCAAAAAAAAAAAAATCAAATGAACTGTTTTGTTCATATAGTTAATTTTTGAAATTTAATAATGTCAAATCTTCTCTCCTAAATTAATCAAATTAATTAATTTAATTAGCTATTTGTTTAATGCATTATTTTATTAATGAATTAAGGAATGAATTGGTGATTGAATATATGAATGAATGATAAAATTGTAATTGTTTCTTGAATATTATTATCTATCTATCTATTTATCTACGATTTATGTTGACTATTTAGTATTTTAAAGTAAATTAAATGAAAATGCCAAACTCGTTTTTTTTACCTCACCTCATTCTAGCAAGATTATTTATTTAGTTAATTGAATTTTGAATGTGTGTCTAAATTAATATCGTTAGACTTAAATTCATTTGGATTACAAAATTTAAAATAACTAGGATTTGATTGGATGCAATTCAGCTTGATTATTTTATAAGGACAGGAACTTGAATGGATTTTAAATTTAGAAACATAAACTAAAAATTAAATTAATTTTTAATAAATTAAACAATTATTTTATGATTAAATTTTTTAATTTAGTGAGCATATTTATACAAATTTTTTTCAAATATAAATATAAATTTACAAATAAGATTAATAAAGAATATGCAAATGTATCCATCCTTTTTTAATTAGCTAATTCCAACATATGAGCCAAAATTTATTTTAAAATATAATTTAGAAATGTTAAGCCAAAAATTAATTTCTCTTACTTATTTGATTATTAGATGAATTATTTGATGATATAGGTTATATTAATTAGTATTATTATTATTATTAAATATATTAGATTTAGGGAGAATTGGAAGAAAAATTTCTTAGTTAACAATCATGTTTAACTCAATTAGTATTTAATGTATGTTTAATTCATGAAATATTAAGGAAAAATAAATGGCGCTGTTTGAAATATTTCATTTAGTTTATCATGCTTCAACAATTTCACTATGGTTTGGAGGTCTGAAGTATCTCCATAATGGGTCCATTTTTTTTGAGCTGTTTTGAGAATTAGATGAAGAAGAATTGCTTTCAGATTCTCCATAAAATTCTTATGATTCTGATTTATTCCTATTTTAAATTAAAAATAATTTTAAAAAAATTATTTATCACTGTTTTTAAAATGAAAAAATTTTTTATTAATGAAATCAAAATAGATTACATTTCTATTCCTACTAGCAAATCATTAAAACAAACTTCAACATAATAATCAAGAGTTTCGTCGTCTGTTTGATTATCATCGTCAAGAGTTAGCTCTTAAATTTTTTTCTAGAATTTTTGATCTATACGTAAATCTTTATCCTTAAAACAGTTAAATTCGTAGTGTCTTATCCTATTGCTGTTTTAACTAGTATATCTTAATTTTTCATAATCTATTGTAAATGCACTATCAACTCCAAAACACTAGTTATTTTGTTAAGAGTTTTTAATCCTTTTTTAGAACATTTAATTTAAATCTATTTATTCAGTTTCATTAACGTGATCCTGATTCCAAATATTTTAATTGTTTAGTTGTTTTATATTGAAAAAATCCAATTTATTATTATTTTGTTTATATTAATTTTTTTCTGAACTGTTATGGTTTAAACATGAGTTTTTATTCCAAATATTTTAATCATCTATGTTTAAGTGAGTTTCATCTTAGGACTTTAAGCTACTTAACTTATTTGAAAATCTCAAATCTTCATCTTCATCAAAAAAGAAAAATGGTGCTTTATCTAAACCCTTTTTTGTTCCATTCTAATGTTTTTCAAAGAGCTTAGATTACTAATTCCTCTCTAACTATTCTTTGCATTAAGTTACACTTGTTTAAGCAGAATCGGCTTTTCTAGTTCCTTAATTAATGTATGAGCTATCTTTTGTCTCATTTTTAAGACATGCTTTATCGTTGAAAATATTATTTGATTTTTTTACTATTTTGAAAGATGGTTTTGAATTTTCATCAAACATCTTTTAATTCTGAAGATTTTTGTAATCCTTTTCATCAGCAAATACAAATCTATTCTCATTAGCTTTTCTATTATCATATGCTTTAGCTGTTTACCTTAGATAATATAATTCATCATCTTCTTCATCATCATCAAGTTCATTTTCTTAAGAATAATTTTTTTCATTTTTACGTTACTTAGGCTGAGTTGTGCTTGCTGCCCCAACTAAAAAGTTAGTTTTAGAAGCTTCAACACTACTTTCTTAGGAATTATTATAGCCTTTCTTCTTATATTTAGTCTTTTCTATTTAGCATATATCGCTATCAGTAATTGTACTACAGTTCAATATACTATTCTAACTTTTATTCAAGTTCTACACTCCGACTGCCTTTGTAATATTTTTTTTTGCCATCCTTGAGGAAGTGTTACTGGAAATATTTTATTGAATCATTTTGTCTTTAATATGTTGCATGCCACTAAAAATATTATTGAAGATAATTTAATTCTAATTTTAAGAAGCAGATCTAGTTAAACGCTTATTAGAGGAATCAATACTATCAACAGATGACTAAAACTTGTTTCTATTAGGTTCAAATTTTATTGAGTTTGAAAAAGATATGGAAGAAATGGAGGCGCTTTTATCCTACTGTTCACTAAGGGGATCAACAATAGACTTAAGAGAAGTACACTTTTTAAGATTATTATTTTTTTTGTTTTCCTATTTACCTTTGTTTTTATTGGGTTTAGGCTAATTATTGGAAGAAGAAACTTTTATGCTTACTGAGGACTAAAAACTATTTTAGTATCCTTTTAATTAAAGATTGTTGTCTAAGCTGTTTTCAACTGAAATTGAAACAGACTATGTAGAGAAATGCTTAGCTTGCTTTTTATTCTAAGATTAGCAAAACGTGTAAATAGAGTCATCATCATATAAGGTCTAAGGTTAACTATAAGAAGACTAAGAGAGGTCCACCACAATTTATTGTTGAATTGAAGATATATCTTTATTCTAGTAAGTGTACACTCTTGGTCCTTACTTCCTACTTTTAGATTTTTCTTCTTTATAATATCGATTGCTGTTCATTTTATGCACGAATGAATATAAAATTTAGCAGATACAATTTAATTATTTATATATAGCTAAACAATTGAAAAAAAAATTTTTATTTTTTTTCTTAGCTTAAATTAATCAATTTTTAGTGGTATACTAACTTTTAGAAATCTTGAAATCTTTCAAATTTAAAAAGAAATATCCGCGAAAACTGATTTTATTTGATTATATATTATTAAAATAAATCAAGCTAACTAAATCTTTGGAAAGAAAGCTAATAAACAAATAAATACAAACATATTTATAAATAAATAATCAAAGAAAAAAATAAACAAGCAAACAAATAAACAAAGAAACACACTTTTTTATTAAATTTTATGAAATCAAAATAAAAAAAACACTACATTTTAGAAAATTCGAATCATTGGCTTACTTCATAATTAAAAAATTAAAATAAAGTTTTTTTAATTTTAAAATATATTTTTATTGTAAAGAAGTGCTTTGAATTTAATCATAAAATTTATCTCAAGGCGAAAATAATTATTTGAGTTGGTGTAAATCTTTTCTCTCAATCAATATTAGATAAAATTCAAATTGGATTAGTTTACAAAATTAAATTTAAAATATAAAAATTAAAAATATCAAAAATTAAGCAGAACAAAGAAAAACTGATTTATTGATATTGATGTGTTTATTAGATTAGTTTATTTTATAAATTTAAAAACTATTTAAATTGGCAATTAGTAATCTTTCTAGTTTATAAGTCTATATAAACTTAGAGTAATAAATTGCCTATATAAAAATGAACTTATTTAGATTGACACCAACTACAAAAATTTGAAATAGATATTTATATATCTAGATTAGATCTTTAACTAAGTTAATAGGGTGTGAATAAAGGCAAGTTCAAACAATTTAATATTTAGAGTTATTTAAAAAACATAAATTAATTATTACTCAGATATATAATCAATTAAAATAATTTATTTTTTCAATTTATATAAATAAGAATTTGCGCATTCAAGTAGATTTAAATGAATATTATTAAAAATCAACTGAAATTTAAAAATAAGAAGATACTCTTTATCATCAAATATTATTTTGATCAACTTGAATATATTTCAAGACAGATAAAAAAAATTAATTTTGGTTATTAAAACCATCATATTATAAAATTAACATTTTTTTCAAATACAATTTATTACAATATTTAATTTTATTTAAATAATTAGAAAATTGATTTTTCTGCTTGCTTTAAATAAATAATTAATAATTTTTTAAAATAAAAAATTCACTTATAAAAATAAAATAATATAATTAATATAGAAAGGTTTAAATATTCCAAAAAATTTATAAAATGTTAAAAATGATGATAGTTAATAATAAAAAATAATAATTTTCTATTTTGAGCTTTTTTTAATTTAATGAAGAAATAAATAGAAAAATAAAATTTAACTTTTAAAAATTACATATATAAATTTTAATTTAGAAATAATTTTTTTTTGTTATCTGCATTAATAAATAAGTGAAATTTAAGTAATGATTTTATAAAAATATCAAATATCATTTTTATTGTTTTACTTAATTCATCTAAAAACCAATTTTATAACTAATCTTGATGAGTATTGCTTTGATAATTTATTATTTAAGCGAATTTTAATAAAAAAATTTTATACTTAACTATAATAAAATAATATTTTATTAATAGTTATATTTATCAAAATTATATTATTAGTTTATGTTCATTTAATAAATCAGACATATTACATAGATAGAAGAGAAGCTATTTAACAAGTATTAGTATATTTTTTTTCAAAACTAGAAAAATAAAAACTTTTTTATATGCTTAGCTAAAAGCCATAAACTAGCTTATCTTATCTTTTTATATATTCAAATTATAAACTTTAAAAATTTCGAAATTTCACTATTTCTAAATAGCCATTTAAAAGGAAATAAAACTATATTTTAACTTTATTTCCTATTTTAAAATAAAAATAAATTTAATTTTTAAATAGATAAGTTTAGTAGTTTAAAAATGTGAAATAAATTTATACAGGAATTCTTAATTATAAAAATATTATTTATTTATTTAAATCAAAATATTATTAAGGTTAAATTAAAAATAATAAGTAGATGTATTTTTTATAAAGAGTAAATAAATAAAAGAAAATAGTTTATCTTCATTATTAATAGAGTTATTTATTTTAATCTTTTATATCTAATAGAACAAATGTTTTTTTGTTAATTATTTTATAAACTATTTTTTTTTTATAAATTACTTAAATAAATCTTTTATACAAATATGAGTATTTAATTTGATGCTTGTGGTTACTTTTCTTCAATGAATTAAAATCTCAAGAAAAAAGTGATAATTCATTGATTATTGCCTTGAATAATATAGGATAGCAAGATTAATTAAGTAATTGATTACTCTGTATATTTAAAAATAGTATTATTCTAAGCTAAATTTCGATAAATCATAAATACTCAAAATAATTATTGGGCAATGAAACTTTAAATCTTGATTGCTACTTTGCTAATCTCAACTCTAACAGGAGTTTTGATAAGCAAAAAACAGTACTTTATTGGAAACCAAGGAGAAAGCAATATCCCAGATGATAGCACTCTCTCTAACATTTTAGATGTGCAGACAAAACATTTTCATTTAGAAATAGAAATTGATTTTGAATCAAAAAGTATATTTGGTAATTAAACACTTTCAATGGTTGCTTAAAAAAGCGGGGTTAAGTAGATAAATTTGGATGTTAGCAACTTATAAATCTATAAAGTAGTTGATCAAGAAGGAAATATCTTAAATTTCAACTACTTCAATCCTATCCCTAATATTTTCGGTGAATAATTACAAATATTTTTGAAAAATCCTACTATTGAAGGCAGAGTCTATAATTACACAATTACTTATAAGTCAGAAAACGCTTCTGCTTCATCATGGTTAACTCCTAAATAAACATCTTCTTAAGTTCTTCCGTAAAATATTACCTAAAGATTAAATATAGACTATCATATAACACAAATTTAACAAAAATAATTAAAATTACTTTACAATTTTGACAATATATAAAAGTTTTATTATTCGATCTAATTAATTTGATATTTTAATATAGATATCTTTATACTTAGTGCTAATCAGTTTACTGTAGAAGTTTGGCACCATTTTAGGATACTCCTTTTATTAAGGCAACTTATACTGCTAATGTAACAGTTGTTGATCCTATTGTTGTTTATTTAAGCGCTAATGTGACATAATCAACATAAGTACAAAAAGATAATCAAAATTATACAATATACTCATTTAGAAGTGATATCCCAATTGCATCTTATGTCTTCACTATTGTTGCAGGAAATGTAGTAGAGAGAAAGATTGGAAGAAGAACTTCAGTTATTAGTGAACCAACTAATATTGATTTTTATGCTTAGGAGCTCTCTGATCTTGAGCTTTATTTAGACACAGTTGAAAATTACACAATTCCTTATATTTGGGGATCTTACAAGATTGTAATATAGCCTCCTAGTTTCCCTATGGGCGGTATGGAAAACCCTCTTCTAACATTTGCTTCTCCTTCTATTATAGTAGGTGATAAAAGTGGAGTCTCTGTAGCAGTTCATGAAATAGCACATTCATGGACAGGTAACTAAGTCACTTGCAAGAATTGGAGAAATTTATGGATCAATGAAGGTTTTACTATGTACTTAGAAAGATAATCTGATTCAATAATGTTTGGTAAAGATTATGCTGTTGTAGATGCTATAGTTGGTAATGACACCATGGTTGATGATATGAATAACTTTGGAATGTAAAGCAATTACACTTCATTAAATCCAATGATATAAGGTTCAAACCCTGATGATGCTTTCTCTAACATTCCTTACGAGAAAGGTTATTAATTCCTCAAATATATTGAGAGTGTTATTGGATAAGACTTACTTTAACAATTTTTAAGATCTTACATCAGTGAATATTCATTAAAAAGCATCGATTATGAAGAATTGCAAGCATTTTTCAATAAATTTATCAAAATTAATCGCCAAAGAGATGCAAAGAAGTTACTTTCTTAAATTGATTGGGATACATGGATAAATTAACCTGGTATGCCTCCTGTCAATTTAAAATTTTAAACTGATACCATTCCTCTCATAAAATCATTAGCATAAAGCTATATTGAGTAAAATCATTTTAGTATAAATCTAAAAATATTAATTTTTTTTAATAAAAAAGCTTATAAGGTAAAGGATCTCCTGCCAATTACAAAGAATTCCTTGATTTTTCATTAAATGAAAAATGCATTTTCTTATAGTATTTGTTTGATCACACTAGTGAATATGATTCATAAGTTTTGATAAAAATTGATTAAGATTATAACTTAACAAATAGCTCAAATCAAGAAATTTCATGGAGATGGTTTAGAACAACTATCATGGTTGGCTATAATTCTGTCTAAGACAAAATAGAATAATTTTTAGGATTAACTGGGAGAATAAAAATGATTAAACCTGTATACTAGGCTTTTGTTTAAACTGGCTAAAAGTAGATAGCTCAAAATTATTTGGTATAGTATTAAGATTTCTATCATCCTTTGGCTGTATAGGCAATAAATAGAGTAATCAATGGAAATTGAACTTTAATAAAGCTTAAATTATAAAATCTATATAAATTTCTAAATACTAACATTTTATATAAAATAGTATGTCAATGTCAATGTAAATGATCAATTTATAAAAATTAAACAAAAATATTATTTTTATTTAAATTAAATATTAAATTACATTTATTAAAGTATAAAAGACAGACAAATGATAAATGATAATTAGTTAAAATTTATTTGAAATATTGATTGAAATGTTTAAAAAGTTAATTTTGGGATAGGGTTAGTAGAGTATTTTTAAATATTTTTGTTTGAAATCAATAAAGATTTTAGAGTTTTTTTTCTGAATCACTTGAATTAGATGTTAAAAAAGAAGAATCAATACTACTTTAGAGGCTTTAAGATTTATTTTCATTAATACTTCCTATTTCACTAAGTTAAATAGAGAAGATTTAATTATTTTGTAATTTTGGTATTTTATTTTTATTAATTGAGAAAATGTTGTGATTGGAATTAGAGTTGTATTCCTCTTTTAGCTCGTTTATTTATATAATTTATTATTTTTACTCACTTTCTTTGTTTTATGTTGGATCAATTAGTAAAATTGAATTTTTTTATTTTGATTAGTCAAAAACTGTAAAATTGGTATTACTGCTTTAGTTATTATTCATATTACTGTTTCCGTTTAAGTTAGTATCATTCAGGGCGTTAAGAATAAATTGGCTGTTTAAAGGCTCAGAACCTCTCGATTTGCTTTACTAGCTTTGCTTATAAGGACTAATTACTGGTGAAGGATTTAGTGATGAAACAGATATTCTAGGTATTCCAGCAATTGAACCTAATGAAAATCTAGAGTTGGCTCTATATTTTTTATAGCTTTACAGGAATTTTAATTCATTTAACTTTTCTTCCCTAATCTTAAACATCGAAGGGTTTTATCTTTCAAATCCGAATGGGCTAATTTGTAGTTATCTCAATGGATCTATTTGTTTAATCAATGGTATATTTGAATCACATATTTTGCGTTTATTTAATATTTTAACTATTGGAGCTAATTATATGTTGAATAATACTAAAAGGCACAGGATTACTAAAGTAATTTCAATACATTTTATTGTTTGTATTATTTATGATGATGAATATGTAATAGAATCGTTTGAAAATTTAATTTGGTCAATTTAAATTAAACAACATAATTTTAAAATATAGATAATCAACCAGATTATACTATTAATTATGTTAATAATATTATCTGAAGATTCCTTAAAAGGTCTTAAATATGCTAATACTATCAAATATATTGATTCTACCAGAAAAATACTGCAGAGCTAAGCAAGATACATACTCTGGAGAGATACAACAAGCAAAGGTATAACAATTACCTCTTTAAAAATAATAGAGAGATTATAATTTTTCTGTATCCATGTAGCGCTGTAACATCCGCTTTAGATCAAATTTTGATTTATATCTTAAATTGAAATAGTTTCTTAATAATCTAAAATTATCTATTAGTTATTATTTTATTTGTATAAAAAGATTAAAATTGAAACAACTATGAGAGAATTCACTATTACTAATACGATTTTCAAAGCAAAAAGACTATCGTTACTTAAACTTTGAGAGCTAATACAAGAATACACAATTTGTAGTATAACTCCTATCAGCATCACCTAAGTAGATATTATTAAAAGCTATATGAACACTCCACAAATATATTTTTTATAAGCTTCCAATATGCTATTTTATTTTTTAACCACCAATTAAATAATTTTGTATGTTAAAAATAAGTAAATAATTGCAAGCATAGCTCCTGAAGATGATAGTATGATATTTCCTTCAGCACTATTTTCATTGAATGAATAATTAATTTGTGATTAGCTTTCACTTGATTTGAAAGGTATGTTTACCCAACTGGTGGATTTTAATATCTTGAATGGATTAATATCTATTAATAAATATAAATTATTTAAAATTTTGGTAATTATGTGTTAATAGATGTAAGAAATAATTAAACAAGTATGTATTATAATCAAATAATAAATTAAAGTTAGTTAGTTGGTTTTACATTTGAATATTTCGAACAATCTTGACGTCTTTATGTTGGAGGAAGTGACTGATATTAAATTTAAAAAAAATATTTTTGATAATCCAAATAAAGTGTTTAGCAGGATTAAGTTCTTAGCTTTTAAGCAAGATAAGGCAATGCTTAGAGTGAATGAAGAAAGTAGTAAAAAATTTGCTAAACAAACAATAGTGGTAACAGCTGATTCACTATAATTTATGAGTTAGATATCAGTTATGCATTTGCCGTCATAATTATAATATTACTGCTTGCATATTTTGCATTAATCTTAAATTTCGCACACTAAGCAATTAGAATTCTAATTTTAACACGCAGTTTGGAATGTTAGAATCCTTTCTTATTTTTTAACATTTTTAATGTCTTCCTAATTATGATTGATTATATTTAATTTATAATTATCATAAGATAAGCTATTTTATTATTTCTATTTTTATTAAGACTGCTTAAATGAAAATTTCTAGAATAAAATATTCTGCATGTCAGATTTTATTTGTGAAATATCTTGTTGATTTATTTTTGATTATATTATGCAGTGCACATAAATAAATTATTAACCATCAAAAATGCAATTAATTTAATATTCTTAATTAATTTCAAAAGATAATTTTGTGGCAGATATTTTTTGCAATAACTAATCTGATCTATTTGTCTTATTATTAAATGCAATAGAATGCATCTATTCCATTAATTTTTATAGCTGAAACATATTTTAGATATCTAATCTGTTTTCTAATTTATTAAAAAAAACTATTAAAATATTTGAAAAGGAAAATATCTCTTACCATCAAATTCATTATTAACTGCGTTTATGCTAAAGATCCTTTGAATATTTTGAAAATTTTCATTTTAATCGGAAACAGTTATTAATTGTTAGAAATTAATTTAATTTATTTTTATGTTAAGATAGTTGAAAAAAGCATTTATTTCCTCTTATTTTTTTTCATCAACTAGCAGCGAGTTTTACTATTTTTTCTCTAACTATTCATATGCTATAATATTACAAATTGCTAACGTCTAGTTATTTAGCCCCTATTTATACCTGCAAGAGTATGCCATTTATTTAAAAGGCGAAAATTAATTTTTTTATAAGCTCTTCATAGAAAGTGAATTAATTTCTTTTTTTAAAATAAGTTGATGAATAAATTTATTTTGATAAGATTTAAATGAAATTATTTATTACTCGAAAATAATAAAAAAAGAGACAGTAGTATGTACATTAAGTATTAATATTGATTGAATTATTATTAAAATATAAGAAATATCATTTAAATTTCTATTTCTTTATTTATTTTTTTTCCTTTATTAATTTTTGAGAAAAAAATTTTTTATTAAAACAAAAGAATTCAATCAATATTAATTAATGTTTTACTTAATTTAAACTTAATTACAAGATAATCATTTATTAATTTTATTAAGATAAGTTATTATTTAATTTAATTTTAATCTTTGGAGTAAATAACTTAGATAATTTCACTAATATTTTACTAATCTTATTAATTAATACCACCAACAAATTAGTAATTTTGTAGATAATTTATTTTTATTTACTACAAAGACAAAAATAATATATTTAAAGGGAGAAAAAATATTCAAGAAAGAACTATCATCAAATATTACTATTGCTAGAATTTAATTTTTAGGAGAATTTATTTCTTCTATTTCAACTAATATTATCTTTGTAAGATTACATCTTTCCTTAATAAATTCCAAAATAATTGTATTTATTTTTGCTATTTTAGCCAATCAATTTATGATTATTATTTTTTTATTGAAATCTTTAGCCACTCTTTTTATTCACAGTTACTTTGTGTCATATTAAAAATTCTTTCTTAGTTTTTCTTAGTTTAGATTATGAGATGCTATCAGCTTTTATTGTTTGTAATTTGATTCATTCATAGTAAGTTTTCGTTTTGAATTTATTTTATAATCTATATTACTCCCCACTTCATTCCTATTTAGTGAGTTTAAATTTTTTTGGATTACATTAAGCAATATGCGATAATATGCTTTCAAATATTTCGAATGATGCTCATTTTTTAAATTTGATTTTCTTAGCAAATAAATTTAGCTAAAAGATTTTTGAAAATATAATTTTATATTTAATCAATCATTCATCCTAAAAATACATTTTCAAAATTTTTAACATTATTTTAATAGTACTAAAAAATGTAATCTAAAAAACATACAGAATTTCACTTTAATCTCTAAAAAAAAAATTTAGTATATTTTATTATTATATTTAAAGATATTTATTAATAGCGATACTCTTTTTGTTTCATTATTATTATCTTACTCTAAATTTTATGTTAAACAAAATTTTTTTTAAATTATCATGAATTTATGAGAAATTAATTAATGTAAATAATATATAAGTAATATTTAATTTAATTAAATATTATTATTAAAATTAAATTAAATATTATTATTAAAATTAAATTAAATATTATTATTAAAATTATAAAATTAAATTAAATACAGATAGATAGTGATGTTCCTGATTTTTTTAACAAGTAATTAAATTGAAACAATCTTTATACTGTTAATTTAAAATCTTACTGCTTTTCACTTTTATAAAATCATATACTAATAAAATTTATTCATTAACTTTAAATAACTTTCAATATTTCTCTTATAGCTAATTTTGAAATATTATATTCTAAAATATCACTAAGAATTCTGAATTAATATTATTACATAAAATGTTAAATTAATTATTTTATTTGATGTATAAAATTTCAAGATTTATTTTGTAAGTTTAATATTTTTAAAACAATTATTACCAAATCAATTTAAGCTTATTTATTTAATTAGCAAATATTAGTTTTTTTTTATTAAATTTAATAATTTTTTTTAAGTTAGATGAAGAAATCTATTAAAAAATAGTATTCACATCAACTGTTTTTCTCATTTTAAATAATAATAAATAAATTATTTCTATTTTAATTTCTTTTATAAAAATAAATGAATAAACAAATATCCACAGAATCATCTATGATATTTAACTATTCAATATTAAAAAATACTAAGTACAGGTACAAAATATTTTTAAACTAACATGTTACTATATAAAAAGAATAACATTGTTATAATTAAAATTAGATGAAGATAAATGTTTTAGGAAAACGACCAATTGTAAAATAAAATATCAGAATTAAATTAATTAATTATTTGTAAAAATATTAAAATGTCATTCAAATCTAACTCTTTACAAATTTATATTAAACTATACATATCATATCATATCCAAAGTACTTCAACATATTAACAGACAATTATTTTTTTTAGTACCCTCTATAATCGTATGAATTCACATCAGTAATTATGTATGTCTATCTATCTAATAGACTTGAATATTTTAATTAACTTTATATTTTTTTAAATTTTAACATTAAATAAGGATAATATGTTAATGAAAATAATTAAATAAATTATTATTAAAAAAAGAAAGAATGAATGAATTTTAAACATAAATTTAAATAAGCTATTTATTTTTAGTGATTTATGAATTAATTACAATTTATTTTAACATAATTTATATTAATTTTATTACATAAAATATCTCAAAATATTGAATTATTTATTCTAATATATTCTATTCAAATTGAAAAACCATGTTTATTTAATGGTATTTTATAAAAGAAATTATTTACTCTATATTTTCCTCTTTAAAAAGAATTATAAAAAAAGATAAATTGATTTATAAATAGAAAGATATAATTTAACAAAATCTGAAAATAATTAAAAAAATTATTTTTAAAAAAAGAAAGAATGAATGAATTTTAAACATAAATTTAAATAAGCTATTTAATTTTAGTGATTTGTGAATTAATTACAATTTATTTTAACATAATTTATATTAATTTTATTACATAAAATATCTCAAAATATTGAATTATTTATTCTAATATATTCTATTCAAATTGAAAAACCATGTTTATTTAATGATATTTTATAAAAGAAATTATTTACTCTATATTTTACTCTTTAAACAGAATTCTAAAAAAAGATAAATTGATTTATAAATAGATAGATATAATTTAACAAAATCATATGAACCTAAAATATAAAGCAATTATTCTTTTATTAGCAGGTTTAGCTGCTAGCTTTGTGCTTATAAATAGCATACATAAAAAAGAGTATGACGATTCACTGGGAGTCAGAGTTCCTTATGTTGATCAGACTAGTTACTCCAACTTACTAGAAATTAAAACCACTCACTTCCATTTAGACATTTAACTTGATTTTTCATTAAATTAAATTAATGGAACATAAACACTATTCATGACAGCAACTAGAAGTGGCGCTAGTCATCTTGATTTAGATATTGATGGAATATAGGTATAATAAGTCAGAGAAGAAAGTTAAGGTGAGCTAAAATTTGTAGTTAACTATCCTAAAGAAGTAGTAACTGGTGAACAGTTGTCCATTTCTCTAAAAGAACCTCTAATTAAAGGAAAATAATATATTTTCTACATAGATTATTCGGTTTAGAATTCTTCAGCATCATCATGGTTGACTCCATAATAAACAGCTTCCAAAATTTTACCGTAATTATTAATCTAATTGAAACCAAATAATATTTTATTTCAATACCAATTGCATATTTTAATTAACTAACAACTTACATTTTGATAGATAATTTCTATTAGAAAGTTTAGTAAGTGGGTTTAATACAAAGTAAAAGTTAAAGATTAATGATAATAAATAACTTTTTAAAAATAATAGTTACTTATTTACTTAGTGTGAATCAACATATTGCAGAAGTTTAGCACCATTCTAGGACTCTCCCTATATCAAATCTACTTATTCTGCTAATGTAACTGTTTAGGATCCAATAAACATATTTTTAAGTGCTAATTTAACCTCAAAAATACCTCACCCAACTTTAAAAGACTACTCTATTTACTCTTTTAGAATGGATATTCCTATACCTTCTTATCTTTTCACTATTGTAGCTGGTAATGTAGTCCTTTAAATGATAGGTGAAAGAACTGGTGTTATTAGTGAACCTACTCACATTTAGGCATATGCAAACGAATTGAGTGATTTAGAACTGTATTTGTAAACTTTAGAAAATTACACTATTCCTTACACATGGGGTAACTATCAAATTGTTATACTACCTCCTAGTTTCCCATTCGGAGGTATGGAAAATCCACTAGTTACATTTGCTTCTCCTTCAATAATTGTAGGTGATAAAAGTGGTGTTTAAGTTGCCATCCACGAAATTGCTCATAGTTGGTTTGGAAATTTAGTTACTTTGCTTAATTGGAGAAATGTGTGGATTAATGAAGGTTTAACTGTTTATCTTGAACGTTAAGCAAATTTAATTTTAGGAGGAGAAGATAATTATCTTATTGATTCTTATGTTGGAAATAATACTTTGATGGATGACATGAATGGATATGGACTTAATAGTAACTATACTTCTTTGCATCCTTTCGTTAAAGGAACAAATCCAGATGATTCCTTTTCTAACGTTCCTTATGAAAAAGGTTTTTAATTTGTAGCCTACCTAGAGACTGTTGTTGGTAAAGAATTCTTGCAAGGCTTTTTGCGCTCTTATTTGCAAAAATTCAAATATCAAAGTATTGATCATGTCACATTCCGTGAATTTTTCACTGAATACTTGATTCTCAATAACCCTAGAAAGGCATCCAAGATCTTAACTCAAATAAATTGGGATGCTTGGATTAATGGAGTTGGCTTACCTCCTGTCATTCTGAACTTCACAACCCCAATAGTCCCTGAAACATAATAATTAGCAAAAGATTATATAAGGTATTCTGATTTTGTTTAAATGTTTTTTTAATAAAATTTAAATAATATATTAAAATAGTTTAAATGGAACTGCATCTCCTAGCAATTACGATTTCTTCAACTAAATCACCTTAAATGCAAAGACTATATTTTTGTAATATCTATTTGATAATTTAAGTTCAGTGAACACAGCTATCATTTAAAGAATCGATTAAGACTACTAACTCTCCAACAGCACTAACATGGAACTCTAATGGAGATGGTATAGAGTAACAATCAAGGTCGGTTATAATGCTAATATTGAATAAATTCATTCCTTCCTTGGAAGTATTGGAAGATTAAAAATGATATCACCAGTTTACTAAGCTTTAGTTGAGACAAATTAAAAAGCTTTAGCATAGCAATATTTCAATGAATACTAAAACTTTTATCATCCTATCGCTGTAATTGCTATCAAAAAGATTGTCTAATGAGTACTCACTTGAACGAAAAATAATAAATAAAGCATTAATAAAAGTATTAAATTTTATTTTAGCTTTATTTAAGTTCTTATAAAAGAATTTTAAATATTTTGTATCAATTTTACACAACAGACTAAAATTATTAATTTAAAAAAACAAAGGTTTATTTATAATTTATGAATAGCTAAAACCATACTTATAATTTTTGTAACAAAAAAAGATTTATTTGCTAATTATCTTTAAATAAAGTTTATGAATATTTTACAGTCTTTTCTAAACTATAAATGTATTTTTGTACTTCTTATCCTTTTAAAAAAATTCTTATTACTGTTGTTTCTTTGTTAATACCTGTTTTAAAATTTAGATTCTAAAATGATTCCTAACACTCTTGTCAAAATAATTTTTTGGAATAAAAAATACAAAAAACTATTACATTAATCTTTGTTGATTAGCATTTTAAATTTAATAAAAATTGAAATAAAATAATATATGTTAAAATTTGAGTTCAAGAGATTTGGACTTAGACTTAATTAATTTGATATTGAGAAGATTTTGATTAAAACTTCTATCTGGAATATTTAGTACTTAAGTGTGTGGTGAATTAGTTTTTAAGTAAAATAGACTATTTAAAAAATTAAATTCAACTGATAACTATTTATTTAATGTGATAAATCTATTTCAACAACAAGGTTTTTTTAGGGTTTTAGGCAAAGCTCAATTTAATTATTTACTTGATTATGGAAAACCTTTTTCTTTTACATTTAGTTTTTTATTTTTACTCATAAAGATAATTCTCAATAATCTGAAATGTGTTAGCTACGAGCAAGCAAGTTTTTCATTCTTACTCATTCATTATACAACTCTAGTTTCTATGGATTCATTTAGTTTTTGAAATAAATATATAAAAAATTTATTTTAAGATAAAACTTTATTGATAGTATTGTAAAACTTTTTCAAAAAATGGAAGAAGTCAATTTTTTTACAACTTTCATCTATTTTTTTACAATCATTCATTCGTTAGATAAGCTTAATTGTAGGTTTAAAGGAAAACAAGAAAGAATTTAGACTAATTTATTTTTTAATAAAAGAAAAATTAAATTAAAAATACAGATTAGATCTACCTTATCAGAATTAATTAACGTTTAAGTAACATTCAAAAATCCCAATTTAAATAGTAGTGTGGTCTACGAGTATTTATTAAAATTATAATAATTAAAAATTTTAGAAAACAAAAGATTTTTAGAATGGTAACAAAAGTTTTTGCAACTACTTTGATTTCCTTGCTTTTGATCACTGGAGCCGTATATTACTTCAGCTAAAGTAAAAGTATGCTCAATGACTTCCATGGAAATTTGACTCCTACTGAACACATGCTTTGCAAGGCTCAACAATTTTAACAGAATGACTACACTTGTATTGATAGTTTTCGTGATATGGAATGCTAACAACATTACTACAGTTTTCTCAGTCAATACAGATAAAATGAAACTAAATTTTACGAAATTTACAAAAGATAGCCTGAAGATGTAAAGTATGTAGTAGACGGATGGAATAAATCTTGCAACACTTTCGAGCACTACAGAAGATGTGGAGATGCAGAATACCTATTTACTCACTGCGTCTTTTCAGGACAAGTCTCTGACTGCTCTATTGAAAACAGAGAATATATCGAAGCTGCTTGGGAATGCTCAAATGTTCCAGATGGTATTCCTTTCTGGAATGTAGATCTCTACTCTGCTAATTGCATGACTGGAATCGTTCATTTGGCTAAAGGTTCTTTGGCTGAAGCTTTAGCTTGTAAATGAGCTAGCTGAATAACAGACATTTTATATATTAAAATAAGATACAGTCAATATTTGATTTATTATTATATAATTATAAAATAATATATATTAATTTTGTGCTTAAAAATAGTATTTTCTTTTATAAATTGTCATTTTTTAATTTTAAACTTATTTTTAAAGCAATGAATTGTAACCTCAAGTTTTTTTTAATAATTACCATAAAATACATACATGATTTTTTATGAAGAAATATTTTTACTCATTAACACGAAAAGTATAATAGTTATATTTTTAAATTCCTATTAACTGAAAAATAAATAATATTAACTAAAACTGAAAAAATTAATAATAAAAAATAATTTATTATCATCAAAGACAAGCTTAATAGAAAATATAATAAAAATGATTTATTTTATATACATGCTTTTATGCTTGACTTCATAACATCAGTCATAAAAATCTCACTAAAAATAGGCCAAAAAAGTGAAAACCTATTTAAAATAACAGAAGAAATATTTAAATAGAGTCTTGAGAAATAAGTAATTGCATAAAATGTTTGTTTTATGAAATTAAACAGTTATAAATTGAAATATAACTACTCCAATCAAATAGAAAATGTTAAACATTAGCATCATGTTGCAATTAACTTTATTTTCTCTTTTAGAGATTAATCTGATTCACTTCCATCACTAGTTATATTTTATAAATTAATTTACTATTGCTGAGCTGACTTCTTTTCATTAGCAAGATACCCTATTCTAATCTACTCACTTTTTATCCAATATTATCATTTACTTCATTTATATTTGGATTTTGGTGATTCTGCATTTTTTGTTTTATTTTTACTTTTTTAGATAATTTTTTGAAATTAATTATTAAAACATTAAAAAAAATAAAATTATTACTTTGATGTAAGAAATATTTCTCTTTTTTATTTTCTTTTTGAAAATCTATTAGAAAATATAAATTATAAATTGAAAAACACGAAAATTAATTAGAAGAAAAAAATGATACTGCTCAGCTTATCTAAGTAAATAACAAAAGAAATAAGTTAGGTATTCATTAAAATCCTTTCTTATTTTGCAAATATTGTTAGTTTTTTCTAAATTATTATAAACTAAAGTTAAAAATCTAAAATAAACTATTAAATATTAATTGCTTGATTAAAATATTTTGAGATAATTTTTAGAAATTCCATAAAATTTTTTATACCAAAAATTTATTTTATTATTAAAATTAATTTAAAAATGATGAGTTCTAAAAATAAAATTTAAAAAAACACTAGAACATTAAAACATATTTTTAGGTTTATAATTAAATCTTAAATTTTATTAGATAAAAAAACTTTTTTGGTCATATTTTAGTGTCATGTCATATTCGCTATAAAATAAATTCCTTTTCCATTAAAATTACCATTTTAGAACTATCCTTCATAATTATGACCTTTTCTTGATTCTAAAATTCCAAAACCATAAAATATATCATTTATCCATTCACATTCATATTTCTTTGAGATATTTATTTAACTTTTATAAAGTATTCACTTACCACTTATTTCATCATTTTTAAAGTTTCCTTCATATTTATCTCCATTCCAGTATTCTAAAGTACCTTTGCCTTCTTTCTTACCTTTAACCCAATAGCCTTCATATTTTTTTCTAATGTCATTTTCACTATAAAAATAAATACCTTTTCCATTAAAACTACCATTTTAGAATTATCCTTCATACATATCACCTTTTCTATACTCTAAAATTCCAAAACCTTCAAATTTATCATTTACCCATTCACCTTCGTATTTCTTTAAGATACTTGTTTCACTGTAATAAAGTATTCCTTTGCCAATTTTTTAACCATTTTTGAAATTTCCTTCATATTTATCTCCATTCAAATATTCTATTCCTTTTCCATTAAAACTACCATTTTAGAACTATCCTTCATACTTATTACCATTTCTAAATTCTAAAATTCCAAAACCTTCAAATTTATCATTTGCCCATTCACCTTCGTATTTCTTTGAGATATTTGCTTCATTATAATAAAGTATTCCTTAACCACTTCTTTAATCATTTTTGAAATTTCCTTTATATTTATCTCCATTCCAGTATTCTAAAGTACCTTGGCCTTCTTTCTTGTCATTAACCCAATAACCTTCATATTTTTTTCTAATGTCATTTTCACTATAAAAATAAATTCCTTTTCCATTAAAAATATAGTTTTAGAACTACCCTTCATACATGTCACCGTTCCTAAATTCTAAAATTCCAAAACCTTCAAATTTATCATTTGCCCATTCACCTTCGTATTTCTTTAAGGTATTTGCTTCACTATAATAAAGTATTCCGTTACCACTTTTTTAACCATTTTTGAAATTTCCTTCATATTTATCTCCATTCAAATATTATTTTCCTTTTCCATTAAAACTACCATTTTAGAACTATCCTTCATACTTATCACCATTTCTAAATTCTAAAATTCCAAAACCTTCAAATTTATCATTTACCCATTCACCTTCATATTTTTTTCTAAAGGCATTATCACTATAAAAATAAATTCCTTTTCCATTAAAAATATAGTTTGAGAACTATCCTTCATATATATCACCGTTTCTAAATTCTAAAATTCCAAAACCTTCAAATTTATCATTTACCCATTCACCTTTGTATTTCTTTAAGATACTTGTTTCACTATAATAAAGTATTCCTTTGCCGCTTCTTTAACCATTTTTGAAATTTCCTTCATATTTATCTCCATTCAAATACTCTATTCCTTCTCCATTAAAACTACCATTTTAGAACTATCCTTTATACATGTTACCATCTCTAAATTCTAAAATTCCAAAACCTTCAAATTTATCATTTACCCATTCACCTTCGTATTTCTTTGAGATATTTACTTCACTAAAATAAAGTATTCCTTTACCACTTCTTTAATCATTTTTAAAATTTCCTTCATATTGATCTCCATTCCAGTATTCTAAAGTACCATTACCTTCTTTCTAATCATTAACCCAATCACCTTCATATTTTTTTATAATCTTTTATTCGCTATAAAAGTAAATTCCTTTTCCATTCATCTTTCCCTCTTTCATTTCACCTTAGTACCTATCACCATTTTAAAACTATTTTACAACAATTTATCCTTTTTGATTGTCTGAGTTACTCTTCTCAAACTATTTCAATTCATCTAAACAAAATTGAAGATGAATTCTATTTTTAGGTTCTACGCTCATCATTTGAAAAGCTAAATTAACTAACTCTTTACACGGGTTTTCTTAAATAGAAGGAAATATCCCTTTCTTTATATTAATCATATTCAAACCAAATATGTTTATATTACAAAGAAAGCAAATAATACATCCTACTGAGTAAATATCAGATTATTTACTAAGTTTACCTTCAATTTATTCTGGGGACATATAATCCAAACTTCCACCTTTTGAAATAGTGTGAGATTTAGATCCTAAGAGTTATTTAGACATTCCTAAATCACATATTTTTATTTTATCATCATCATTGATAAGAATATTTTAAGGCTTTAAGTCGCTGTGTATAATATTTTTATCATGAATAGCTAAAACACCTTCAATAATTTAAGTACAAATTTCAACGATTTCTTCTTTTTTAATATCGTTTTGTTTAAAAAAGTTAAACAGATTACCTTTTTAACAAAACTCTGAAATGATAAAAAAGCATTCATTGTCTTCATCGTAAAGCTGCTAATAACTTTTGATGACGTTGGGATGATTAATTAAAAGGCATTTCTAATATTCTTAAATATTTTCTTTTAAAATATCAGCATTTGTTACAATGATAATCTTTATAGCTACATATCTTTTGCTATTCGAAGAATCAATAGCTTTCATAACAACACCGAAACTTCCAGAATCTATCAATTAAACTACAAGGTAGCCATATTATGATAGAAAGTTTATAGATTGCTAAATTTAGTTAGAAGTTATATAACTTTATTTACTTTGCAAAAAATCTTTGATTTCCTCTTTGCTTAGCTTTTAAACTTCTTTGTTTTACATTTTAAAATCCAATATTTAAATTAATTAATTAATCAATTAATAAATAAATATTCTAATTAATCTATAAATAAATAAGTTAATCAAAAAAAATAATAAATCTTTAATTTTAAATGATAACCACAATCTTTTAATTAGATGATTATAACAAATAATAATTTTTTATATTTAGTAATAAAGCCTTTTTTTATTATTTTTAAAATTATATTTTTATTTTAAATTAAATAAATATTTTTATAACAGTTTTATGAATTATAATATTATACTTTTAATTTTTTTTATTGAAGTTAAATGAAATAAAAATATTAAAACTCACTTAAATTTTTTTAGCTTTTAAAAACCTCTATTTTCACTTTAAGATTGAAATAATTTTTCAATAATTTAAATAAAATTCTAACTAAATTTACTTTAAAATTTTCATTATAATAATTAAGCATATTATTTTTTTAAATAATAATCAATTATAAATTTAAAATTTAATACATCATTTTAGTTAAGTAACTCTTATTACAAATTTATAATATTTTATACAATATTTAATTTATTTTAATATAAAAAATTATTAAATTGATCAATTTATTAAATATTTAAATCATAATTTATAAGATTTAATTATTTAAAACTAGTGTTGAGCAAAATTATTTGATATAATTTGTTACAATTCGTGTATGTAGCATTGAAAAAGACAGTACCTTAGGGTACTATATGTATATATATTTAAAATTATTATTTTTATGTTTTTAAATGCTATTAGTTAAATAAATTCTATAAGGGAAAAATGAAAATTAAAGAAAGCAATTTAAATATTAAAATGAATTAATGAGATAAAAATCAAACCTTTTATTAGTATTACAAATAAATCTGAATTTTTATTAGATAACTCCGTTTTTATAGTCAAAAACAAAAAAAAATAACTATTATATAAAATAGCTCAAAACTATTAATATTTATTTATTTTTATAATATTTTCAATTAGTTTAAAATTTATCATCAATCCACTCACCATTAAGTTTTTAACCATTTTAATCTAATTAGATTCCTTTTCCATTCTTTTTCCCATTCTTGAAGTTTCCTTCATATTTAGTACCATTTTTATACTCTAAAATTCCAAAGCCTTCCTATTTATCATTAACCCATAATCCATCATAGCTCTTTTTAATATCATCTTCTTTATAGTAGAAGATTCCCTTTCCATTAAATTCACCATTTTTAAACTACCCTTCATACCTATTCCCATTTTTATATTCCATAATTCCAAAGCCATCTTTTTAATTACTAGCCCACTATCCTTCATACTTCTTTATATTGTCGCCTTGTTTATAGTAGTAGATTCCCTTTCCATTAAAATCATCATTTTTGAATTATCCTTCATACTTATTCCCACTTTTATATTCCAAAATACCAAAGCCATCTTTTTGATTATTAACCCACTATCCTTCATACTTCATTTTATTATCACCTTCTTTATAATAGTAGTAAATTCCCTTTCCATTAAAACAATCGTTTTTGAAGTATCCTTCATACTTATTCCCACTTTTATATTCCAAAATACCAAAGCCATCCTTTTTATCATTAACCCACTATCCTTCATACTTCTTTCTTATATTATCTTCTTTATAGTAGTAGATCCCTTTTCCATTCATCTTTCCATCTTTCACTTCACCTTCGTATCTATCACCATTTTAAAACTATTTTACAACAATTTCTCCTTTTTGATTGTGTGAGTTAATCTTCTAAAACTATTTCAACTAATCTAAAGAATCTTGAAGCTAAATTCTATTTTTAGGCTCTACACTCATCATTTTAAAAGCTAAATTAACTAACTCTTTAAAGCAATTTTCCTATATAGGAGGAAATATCCCTTTCTTTATATTAACCATATTCAAACCAAATATGTTAACATTACAAAGAAAGCAAATAATACATCCAACTGAATATATGTCAGATTATTTACTAATCTTACCTTCAATTTATTCTGGTGACATATAATCCAAACTTCCACCTTTGGAAATGGTGTGAGATTTTGATCCTAAAAGTTATTTAGACATTCCTAAATCACATATTTTTATTTTATCATCATCATTGATAAGAATATTTTAAGGCTTTAAGTCGCTGTGTATAATATTTTTATCATGAATAGCTAAAACACCTTCAATAATTTAAGCACAAATTTCAACAATTTCTTCTTTTTTAATATTGTTTTGTTTAAAAAAGTTAAACAGATTACCTTTTTAACAAAACTCTGTAATGATAAAAAAGCATTCATTCTCTTCATCATAAAGCTACTAATAATTTTTGATGACGTTGGGATGATTAATTAAAAGGCATTTCTAATATTCTTAAATGTTTTCTTTTAAAATTTCAGTATTTGTTACTATGATAAGCTTTATTGCTACATATCTTTTGCTATTCGAAGAATCAATAGCTTTCATAACAATACCAAAACTTCCAGAATCTATCAATTAAACTACATGGTAGCCATATTATGATAGAAAGTTTATAGATTGCTAAATTTAGTTAGAAGTTATTTAACTTTATTTACTTTGCAAAAAATCTTTGATTTCCTCTTTGCTTAGCTTCTAAACTTCTTTGTTTTACATTATAAAAACCAATATTCTAATAAATCTATTAAAAAATATATTTTTTTAATAAATATTAAACTAAATATAGTTAATCAACAAATATACAATTAATCATTAGTTTTAAATGAGGATCACAATAAAGAAAATATAAATTTTTATTTCAACTAATATGGTCAAATAAATAAAAAATAAAATGTACCATAAGTTCTGTTTATTTAAATGTGACCTTAAGGGAAATTTAATAAAAATATTTTATATTTTTAAAAATCTAAAATTTTAAAAAAGCTGTTAATTAAAATAATTACCTAGAATCAATCATTCGCAATAATCTGCAAATCTTCTTATAAATAATATTCTCAATATAAATTTAATATTTTTATTAAACTAATTAGAAAATTTATTACTAAACTTATCAATAATTCAAATTTAAATATATCAAAATTGACCCAAAAATTATGATTTCTAAAAACAAAAATAGTAATAATTTACAAATTTTTAGGAAAAATTCTTATTTTTAAGTTTTTAAATGCTGGTAATTTAATAAATTCGATAAGGGATAAATGAAAATTAAGGAAAGCAAACAAAATCTTAATATTAGTGAATGAGGTAAAAATAAAATAATTTTTAAGGATTACACTGAAGTTTTATAAGATAACTCAACTTTTATTGTCAAAAAAAAAATAATAACTATTATATCAAATAGTTCAAAACTATTAATATTTACTTATTTTATAATATATTTAATTATTTTAAAATTTATCATCAATCCACTCACCATTAAGTTTTTAACCATTTTAATCTAATTAGATTCCTTTTCCATTCTTTTTCCCATTCTTGAAGTTTCCTTCATATTTAGTACCATTTTTATACTCTAAAATTCCATAGCCTTCCTATTTATCATTAACCCATTATCCTTCATATCTCTTTCTAGTATCATCTTCATTATAGTAGTAGAAGATTCCCTTTCCATTAAAATGATTATTTTTAAACTACCCTTCATACATTGAGCCATTCTTCCATTCAAAAATTCCAAAACCTTCAAACTAATCATTTACCCATTCACCTTCATATTTCTTTGAATCATATCTTTCACTGTAATATATTACTCCTTTGCCATTTCTTGAGCCATATTTGAAATTACCTTCATATCTACTCCCATTTTTATATTCCATAATTCCAAAACCTTCTTATTTATCAGAGACCCACTCTCCTTCATACTTTTTTTCTTAATCTTAATCACTATAATAGTAAATTCCTTTTCCATTAAAATCACCATTTTTAAAATACCCTTCATACCTCTAGCCACTCCTCCATTCCAAAATTCCAAAGCCTTCAAACTAATCATTTAACCATCCACCTTCGTATTTCTTTGAATTATTTGTTTTACTGTAATATAATACTCCTTAGCCATTTCTTGAGCCATTTTTGAAATTACCTTCATACCTATTTCCATTTTTATATTCCATAATCCCAAAACCTTCTTATTTATCCGAGACCCACTCTCCTTCATACTTTTTTTCTGAATCTTAATCTCTATAATAGTAAATTCCTTTTCCATTAAAATCACCATTTTTAAATTACCCTTCATACCTCGAGCCGCTCCTCCATTCAAAAATTCCAAAACCTTCAAACTAATCATTTACCCATTCACCTTCATACTTCTTTGAATCATATGTTTCACTGTAATATATTACTCCTTTGCCATATCTTGAGCCACTTTTGAAATTACCTTCATACATATTCCCATTTTTATACTCCATAATTCCAAAACCTTCTTATTTATCAGAGACTCACTCACCTTCATATTTTTTTTTTGAATCTTGCTCTCTATAATAGTAAATTCCTTTTCCATTCATCTTTCCATTTTTCATTTCACCTTCGTATCTATCACCATTTTAAAATTACTTTACAATAATTTCTTGTTTTCGTTTTTGATTATCTGAGTTACTCTTCTTAATTAATTTCAACTAATCTAAGCAATCTTGAAGCTAAATTCTATTTTTAGGCTCTACACTCATCATTTGAAAAGCTAAATTAACTAATTCTTTATAGGAGGTTTCTTATATAGAAGGAAATATCCCTTTCTTTATATTAACCAAATTCAAACCAAATATGTTAATATTACAAAGGAAGCAAATAATACATCCAACTGAGTAAATGTCAGATTATTTACTAATCTTACCTTCAATTTATTCTGGGGACATATAATCTAAACTTCCACCTTTTGAAATGGTCTGAGATTAGGATCCTAATAGTTATTTAGACATTCCTAAATCGCATATTTTTATTTTATCATCATTATTAATAAGAATATTTTAAGGCTTTAAGTCGCTGTGTACAATATTTTTATCATGAATAGCTATAAGACCTTCAATTATTTAAGAGCAAATTTCAATAATTTCTTCTTTTTTAATATTATTTTGCTTAAAAAAGTTAAACAGATTACCTTTTTAACAAAACTCTGTAATGATAAATTAGCATTCATTCTCTTAGTCATAAAGCTGCTAATAATTTTTGACGACGTTCGGGTGATTAATTAAAAGGCATTTCTAATATTCTTAAATATTATCTTTTAAAATGTCAATATTTGTTACTATGATTAGCTTTATTGCTACAAATTTTTTGTTATTCTAAGAATCAAAAGCTTTCATAATAACACCGAAACTCCCAGAATCTATCAATTAAACTACATGGTAGCCATATTATGATAGAAAGTTTATAGACTGCAAAATTTAGCTAGAAGTTATTTAACTTTTTTTGCTTTGCAAAAAATCTTTGATTTCCTATTCGCTTATCTTCTAATCTTTTTTGCTTTACATTTTAAAATCCAATATTCTAATCTCTTAATAAATATTCTAATTAATCTAAAAATAAATATTTTTACAATAAATATTAAACTAAGTATTTAATGAAAGAAACAATAAATCTTTAGTTTTATATGAGAACCATAAAAAAATAAAAATAAATTTTTATTTCAATAGAATATTGTCAAATATAGCATATGAATAAGCTATAAATTAGATTAATAAAATAAGTAATAATTTTTTTATTTAGACATTAAGATTTTTTTATCAATTTTAAAATAAAATTATTTATTCTAATATTTTATGAATTACAATATTATAATGTTAATTTATTTTTATTGAAGTAAAAATTTATAAAAATAGTAAAATTTTATTATTTTTTTAGTTGGGTTGAAAGAATTTTTAAATAAAATAAAACCTAAATTTATTTTAATTTATTTTACAGTTAATTAATTTAAATAATTTATTTATCTCATAAATTTATTAAAATAAAAATGAAAAATAATTCTTAAATTTTATGAGCTATTAACAAATATAATAACCAAGTTTTAAATATACTTAATTCAAAAATTATATTTTAACAGAAGCATATTTTAATAAAATAAACTGAATAACTCCTACTAAATGTATATTTTATTTTTTATAATATGTTTTTATTGTAAACTCTTTGTAGAATAATATTTCTTTTTCTTATCCTCTTTCATCTTTTTCTCTTCTAATATATAAGTAAGGCTCCTATAAATATTCTATTACTTTAAATGGCTTGATTATAGTTTGTTTTCTATCTAAATTTTGGTGTCATGCAAATATTTTAATGGATTTAAAGCTAAATAATCATCATTTTATATAATAAAATCTTATGTATGAGATTATACTTTAATCTAATTGGTTTTTTCTCCAACATTATCATTTAACTAGTTTGTATTTGGATTTTAATGATTCAGTATGTCCTGTTCATTTTGGTTTTTTAGATAATTTATTTAAATTAATTATTCATACATTAAAAAAAAAATTACTACATCAAAGTAATAATATTTCTCTTTTTTATTTTATTTTTTTGAACAAAATTGACCCAAAAAATTATGGATTGTAAAAACAAAATTAAAAAAAATACTATACTATTTCATTAAAATATATTTATCAGTTAGAGTGCTTGTGCTTAACAACTTGAGCTTGCTAAAATAGCAATAATTTACAATTTTTTAGGGAAAATTATTATTTTTTTTTTATAAATGTTATTAGTTTAATAAATTTGATAAGGGATAAATGAAAATTAAAGAAAGCAATCAAAATCTTAAAATGAGTTAATGAGGTAAAAATTAAACCTTTTATAAGGATTAAAATTAAATCTGAAATTTTATTAAAAAACTCCGCTTTATAGTTAAAAATAAAAAATAACTATAATATCAAATAGTTCAAAACTATTAATATTTATTTATTTCTGTAATATTTTCAATTATTTTTAAATTTATCATCAATCCACTCACCATTAACTTTTTAATCAATATAATCTAATTAGATACTTTTCCAATCTTTTTCCCATTCTTGAAGTATCCTTCATATTTAGTACCATTTTTATACTCTAAAATTCCAAAACCTTCCTATTTATCATTAGCCCATTATCCTTCATACTTCTTTCTTTTGTCACCTTCATTAAAGTAGTAGATTCCCTTTCCATTAAAATTATCATTTTTGAATGATCCTTCATACTTACCCCCATTTTTATATTCCAAAATACCAAAGCCTTCTTTTTTATCTTTAGCCCACTATCCTTCATACTTCTTTCTATTGTCACCTTCATTATAGTAGTAGATTCCCTTTCCATTAAAATCGCCATTTTTGAATGATCCTTCATACTTATCCCCATTTTTAAATTCTAAAATACCAAAGCCATTCCTTTTACCATTAGCCCACTATCCCTCATACTTCTTTCTATAGTCACCTTCATTAAAGTAGTAGATTCCCTTTCCATTAAAAAGATTATTGTCGAATTATCCTTCATACTTATCCCCATTTTTAAATTCCAAAATACCAAAGCCATTCCTTTTACAATTAGCCCACTATCCCTCATACTTCTTTTCACAGTCATCTTTATTAAAGTAGTAGATTCCCTTTCCATTAAAAAGATCATTGTCGAATGATCCTTCATACTTATCCCCATTTTTAAATTCCAAAATACCAAAGCCATTCCTTTTACCATTAACCCACTATCCCTCATACTTCTTTCTATTGTCACCTTCATTATAGTAGTAGATTCCCTTTCCATTACTAAGATCATCTTTGAACTACCCTTCATACTTATCCCCATTTTTATATTCTAAAATACCAAAGCCTTCTTTTTTACTATTAGTCCACTATCCTTCATACTTCTTTCTTATGTTATCTTCTTTATAATAGTAAATTCCCTCTCCATTAAAAAGATCATTGTCGAATGATCCTTCATACTTATTCCCATTTTTCAATTCTAAAATGCCAAAGCCTTCTTTTTTACAATTAACCCACTATCCCTCATACTTCTTTCCACAGTTACCTTCATTAAAGTAGTAGATTCCCTTTCCATTAAAAAGATTATTGTCGAATGATCCTTCATACTTATCCCCATTTTTAAATTCCTAAATACCAAAGCCATTCCTTTTACCATTAACCCACTATCCCTCATATTTCTTTCCACAGCCACCTTCATTATAGTAGTAGATTCCCTTTCCATTAAAAAGATTATTGTCGAATGATCCTTCATACTTATCCCCATTTTTAAATTCTAAAATACCAAAGCCATTCATATTATTATTAGCCCACTATCCCTCATACTTCTTTCTATAGTCACCTTCATTATAGTAGTAGATTCCCTTTCCATTAAAAAGATTATTGTCGAATGATCCTTCATACTTATCCCCATTTTTAAATTCCAAAATACCAAAGCCATTCTTTTTACAATTAGCCCACTATCCCTCATACTTCTTTTCACAGTCATCTTTATTAAAGTAGTAGATTCCCTTTCCATTACTAAGATCATCTTTGAATTATCCTTCATACTTATCTCCATTTTTCAATTCTAAAATGCCAAAGCCTTCTTTTTTACTATTAACCCAATATCCCTCATATTTCTTTCTACAGTCACTTTCATTATAGTAGTAGTAGATTCCCTTTCCATTTAAAAGATTATTGTCGAATGATCCTTCATACTTATTCCCATTTTTAAATTCCAAAATACCAAAGCCATTCCTTTTACCATTAGCCCACTATCCTTCATACTTCATTCCACAGTCACCTTCATTATAGTAGTAGATTCCCTTTCCATTACTAAGATCATCTTTGAACTACCCTTCATACTTATCCCCATTTTTATATTCTAAAATACCAAAGCCTTCTTTTTTACTATTAACCCAATATCCCTCATATTGCTTTCTACAGTCACTTTCATTATAGTAGTAGTAGATTCCCTTTCCATTTAAAAGATTATTGTCGAATGATCCTTCATACTTATTCCCATTTTTAAATTCCAAAATACCAAAGCCATTCCTTTTACCATTAACCCGCTATCCCTCATACTTCTTTCTATTGTCACCTTCATTATAGTAGTAGATTCCCTTTCCATTTAAAAGATTATTGTCGAATGATCCTTCATACTTATCCCCATTTTTAAATTCCAAAATACCAAAGCCATTCCTTTTACCATTAGCCCACTATCCTTCATACTTCATTCCACAGTCACCTTCATTATAGTAGTAGATTCCCTTTCCATTAAAAAGATCATCTTTGAACTATCCTTCATACTTATCCCCATTTTTATATTCTAAAATACCAAAGCTTTCTTTTTTACTATTAGCCCACTATCCTTCATACTTCATTCTTATATTATCTTCTTTATAATAGTAGATTCCCTTTCCATTCATCTTCCCATCTTTCATTTCACCTTCGTATCTATCACCATTTTAAAACTAAATTACAAAAATTTTTCCTTTTTGATTGTGTGAGTTAATCTTCTAAAACTATTTCAACTAATCTAAAGAATCTTGAAGCTAAATTCTATTTTAAGGTTCTACACTCATCATTTTAAAAGCTAAATTAACTAACTCTTTAAAGGAATTTTCCTATATAGGAGGAAATATCCCGTTCTTTATATTAACCATATTCAAACCAAATATGCTAACATTACAAAGAAAGCAAATAATACATCCAACTGAATATATGTCAGATTATTTACTAATATTACCTTCAATTTATTCTGGGGACATATAATCCAAACTTCCACCTTTTGAAATGGTGTGAGATTTAGATCCTAAAAGTTATTTAGACATTCCTAAATCACATATTTTTATCTTATCATCATCATTGATAAGAATATTTTAAGGCTTTAAGTCGCCATGTACAATATTTTTATCATGAATAGCTAAAACACCTTCAAAAATTTAAAGGCAAATTTCAACAATTTCTTCTTTTTTAATATTGTTTTGTTTAAAAAAGTTAAACAGATTACCTTTTTAACAAAACTCTGTAATGATAAAAAAGCATTCATCCTCTTCATCATAAAGCTGCTAATAATTTTTGATGACGTTGGGATGATTAATTAAAAGGCATTTCTAATATTCTTAAATGTTTTCTTTTAAAATTTCATTATTTGTTACTATGATAAGCTTTATTGCTACATATCTTTTGCTATTTGAAGAATCAATAGCTTTCATAACAATACCGAAACTTCCAGAATCTATCAATTAAACTACATGGTAGCCATATTATGATAGAAAGTTTATAGATTGCTAAATTTAGTTAGAAGTTATTTAACTTTATTTACTTTACAAAAACCCTTTGATTTCCTCTTTGCTTAGTTTCTAAATTTCTTTATTTTACATGATAAAAACCAATATTCTAATAAATCTATTAAAAAATATATTTTTTCAATAACTATTAAATTAAATGTAGTTAATCAAGAAAGATACAAATAATTATTAGTTTTAAATGAGGACCACAATAAAGAAAATTTAAATTTTTATTTCAATTAATATTGCCAAATAAATCAAATTAATTTTATCATAAGTCATTTATTTAAATGTGACCTTAAGAATAAAAATATTTTATATTTTTAATAAAAAAATCTTCTTAATGCTTAAATAATTTAATAAAATATATTAATTTTATAACTTTTTGATAGATCTAACCATTTATGTTTAGTTATACATAAAAGGGTGGGAAGTGACAAAATATTTAGTCATATAATTTTTTAATTATGTTTGATAATCCACTATTGCTTTTAATTTACCAATTCTTTGTTGCCAAAAAAACCCCCCATAAAATAAAATTTAATACTATAAAAAAGAATAGTATTCTTTTTTTATAATTTCAGCATCATTTATTTAGATTGTTTAATTTTATTAATGAATATATTATGTGTAAGAACATATCTTTATTGATTGAGATTACAAAAATTTCAGAAGTGCTCTGAATTAAAAAGATTTTTTATAAATTCTCTTAATAATATTAAATTTTCAAAATTGAAATCATTAAATTAATGTTTTAATATGTTTCTTCTTAATTCAAAGTAATAAGATGAGTAGTTTAATTATTTAATTAATAGAAAATATATATTATTCTTATACTCAAAAGAAATTAGTTTTTAATTTTTAGTTATGCAAAGCTAGATGATTTACTAAAGTGGAAAAGAAGGAAAAGCTAACATATTTTGATTAGATTTATGCAGGTATAATTAATGATGGCTTTTAATAAAAATTTTTAAAAATGATATATTTTTGAGAATTTATTTAGTTATTAAAGAAGTTAAAATATCTGATTATAAATTAAAAATTATTCTTAAATTAAGAAATACATCAATTCATTTAAAATTTTTCGTGTTTTTTACTGTACTTATTTTATTTATAAAATGCCAGCTTGAAATTTCATTTATGGCTATTATTTACATAATTAAATTATATCATATTAATATTATCAGACTTGTCAGCTTAATTTTGATTAGAGATATTAAGTTTACTATAAATTAAGATTATTTGTTTACATTTTTCGCATTATAATTAAAGATTTCTAAAATAAAAGAAATTAGGAATATTACATTTGTAAAGGCTAAAGTCGATTTAATAGCAATTTTCGAGTTTCAAATATTTTATATAGATGTCTCGTTTAAATGCCTTTTTTCAGCTCGTAGATGATCCCTAAACCCCTCCTTGGAAGAAGTAGGCTCATAGCTAAATCAAAGAGCTTAGCAAACATTCTAAAAAACAAACTGAATTAGATGCTTAAGAAAAGAAAAGATTAAATCTAATTTAGCAAAAATTCGCAGGATTTTTGTAATTCGATTATGTAAAAGAAACAAATTAAGATAAAGATGGCGATTCATCATATTAATCATCAGAAGATTATCCAGATGATGATGAGTATAATGCTTTTTAAATGTAAGATGAAGAGAATACTTAGTTTAACAAAATAGGCATTGATTCTATTATGAAAGCTTTATCGAAGAAGAAAAAGTCAGCCTTCGAAGTTAAGCTTTTGTCTCATGCTTTAATGCACAACCCTTTTTTTAAAAAGATGAGAAAGTAAATAACTGAGACATTGTATGAAGAGCTATTTAAGGAAATTTATCTGGAAAGCTACAATTCATTAGATACTGTATTTGAGTTTGGAGATACTGGTGACAAGTTTTATATAATTTTATAAGGCGAGGTTTATATACTATCTCCTACTTAGCTTGGTATAGCACTTTAGTAAATAGAAAAATAAAAAGAAGAATAAGCAATAGATAAACTAAAGTAAGAATCTACCCTTCAATCTTAAAAAATGAGCGCTAATTTCAACTAAAGCTAAATGCCAAATGATAAAATCAATGAATTATAAAGAAACTCTTCAAGGCACAAAATGAGTTATAGTAAAAATATAGCTACAGGAGAAGATGACTAAACTCCTAATTCTTTCTCTTCTCAATCTCCTGTATAGCAAATTAAAAGGTAGCAAGAGAGTCTAAGAAAATAAGCTATTAACAGAAATCATAACTAATAAAAATTAAATGACTCCTTTTCAAGTTTTATTTCCTCTGAATAGACACCATTAAATTAAGAGAGCGAAAATTATAGTAAATTTTTGGAAAAAGATTAATAATTAGATTAAGACGGGGCAAGTGAAAGAGTTCGATCTCGAAATTCTTCGTTTAGTTCATCTAAATCCCAAAGCATTAGGCCTAAGCAATTATCTTTAAACGAGCGTTAAAAAGAAGAAAAGAAGTGTGTAATTGAGTAAAAGATTTACCAAAAATATCCGAACTTTTACATAGTAAAAAAACTCTAAACAGGAGATAATTTTGGAGAAATAGCTTTACGTATGGATAAAGAAAGGACAGCAACAATTGTATGCAAGAGCAATTGTAAGTTTGCAGTTATTTCTAAAAAAGGATTTCAACGTATTTTAGGAGGTAATTGAATAATATTTTTAATGATAAACTTAAAATATTTTAAAATTAAATTATCAATAGATTTCTTTAGACTTTAGTTAGAGGAAAAGGAATAATTCTTGTAAAACATTGAATTATTTAAAGGCTATAATTTTGCATTTTTAGCAAATATTTTGATGAACATAAAAAAAAAAATTTATAACTTTGATGATATTATTTATGAAGAGGGTTAGGACTCAAATAAAAAATTATATTTTATAAAATCTGGAGAAGTTGAGCTTAGCAAAAGAGTGGTTATTCCTGATGACCCTGCTGATACACCTCAATCGAAATAATTTAAAAAAAATGATAGAGTAGTAATTGCTTAGAAATAATCAAAGGAGTGGTTCGGCGAAGTTGAAATTATGTAAAATATGAAAAGATTCACAAGAGCTAGATGTGTTTCTGCTAAGTTAGAAGTTTTTTACATTACAGCTTTGAAGTTTTTTGCAAATATAAATATCGAGCAAATGATAACTGATATGAAAAAAAGCTCATAAATGATAGATGAGTGGAGATAGAAACATTATGAATAAATGGTTAGTCGCATTTATAACAGCAAAAGGGATCCTCTTAGAAAAACGTTTTCGAATATGCAGGTAGCTCATGATTTAATAAATTAAAAATTTAAATAAGAATTCATGAAGGTCAAGCCATAATAAATTATACTAAGTAAGCCTGAAGAAACATCATTAGCAGCAAAAATTGTATATTTTAATTCAGTAAAGTCCTATGTGAATAAGATAAGTGATGTGATTGGAACAATCTCAAAATAGAAATACCAAAGCATTATTGAATAAAAAAAAGATGCTAGTCAAAAAGAAAATGATTTAAATAAAAGAAAAGAGCAAGCTTTGCAATTAAGGTCTCTATCTTTACCAAGAAATAGCCAAGTAAATCTAAATTTTTTATTTGAATTTTATATATCTACTAGCTTATTAATTAACTAATGTGTAATTTTTAAATAATTAATTTAGATTCTAAATACTTCTCAAAACTCTATATAATCTCATGCAAGGAATCTTTCTTAAAGTTCACAGCATCAAAACACACCCTGCAAGTTACCTCTAATATTGTCTGCTGAGTAATTTGATGAAATTAGTGCTAAAAAATCCATTTCTACAGCTAAGAATTCAACTAATACTAATTTGGCTAGCAAGTCTGTAATTATTAATGCTGAACATGAGAAACTGCCTCAATTAAATTAGCATTAAATTAACAAGTTTTAAACTGAGAAATCATAAAATTTTTAAACTGAAATTTCATAAACAACAGATAGAGAAAGAAAGGTTTAGTCATCATTTTCTACACCGATGAATAAGAAAATTAAGTTGAACTTGAATAAAAAAATTTTATCACATTTATGCTCTCAGAATGAATTGGAGGATTCATCAGCAAGAAATAATCTTAGTTAAAATTTTCCTTTAACTACCCCTCACACAAGCTGCACATTAAATTATATATAACACCCTTCTAAGCCTCTTATTTCTGATAGATTGAATACAGATAATGAAATTTTAGAAAATCTCTACTAAGAAATTGTAGGTAATAAACAGAAATAAAGTAAACTTATTTTTAATAAAGAAATGAACTAAAAAATGGTTGAAGAGGGAATGAGAAAAAAAAATCTATAGTTGCACTAATCAAAATAACATGGATGTGATTTTACCAACTTATAAAGTAGCATGGCTTCATTAGTAGGTATTCCTAATGAAAGTCTTGGATAAGACCAACTCAAAAAATTGAAGCTGTATAGAAAGTTAAAATTAGATAATATCCTAGATTATAAGTATTAAAACAAATTGAAAATAGAATTAGCATAGAAACAGCTTCAAAAAGAAGCTTATTAGAATTAAATATAAATTAATAAGACCAAAGATGGAATAGAAAGTATTTAAAATAATCTAAAATTCACAAAAAACTAAACTTCTTTGATTCCTAAAACATTTTCTAGCAAAATTATTCAAAGCAAACAAAAATTCCCAAATGCTTTTTCCTAAATTTCTCTGAAGCTTCCTCTTCCATAAACAAATTAACTTGTAAATAAAAGTTTGAATCATCATGATATTTTTAATAAAAATACAATTAAAAAAAAGTAATTTGAATGATTTAAATAAAAAAAATAAGTTATTTGCACTTAATATTTGGAAAAAAATAATTATTTATATAGTCTTAAATTAATTTAGTGATTTAAATATTAATAACATTTTATTAATCAATATTAGTATTTACTTTTATATACTAAATAGTATTGATGTTTTTAAATTTATCTAACAATCTTTCAAATAAAATAAAAATTGTATAAGATAAAGTCGATATTTATATTTAGATGCATTAGATAAGTTATTTTTAATGATTAACTTAAATCCAAAAAATATTTTTTAAAAACTTAATAATTAATTTATTAGAAAAAGTAAAAAAAAATAATTTTATAAATTAAAAAATTATTCAAATTATTTAAACTTTTTTTAATAAATTATTTCTCAAAATTAATTTATTAACTGCAATATCTCAATCAAAATATGGTTTATAAATGTTGTAAGTAAAAACCCACAAATTGAATTTTAGAAAAATTAATAAAATTTAATTAAGGAATTATTTGTTTGATATTTTGAAGAATTATGTTAAAAAAATTTTTTATTAAGATTTTATGAAAGTATTTTTAATAAAAATATTAGGATAAAATAATAATTTCATTTAAAATAATTAGCATGTAGAATTTTATACATATTATTTTAAATTAAAATAGAAAGATCAAACATCATCATAAATATATCTTACTTTGCTTGTTAGATACAATAAGTTGATAAGTTTTATAAGACTCTTTTTACATATGGCATTCGTAGAATTTATTATAAATTTAAAAGCTTGAATGAGAAATGTAGATAAGAAAAGTATATGACAAAAAAAAAAATCAGTGTTAAATATTAATGTTTAATACATAATATTAGCTGTCTTTTTATTTATTAGATTTATCATCCAAAAAACACATAAAAATAATAATAAACTGAACTTATACACTTGATTTATAAAATTTGATAAAAAGTAAATTTAGTAATTAAAAAATTAGCAATGATGCAAAATCTCTAAAATAATAAGAGGACTCATGAGTAGTCAATAAAAGAAGAATATAAGGGCGAAATAATAAGTTAGAACTAGTTTTAGAATATCCCTCAAAATTTATCAGAGGAATTTGAAAATCAAAACCCTGATCATGTTATTGATAAGAATTCCAACATTTGGTGGTGCATGGATTGCGATAAAAAATATAAATCCTATCCCGCCTTCTACACACATAATAAGATAAAGCATAATGGAAATCCTCCATAAAAGTACAGAATTCCTAGAGCTTTAGACGCTATTTCAAAAGATAGAGGTCGTCCTAGAGTAATATCTTTAGTTTATAACCTTTAGAAATATATAAAAAAGTTATTATAATTAGGCAGACAATAACCCAAAAATGAAATTTACTACTGAAGATAAAGCCCAACATAATTTAGAGGATAATTTATTTGACTTTTTAGGAAATTTAGGTTCAAAAGTAATAATTGTATTTTTCAATTCTAAACATATTATTAATGTCTTAATAACTTAATATAGGAAAGTAGCAATACAATTATTAGAGAATACCTTAAAAAGCCTCTTGATGCATCTGATGTGCTTGATAAGATTAAAAATACTTTAATTTAAAGAAAAAATATATTATAAATCTACAATATCATAGAATTTGAATTTAGGTAAATAATTTTTTAATATTGAAATAATCTTTAAGAACAAATACAGCAATAATTTTTGGACTGCATTTAATTTTAAAAAAGTTCGCATTATTTGTTATTTGGTGTTACTTTAAAATTTAAAGTAAATCATACAAAGCAAAAGCAAAAATAATAAAATTTTATCTATAATATCAAAGGAAGTTAAACTAAATTCTAAAAGATCACGAAAATGATGAGTTTATTGATCCTCTTGACATAGATCCTGATGCTCAAGATGATATATCTTTATATAATATCAAAGGACTTTTTAATTATATGAGAGACCAAAAATAATTAACTAGGTTTTCAATTTTAGTCATATTTTTAGCATGGCTTGGTAAAGAATTAACTGAGGCAGCATTAAAGGAAGTTTTAATTATATGCATTGAGTATTTTTCCTATTTTTCTGCATTTTTGGATCAGAAAGGAAGTATTCAATCAAAACAAATAGAAAGCAGAGATGCTGCTACAAATTAAGTTAGGTAGTTATATGAGACTAATTAATCTACTTTTAGTTTATTAAAAAAATTTGATGATGCCAAAAAGTTAGTTGAATTTTTCCATTAATGGTATTGCAATTATGAAAAGATGATTTCTAGCAGTATTCAATAGACAAATATGCAATAAGGACCTCCTCCTCAATTTCCTTAGTAGCAATAATAATAAATAAGAATACCTTAATAAATATCCCAACCTAACCCAATGTAATATCAGCCATTTTAAATGATGTAAATGCAAAATATGCAAAGTAATTAAAATGATTATTAATTTCAACAAAAATTTTGATAAATTTAAATATTTATAAATAGACCCATTAAGAATGGTTATGGATCCAAATTAAATGTTAAACAATTAATGAATAGTTCAAGAAAAATAAATTGAAAATTAAATATAAACATTATGACTAAATTTCTATTAAAAAATTAGAATTAAATCTCTATTTTAATAAAATATTTTACTAACGAAAATAAATTGTTGTAAATATATATGTTTGTTAGCTTTAAGCTGTTATATATTATTAATAGTTTTATCAATTTCATTTATTTCTTTGTATAAATATTATGTGCAAAATTATCTTTAAAATTTATTCTTCGTAAACAAATATTTTAATTTATAAGAATCAAAAATAAAATAACATTTTTAATTTAAATGTGAATAAGTATTGTTACTATAAATAATAATAAATTATATTTGATTTTAAAATTAAAAAGAAAAGAATGAAAAGTATTTTTAGAATTGTTTTTTATCTTTAAAAGATATAAATTAAGCGCTCTATAATTTTTGTTTAGTAATATCAATTTATTTAGCTTGTAATTGGTTATCTGATTTTTTGAAAATTCAAATTCTATCGTATAATATTTATAATTAATTAATCAGCATTTTATTTTGATTTAATTCAAAAAGATTTTTAAAGATCTATTTGACTGAAAAATTAATAATTATTTATTTAATTATTTCATATAAGTGGTTTTAAAAATAAAATTTGATTGATTGATTAATAATCTAGTCTTTATATATTTGAAAACTTAAATACAATTCTAATTAATTATACATAAGAAGAATTAATATCCATTTTATAAAGCTATACTGTAAAAATATGTCTTACAAGCTTAATAACTCTAACACATTCTCTCCTTTAAGAGCAAATAAATCAATACCAAGTTTAGGAGGAGGTATAAATATTAGAGATACAGATGCATATTCCACAATGATAGTTGAAGATTTACTTCAGGTCTACTAAAAAATATATAAAATTTATAAATTAGCATTTCGTACTAAATATATCAAATAGAATCCTAATAAATAGCAAATATTTGTGAAATGAAATATTTATTTCAATTTGAATGAGTTAAATCTTAAATTTTTAAATTATAGGGAGCTAATGAGTGGAGAAATATTTAAGATATTATTAGATTAACTCTAAGAGCATTAACAGATGTAGTAAAAGCATAATCTGATACAATAAGAGAAATAGAAAGGTAACTCCCTACAAAGGTAATGAAATGAATTAAAATAAGTTTAGTGAATAAGCATTTTTTAAAAATGATAGATTTGCATAATAATATCTTTTAATTCTCTTAATTTATTTTAAAATCAATATTATAAAATATATATAATATAGGCTAGTAAAAGTGAAATGAACACCTAATTAGCATAAAAGGCGAATATTACTGAAGTCAGTAGAACAATAGCAGAAATAGCATAAGGAATAGACAACAAAATTTGTTATGATGATCTCTAGCTTATGTTAAAAGATTTTGTTTCAAAGAATGATTTGTAATACTAGCTTTCTAGTAAAGTTAATATTGAAGAAGTTAGATCACTTCTTTAAACTAAAGCATCGAATATGGATTTAAAGCAAGAATTATAATTGTTAAATGTAAAATTCGAAGAACTTTAACGCGAATTTGCAAAGAAAGCTGCTACAAATGTTTAGCATAAAGATATTGAATATGTTATCAGTTAATTAGAATTAAAGGCAAATGTTCAAGATGTAAATGAAGCCCTTGAGACAAAAGCAAACAAAGCAAGTGTCTCTAATGCTCTTCATCGTAAAGCTAACAAAGTTGATATTGAAAATTAGTATGCTAAAAAGTAAGATATTGCAAATATTGGAAATCTTTTAAATAATATGGATGAAAAAGCTGAATACTCTAGCATTGAAAAAATTATGTAGATTTTAAATAATAAAGTTGATAAGTCTGACTTTGCTTAACTTTGTAATACTTTAGATCAATAAGGGGGAGATCCAAAAGAAGTTTAACTTTTAAAAAATGAGTTTTCTTCATTCAAGAGTAACTTTTCTTAGATTGATCGCTAACTTGGTTTAGATAAAATTCGTGCTGATATTAATGGCTTAGACCAGACTATTCAAGCTCTTATTTAGAACAATTTAGGAGGTGTTTAGAGTGATAAAGTTTTGCTTAGCTTAGAAAAAAAATGTGATGTGTCTTAGGCATTTGATTTAGTAAACAAAGCCAAAAACGACTTTTAAGATTCTTTGATAAAAATATAAGATGAACAGTCGAAATCATAACAAATTTTCACAGATAAATATTTTAAAATCTTAGAATCTGTTAAAGATGAGATCATAAATGTAAAACTAATTTAATATTTTCAAAATAAGTTTAATGAATTAAATTTAAAGTTAAAAGATTAATTAAATCATTCAAATGAGGAGAGATATTAAACAGAATAATAACTAACTGATTATATTAAACAATAAAGTGAGTTGGTTTAAAGTGATTTAATGTAGGAAATAGATAAAGTCTATAATGAATTAGACGAAGTTCGTAAGTAAATAGATGATGTTTCTTCTCTCAAAATTGACAAAAAAGAGCATGGCGAATTTAAATCTAAAGTTATGGGTATCTTAGAAGATAAAGTTGATCTTTCAGAAGTTTAATAAGCCTTAAATGTTTGCTAAGCAGATATCTCGGCTAGATTTGTGGAATATAAAGAAGAAATGAAATTAAAGTTAAAGAACGTTGAAGGAGATATCCTCAATGCTGTATCGAAGAAAGCTAACCTGCAAGATATTCAAGACATCTTAAATTCTAAAGTAGATGCTAGTATGGTCCAATAGATCATAAGTAAAAGAGCTAACTCTAAAGAAGTAGAAGCACTTAGAGTAATAGTTGACAAGATATCAGTAGATATAGAGGAAAAGTTAACTGTAAATGACTTTGAAAACCATGTACTATAAACTAAAAATGCTCTCGATGCTATTTAAAAAGATATGATACTAAAGGCAAATATAAAAGATGTCTGTGCTCTCTTAGACACTAAAGCGAGTATATTTTATTTGATTTTAATTATATATTTTTATTTACCTATTTAAATTTAATCAGATATTGACGACATGAATAAAGCTTTGACTGAAATCTATAAGGATTTAGACTCTAAATCTAGCTAAGAAGATTTAAATATTATAATTAATGACCAAGCTATCATAAATGAATCTCTTTGTACTGAAAATATTGTCGGCAGATGGACATGGAAAAGTTAAAATTTGAAATAAGGAAATTTAGTTCCTTGGGAGTCTTAGGTCGTCAATACATTACCTGATAACTTCTAATGGGAGAAAGATAAATCTTATATTATGTGTGTTACTCCTGGTTTATACTAGGTATATTTTTTATTTTATTTTTTTAATTTTATGATTTCAATAATTAAATTTTAGGTCAGTTTTGGATTCTTTTGTTCAAAGAAACCCTCCATTTAATTACTGGTTAATGGAGAGCTTGCTATTTCTACACTTGGTAATGAGGGCCACACGTAAATTAATTTATTTGACAGATTTTATGAATATTTTATTTATTTTTTAAAAAGTGTAAACTAGAAGTTTATTAATTATGGCAATCATCCTAGTGGAAACATAACAGGTAAACAAATATAAATTCACTTGAAATTATTAAAGATTAATAAATTTTACTAAATTAGGTATGACTCTTAATGAATTCTTAGTATTACCTGAAAGAGCTAGAATTAGCATTATATATGAAGGTGATTTTGGTGCTGAAGGTTTCTTAGGATTAAAGAGATTGTGAGAAAAATTTTGAAAATTTATAATTAACTAATGAGTAATAAATAAATAATGAAATAAATATCAAAAAATAACTAAAATAATTAAAAAGGTAATATAAATAAGTAATCAAAATAAATTGATTTAAAGATATTAAATATAAATATATATTAAAAATATCATGTTAAGATAGACACACAGATAATTAATTGTTGAAAGTATGTATATAAAGAAATCAATAAATTAATAATAATCAAGCAAACATACATACAGACAAACAAACAAACATATTACACAGGAATTTTAGATGCAACTTTGTCCAATCAAACTCATCAATTTATATTTATATATATTAGTATTTCATCTCTAATTTTATTATTAAAAGATTAATTTAATATTGTTCCTTTGTGTCTATTTTTTAATTTTGAAGAAATTATATAATTATTAAAAAAATATATCTATAATTTGATCAGTACGTCTACTAAGTTAATCAATCATTTAGGATATGGATTCTTTGAAAAATATTTTAGCAAAAAAAAAGGAAACGGTTTAAAAGCAAGGATAGGTTGTTAAAAAAGCTGACTTAGAAAAGGAAAGAGAAGAGAATTACTGGAAATAATAGGCTGAAATACAAAAATAGGAAGAATTAAGAAAATAATAATATTTGGAAGATTTGCAAAAATATTAAGCTAATCCTTACAAAAAATTAAAGAAAGATGAAAAAAAGGATGAAGGTTAGTAAAATGAAAACAAAGAAGAAGAATAGCCTCCTATACCTAAAGCAGAAGTCATTAAAAAATTGAGATAATTTGGAGTTCCTGTAACTTTTTTTGGTGAAACTGATTAACAAAGATACAAAAGATTAAAAAAACTAGAACTTGATGCTACTGAAAATAAAAATTAGGGTGGTAACGTCTATGATAAAATTTTAAAAATGAATGAGGAAGACTTCAAAAAGAAATAAAGAGAGGAAGCTGATTATATTGATGAAGAAAAAATTTAAAAACTTTTTGCAAGGTTAAACTAACCAGAATAAAATATTAGTACTGAAAAGGTAACTAATAAAAAGCAGTAAGAATTAGAAATAGAAAAACTTAAGCAAGTGTCTAACGATACTAAAAATGAAGATATTTTAATATGGAGTTAAAAAACACTTCGTGATTGGGAGTAGAAATTAGAATAGAGATTCACAACTGATGAATAGAAAAAATCTGTTTTAGCAAGAAAATTAATTGGTAATTTCCGTCAAACATCAGAGTACTTGAAACCTTTGTTTAAGCTTTTAAAAGAAAAGAAATGTAGTTAAGATATTCTAGATGGATTATACATAGTCGTAAATTATGCATTATAAAGGGAGTATGTAAAAGCAAATGACAAATATTTAGCCTTAGCTATTGGTAATGCTGCTTGGCCTATGGGTGTCACAATGGTTGGTATCCACGAAAGAGCTGGTCGTTCCAAAATTTTTAGTTCTTAAGTTGCACGTAAAATTCTATTAAAATAAATTAAAATTTCTTTAAATGAAAATAATTAATAAAAAAGATATATTAAATGATGAAACAACCAGAAAGTATTTGTAATCAATGAAGAGACTTGTTACAGTTTAATAGCTTATGTATCCTTCTGAAGATAAAGCTAAGATGATAAATTATGACAGTAAATATTTTTTTAATTTAAATAAAATAATATTAATCTATATTTTAAATAATTAGCAACAATGGAGGAGTTATTTTGAATTATTTTGAATTTTTGGCTTTATTTTAAAGATTTTATAATAGCAAGGAGTTGATATTTCTTTCAATAAAATATATTAAATTATCTTAAATGTAATATTTGTTGATCTATATTTTTATATTTATTTATTGTATTAACTTAAAAATTTACAACTAAATAAGCAAATAAAAACATCAAATACTTTTACAAAAAATTAACAAATTTTTAAATTGAATACAATTATTTATTCCATGTTAACTAATATGCTAAGGAAGGTTATTTTATTTTCTTAAAAAAATAGCTCTTTAGTGGAAATCTCTGCGTAAGTAAGTAAGATTATATTTCATTGATTTGTTTTTAAATTGTTAACAAATTCATTTAGTTAAATTTCCTCTTATGCTTTATCGATTTTTTCTTCGTTTTTCTTAAATATTCTTTTTGGGGTATTCATATGATCATTAATTTCAAATATGTCTTCATCATCACTTTGATTATTAGCTTCTTCAGCTGGTAAAACTTCTCCTTTTTGCTAATATTCTTTGATTTTATCTTCAATATCTAAAAATTCATAAACTGGATAGTAGAAACCTCTTAAAGTGAATAAAAGAATTATTTTCGATTTTTCTGATTGTGAAAATATTTTGATAAAGCAAAAGCTTATAAGGATGATAATATCAAGAATGTTATCAATAACGAAGGAAGCAAATACAGAGGTAAAGAAAAATTAATTTTGTTAGCTGTTAAAGGAGAGAATAAGGATAATTATTGGTATTCCCATTCCAGCTTGCAACATAAATACCAAACCATAGTTCATTAAATGGAAAATTTTAAGACTTTTAGTGACTTACTCTACTATTTCTGTAGTTATTTTGTCCTGCTTAAAATCTAACCATTTTTACTTGATATACCATTTCATTTTGAAAAGATTTACCATGCAAATAGTCAAATAATATGTTACGATAGAACAAGCAACTGAAGTTGAGCTTATCTAAATGCTAATTATTTATCTTTTACCTACATTTTACTATAGCTCTTATTCACTTGGAAGACTATAAACTAGCACAAAAATAGCATTATATAGAAATAGATTTATAATTAGTTAGGCATAATTAATACTACGCTGTAAACGAGGAAAGAAACTTGAGTAGGGTCCAAAAATCAGAGAATAAATTGGATGTACCAACCAATAAGAGTCTGACTCCTTAATATATGTTTCTTAGTCTTTCCTATCTCTAATGATACTTATTACTATAAAAATAGTAATAAAGATGATATATATTAATAAGGCATATAACAGAGATAAATTTGGATTAAAACTAGATTGACTCACTTAAGGGTTTTCATTTGTTCCATTATTATTATTTGAATTTATTAGTTGATTTATGAAGTTTATAAATTATTAGTCATTAGCATAAATCTATTAAGTAGCATTCCAAATCACAGTTAAAGAAAGATTTGGATCAATATACTCTTAATTAACAATAACTCCATAATTTCCTGATATCTACTCACTTCCACATATTACATGAGTAGAATTTTCTCTTAAATATTACACTCCGTCTTATTTATAAACCTAAGAAACCTTTTAAAAGTTGTAAAATAAATTTAACATTAATTAATTATTTTTAATTTAAATTCAAAATTTTTACTGAATCGAAGTATATGCAAGTGTATGGCTAGTAGAAAGGTCTTATAACTGAAAGAATAGGAGTAGGTAGTATTTTAGGGATAGCTATTTCAACTATCTAACTAACAGTTGAGATTTGTATTTCTGTTTATTATGAATAAATAACTAACTCAGTTATACAACTTATAAATGGTGCTTAATATTAGCTTTATGAAAGAAATGGGTTTGAATTCCATTTGATAACTGCTGTTGACAGTGATGATTTGGGTGAAAATTAAGTAATATCGAAAGTATATGATATTTAATCTCCATAAAACACAATCGGTGTTTGTTATTGACCATCTGAAGCACCATTATTTGACATGAAAGCATCTAATAAATCATTTTAATAAATTAAATTCAAATTTATATTGGAAATATCTGTTTAAAATGATGTTTAAACTTATTCCTAACTTTTCAAATCATCAAATGATTTTGCAAAATTTTATAAATATAAATTAATTTGAGAATCAAAATCGTTCATTGTTTTCATGAGCAAAGATTGCTAGTCATTATAAGATAGTGTTTAGTCTTCATTTATGAGATTTATTAATTAAGAAGTTAATTTAGAAATCTTAAAGAGGATTTTTTCATCAGATATATTTGATTACACTCTCTAAAGCTGATTAAATACTTGGAAGTAAACATTTATCAGTGTGTTAAGTGTAAACTCATCAAAAATGCTGTAAAAATATGTAAGTTCTAAAAGAACTTCTATTGTAAAAAACAAATCGCTTGATTTATTTAATGGAATATTGCTAATTAGATCAGTTAGGGCTATTAAATGCTACCTTGCAATGTCAAGCTGATAGCTATTTTATTTAAAATAAAATTTAATTTAAAGTTTTTTTTGTAAATAAAATTATTACGATTAAAATTCGCAGTATCTACCAGCATAATTAATATTACAAATACATAAAATTTCATTATAGTTATCTTAGCTCCAAAGGCATTTTCCGTTTCCTGAGCAGTTGATATTCGAATCACATGGTATCTGTACACCCTTTAAGGAAGAATAAACCTAATTTAATTTTAATTATTTTTTATTTTATCTAATATTTTATCAATAAATACATACCTGATAAAACAAATGCCTATTAAAGATAGTCTAGCTAGTTGTTTATGATGACATCAAATTTTGCATTTAACTGTAAAATTAATAAGATAAGCTTTGTATTTGTTGCAAAGTTGTGATTTTAGAGTAAACTGAATCTAAAAATTCATCAATAGATATAGTTGTTTGTTGAAGATTTAAATTCAGGGCGATTAATAACTGCTATATTTAAACATCGAAGTCGTTATAAATGACTAAAAAGAATTATGCTTTGTTGTCTTAAAGATCATAACTTAAGTTTGGTATTAAGTAGGTAAATCTGCCATCTTAATAATTTTAACCTTTATCGAAAAAGAAATAATCGTTTCCAGTTAATTTTACATATAAATCAAAGCTAATGTTGTCAGGAACTGAGTTAAATAACCATCCGCTAATGATTAAAGTCAACTATAAATAAGCACTATTTATCTCAATGTTGAAGTTTCCTTTTGTTATAGCATTCATTGTTTAAAATGTTTATTACACCATACAATCATTTTCATTCTAGCAGTTGTTCGCTAAATCAAGAATAGAAGCTTATATAGTGTACTAAGTGTTGCTTTATAAACTTTTTGGAGGAAAAACTATGTAGTCAAAACGATTTTAAATATAACTCTGGATAGGGCCATTGCTTATATCAGTATTTCCAGTAAATAGTCTCCATTTAATAGAAAACAGATTTTTAGAGTAGACAAGTAATTACAAACTAATAGTCTAGCTATTATTATTTACACTATTTCCTAAATTTTATGCAAATTAGATACTAGGTTTAGAATTAAAGCTGCAATTCTCCTTCTAGGCTGTAGTTCCAAAAGGACACTATGTGAAGCAAAGCCCTAATAAAAACTAATATCCAGAACTACATCCATTAATACAATTGTAAAGACAAGGAGAACACTGAGGAATTGAAGGATCTTGCTAATAATAACCATCAAGGCATGTGCTACTACAAGTTGTAATATCTAGATGTAATAAATACCCGCTTGAACATTTTGTGCACTGTGAACTGCTCTTTCCAAAACATTAAATGCAATTCTAGTGGCAAGAATAGCATTATTTATTAACGGAATCATAATAGAAACCTTTAAGATGAAAAATTTTTTATCTTATTTAAAAAAATTTACATTTATAAATATTTTTTACCTATATCGCATTGAGTATCAGTTTAGCTTACTTTTTTCTTACAAACATCAAACAACAAAGTGTAATCTGTTGTTGTTTGACAGCTTATACATGAATCATATGTGGTTCCTGAGCATGTAGAACAATACGGGAAACAAGTTAAACATTGTCCATCATATAAATATTAACCAGGTTTACAAATCGGTTAATTCAAACAATCAGTTATATTTGGTCCTAAGCATTCGTTATTTGAGCTACATTAGCTACATTATTAGCAAGTTCCATCAGTTTTCAAATACGATCCTTTAGGACAAGATATGCATTAATTATTTGCTCCACCATAGCACTCTAAGCATGAAGCATCACATGGAATACAAGCCTATTATGTAGTATCTACATAAAATCCAATTAAAGGGCATTGCTAAACACATGAGTTAGTTTAACTATATAAGAAATACCCCTAATTACAAGATTGACAAGTATTCATATCAGTGCAAGAAGCACATTATTAAGGACAAGGATAGCATACATTGTAATTCTATTAAAGATAATAACCATTTAAGCACGATATGCATGAGTTAAATGTACCGTTAGTGCAACTAGAACATCCAAACCCACAAAGAGAGCATTAATTTGTTGACGAATTCATATAAGTACCATCAGAAGCACAAAAACTTTTGCATTCTGGCTTTAGATACTCTAAGAAATATCCATTCATACAGGAATAGCATGATTTATTATTTCCATTAAAGCAAGAGGAGCATTCTTAAGAGCAAGGCAAACATGCTTAAGTCGTTTTATCTCCATACATCGGATTATCTAAAATTATTAAAGTTAATATATAAATTATAAAATGAAAAGTATATTATATTTGTATTTACTTTAGCTTGATGGACAAGTATAGTAGCACTAATTATTGTATTTAAATAACATATTATTTGAGTCGTATATTTGACATGTTATGCAATCTATGTTATATTTATTTATTTTTAAATATTTTAAACATGAAATATTTATTTTACCAGTTTATGCGGGGCCTTAACATGTTTAGCATTATTAATTACATACCTAACAAGAATTATTTTTGCTATTTTAATAAAAACCTTTAGGACAAGCAGGAACACAGTTTTATTAAAAAACTGTTCCTTGAGGCCCATTGTAAGTAATTTGAGCAAATATGTAAGTTTATCCTTAGACCTATCCATTAGGAGTATAGGTAGCACATGTTAAACAAACTGAAGCACTTAAGCAAGTTTGACAAGGGAATACACAAGGAAGACACGATCTAGTTGCTTCATCTTAATAATAAGTCTAATCAGGGCATGTTTTAACACATGTACCGTTATAAAGATAATATCCTCTTTTGCACAAAATAGGTTTTATCAAATCGAAATTACTTTTATCTTGTTCGCATTACTCCATTTCATTAGGGCAATAGTCACAAATTGGTTGTTTCAAAGGATCTATTTTTTATTTATTTATTTTTACAGAAATTCTAAGGAAAAAATGTTTTCTCAATAATATTTTAATTACCTGCATACTATCTAGCAAATGTGTAAAAGCCAACAGGACAAATAACCAAACATTAAGTTTTATATAAATAATATCCAGTTTTGCATGCTGTACATTATTAATTATCTGCTCCAAAGCATTCTGAGCATGCTGTATTACAAGAAAGACATAAAGAGCTATTTTAATAGTTTCCATTAGGGCAATTATTCTAGCAGGAGGAAGGAGACCCAGATGTTAATGAGTATCCGTTCTGACATTGTAAACATCCTTAATTAGTTTAATCAGAGCAATTTTTGCAAGTAGCATTACATGGAAGACACCTTTAAGTAGCAGCATCTACCACATATCCAGATACACAATTTTTAACACATAATTAGTTTTCAATATCTAAAAAGTAACCTGACACACAACTTAAACAAGATTCGACTGTAGAAGGATTCGATGGATTTGTATTATAACAAGTTTGGCAACCAGTAGGGCAAATTTTACAAATTCCATTTATTTTATATTGAAGCTATGGACAAGTGCTAACACATTAATTTGTTGCTGTATTTAAGTACATATTATCTTTACAAGTTAAACATTATTATGCATTAGTTTAACTACATGTTCTACAATTATTATCACAAGGTATACATAAAAGCTATTAGCTTGCTCCTATATTTACAATTTACTAGGTATATCCATCTTCACACTACTTTAAACAACTTGAATTAATCTAATTATAGTAAAATCCAACACTGCAAGCTAAACACTATGTATTTTTGTTCCCAAAACATTAAGTACATGAACTGTCACATGCTTAGCAAATACAACTACTTCCAGAACAACTTACATATGTTTAAGCCTAAGGACATTAAGTCAAACATTAATTTTAGTATAGATAGAAACCTAAATTATTAAATACAAATTTTAATATTTTTTAAGTAAATATTATTTAAGATTAGCTTAAAGATTTAATTTCATTGAATTAATTTCTTTTTTTAAGTTAAAAGTATTCACAATTTTTAAATTTCTACTATATGTGATTTAAAAGAAAAATGGATAAAACTCTTTTTGTTTATATAAGCATGTTAATTTAATAAATTTTTATGGATGCCCTAGGCCTTTAATAATAAATATCTAAATTTAATAATTACCATTTTAGCATTAAGTACAATAAGTTGGATAATAATTACAAGCACTACAAGCCTAATCACAATTTGCGCATAGGCCTAAATTACTATCATAATATTATCCATTTGGACACTATATTGCAGTACAGCTTCCTTAGGTCATTTAATATCCAGTTGGGCAAATAGATTATGCAAATATATTTTTCTTTAAAACAAATATCAAAGCTAATATGTTAATTAGCTCCTTTTTGAATTTCATTTTTTTGTATTTTATAGTTCCAATTTAAAAAATCTAATAAGATCTGATTTATTTTTTACAAAATATATTTGAAAACGAAAAAAATATTTGACTAAAAGGATAATAACAAGATTTTATTGCTTGATGAAAAAGTATATACCAACTAATTAATTAATTGATTTACAGATTATTACAATTTTTATAACTAGCTTTAAATAAAGGAAATATTTGCATTTTGTAAAATTAATATGATTTTTTTTTTTAAATAGAAATTTTATATTTTAACTAATTATTTAATTTTATTTTATTTATTCTTAAAATTATTTTTAAAATATAATTAATTATTTTTTATTTAGTTAAATAAGTTATTTAAAGAAGTATCATAATATTATTAGTCAGTCTACAAAACATAATATTTACTCATTATATAATGGATATTAAGAATAAAACTTCAAAAAGATACTCAAATTACTCAAAGTCTAATTCAATTATTACTAAATTATATAAATCGAACTATATATAAAAGCATGCAATATTGATGCAAGGATGCAATTATCCATTGTATATCTCAACCTGAAATTAATATATTGAATAATCAAATAAATTATTTCGTAATAAAAAAAAAATTATTTGCAATAGATTTAACATTTTTAGTAAGTAAGATGCTAAATGATTCGTTGGGTAATAATTAACAGATAAATTGATATGATTTATAAATGAATGAATGAAAGAAATTAAGACAGAAATTTAATCTAAGCTGATCAAAATCAAGTAATTAAATTAAGAAAATAATATAATTAAAATTTTTCTTTTTTAACTATCCAATCAAAGAAAAATATTTAGTTACTAAATTAAACTATAAAGTTAGTTTCTAAGTTTGATAATCAACAATAAATATTAATCTTTTTTATAAACTTAAATGATACCTTTGAGGTCAGTAAATGCCCACAGTTTGGAAAATGGAAGCAAATTGAGTTTCACTGGTAAAAAGTAGAAGTTAAAACAATCTAAAAATATAAATATTTCTAATCTCCTTGACTATGATGACGATACAATGATTGAGAGAATATCCTTAAATTCAGCATTATATTCTACTCAACGCAACTCTAAAACTAGTAAAGGGACAAGCAGAAAAAAAGCATTTTCGAAAGGAGATAGATTTAAAATTTTGAATTAGAAACTTTATACTGATTAGGATTTTAGTGTCTCTAATTAAAACAACGAATAAGATGATATAGTCCAGTTGTATTAGTTTGATGTAAATGAAAGATGCAATACTTCAGAAGCTAGGCAATCAAAATATAATAGTCGCCCAATATCTTCAGAAGCTCATCGTTTTAAAATAAAAAATGATAATGATATTAACTTATAAAGATAATTATATAATAAGAATTTAAACAATACAAATTCTATAATATAAAAAGATGCTAATAACAGTTATTACTAGAAATAAAGTACTATGGACTTTTAAGATAAAGAAAATTAGGGATGTGAATAAAAGTTGCAATTATTTATAAGACCTTAATATCTAAAGTAAAGAGATTATTTAAGTATTGATGTTAGATCTAGAAAACAATCTATAGGTGTTGATTAAAGGAAAATGTTAACTAATAAAGGGGATACAAGTTTGACTTTAAATGCATCAAATTAACAACATGATTAAAATTATGATAATTATCCAAATAGAAGGACAAGCAATAGTTGTATGGGTAAATACACTATTGACATACCCTAAACTTAATCAATAGCGAATTCATAAACAATTAATTTTCAGGAAAAAGGAATAAGGTGCAAAACACCATCTATTTTATCTAGTTCTATAAATACCACAACTTTAACTCTAAATAAGTCTTTTACTAAGGGTAAAAAATCATTAACTTCAAGCAATAATGGGTCTCTATTGAGCTAAGTGCCAAATAAAAAAAAATTAAGTATTAAATATTTCGGTCAATAATAGTTATTAATAAATTTTATTTTATAAATAAATTTAAGAAATATTCCAAAAAAAGGAGAGTAAAAGTCCTCAACCTCATGAAGTTGTGCCTTTTAGTGTTTCTAGCCAATATTCTCGTAATGCTCCACTAAGACTATCAAAAACACCTGATTTAAAAATAATATCTATTCTTGGTGCTTATGTAAGTTTGTTTATTCATTAAATTTATGAATTTTAAAGATATTTTATAAAATAATTTTAAAATAGGATTAAATAAATTTAGGAAACTTTGTCTTTAACAAAAAATAATTTAAATAATACCTTAAAACACTAAACTTTAAAACACCTTAGGAAGAATAATAAATGATTAAATATATGTTTATTTATTTCAAGCAATGGTAAAAGAAAATTAACAGAAATTTAGATACAATAAAGCTTTAGCTTTTTTCGATTAAAGTAGAAGATCTAGAGGAAGAGAGTAAAGACATATAAAGATATATAAGAAAGAAAGCAAATTAAGCTAAAAGGATTAAGAAATGCATAAGTGTTTTACTCAATTATACCAAAAGTAAAAGAGATACCAGAAAGCTCAAATAAATAAATTAAAAGTGCAGTGAGTATGATTCTCTTTTAAAGACAATAAATGTTATTCATACTTTAAAAATGAGAGTTGAGGGGTATTTGATAAATAAAATATAAAAAACCTCACCTTTAAAAACAAAAATTCCTACTTAATAAGAATTAAATCATGTTAGTTATTAAAATAATTATATAAATCCTGATGATCAATATCAAGATGAAGAAAATAACAATTAACAATATGCTTCAAAAGTATTAGATAAAAATGAATTTGATCAATTTAAAGGAATACATGCTTAGTAAAAAAGAAATTCAAGTATATCTACACATATTTTTACTGCTAATTTAGATTAAGATCCATCCAGAGCTTAATCTAGAAGAATTAATATGGATCTGAGTGATGATGACTTTTAAATTAGCTAATCAAGAGTTAATTCAGAGGGAGTTAACTTATATGATAAACGAAGATCTTAAGAAAACCCAAATTTAATCTTATAGCAATAATAATAAATTCTTAATAATTAACATTAAGTTACTCCATTAACAAGTTAGACTCCCACTATGAAATCTTAATAAAATAAAACAGATCAATAAGTTAATTTTTATGACGTTTCTATGAACCAGAATTTTAATGAAGATATTAGATCCAAAGATTTCGGAAATGCATTAAATATTGATTTTTAAAAAGATGTCATCAATATTAAAAGTATCAAGCCTATTTCAATAAATAATGAAGAAGAGGAGCAATAAAAAAATACAATAAATTAAGCTTCAGTTGATAACATGATTAAAAACAATGGATCACTTAACACAAATTATTAAGAGAGTTTTATAAATGGTAATTCTTAAGAAAAACAGTCACCCAAATTTATTTTAAATAAGCAGTCAATAAATTCTTAAATAAATGAAGAGAAAGAGGAGCACGATACTCCTAGAAGGAAGTAGTTAAATAAGAAAAAGCAGACAAATCAGAATCAGGTTAATCCTAAATTAAAATTTGAATCTCTAGAGAGAGTAATTAAGGAAACAATAGCTGAATAGTCATTAAGTATAAAGCATAAAAATATTTTTTAAAATTACTTGGATTCTATTAAAATACCATTAGAAGATCTGCAAAAATAAGGCGAAGATGCCTAACACATTTTTGAGATTTTTAATAATCTTATGGCTTCTTTTGAAGTAAAAATTTAAGACCATTCTAGAAACTGCACTGATTTGAATAAAGTAAATTTATAAATTGATATAAACTAATAATTAATGTTTTAATTGTAAAAATATATAATTAAATAAATAAAAGTGGGATATATTGCTTTAGTACTTAAAAGATTTTGCATAATTAATTGATGAAACAGTTAAACTTGGAAGCGAATTAATGAAATTATCACAGAGTAGGGCGCTTCCATTAAATGTGACTAATAGAGCGGTTGTTTACTTACAGGAGGCTTAGGAAAAATACAGAGAAGTTTAAGGTCGAGTCAAAGATTCTCTTAAAGAGCTAGTAAATCATATGTGGGAATTAATTGAAGAAGGTATACATTTAAATTCTTGTGATGTTCAATATGAGTAGATATTCAAATTTATGGCAAGTATAAGAGATAGTGTAAGATAAAGCCAAGTTAATGATTATTAAAATAAAGAGAAACTTTAAATGATAGATGAAATAGCTCTTTCACTTAATGAACTATACAAAATTTCATACAGCATATAAAGCATAGTAACAACTAAAAAGCTTGAATTTGTTGATTCACCCTCTTTCTCTCAAATAAAAGAAGTTAAGAATTTATGCCATTAATTCAAAGCTATTTATCATAATTTAATGGACCGTTTGGTCTCACAAGGTGATATTCCAATATATTAGAACCAAAATTCATACAACTAAAATAAAGCTACTTCTCTCAATAGAGGAAATCAAATAGCTTCAAAATAAGACACTCAATAGAATAAAGGAGTGAAGGGAAATTTGAGAATAGAAAGAACTAATAAAAATGGAGATTTAATAGGAATTTCTTTAATTGAAAGATAATGTGAAGAAATAGAAGATTTATTTGAAATAAATAGATGGTTCATTTCAAATAGTTAAGATATTGACAATTTAATAATATTTTAAGACCCTTAAAACATCCCAGAAATATATCCGCCAAATGAAGAAGGTAAAAGAAGATTCTTTAGCGAAATTAGCATTGGTGTTGGTGTAATTTTATAGTTAAGAGAGAATGCAGAAGATATCGTAGATATATCAGGTAGTTAAAATCTTTCTAATGTAATTAAAAATGTAAAGCTAGCTCAATAAAAATATTAAAATATTGCAAATATCTCAGTTGCTGCTGCTGAGTTGAGCAATTTATAAAATTTTATTTACCCAAAATAACCCATTTCTGATGTTGATTAATAGAATGATAAAAATGAAGGACAGTATGATTCTATCACACACATATATGACTGCTTGAATAGAATTTAATTATAGTTTAATCATATCATATAAAACAATGAATGGTTTGATAAATTTTTTAAAAGATTAATTAATGGAACACTTTATTTTGATTTTGTGGCTGGTGATTATCCATTTTTGTGTGAAAGTATGCACAGTATACTCAGTGAGTATAGTAGTAGAAACAAATATTCGATCCCTTCAACAGAATAATTCTATAATAAAAAGAATATTGCTGAGTAGAAATTAGAAAAGGTTCGTAAAAACAATCACCTTTGTGAGAACGGGATTGCCCAAGCAATAATGAACAAAATATCATTTTTAGATCAAAGAATCACTTTCGCTGTAAATTTATTTGGTTCTAATAATTTTGTTCTTCCTAATGGTTCACTGCTTTGTAAAATTTTGGAAGCTTTCTTTGAAAGAATCGTTCATCAAAAATCTTTTTAAAAACTTTGTGAATAATTTGAAAAGCTAAGGAATTTTATGCTAAAGGGAATAGAAATAATTTGTAAAGAAAAAGAAGTTTTATGCAGCAAAAAAATGAAGGAGAATTCTAATTCTCTAAATACTTTTTCTAATGAATAGGAAGAAAGTTAGCTTTAAGTTTTATTAAATAAAAAAAAACCTAAATCGCAAACTTTATATTGTCATCAAATAAAGAATAACAATGAAATAGAGCCTAGTTTAAAGTCTTCACATACTACAGCTACTGCTTAAGGAAATAATAATTTAAATACAAGCTAAACTATTTCTCTTTCTTCAGCAATAAAGTCCTAATTAAAAACTGAACCATATGCATCTTCAGGAATTAAAAAGTGTTAAGTTATCAGAGAAATTAGATTTGAACAAGAACAAGGATCAGTTTCAACAAATGGTAAAAGTAGTAGTGTTGATTACAATGAAAAATTTACTGGAAAACTAAACTACTACGATAACATTTTAGAAGAGGCAGAAAATCTTTGTAAGCATTGCTCTTTATTTATTCCTTCAAGAGAAGAAGAAAATGATTTAAATAATTAAGAAGGCGAGTTGATAAAAAGTTTTTCTATTTATCAATATGATGAATTTCAGTAATTTGTTTCAAGATATTTGCTTGCAAAAAGGGATAAAGTTAATATTTACTCTAATACTCAACTAAGAGTAAAATGGATTGCACCTTATAACGAAGATTTTAGCATATTTTAGTAAAAGTATGCCTTTATTTAGAAATACTTATTACCTCCTGATTCTAATAGTTCATAGGAAACAATTATTGAATATACTAAGCATATAAACCAAGTTTTTCATAAAAACGGACCTATTTTTTATAAGTATGAGTTTCAAACATTTTAATCCTACCTTCAAATATATATTGATACACCAAATAGCAATTTTCATATTATGATTACTTTGTTATAAGATCCAAGTTGCATCCTGTATTCAGGTAATTTAGAAAACTAAAAATTCATAACAACCTTAGCAATAAATGATATATATGCAAATGTTAAAATGACAATTACCAGCAGAGATATATGTTAAGGAAGTGATTAAATGATGATTTCTCAATATTCTTCTAGATTTAACTAAAATTAAGAAAGAAATAATGATGATTAAGAAGAATAAATTTAAGAATATTAAAATAAATAAAACAATAGCTCAAATCGCAAATAGTCAAAAGATAAAGTCTCAAAAATAGATTCAATAAATTCAAATATAAAAGTATCTTAGATAAATAAAGATTAAAAAACATTTGTTAGACACAGAAGTATCCATGAATTTTTGATGAGGGCATAAAAAATAACCCAGCTTAGAATCTGCAACCTCAATTATAACTTAAAGGATGATGAACTATTTAAAATATTTTATCGCCAAATTGAGAATAGCTAACAAAATAAATCTTAGACAATTTTTCATAAAAAACCTTAAATTGAAGTTTATGCTATTATCAATGAAAAGGAGGTTATTTGTAGAAGAAAAAGTATATCTTTAGATAAAAATATTTTCTTCACTTAAAATAATCAAAATACTTAAGAATGGACGATTCTCTAAAGTTATTTCAAACAAAACCTAGAATAAAACACAAATTTTATTGACTTTTATGTAAAAATAAACAATGTAGAAGAGGGTTCCTTTTATGTATATGATAAAAATAATTACTATTCAATCAAAAGTTCTCTACTATTAAAATGTAAATATATTATTATTTTTCTTTCCAAATTGTAACTATTTTTTAAATATAGAATAAGACGTCCTTAAAGAAGCAGGTATTTCTAGTAATGAAGAAGACAAAGATTTAATAATTAAAAATGTAAATAATCTTTTAAATTAAAAATATTGGTATGCCTTTACTATTGCAGGTAATAATTCATTTATTGAAAGATCAAGGCTAACATCCTAACCATCAGTTTTAAATGATCTTTGAACCAAAAGAAAATTTAATTGTGGGTGTAGAAAAAATTTGAATGTTAAAAACTAATAAATAAAATAAATTTAAAATAAAAAAATATAAATCAATTTAGAATAAAACAAGCATCATTTTTGTTAGTATATTCTAAATATAGCTTAAATACAATTTAATGCTTGCCAATTAGCAGTGTTTATTAAATGAAATTAACAAAATAGAGTTCAAAATTTTATATTTAGAATAATTAATTATTCAATAATTCCTTATAATGTATTAAATAATTTTTTGATTTGTAAATAAAATATTATGTATAGATTTGTTTAAAAAAACTTAAATAATTATAAAATAAATATTTAAAATATTTAGTTTTTATTTTATCATTTAAGGACTTTGTTTTTTTTTGTGTTTATAATAAATTTATCTGAATTTTTAAATGTTCGTTCTTACGGAAATGTATGAAATACTCTTTTTAAATATCTTATTTATTTGTAGTAAGATTGTATTTTAAAGAGTATTTTGAAAAATTGTAAAAAATTTGCCCTATATTTATTTAAAAGTAATTTTAATTAGCGAAACTTGAACTTCCTTAAATACTCATAAATCAATCTTTGAGAGTAAATTGTACTAATTTACCTTCTAGTAGAAATAAGATGAGTCATTAGAATCAAAAAGTTTAAAAACACTGACTTAACATAAAGAATGAATTTGTTTGAGTGACTCATTGATAAAAACCAATTTTAAAAATTAATCTTAAATTTTATATATCTCCAATAAAATAATCAGTTGAAATTAAGAGTTGAAAAGATACCCACCTTATTAAACAAGAAAGAATAAGAAAAACAATAATTATAGATATTATAAATCAAATTAAAGAGAAACAATTATATTTATAACAACACAAAGAGTTAGCTAATATAGATAATCGATAGAGGCAATAAGTATCTTTAGTATTTAAGATCATACAGAAAATATACAAAAAGTTAGTAATATATCATCCATAATCATTATGGGAAGTAGAACACCTAAAAAAGAATTTGCATTTGAAGATGATGATGTTATCGAAAATAATAGCTATTCAATCAAATCTAAGCAGAATTATAAAAAGAAGTAGATAACACAGAAGACAACTAAATCCACTAATAGGGAATACAAAAATTGTGCTAAACTGAGTAAAATACCAGAGTAGTATGGAGAGGATTAAAGTTAAAGTAGTGCTGCAGAAAAATAAAGGGCAGCTAAAATGAAAGAATACATTTCTTCACTTATTGATTAACCCTAATAATTGAGGTACGATAGCTTAAACACAATTTAAGAATGGGCATATTCTGTAGGGCATTTTATGAACGATTTAACTGCAGCATGCTGGTTTAAGTAATACATTTTTAAAATAAATAAAATTCAAGTTTTGTCTTTTGTCTTTCATTTAAATTTGGAGCGTTTTTTTTAACGAATATATTTTTTTCTAAATAAGCAAATTTGATAATTAAAGAAAGTATTTTTTATTTGATTATTTAGTTTGCTTATTTATTAATTTGTTTATTTTAGATCTACTCTCAAATTATTAAAAATTTCTGTAAAAAATAGTTATTTGCTCTACTGGCTCAAGTAAGTACTTTAATTTTAGTATGCTTCCTGGTCTATGCTTTCTGGATAAATTTTTGATGCAATATCTACTCCACTTGTTGGATATTTGTCAGATAAAACAAATACAAGATTTGGAAAAAGAATGCCATGGTACATTATTGGAACTGTACTTGTTTTAATAGGATTTCTCCCAGTCTTTCATTGCTTTATTCCAGGAAAAATTTGGTTATCTTTAGATGATAATAACTCATTAAAAGCATTTTACTATATTTTTTTCCCCTCACTTTTTAATGTTGGATGGGCTGCAGTGTAAATATCCCATATGTCTCTTGTTCCAAGCTTGACAGTATCAAGAAAAAGAAGAGACTCTCTTAATAATAAAAGGAATACTTTTACATTTATAGCTAATTTGATAGTTCTTATAAGTGCTCTTATATTATTCTAAACTGTACCAGATTCACTGATAGACTTTGAACTATTAGGATGCATAGTGATTGCTATAGGTTGCTTGACTCAGTTATTCTTTATAGTGTGCATCAATGAAAAGAAGTTAACTTAAGAATGTGATAAATGCACAAATAACATCAAAAAAATATTATCATCAGCTTCCTTGGCACTTCCATAAAGAGAAACTCAAATATTTGATAGAGAACGTGGAAAAGTCATATCAGTTAATGAGTGCTTATCTTATGATGAAGATAATCCAGATCATGAAGAATAACACAAATCATGGAAGTAAGATTATATTTAAAAAGACCACAATTAATTAATTTTATTGTTTTGTATTAAATAGATAATGGCTTAAGGAAAGAGAATTTTACCACTACGCATTCGTTTATATGGGATGCAGATTATATTGTAACATCATCTCTACTATGATTAATTTTTATCTTGTTTACGTTCTAAGAATTGCCACAGAAGAAGAAATATCTGACAGTACTCCTATGGAAATAGCACTTATTCCTCTCCTTTTATTTATTTCCTCTGTTTTAATGTCTTCGACTCTAGACTAGTTGTATTAAAAAATCGGAAAAAGAAAAGTATTCTCTATTGGAGCCGTACTTATGATTGTTTCTAGCACATTTTTAACCTTTGTAGATGTAGAAACAGGTTATTTAATGTATCCAATTGCTATTTTGATAGGTTGCTCATAAGTTATGCTTCTAAACACAGGTATTACCCTAATATCTGATGTTATAGGGCTTAAAGGCAAAAGTGGTGCATTTGTTTTTGGTGCATATTCCTTCATGGATAAAATTTCAACAGGTATCGCTTTATTTTTCATAAGCGAAAGCCCTTACTTTAAGTCTGAATCCTTTATTAGGTGGGTTACTGTATTGGTTCCTCTTATTTCTGGACTTTTTGCCTGGTTATTAGTAATGACTGGAAGCATTAAAGATAATTTGTCAGAGACCTAAGAAAGCGAGGAATCTGATTCAGAAGATAGTCAATATATTATACCAAAAAAGAATCCACGCATATCCAGTTTGAGTGCAGATAACGAAGATGAAGAAAATGAAGATAGCTTTGAAAAAAATAAGAACTTCTAATAATTCATAGAAAATATAAAAAAAGAATTTGCAAATTGAAGTTATATGAAACTCAAAATCATAAAAACTGACCATAATTAAATATAAATAAACCTAATTAAAAATCTCAAAACAAATTTCAAATAAAATTAAATTATTTTTAAATCAATAGTACTATTTATTTATGTGTATTACAATTAAAATTGTTGATTTGTTTATCATTTTACTAAAAAAATAGCTTAATTAATTCTGAAACAAAACAAACTACAACTTAACTAACTGAATAATTATTTCAGTTTTCCATGCAAAAAGCTAATGTATTAAAAATAAATTTCTAAAATAATTTTAAATTAACTCATAATTATTTTCACTTTTATTATTATGATAATTCAACCATTAAGCAGCCTCTTTAATTTTTTTTGATGTAGTAATTATAATATGATATTGGTTACTCCTTATAAAATAAAATAGTTTATTATCTTTTTCAAATTATAACAGTATTAAAAAAAGCACCAAAAATTGTTTTTTCACTTTGTAATTAATAAATCATTTAAATTTATGATAATTTATCATAAAAAAACTTATTTCTAACATAATTTTAAATCCATTCTTATTTTAATTTTTTTCTAACTGTGAAAATTTCATCATCAGTCTTTTTAATCTTTCTACTATTTATTTTCTCAATAAAGTAATATATTAATCAATAAAGTAATATCAAACATTTGCTATTTAAATTATGTAATTGAGCCATAAATTTTTATTATTTTACTCATAAATTTATTTTGTATTATGAAAGTGTCTTGTAAAATTAAATTCAAAGAAAATATTTTTTCTCTTAATACTTTATTTTATAGTTTGATTACTATATAGCTGGTAAAATATATAATAAATATAAGAAATTTAAAGTGAGATCAATCATTATTACTAATTACATATTTAAAATTATCAATTAAAAGTTGTTAAATAAAACATACAAAGCTCAACAAAATCTTTAAACTGAAAGTAGAAGAAATAATTCAGTCGAAGGTAAAAAATTATGAAAAATAAAAAATACAATAGCTAGTTTGATGAAAAAGAAAATTTTCACTCAGATGATAAGATAAGCAAAAATTATTTTAGGAATTTCATCCAATAGCTCAAGACAAATCTAATGGAAGCAAATTTTTATTTGGTTGAATAGCAGTCTGATGGTATGTATTCTTATGTTATTGGAGTAATTATTGAGATATGTTAGCTATATAACTTTGTTTTTGCTCCTTAACTCAAAGGCAGTTGGAAAAAATAATCTACTATAGATAGTGTAGCCAGTATCTTTTCTGCCTTTATGTTTACTCATTATTTCTCCAGCTAAAGCTTCTAACTATATATCATCATCTAATATGTAGCAATATTTGTCATTCTCATAGTTATTCTGAGCATGTCTTTAGTAATATTTGAAATTTAAAAAAGGAAATAAATTAATGGATGGAGCTTAAAATTTTTTAAATATGGATCTAAATTTTGCAGTTTATTTTATATTTCTATATAAGACTTATTTATCAGCATCTTTAGATGTTATTATCCACTTAACCAAACTGATAAATTTAACGTTTTGTTTCCTAATCAAATGTGCTATGATGGTATTTATTACCTTTACATTACAATGAATACGATTATATCTATTATATTTTTCCTTTTTGTAAGCTACATTACTCTTATACAGTTTGAGTGCAAGATTTTTTCTAACGATTCTGGTTCAAAAGTAGCAAATAATTTTTTTTAAAAATGATTATTCATATTATTTATATTATTTAAAATTTAAGGTTTCAGGTAGAAGTAGTTTTTACTATTTATCATTCAAAACAGTACTCATAATTCTATTTAACACTCTGCAACAGTAAAACTATTAAATTATCTTGATTGGAACAATGCTAATTGGATACTTTCTTCTTTTTTTCACTAATCCTCTCTGTATACAAGTTTACAGTCTAAATGTAAGTTGTTTAGAAATATACCATATTGTAAATTCTTAATTTTAATTAGGTAAGTAAATTAATTATTTCAGAGTATTCATTGCTATTTTGGGGGACAGCTATGAGTTCACTTGCTATGGTTACTGAATCTTATTCGTTTGATGGAACACTTTAAATATGGATTATCGGCATACCTTTAATGTTAGGACTATCAATATATAAAAGTGACATAAAATACAACTATATTTTATTAGACACAAATAATTATGAATACCTTAATTAGGCGTTTGATCAAATTTGCTACTTAATAAAACTTATTGGTAAAAATTCAAATTAAGAATGTTTTAATTTTTTTAAATTATTTTTTAACAGGGTTGTACAAGTAAGATAAAAATATATTAATTCAGTTACACGGCTTTATAGAATATCACAAAAAAATCTGCAAATTTAATGATTGCCCTATTAAAAAAAAATCCAAAATAATTAAAAAAAAGCATATGAACAAGACAATAAAATCATAAACATCAGAACTCGAATAGCTGACTTAAGTCATTGAATTAATTCAACATCTTTTCTATATCAGCTTACAAAAATTTCCAAATTCGCCGAAGCTTAGAATACTATTTGCCATATTTTTAATGGACATTGCTTAAAACAAATAACAATCTATGCAAGAATTAGTAAATTCAGAGTTAGAAAAACCATCCTTAGATGAATAGTTTACAATTTAGAGGCTTCAAATGTACCTAGAGAACCAAGCATAGAGTATCTCAAATAATCAAAACTCGCACTTCAGCATGAATCAAACTGATTTTATGATGGATATTTCATATTAAAATTAAATGAAAATTTTTAAAGATTTGATAGAAGCTTCAGCTAATAACTATACTGAGTTATGGTTTTAACTTTTGGAAGATTAACCTGACTTATTAAAGGTAAAATTCAATCAATTATTGAGCAAAATTTCAACCAAATCAAATCATATTTCATACTCTTGTAGAAAAAATACAAAATTTAATTATTTTTGTTAACAATTATTTATAATTCATTTACAACCTGCATCTTTTTTCAACTTGATAATTATTTAAAATATTACATAATTTAAAGAACCAATAAACACTATCAACTGCTAAAGTTTATTTTATTGAAGATTATTGATAAAAATATAATTATTTCATATAATTCTCTTTTTAACTTAGAGTATGTATGAATGATACTCTAAAATTTATTTTTTAAAGATAAAGTAAATTGGGTTTAAAATAAATGACTTAAACATCATAATTGAAGAATAGTTTTAGAAAATGACTAAGGTTCCTTCTTTTAATTTTACTACACCATCTCTGCTCTTCGGTAAATATTTAATAGAATTAGTTGATGATAATTAAAGAGGAAAGTAAGTACTTTAGTAGGTGATGGGGTACTAATAAAAAGAATAAACTAATTTAAATGCTGCTGACCCATCATTAGAATAATCACCAACTATTATTATATCTGTAAAAAATAATTAAATAAATTATCTTTTTCTAATTTAATATATTTTTAAAAAGGCTGATGAGGATAATTTTGGAATAATAACAAATGTTAATACTAGCTGCTGTTGTTTTTTTGGATATCAAAAAGTAGAAATGATGAATAGAAATATCAAAAATTTTATGCCTCAGGTTTATTCTGATAGACACGATTAATTTATAAGAAATTTCTTATAAACTCTTGAATCCCGAATTCTCAATGTAGAAAGGTAATTAATTAATTAATCAATTAAATAAATTTTTATGAGTCAAAAAACAAACAAAATTTTGAGCAATCTTTATAAAAAAAAGAGAAGTTATGATTAAGCAAAAGAATAATTATATAAAGAGTGCTAACATAATGGTGAAATATATTCCTTCCTTATCTACTGGTATTTAATTTATTGGATAATATAATGTCAACAAAGTAATTTGCCATACTGCTTACATGATATTAGACACCGAATTCTATATTGAAAATATTACAAGCTCATGTATTAATATGATTCATCTGGACTAGAATAAACTGAAAAAAAGAAAGCATATTGATGAAATTATCCCTTGTTTTTAATCAGAATTTAAAAAATATTTTTATAAAGGAGGCTGTGAGCAAAAAATTTCAATTTAAAATAGCTCAGATTAAGTTTTATTAAATATTTAGATTTAAGACATCAATTTAAAAAACTTAGGAAATTCTGGTTACATTGTAAAACTTCAAAACAAAAAGTAATTTAATATAAAATAATTACAAATTAATTGTTATTTATTTTCTTGTTAAATAAAATAAATTTTTAGCAAAGCTTTAGAAGTTGAGTATAATACAAGTGAAGACTAAAAAGTTGATCAAAATATTAAGTCTTTTTTGAATCAATCAATTTTACATAACTCAGAATAAACTAAAAGTTAAAAGCAAGAATATTTTGTTCTCAAATATGATCCTACTTAAAAGCGTTTCATAGGTCAATTTTATGATTTAAATGCTTAAAAAAGTGGGAAATCACTTTTAAGTCCTTAAATAAGTAAATAAAAAGATTAAGCATCTAGGTTTTCTTTTTTTTCAGTATTGGCATAAGATGCATAGGAAAATGCATAATCTGATGCTTTTAATATGGGTAAATCTCAGTTTTCCAAACAACAAAGCACCCCACAAGTAAATATTTTGTTATCTAGTTTATTGATTTACAAAAAAAAAAATTTATCAAAGAAAATTTTATAAATATATTAAATTTTTTATATTTTATTTATAGGTTTAAGACCAAAAGTAATATGGAGAGGGTATTAAAACTCTTAGGCTTTGTGGGAAAAATATAGTAGATATTAATATTTTGAAAGAAGGAGAAGGAGATGAGTAAGAAGAAGAAGATAAAGAAATTTAGGGTATGAATGAAGAAGAAAATTAAAAAGAAGATGAGTTGAATTTTGAAAAAGGTGTAAAGCATTCTAATATATTCAAAAGCAGGGATATTTTTGTTAAGTTTATCAACAATTCTGATTTTTTGAATGTAAATTTATTTCCAATAATATATTTTTAGTTAATTCATATTTTTGTATTTTAATCACCAAAAAAAGCCTTCACTCATTTAAAGATCGAATCTAACTATCTTACTCTTTTGTGCAATCTTTCTCTTGATTTTTATAATTAACTTTGTCATTAGTGGCTCAAGCATTTAACAATCAGAAAACTAGTATACCGTTTTAGATAATATGAATAAATTCATAAGTGAAAGTCAGTATATTTTGAATTGCATGTTTGATCTTCAATTGTTGAACAGCAAAGTATATGATAGTAAAATAGTAAATTTTACTTAAACAACATAAAATCTGTAAGACTCTTTGAATAGACTGAATTATTATCACTAAAACTTTGATCTATCTTCATTGTAACTTGATGCTTAATCATTAAACTATTTAAATAATCCTACAGTTCCTATTTTTAATCCCATTGGTATTAAAACTGATTTTTTCGATTTTTATTAAGCTTCTTCGCAGGTAAATATTATTAGAAAAATATCAAATATAATTTAATAATTAAAAAAATAAATAGTTTATATCAAAAATCAACCAGATCAACAGTTATTCCCTAGACTAGTTTAGCATTAATGACTTAAATATTTATTATATTCAGTATAATTTTTTGAACTCCTATTATATAATTTCTGACTAGATAAGTAAGAGCATTTCATCATAGATATCTTCTTACTCGTAGCAATTAGGAGGTACACTTTTTTAAATGATAATAGTTGCTGGTGTTTTGCTATTTGTAAATTTAGCTTTTAATTTATAATAAAAAATAGAAAGAAATTTGTTATAATAATTTATTAGATTGAAATAATTGCAGTTATCTTTATCTATTTTAGCCTCTTACTCTTAATTAAGCAAATCCTTATCTTATTTTTAGAAATTCCTTTAGAAAAAATCTAATAGTTGCTTTTTAAAAGTAAAAAATTTGGTAATCAAATTTAATCTGGAGATGAAGAAAATATCTCATCTAATGACTCTCTTTCTGCATTCAAAAAAGAGGATGACAAATCTTTTAGTATCACAAGAATTAGTAAAACTGGAAAAAAGTTAAGAAAGTTTAGATTAGAATCAAAGCAATTTAAAGTTTTCTTTATTCCTTTCATCATCACAATTCTGATACTCATCACTTACTTCACAGCAACTTTTGCAATATATTAACCAACGATTAATTAATTATAGAATTTCTCAAATGTAAAAATTAATTAACTTAAAATTCTCATAAATATTTTAAATCACTAATTAATTTTATTTTTATAATATTTTTTTTTTAATTTATTTTTATTAAATTTAAATTTAGAATAATTTTTATAATTAATTAAATGCTTTTATGATTGTTTTATTAAATTTAAATAAAGTTTTTTAGTATTTTTTAGGAATAAAAATGATTTTATCATTTTAAATATTAAATTTTTTAATAAATTAAAGGAGTTCAACAGTACTTCGACTTTAGATCAAATATTTGGAATATCAGCTAATGTAGCTTAAATAATGATAATGAACATAACTTTTTAGACTGTCAATTAAACATCTATAAAATTTTAAGAACAACAGATGTATGAATTATATTAATAAATAGGTGATATTTAGAGGTATCATATAGAAAATATGAATTTGCATAATTCTGCATATAATACTTACTTTTAAACAACTATGATGAGTGATAATGTAATTTTATTTATCTATTTATAAATCATTTAAAATCTATTATTTTTTTAATAGAGTTCAAATCCTTGTTTGCTTCTATCAACCACATTTTAGTCTAGCAATTGTGATTCAATTGCAAATTCTACTATCACAAAAGGAATGATTTTATTACTTACCAGATAAATTGAAAGTATAAGAAATCTTTACTTATCTACTGAGTATATATACGCAAGTATAACTGATACTTCAGAATAATAAATTCAACTAAATAATTTACTTAACTCAGATCAAGCAATTGAAGTTAAAACATTATAGTTCTAATATATTAATTAAATTTTCTAATAATTAAGTGGATAAATGATAACTGAAATCAACAACAGTATATCATCCACAAATGCTTCTAACTTATTTGTAGTTATTTTATGCATTATTTTCCTACTAATAAGTTTAATTATCATATGGATGCCATTAATGAGCAATATCTAAAGAGATATATCAAGAACTAGAAATTTAGTAATATTGATACCTTTAAACGTTTCGAAAAAATGTAAATTTCTAAGGAATCTATTATCTTAATATGATGAAAAGTTAGGTAAAGTAACTTCGTAAAAAATTAAGAAATGAAGTGAACAGAAAGTTGTCTTATCAACAAAAAATACTAATCAATAAATATTTTAGTTGTTAAAAAGTTAAAATAAGTATTAAAAAAATTTTATTTATTTATTTTTTTAATAAGTAAATTTAGAAATATAAACAAATTTTAATTTAATTTAAATATTTTTTTATTTGTATTTTATTGTAAGCTATTGAATGATATAAATAATATTAAATAAATAAACTCACCCTCTCCTCTCTTTTTACATTTATTTAAATTAATTATTAAATTCAATATCAAAAACTCTTTTAATTTAATGATTAAATTAAAATTAATAATATTTTTTAAATTTAAAAATGAAGAAATAATAATTAAAAAAAAGATTTATTTATTGAAAGATTGCAATTTTTTACTAAATACTTTAAGTAAAACAAATACTTAAAGCATATAAATAAATAATAAGTACATAGATTAATTTTTATATTGCTTCTATTTTATTTTATGTCTGTTTTTATTAAGTTTGTTTGGTATTTTAAAAAGATTAATTAGTTTTTAAATATTTTTTTAATAATTTTTGTAAGCTGTTTATTTATTTATTAATCGGATAATTCAATGAAAATTTTATCAGATAGCATCACTATTTTCTATATCATACGATGCATTTTATTAGTATTTCTTTGTCTGGCTGTTGTTATCCTCAAAACTACATTATGTATTTCTAAATTAATTCTAAACTTAATTTAGCTCTACTAAACCATCTAAATCTTCAGGGGCAAACATTTCAACCATTAAAAACTCTTTGTCAGTTTAAGAGAATTCGTGCTTTTTCAAAAAATTATCTTAAACCCAAAACTATTATTTATTTATTAATACAATTTAGTTAAAATTTAGCTCAATATAAATTAACGTTTTACTTATAATCCATTCATAACTACAGGAATAATTGCCATGACTATTATTAACTCCAAGTATATATTTGTGATACTAATTTTTAAAATTGATAATGCATTAAAACTATTATTCGATCAGAATAATTAATTATAATTTGTTAAATAAATACCCTTAGAAAAGAAATCCAGCTATTTATAGCAAGACATTTTATAATCCCATTTAGATGAAATAGAGGACTGATTTTGACTATTTAAAAAAAAATAATTATCTTTTTATTTACTTTCTAAAATAATGTGATACCATAATAACTATAACATTCCAAATTAATAACTGCATTAGCCAAATTCCAATATTAACTTAAATTATAGGTCTTAGGAGATTTGTATTTAATTTTTCTTTATCAACATTTTTTCCAGCTTTTTGATGTTATTCTTAAATGCTAATTGCTTGATCTGGTGTTATGATATTAAAATAGTTGCCACTCTTAAATTTCTATTAAAACAAATAAGAATTAGTTTTCGTTCTATAAAATAGCTTGTCTAATTCAAAATTAATATAATTGTTAAACATATTTTTGTTAATTACCTCATATTTTGTTGATGTAAGTAATTTCTCAAATTAATGAAGAATTAAATAACACAAAAACACTCCTACAGTTGTATCAAAAATTACTGTTATAAAATACCTAATTTTCATTATAATTCAATATTTTTAAATCGTATTCCTTTTAAATAATTAACTACCAGTGACAAGGATCTACATCATCATTTCCACTGCTTAGAATTATTGATAAAAATAAATTCAGCAAATGAGCTACGAATGCTGATGCTAGTTATTTGCTAGTATCCTATTTTATAGTTATTTTATAATTAAATTAATAAGTAAGATTCAATATTATCTTTACCAAAATCCAAATTTTCCATTATCTTTTTGGCTTTTCTTTGTATCTTTTAACTTAATTTTGTTGTTAAAAAACAAACATGTGATTTACTGATTTTGAATAAGAGCAATTAAATTACCTATTAATACTAAAAATGAGAGAAATCCTAGAAGAGCTTGTACAAAAAAGCTAAAAGGCCCAACTAAGTCGCAACTTTCTTATGGCATATTTCTTTCTTATAATTTTACTATGATATTTCTTTTATATTGTTGAAATTTAAAAAATATGCGAAATAATTGATATTAAATTATCAAAAAAATTGTTTGATGAACTAAAACTTGTAAATTATTTATTCGATATTTTTTCTATTTTTTTAATTTTTCTGAATATCTATAACAATTTAAAAACCCCAGTTATTCGGTAATCACCAAAATTCGTTTAGTCTAATTTCTTTTAAGTCAATTTTAAAAGTTGTTTAAATTTTTTAATGTTTCTAGCTCAATAATCTGATAATATAATCTGATAATTATTTTATTTTTTTCATGAATTTACTAAAGCACGTCACTTTTTTCTATTCATTAAATAACCAATTTTTAGTTTTTTTTTATTTTTAGATAAATCCTACTACCAAAATTTAAAGAAATTTCTTTTTTCTATAAAAAATGTTTAAAAAATATTTAAAAAATAAATTTTGTCAGTTTTTTCAATTATTAGACTGGATTTAAAAACATAAAAATTATATTAACATGTAAAAAAAGATAATAAAATATTTTTGATAATTTAGTTATAAATATAAATAACAATTAAATATATATTAACATATCATATATCACTTGAAGAATTTAGAAAGTTATAATGTATGTCCTGGCGTTGACATACAACAACTTCCTAAAAATAAAATATCCTATTTTTCAATAATATCTAAATCAATTAGTTACTAATAAAATATTGGGAGTTCTTCTGGTTAAATTTAGTAATTAAAATCATTACAAGTGTAATCTTCTCCTCCACAATTAATATAAAAACCATATTTGATGTTTTCACTATTAATATTTTTACTAGATTTTTATTGAAAGATTTTTTTAGATTGTAAGAATAAATTTAGTAAATCTTTTTTTTAAACACAATTAAAAGATAAACATATTGGCTTGAATTTATATTTATTCAGTAATGTATCTACACAATCATCAACACTCTCTCCTGAAAGAATCTTAAGATTATTATCAAAGTAGATACTAATTATGTAAGGGATATTCATATCTTAACAAATTTGACAAACAATAATTAGTTCATCTAATTAGCTCATAGTTTCGTTGAATATGCAATCAACCTAGCAATCATACAAAAACTAAATATGATTCTTGTGGTTATAAATTAATTCATCTTTAGTTAGAGTTCTTTCTTTTTAATAACAATCTTCTGCAGGGCTATTTGATCCAAATATTTATATGTCTTTGTATATTTCTTTTAATTTTTAACATTCTTTTACAGCAATTTACACTAACTTTTTACTTTCTTCAAGTGATTAGCATGCTATAGGATTAGTTTTAAAAGTAAACGATGTAATAATGTCCGCACCCTGTTTACAGTATTCTAGATGTAAATCGTATAATTTTTCAGGTTTTTCCTTAAGAATTCTATTCATCCAGGTTCTTTATTCATAAAATTCTGGATATTTTTATTATAATAAAGAGCCAACAGCTCCATCTAATATTTTTATTTTATGTTAATTTTTCATTTCAATAATAAATTAAAAAAGAAATTAATTCAATGATATTTTGATGTTTTTATTAGCAATCTATTAAAAATTGATACTTTTAAAATTTTAATATTTTAATCTTTATAAAAACTAAATGTTTAGTTAAGTTTTTTTTAAAAAATTTTAATTAATTTACCTTTAAAAATTTTTGTAGAAATCATTTTATTTTAAAGATTCTAAATATAGAAAATGTAGGATTATTGAAAGTTTGTTATTAAATTAAATTTTTTATTAGGTTATTTTCTTATTCAATAATTCATTAAATCTAATTAAATTTGTTGATAAAAATAATATTTGGTTATAAATTGATAGAAATTCAATATTAATATTATGTAGCCTTCTTAGCTAAAGGAAATAGAAGAAGAAAAAATTGCGCTAATTTGTTATGATAAATCGTATGTTTTCTTTTTTATTTGTTAAAATAATTACTAACTGAAAACACAAAAATAGAGGGTATAATCTAAATGATTAGTAATTATCTTATTTAGCTTAAGAAATAAGAAGATCATAGCAAATTAATCAGCTGAAACTTAATCTTAAGTATGTTTTGAGTATTGATTAACATATTTTTACATTTATTTTGATCTATTTAAAGCAATAATAAGTTCTCTGATAAAGGAATTTAGGGATTATTTGAAGAAATAGGCTTTTTAAGAAACCTTGAAACTCTTGAATTTTTATTATCGTAAATAAAAATTAAATATTTATTGCTTCATTTTCCATTTATAATTAGAGATAATTTGATTACTGGACTGTCATTGAAATGGGTAGGAGAAAATATAGGATTGTTAAATTCTCTATAAAAATTAGTTTTGAGTTTTTAGTAAATAAAATATTTATTTAAATTATTCAGATGATTATAAAATATTTTAATATTAGGAGAAACAAGATAGATAGCTATTATTTTAGTTATTTAATCAATGGGATTTTGAAGTGTAAAAAACTAGAGATTTTGATTCTTTATTTGAAGTAATTAAATTAGAGTTTTGTCATTAATTTGAATGCAAATATTATTTATAGTGATATACCTATACATGAAGAAGGAATGAATATCTTTGGAGATGGGATAGGCAAGCTCCAAATGGTGTATTCAATGTCATTAAACTTTTGGTAAAATTTTATCTAATTGAAGCAGACCCAATAAAATTTTATAAGGAACTGTTTAATAGGAAGCTAAGGCATTAAATAATTAGCTATAGGATTAAGTAAATGTCCTTAATTGACAGATCTTACCTTATATTTAGAGTAAGATATATCTTAATGTGATGATGATAAAAAAATTTGATTGTATTTGAATAGCAACAATATGATATTAGATGAAGGAGCTGTCAATCTTGGATAATATATTTAAAATTGTTAACTAATAGTTAAGTTATCTATATACTTAGAGTATTGCACTAAAAAAATAAATATTACTAATTCATTTTAAAAAGAAAAAATAGTATTGGAGATTAAGGAGTTCAAGCGCTCATGAATGGAATAAGCAAACTTAGCTAGCTAGAAAATTTAAACTTGAGTCTAAGGTAAATAAATAAGCTTTTCTAGTGATTAAAATAACTTCAAAAATATATTTAGTTTGAATAAGCTTACTAAAGATTCAGGAATAAATATTGGAATAAGTCTATAGAAAACAAAGCTACTAAAAACTTTAAATTTAAATTTATGGTAAAATTAAATGAATTAAAAACATCTTTAATTTTACAATTATGACAAGGGGAAATTATTTACAGAAAGATGGAATAGTTGATTTAGCTTAGTATTTGGGAACATGTAAAGAAATGACACATCTAAATATAAATTTAGCGTAATTATTTTGGTATAAATCATTGTAATTTATTTAAATTTTAAATGAAAAAAGAGATAATGGAGTGAAAGAAAATATTATTATTCTAGCTTTGGATATAACAAAATTAAAAAATTAGAAATTAGTGGTTAATGGAAAGAACTGAAATATAAATTGAGAAATGTATTATTTATTATCCTTTAACATTTTTACAAATAAACTATTAATAAATGTTTTATTTTTAATATCTTTATTTTAAATAAAATAACTTTGTAATAAATATTTTATTGTTAGTGAGCATTAGGAATTTTTATTTGTTCGTTTGCCTGTTTATTTATTTATATTTTTGTTTATTTGTTCATTATTAATGTTAGAAAGATAGTTAGTTAGTTTATCATTGATAGTAGTAATAAAATATCATATAAGGAATATCTGATGATTATGGGAGTTCTTTCATAAAATTTTCATCCATGTTAATATTTTCGTTGATTGCTTCTTTATTGAATAAAAGTAGATTTGATTTCTCAAGTTTGTATTAGATTAATTGTTTACTAAACTCTATCTGATTTATTAGTTATATGTAAATCTCGTTAAATGATTAATTAGTAGGATAAACCCAACCAACTTAATATTTTAGATGAGTTTCATCTAACTTTTATAATTAACTTATACTCTAGTATATGGGCTATACATCTGCAAATTATTGAATAATATTATTATCAGATTGATAATAATTTGTCTTAGGAATAAAAAAATTTAGCTCTTATTATTATTCAATGGGTAAGTGTAAAATCTATTTTAATTATTATGGTGATTCATCTTATGAATTAGTTATATTTTTATCAGCTTATTCAGATTAATTTTATTAGATAGTTTATTATGTCTCTTCTTCTATTAAAGTATTCATACTATCTTGTTAATTATTTGGTACCTCGTTGTTGTCTTGCATAGTTTACTTTCTTTATGGCTATTCTAATTCACTGATATCATGATCTGGTCTACGTTTTTAATTTAACTCAGTGGTTTCAATATTTTAATTCTCATCAACAACTAAATTTGTTTAAGTGAGGCTTATATTGCAAGGTTGACTTTAAATTTATTTTAAAATACTCTCATAATTATCATTGATTCTTTATAGTAAATCGTCTTTTTCTTAAAGAGAGTTCCTAAGCTCCTTAGTTTTTTTTTCATTATCATTTAGTTTGGTTTCAAGTAACGATATTCTTTTTAACTATTTTTCCATTATGGTTGAAACATTTTCAAATTTCTTAGACAGTACTTCATGATCTTCAGACAACTTTTTATATTGATCCATAATTTAAATTATTTGGTCAGACTATTAATTCAAATTGATTTAATTTGTGGAAGGTTATTTATCTTAATTAGAAATAAAGTTGTTGTTAAAATTGTTTTGTTATTATTATTGCATATTCATATTTCTTTCATGATTCGGAAATTAGAAATAATTGTTATTAAAAGTGTTATCTTATGCTTTTAATAAAAGTTAATCAAGTGGGATGCTATTTGTGATTCGAATGTCTTATGTAACTGTAGGTAGAGTTTATGATTGAGGGTTTTTAGCGTTTAAGTTGCAATTTTAAAAAGAATAGATATCATTCTATTTAGCCTAAAAATTATTTGGTTATTGATATTGATTATTTTAAGCATTCTACACATTTTCAGATTGTTCTGAGTAAAATGTGTGAACTATGTAATAACCCTTGATCTTACTAACTCTATTTTTCATCAAATAGTCAGCATTTTTTGCTTCAAATATTCTTACTATTAGTTTATTTAGAGGATAATTACCTTCTCTATATTTAAAATTAGTTGTCTCTTTTCTAGGATCATTTGCTGGATAGGCAACATGCATAGATGTTAATATATTTTTTGAGCTGTTTCCATGTTTTTTTACTAAAAAGCAACAATTTGGGTGAGGGATCTCGTTTGGAATAGTTTAATAGCATTAAATTTTATCATTGGTAAAATATTCTTCGCATATTTAATATGCTCTTACAAAAAAATTATTCAAATCTTCTTGCTATTTTACATTAACGTTAAAATCTAATTTTGCTTATTTGTGTTCCATTCTTTTCTTTCTTCTTGTATTTTATCTTATTATCTATTTTTTATAATTTAAAGAATTATCCTTTATAAATTAAAAATTCATCTTAAAAAAGCAAAATAAATCCAAGAAAATATTATATTTTTATAATAATAGAAAGTTGAAGATAACATTAAAAATAAATCACTTCTTAGAATTAATTTCTAAAAAAGCAGTCTATTACTCAAATTTTTAAAAGACTAAGTAATAAAAATAAGTTTCCACTTAAAAAAAGAGATAAAATAGTTTTATACCAAAATTAGTAAAATTAAATAAAAAAATTTACTACTCTAAGAAGTATGTAAATAAATAAGGCAGAATGAGTTAGCGAATAATTTAAAAACTTTTTGAAATCCATAATTTATTAAATATAATTCATACTTAGTTAAAAATCATATGAAGCCATCTTCATAGATAGTAAACAATTTGTATGATTTTTAGAAACAAACTTAAATCATAAAAAATACGCCTAAAAATAAATTAATATTTTGCTTAAATTTAATAAAATAAATTTAATTATGAAAATATTTTTTATTAAACATTTTTAAAGAATAAATTAAATTATTAATAATTTAGAATGCTAATTTGAATTCAATAAAGTATTTATTCAAAAAAAAATTATTAAAGTAATTAAAAAATTAACTGTAAAAGCAAATTGTTTTAGTAAAATTTGCTTGTTTGCCACAAAATAATTAAAATTAGTAATTTATCTTAATAATAGAAGCTTATTTGTATAAGACAAAGGCTTAATATTGGTTGATAAAATGATAATTTTGTTTACTTTAAAAAACTTTAATGAAGTATTTTTATTTATCTTTTTGTTATAATTTTTTTATTGTAATTATCAAAATAATAAATATTTAATTTTACTTTATTTAGAATTTAATCAGAAATAATAGCTTTATGAATCAGATAAATAATCAATATTGTTTGTTAGAAGGGCAAATATTAATAAGAAAGTCAATATATTTATATATATATTTGTATACAATTTATAATAAAATAAGTTTGGCACATAAAAATATAATTATAATAAAAAAATCATTTGATAAATCACAAGATTAACAAAAATAACAATATTTTTTCACTGTTTTACAGGGCATATCTCTCGTCAATAAAAGTTTAAAAAGAATAAAATAAAGCCACAAATACTTTATATAGCAACTTAATCTGAAGAAAGATGAGCAACATTAAATTTTTTAGCTTTGCAAAGGTTACAAGCGATAAACTAATTTATAATGCTGGAAACGAAAAGTCAATGGATGAAACATACAAAGCTGAAGCCATTAAAGTAATGAGGGAAATAAAAAACATTGGTCTGAACTTCGATGAACGTTAAAAAATTAATACAGGCAGTGGATCATGGTTCTGCAAAATTGACAGCAAGAATATTTTATATTTGGTTTTATGTACCAGCAGCTACCCTGAAAGACATGCTTATGGAATGATTTAATAACTACAAAATCACTTAGAAAAGCTAGCTGATTATGGAAACGAAGATGATACAAGTCTTAAGTTCCATGCTAAATCTACTATGAATGATTTAAGTACAAAGTACAATGACTTAAGAAAAGTGGACAAAATTTATGAAGTGAATTAAAATTTATAAGATGTTTAATAATAAATGGAAAAAAATGTTAGGAATATGATTGAAAATTAAACTAATCTCGAAAATTTAGACACTCGTTCTCAAAGCATGAAGATGACTTCTTAGCAGTTATTATCAAACTCAAAGGAATTAGAAAGTATTATGAAATGGAGAAATTTTAAATTAAATTTAATTATTTGCTTTGTAATTCTAGGCGTATTAGCATATATCTTAGTGCCCATAATTATGAAGTATGCAAACTGAATAATTAAACAAAATCTATTAATAATTATTATCGTGAACAATTTTTATATTCTATATATCATAATATTCATTCATTTTTGGTTTATTTTACAAACTTTTGTTGTAAAAGAATTTAACAAACATTTTGAATAAATAAATGTCAGACTGATATATAGATAGACAGATATGCACACAGAGAGAATATTATCAAATTAATTTGAATAATTTATCAATTAATTACTTACTTCCTTACTAAGAATTAAATTTATGATTTATAATTAAGAAAATCAAATGCAAACCAAGCAAATAAAAATGAAAAATAGCAATATTTAGAAATTAACAACACATATATATTTACTCTATTTTCATTTATAATTTTACTCTAAAACTATTTAAACTGTTATTTTCTTACTTACTTAGTTAATTACAATATTTTTAAGTAAATTTGTAAATTTAATTGAATGCCTTCTTTCAAATTTATCTACTCACTTTTAAATAATTAATTTTGACATAGATTAATTTTTATTTGGTAATTAGTTATTATACCATTTTAAAAAACATTTTAATTTAGCTAAATTTTCTTAATATATATAATAAAAGGTGTAAAAAATGATAGAATTAATAAAGTCCTTAATAAAAATTGGCTCAATTATCTATCAATCATTTTATTTACTAAAATTAAAATCAAAAAATTTAATATATTGATAAAAAATCATGATTAAATAATTTTTCATAAAATTTTAAAAAGGTTACTTTAAAAATATGGTTATTTTCTGATAATTATATTTGTAATAGGAAACACATATTAAATAGAATAATAAATATTATTTTAAAAATTTAAAGAAAATTAAAAATAATAAAAAACAGGTATTGAAACAGGTTTAGAACCTGATTAACAAAAAAATAAAAAATTTTTAATCAAAGTAATTGTGATACTAAAATAGTTATATTAAGCAAAGAATTTAATATTAATACATATTCTACTATATATTATAATTTAAATTTAAAATAATTAAGTTACTTCGAACACCTTTAAAAAAAATAATTTAATATTAACAAATATTCTATTTATATACATATAATATATTAATATAATTTTATTTACTATACTAAAAGGACTATCTAAAAAGATAAATAAAACTATTAGTTTTTTTTTATATTTTTTGAATAAAACGAAAATAAAAATTATTTATTTCATTTCCATGTGCCTTTTATTTTTGGACTGTTTTAATTATTCTTGTTGTTGTAACTGGCTGCAACATTAGTGTTAGAGCAAAAAGGAGCAGTTTACTAGGTGTAAGAAGTCCTACAAGTATTAGGATAATAAATCACCTTATCTCTTGGAGATCCGAATGGACTCTTACTTTAAGAACTTCTTTAGTTATTTATAAGGATATTTTGGTTGCTGCTATTGGCTATATTATTTATTCTTTGCTATAATCCTTTATTTATTAGTGATAAGTCAGCTCCGCAGCTATTTTACGCTTAATGGTAATTGTTTTATTAATTAAGTGGCATTTAGATTTATTGTTTTAAATTTTAATTAGATAGAGAGTTTTTAATGGTATTATGTTGAATTTGTTATAGTTGAGACTATTGCTGCATTACGTTTTAGTTCATTATGGGAGAAGCACTTTGGTATTATTAAAGGAAAGATTATTAACTATGCTAAGGATTATATTAGTTTATGCTATAACTATTTGAAGATATTGATTAATTAGTCATATTTTAAGATGAGGATGCTGAAGAACTGGGTGTTTTAGAAGAATTTAAAGGAATTTCTCTTTATGAATTCAAAGGACTATATTATTAAATATTTTATAAACTTGTACTAATTAAGTCGCTTTGCTTCATGGGATTAGTGTTTGGGGTATATTATTGGTTAGAACTAATAGAAGCATTGGAGACAATACTTGGAGTTTGTTGAGCAGTAGAATAATCAATAAATCCTTTGCTTGAAAATGCTGTTTGAGCAGATACCCTAGTCGGAGCTACCATTCCTTAGGATGAATAGTTTATGTAAATGTTTTTAGGTTACTACTATTACTACTACTATTAGTTATTTAAACAATTATAAGGTCCATCATTAGGCATTAAATAAGATTTAGAATGAGACTTTTAGTTTTGGTGATAATAATTATTATTATTTTTTGAATGTTAAAAGCCTTATTAAATAGGTGATTATTTTTGCTCTTATATTTGTTAATCTGCTAAATCAGATGCATTTTCTAGGACAAGTTTTCTAACTTCTAACTTAGCTATTTACTTTTCTAGCTCAGCTATTTCTAGTTCTCTCCTACATGTTTCCTATTAAACAGTTGTTGTTTAAGATTTTAGATCATCTATTAGCTTCTTCTTCTATTATAATTTAGAAATTTCATCTCTCAAAGTCTGTTCCTGAATTCATTTTAAAATAATTTTATATAAATTTAATTTTTCTATAAAAATGAAATCAATCAAGACACAAATAAATAGCTTTAAGTGTTTTTCAGTTTTTGTATATTTTTTTAAATAAAAGAAATGTTAATTTAAATCTTGATTTTTGAAAAAGAAAAATTTTCAATTAAATTTCTGATTTGTTTCTTTAATTATTAAAAATTTATTATTTTTTTACCAGTTAACGGTGAGATTCAATACTTTATTTAACTTTTTCAATTTATTAGGTTTATTCCTTTAATTAGGCTATTTCTTGATTAAGCTCGCCTTCTATAGCTTCAGATTTTCCAATGACATCAGCAAATTACTGTTTTAGATTCTATTTTAAACATTTTTTGTTAGATCTTAATAAGCTAAAGAAATATAGAAAATTACCTATTCTATTTCATTTACTTTTTGGTTAAGACACTTTTCTAGAAGTTTCATGTCTTCTTCAACTTTGTATTTGGCTTCTTTGTAGTTTTCAAGGTCATTGTGCATCATATCAAGCTACATTTTAGAATGAACTAAATCTTAGACTAAAGCTTTCAATTTAGGCAGAATTTCAGATTCAACAATGTTTATGTTTTCTGTAATGCTTTTTTCTAATTACATTTTTTCTTCTTTGATATCTTTCATTCTTTACATTCTTTCCTAAATTATAAAAAAACAAGTCAAATTAAACAGGATATAAATTTTTTTCTAAGCTTTACTTGTTATTATAGTGTCATTAAATATAAGAATTAGTCACTGTGATCTTTCATTAAATTTTCAACTTACTCTTCTCCATGCTCGTTGGCAATTTACTCGAATTGTTCTTTTTACTTGTCACAATACTGCTAAAATACAATTTAAGCGCTCTTTTTAACAGGGATTTTTAAATTTTCATTAAGTACCATTTTAGACTACTCAGACTTTTTAAGTAACTCAGAATCGTTTAATATTTATTACTATAGGTATTCGATTCTCGATTAAGCAGAGCTCAATTCTTTTTTGAGAGATTCTAATTCAATGCTATATTTTTGTATTAATTGAACTATTTCTTGCTCTTCATTGTAATACTTTTCATTTATTTCTTCAAGTTAAATGAGACTGTTGAAGAGATTATTTGTGGCCTCAAGGTACATATCTTAATCCTTAAATAAATTACTAAGATAAGTTTGCTTGAAGTAATCTATAAGCCTATGTAATGTAAGACCACCTTAATATTTTAAATAGATAAATAAAAATTAATAATTAAAAATTTATGAATAGTTGAAAAATTAATTAATTTTTTCTTATTTAGTAGAATTATTTTGATTAAATTTATACTTTATTGGTATCTTATTCCTTGTACGATTTACTGAATTGCTGGCCCATTCTAATTATAGAACTCTCCTTAAAGCATCATTATGAAATTGCAGCACATAATTTCAAGATCAGGCAGCTTATTATTCTAGCTTATTTTATTAATTATTTATTCTGCTTATTCTAGTGTTTAAGTAGAGCAACATTTTTCTTTTTTGATGAGCTCTCCCAAATCTTCTAATTTTGAGCTGTAGTGATTGAAGTACGATTCTTTTTCTTTCAATTTGCTAAAAATATTTCCTATTTAATGTGAAAATTTTGTTTACTCGTTTTTCTAATTTTCAAGAGCTCTCTAAATTTCATTAATAGTAACGTCAATCTTATAAGCCTCATTGATGTACTCATATTCCTCAGGATATTGATTAATAAACTATTCAAAAATTTAATCTAAATCCTCCTTCTAAGCAACTAATTCTGCCCTCTAAATAAGTTTTCCGTTGAGATCTTCCTTTAAAAAGGCTTTTGTTTCAAGATCCTTTAAAATTAAAATGTAAATAAATAAATAAAAGCATTAATAGCAAGTTAATATTTTACAATATTGTAATTTTCTTTTATTTGCTCTAAATTTTCTACAAACTCCTAATATTGCTAAGATACTTCGTTAAACATATGAGTCATTTGAGAGTTCTTTTTTTGAAACTCCTCTTTCACTTCCTTAACTTTCTTTTCCTTTAGAATGTGATAGCGTTGCTCTTGTTATTTTATTCTATAATTAAAATATAAAATTTAGTTTTTTTAATCAAAAATATTGATTTGAAATATAAATTGATTTTTTTATACATTTCAAGTTTAGATTGTAAATTTGTTATTCTATGTTTATGCTTTCCACACATTTCTTCCATTTTAGCTATTTCTTTCTTTTCTTAAACCTAGCTAATTGATATTTGGTCTATTTTTTTTTTATTTTCCCCACATTTAGCCACTAGAGCATTTTCAATTATAGAATTAATCCTATTTTTTTAAATATGAAAAAGCATTAATTTTAAATAAATTAAACTGATTTATTTCATTTTCTTTAAATTTGTACTTTAAATAAAAAACTGGTTGTAAAGTCTTAAAAATTTTTAAATTTAAAGTTGAAAATAGGAAGTAAATCAACTATTTTTGTTTTGTTTTAATTGCTAATAAGCCCATCATATATTTGAATTTATTCTTGGCTGTTATTAAATTGATTAAATTATGTTTACTTGCAAGCATTTATCTAATTAGATATTTTTGCCATGATAAACTCAAGCTCCGATTTTTTACCTTCAATCAGATTCTTTTTTTCTTTTATTTTATCTACGATTTGCTAAAGTTCTACTTAGGGAGAAGCTGCAGCATTTTGATACAACTCTTATGAGTTTCTAACTTACTTTTATGAATCATCTCTAGAAGTATTTCCTCCGTTTCTTTACTACTTTACTTAAACTAAATCATGAGTGTTGTAACTTGAATTTAGTTAATTATTTAAATGGCCTCCTCTTGAGCTATTTAATGGGCTCTTGCTTTTTTAAGGACTCTTCTTTCTGCTTAAACCCTAAGTAGAAGACTGCAGTTATTGAGAAATTCTATTTTATTTAGAGCTTTGTTTGGCAGACATTGGTGAATTTAGGATTTCATTCAATATCTTTATCGAAATATCACTCATACTATTTTTGTTTGGACTCCCGTTTTCATAGTAAACAGGCTTTGCATCATTTTAGCTAATACGAAAATTTTAAGAAGCTCGTACTTAAATTGGAGAGGCAGAAGAATTTATAGCGCTTTACTTTTTTTCATCCTAATTATCAGCATCGAATCGAACTGCTCTAACTGATGAGAGCTGATCAATACTATTTTTAATAGTGGCTGAAGTAAAATTCTATGGAGTAAGTATTTAATAATTATTATTTGATATTCTAGTATTTCCTGATAGAGTTGCTAATTCATTTTTTGCATTAGGAGTAAATCCTATAATATTCTATTAAGAAGTTTACAATCTATTAGGAGTAATTGCTCCATTCTTATTTGTTTTGTTGTTTTCTTTCTCACTCCTGTAAGAATTTAAAAATCCAAAATCTATAATTTTGCAATCCTCTATGCTATTCATTAAACCAATAGAAGTTTACTAAGCAGCTTACTTTATAGGAGCAAACATCTATTAGTGTTGATTATTTTATATCATAATTATGGTCAAACTTTAGAAGTATAATTTCTTTGTTTTGAATATGTTAATTAATATCTATCTATCTAACTCTAACAACAATCTATATATTATTAAACCTTTCTTAAATTAATTTTTGTTATTTAATAAGAAAAATTTGCTTGCAATCTTATTTGAAATTTCCTATTAATTACTTCCTTTTTTAATTAATCTTATTATTAAATGATAATTATTTTCAGTGAATTAATTTTAAATCTAATATTTATTACCATCTAAGATTTATCAACCTTTTTGCTGAAAAAACAATCTGCATTACTTATTTATTTATTTATCAATTTTTTCATTCATTTATTTTAGGATGTTTATTGCTTTCTATTTTTTAACGCCTAATTTTTATTATATCAAATTCTATTTACAATTTGCTATTTATTGAGTCTCTTCAGTCAAATTATTATTATTAGGATAGAAATTATATTGTGCTTTAATCATCACCATTACAAATTTACAAAATAAATTTAAAAATAATACATTCAATTAATTTCATATAAAAGTGAAATAATAGAAAGTGACATCACAAATCTTTACAAATCAAAAAATATTTAACTTAAATATTAATTTGATAACAATTTAATATATCTACAACTTATTTTTATAATCTTAAAAATGAAAAAATATTTAACTTAAAAATTTAATTTTTTTGCAATTTAATTTTTCTGCAATACATTTTTATAATCTTAAAAATAAAATAGATTATTTTAATTCTATATTTGTGTTATTTTTATAAATAAACTAAATTCTTTTAATTTAATTGACTATAGCTCGTCTTATTATATAAAATGCTTGAAGTTAAAATATTTCATTACATGTCAAAATAAAAAATAATCTATTATTTTAATACTTTTAAAACTAAGAGAATTTAATTTATTTAATTTTTAATTTAGCTAATATAATCCTTCATTAACAAAAGTAAATAATCCTTTCATTTTTCATTCGTAAATTAATTTTTCAATTACCATATTAATTTCTTTCTTTAATACTCATTCAAAGAATTTTTTATTGGATGAAATTTTGTTAATTTATTTTTAATTAGAATTTCTACAAAATTGTTTAAAATATTTTTATTTAATTTATACAAATATAAAATTGTTTAAATTAATATAAAAATTATAAAAAACATTAAAATTATTTTTAACTAAATTTATTAAAATTCTTAGTAAAGCAGTTTACAAAAATAAATTTTAAATTATTCATTAATTCATGATTTTAATAATTAATAGTTTTCAAAAAGCTTTTCTAGTTGAATAACTGGTTCTTCAATATCATTTTATTTTTTAAATCTATCAATTTATTTGTAAGCTTTCAGCAAAATATATTGATGTTAATTTGATAATTTTTAGTGGAATTTTTACAGCCAATATGTAACTACTATTGTCATCCAAATGTCTTGATTTTATTAAATGGTATCTTTTATTGGATTTAGTTGATTTACTTAATCCGCACTAAGATCAAGAAGCCCAATTAAATTCTCAGAATATTACCACAACCCAGATGCTTTTTAAAGTTGTATTACTTTTGAATAATTATCTATCTATCCATTATTATATCTAGTTGTATCTTCATTTGTTTTATTTTATAACAAAATATTACTGGGAGTCTAAGATATATAATTACTGCTTTTATTTTAATAACTATAACTACCACCTCCACAACAACTTGCTTTTTAGTGTGTGTTTCTTGCGATTGATAAACATTTTGATGCTTTAGAAATATTTAAATTACTTTAATATATCAAATATTCTATATCATCTCTTTTTCCTTCAATGACTTCTTCTTATAGTTAATATTCACTACCTATAAATGCAGTATACTCACATAAGATTTAATACCTTAATAATTTGATATTTTTATATTAAAAATAAAAAATTTACTAAATATAAATACCTGATAGCTTCATTCTTGAGCAATTCTATCATCTTATCTTAAGAAGGTTTCATGGCATTAGAAATGTCATCAAACACATTTTCACATTTTCTTTACTAATTAATAATCACTTATCTAATTAACTGATATAGACCCATCTTATGAATATGTGCAAATTCGTTTGAAATTTGGTCTTTAATATCAACAATATACTCATCTTCTGTTTTCTAGCTACCTTAGTAAGTAGTTATCAGTTTAAATTTTATTTATTGCACTTCTTCTAGCTTTCTATTTAAGAAAATATAAAATCTCAAAGTTTTAGATGTATCGATATAGCATATTTGCTAAGGATCAGGAACAATACAATTTATGCTATCATCATGATCTGATATCAGACTCATTTATACACCATTGAAATTTTCAAATGAGTCTTTAAGTAATTAAATTACCTAGTGTCATTTATATATTTTTGTTGATTTTATCAAATTTTAAAAATTATTACTTAAGAAATAATTTAGGAGGTATCAGTTACTTTCTAAAAATTACCACCCGTTTCATTTAAAATTTATGTAGCATATAAAAATTCGTAAGAGCCAATGCATAGTGCGTTAATATCACATTTGAATTTGTTCTTTTTGACTATTTCTAAAGCTAAGGATAAACAAAAAAATAGTTTTAAAAAATATATTTTTTAATATTAATATTAACCTGGTTAATAATCTTGGAATTCTCCATCTGTTATTATGTAAATCTTTTTTCTCAATCCATATTAGTCCTATAGATTATACATCAAATATTTTAAAGCTTAAGAAATATTAGTACCACCCATATTTGCTTAGAATTTTTCAATTTTATCTATTGAATCTTGTAAATTTTAATCATTAACTTAAACAGATTGTGGATACATTACTGTATAGTTAGTACCAAATGATATGATATTGTAGATAGAACCTTCTGGGAGAGATTTCAAAAAGAAGATCAATGCCTATTTAGCTGTTTCTATATTAGAGCCTACCATAGAACCGCTTCTATCAATAAGAAGTAAAAACTCTGCCTTCATTAATTCTTTAAATATATAAGAAATAAATCATCAATATTTTTAGATATTTAAATAAAAGTTACCAATTTCATTTTAGGCTTATCTAAAAAGTTATTTTTTGACTTAAGCAATATTAGGTACAAAATTGAGTAAGACACAATATGGAGATATTTCAGAATCGTTTTAATAGCTTGAAAGCAAAGTGACATTCTATTTATCATATTTGATTTTTAAAAATTCTAGATTTAATCCATTTTAGAAAATGGATTTTAATGTATCCTTAGAAAATTATGCAAGTATTTCAGTATGATAAGCTGTTACTTATGTGAATTTAACCAATTTATTAAACTGATAAATATTAAATTCATTTAAAACAATGCAATCTTATTCAGTCTATGCATAAATATCACCAATTATTTTAAGATTCTCAAATAATATTCTAATAAATCAATCAATTTATATTTCTAAAGATAAAATTAAAAATTTAAATTACTAATTTTCACTGGATCTAAATGGTAAAGTCATTTTGTAATATTCACCTTGAAAAGTTAATTATTCTATACAGTTGAAGCAAATCAAGAATTCTTAATCATTCTCTATATTTCCTACTTAAACTTAAAAGTTCCCTCTCTAACCTTAAAAAGAGCCTAATGCAGCAGTTTTTCCTTTTAAAATAAAAAATGAAATTAATTATCTATAAATATATAAATTTAAGGACAGATAATAAATATTAGGAATTTCTAAATAAATTTAATTTGATTATCAAATAAGCTTAAATATGTTTATTAAATTATGTAAAAGATTTTTCTTTGTCTAAATAAAAAACCAATTTATAATCCTTAATACCTTATCTTAAAGCATTTTTATATTCTTCTTTTGCTTCCTCCTTCTCTTTAACTAGACAGTTAATTATCTTTTCATCAATCTTTATACTTAAATTATCAAAGCAAAAATCTTCAGACAAATCAAAACTAAAAGTGAAATTTTGAATGGTTTAAGTATTATTTAAGTATTTTAGCTAAAGTTAATGCTAAGCAATAGATCCCTTAACTTAGAAATTATATTAAATATCAGTCTCATAAATTCTTTGGGAATGGCCGTAATGGCAATAAAATTACACCTTTGAATTAAAGCACTCGAGCATTTTTTATGTTATTCTCAAATATTTAATCAAGTAAATTTACTTATTTTTTATTTTTTATTATTTTAACGTAATTTGCCTTAAACAATTTAAAGATGTAATAATTTATTAATAGTATTTATTTATCTATTAATCTTTTGATATTCACTTTTATAATTATAATTCTGATTAATTCAATTTTTAAATTGTTTGATTTTTTATTTGATTATTGATGATAAATTCTGGTTAAATACTTTTAATATTAAATTTGAGAATAAATAACATTTTTTCAAATAATCTAATCTCAAATTTAATCCTTTATTTTCTTGTAAGATATTATTTATTCTTTTTGTTTAAATACATTAATTAATATTAATATATCGTCTAAAATATTTAAAGAAAGTAAATATACTTATTTTTTAATATTTAAATATTAATGTTGTTTGTCTTCTACAATTTAAAGCTATTTTTATTTATTGATAGTATCTATTTATATATTTGTCTTTCATTTAATATTCACTTTCATTATTAAAATTCTGATTAATTAAATTTTAAAGATGTTTTATTCTATATTTGATTTTTGATTATAAATTCTGATTAAATATTTTTAATATTAAATACTAATTAAATATATTCCTAACTATCTTTGAAAAAATTAATATTTTTTTAAATTATATAATCTCAAATTTATCTTAAATTATTTTATTTATTTTTTGTTAAATATTTATTTATTATCTTTATTTATATATATTAATATCTAATTCATTTTAATAAATAATCAAGAGAAATAAATGTTCTTTTTAAGTTTTAAAGTGAATTATCATTTGCTTTTTGGAAAATATTCATTTAAAATTAAAGAATATTTTAGGAATTATGTTGAATTTTTATCTTATAAAAAAGGAAATTTTGTAATAAATAAATTTAATTTAAATTTTTAGGGTCTGATTTTGAATGAGAGATATGTAGCAGATATATGGGACTAAAATTTTCTATTAATTTTTATGATTAAATAGATAGTAAAAAAAATTAAATCTTTAAAAAATATTTCATATTATTTATTTTTGATAAAATTAAAAAATTAAAAAACATGAATTGTACAATAAAATATTTTTATTAAAATATATGTAAAGTTAATAAAAAAAATAAATTTTAATTTATTCATTCATAAATTCATGATTTTTATAATTAATAATTTTCAAAAAGCTTATCTAGTTAAATAGTTGGTTCTTCAATATCATTTTATTTTTTAAATCTATCTATTTATTTGTAAGCTTTCAGCAAAATATATTGATGCTAATTTGATTATTTTTAGTGGAATTTTTACAGCCAATATGCAACTACTATTGTCATCCAAATGTCTTGATTTTATTAAATGGTATCTTTTATTGGATTTAGTTGATTTACTTAATCAGCACTAAGATTAAGAAGCCCAATTAAATTCTCAGAATATTACCACAACCCAGATGCTTTTTAAAGTTATATTACTTTTGAATAATTATCTATCTATCCATTATTATATCTAATTGTATCTTCATTTGTTTTATTTTATGAAATATCGCTGGGAGTCTAAGATATATAATTACTACTTTTATTTTAGTAGCTATAACTTCCACCTCCACAACAACCTGCAGATGACTTTTTTAAATATCTATTACTTTATGCACTCAAAGTTATACTGGGTATAGTAATATTTTAATTGTTATAATCATATCTTTCTTATTTAATAGCTTTTTCTTATATTTAATATTCACTACCTACAAATGCAGTATATTCACATAAGATTTAATACCTAAATAATTTGATATTTTTATATTAAATATAAATAATTTACTAAATATAAATACCTAATAGCTTCATTCTTGAGCAATTCTGTCATCTTATCTTAAGAAAGTTTCATGGCATTAGAAATATCATCAAACACATTTTCGCATTTTCTTTACTTATTAATAATCACTTATCTAATTAACTGGTAAAGACCCATCTTATGAATATGTGCAAATTCGTTTGAAATTTGGTCTTTAATATCAACAACATACTCATCTTCTGTTTTCTAGCTGCCTTAGTAAGTAGTTATCAGTTTAAATTTTATTTGTTACACTTCTTCTAGCTTTCTATTTAAGAAAATATAAAATCTCAAAGTTTTAGATGTATCGATATAGCAAATTTGTTATGGATGAGGAACAATACAATTTATGCTATCATCATGATCTGATGTCAGACTCATTTATATGCTGTTAAAGTTTTCAAATGAGTCTTTAAGTAATTAAATTACCTAATATTATTTAAAAATTTTTAATTGATTGTATCAAATTTAGAAATTATTACTTTAGAAATTATTTAAGTGGTTTCAGTTACTTACTAAAAATAACCTCCTGTTTCATTTAAAATTTATTTAGCATATAAAAATTCGTATGAGCCAATGCATAGTGCATTGATATCACATCTAAGTTTGTTCTTCTTTACTATCTCTAAAGCTAAAGATAACAAAAAAATAGTTTTTAAAAAATAATTTTTAAAATAAATATAAACCTTGCAAATAATCTTGGAATTCTCCATCTGTTATTATGTAAATCTTTTTTCTCAATCCATATTAATCCTATAGATTATACATCAAATATTTTAAAGCTTGAGAGATCTTAGTACCACCCATATCTGCTTAGAATTTTTCAATTTTATCTATTGAATCTTGCAAATTTTAATCGTTAAATTATACAGATTGTGTATACATTACTGTATAGTCATAACCAAAAGATATGATATTGTAAATAGAGCCTTCTGGGAGAGATTTCAAAAAGAAGATCAATGCCTATTTAGCTGTTTCGATATTAGAGCCTGCCATAGAACCACTTCTATCAATAAGAAGTAAAAACTCTGACTTCATTAATTCTTTAAAAATATAAGAAATTTAAATAAATCAATCAATATTCTTAGGGATTCACAAAAGTTACCTTTTTCATTTTAGGCTTATATTAAAAGTGATTTTTTGACTTAAACAATATTAGGTACAAAATTGAGTAAGACACAATATGGAGATATTTCAGAATCATTTTAATAGTTTGAAAGTAAAGTGACATTCTATTTATCATATTTGATTCTTAAGAACTCTAAATTAAATCCATTTTAGAAAATGCATTTTAATGTTTCTTTAGAAAACTATGCAAATATTTCAGTATGATAAGCTGCTACTTATGTGAATTTGACCAATTAATTAAACTGAGAATTATTAAATTCATTTGAAACAATGCAATCTTATTTAGTCTATGCACAAATATCACCAATTATTTTAAGATTCTCAAATGATATTCTAATAAATTAATCAATTAATATTTGTCAAAAATAAAATTAAAAATTTAATTTACTAATTTTTATTCTATATAAATGGTAAAGTCATATTGTAATATTCACCTTGAAGAGTTAATTATTCTATACAGTTAAAGCAAATCAAGAATTCTTAACCATTCTTTATATTTCCTACTTCAACTAAAAAGCTCCCTCTCTAACCTTAAAAAGAGCCTAGTGCAGCAGATTTCCCTTTTAATATAAAAAGTAAAATTAATTATCAGTGCATCTATTAATTTAATGACATATAATTAATATTAGGAATTTCTAAATAAATTTTAATTTTATTATCAAATAAGTATAAACATACTTTATTAAATTATGTAAAAAATTTTCCCTTGACTAAATAAAAATCAATTTAAAATCCTTAATACCTTATCTTAGAGCATTTTTATATTCTTCTTTTGCCTCCTCTTTCTCTTTAACTAGGCAATTAATTATTTTTTCATCAAATTTTATACTTAAATTATCAAAGCAAAAATCTTCAGACAAATCAAAACTAAAAGAGAAGTTTTGGATGGTTTAAGTATTATTTATGTATTTTAGTTCAAGTTAATGGTAAGCAATAGATCCCTTAACTTAGAAATTATATTAAATATCAGTTTCATAAATTCTTTGGGAACGGCCGTAATGGCAATAGAATTATATCTTTTAACCAAAAAAATTGATCATATTTTATTTTTTTCTCTAATATTTAAGGAGAATAAATATTTTTTTTTAATTTTTTATATTTTTTTATGATTTTCCTTCTATAATTTAAAGCTGAAGTAATTTATTAATAGTATTTATTTATCTATCTATCTTTTGGTATCCATTATTATAATTATAATTCTGATTAATTCAATTTTTAACATGTTTGATTCTATATTTGATTATTGATGATAAATTCTGGTTTAATATTTTTAATATTAAATACTAATTAAATAGATTCCAAACTATTTTTGAAAAAATTAATCATATTCAAAATACCTAATCTTAAATTTATCCATTATTTTCTTATAAGATATCTATTTATTATCTTTATTTTCATTAATATCTAATTTACTTAATTTATAAATAATCAAAGAAAGGAAATATAATTTTTAAACAATAAAGTGAATTATCATTATTTGCTTTTTGAAAGATTATCTTATAAAAAATAAAGAATAGTTTATGAAATTCTGTAGTTCCTTATATATTAAAGCTCCCCATTCCCATTTTTAATCCCTACCCTAAATTGGCTTAAGAATATTAATTAAAAATTTTATAAAAACCAATAACTATTAATCGCAACGCTCCCCAAATTGAAGTGTTAATAATTGTTTTTAATTTTTATTAAATATTTTATTAAAAAGTAAGATTTTTTATAATTCAAGCAATTTTTTATTGGACTAAATAATGTATAGTAAGTTATAAAGTTGTTATTATTTCTAAAAGCTTTTTTTAAAATACTTAAAGTAAATTTATAAAAATACAGACTTAAAAAATATTAAAAGTAATTTAAAATCATTTTTATTAAAATTCTAAAAGTACATAAATTAATTAAAATAAGTTTTATTTATTAATTAATTCATTATTACTATAATTAATAATTTTCAAAAAGCTTTTCTAGTTGAATAACTGGTTCTTCAATATCATTTTATTTTTTAAATCTATCAATTTATTTGTAAGCTTTCAGCAAAATATATTAATGTTAATTTGATTATTTTTAATGGAATTTTTAAAGCCAATATGTAACTACTATTGTTATCCAAATATCTTGATTTTATTAAATATTATCTTTTATTGGATTTAGTTGATTTACTTAATCGACACTAAGATTCAGAAACCCAATTAAATTTTCAGAATATGACCACAACCCAGATACTTTTTAAAGTTATATTACTTTTGAATAATTATCTATCTATCCATTATTATATCCAATTGTATTTTTGTTTATTTTATTTTATAACTAAAAATAACTGTGAGTCGAAGATATATTATTACTACTTTTATTTTAATAATTATAATTATTACTTGAACCTCCACAACAACCACTACCATCAGATTTTCTTGGATTTTTATAACTTGAATTTATAATTCTACTTTTATTTTTTATTTTATCCAATTACTAATTTTTTTGAGTGAATTTTTGAAGAAAAGTATCATTATTTTATTCTATTGGACACAAACATATATCCATTTCCATTTCAATTTCATCTATTTCTCTTCTTATTTATTCTTTTAAGTTATTAAAACATTCAGAAGCAAACAAACATTCTTTTTAGATTTCATGAATATCATTTTCATATATTCCTCCTATAGACCATTTTTTTTTAATTTAATTTTCACTACCTACAAATGCAGTATACTCACATAAGATTTAATACCTTAATAATTTGATATTTTTATATTAAAAATAAAAAATATACTAAATATAAATACCTAATAGCTTCATTCTTGAGCAATTCTGTCATCTTATCTTAAGAAAGTTTCATGGCATTAGAAATATCATCAAACACATTTTCACATTTTCTTTACTAATTAATAATCACTTATCTAATTAACTAGTATAAACCCATCTTATGAATATGTGCAAATTCGTTTGAAATTTGGTCTTTAATATCAACAATATACTCATCTTCTGTTTTTTAGCTCCCTTAGTAAGTAGTTGTCAGTTTAAATTTTATTTATTGCACTTCTTCTAGCTTTCTATTTAAGAAAATATAAAATCTCAAAGTTTTAGATGTATCGATATAGCATATTTGTTAAGGATGAGGAACAATACAATTTATGCAATCATCATGATCTGATGTCATACTCATTTATATGCTGTTAAAGTTTTCAAATGAGTCTTTAAGTAATTAAATTACCTAATATTATTTATATATTTTAATTGATTGTATCAAATTTAGAAATTATTACTTAAGAAATAATTTAGGAGGTATCAGTTACTTTCTAAAAATTACCTCCTGTTTCATTTAAAATTTATTTAGCATATAAAAATTCATAAAAGCCAATGCACAGTGCATTGATATCACACCTATGTTTGTTCTTCTTGACTACCTCTAATGCTAAAGGTAAACAAAAAAATAGTTTTAAAAAAAATAATTTTTAAAATTAATATTAACCTGATTAAGAATCTCCGAATTCTCCATCTGTTATTACGTAAATCTTTTTTCTCAATCCATATTAGTCCTATAGATTATACATCAAATACCTTAAAGCTTAAGAAATATAAGACCCATATCTGCTTAGAATTTTTCAATTTTATCTATTGAATCTTGTAAATTTTAATCATTAACTTAAACAGATTGTGGATACATTACTGTATAGTCAGTACCAAATGATATGATATTGTAGATAGAACCTTCTGGGAGAGATTTCAAAAAGAAGATCAATGCCTATTTAGCTGTTTCTATATTAGAACCTTGCATAGAACCACTTCTATCAATAAGAAGTAAAAACTCTGCCTTCATTAATTCTTTAAAAATATAAGAAATAAATCAATCACATATTTTTAGATATTTTTTTAAAAGTTACCTATTTCATTTTAGGCTTATCTAAAAAGTTATTTTTTGACTTAAGCAGTATTAGGTACAAAATTGAGTAAGACACAATATGGAGATATTTCAGAATCATTTTAATAGCTTGAAAGCAAAGTGACATTCTATTTATCATATTTGATCTTTAAAAATTCTAGATTCAATCCATTTAAGAAAATCTATTTTAATGTTTCTTTAGAAAACTATGCAAATACTTCAGTATGATAAGCTGTAACTTATGTGAATCTAACCAAATTATTAAACTGAGAATTATTAAATTCATTTGAAACAATACAATCTTATTCAGTTTATGCATAAATATCACCAATTATTTTAAGATTCTCAAATGATATTCTAATAAATCAATCAATTAATATTTGTAAAAAAAAAATTAAAAACATAATTTACTAATTTTCATTCTTTATAAATGGCAAAGTCATATTGTAATATTCACCTTGTAGAGTTAATTATTCTATGTAATTAAAGCAAATCAAGAATTCTTAATCTTTCTCAATATTTCCTACTTAAACTTAAAAGTACCCTCTCTAATCTTAAAATGAGCCTAGTGCAGCTGTTTTTCCTTTTAAAATAAATAATGAAATTAATTATCAATAAAAGTATAAATTTAAGGGCATATTATCAATATTAAGTTTTTCTAGATAAATCTTAATTTTATTATTAAGTAAGCGTAAAAATGATTTATTAAATTATGTAAAAAAATTTTCCTTTATTAACATAAAAAAAAAGTAATGAATTTAAAATCTTTAATAACCTTATCTTAGAGCATTTTGATATTCTAATTTTGCCTCCTGTTTCTCTTTAACTAGGCAGCTAATTATTTTTTCATCTATCTTTATACTTAAATTATCAAAGCAAAAATCTTCAGGCAAGCCAAAACCAAAAGTGAAATTTTTAATAGTTTAAGTATTATTAATGTATTTTAACTGAAGTTAATGATAAGCAATAGAGCCCTTAACTTAGAAATTATATAAAACATCTTTCTCATCAATTGTTAGGAAATGGTCGTAACTGCAAGAGAAGGATACTTTTTAATTGAAACAATCCAGCATTTTTTATTTTTGTCTCAAATCTTTAAAACAATTGAATTTACTTATTAATTAATTGTTTATATATTTAATGTAATTTGCCATCTACAATTTGAAGTTGTAATAATTTATTGATAATATTTAATTATCTATCTTTTAAAGATAATTCATTTTTATAAATATAATTCTGATGAATTCAATTTTTCATATGTTTGATTTTATATTTGATTATTGATAATAAATTCTGATAAGAAATTTTTAATATTGAATACTAAATAATAAAATAGATTTCAAATTACTAATTCTCAAATATATTTCTTTTATTTTTTGTTAAGATACTTATTTGTTCTCCTAGTTTTTTGGATAATATCTAATTTACTAATAATATAAATATTATCAGACAAGAACGTTTTAATACATTATTTATTAATTTATTTATGATTTTTGCATACATTTTAAAATGAATTACCATATTCCTTATCTAAATTTTCCAAAATTTTAACATTAGGGGACTTTTAAAAGGAATACCGATATTTAATTTTTAGAGATGAAAAATTGAGGTTATTAATTTTCTTATCATTCTTTGAAGTAAAAATTTTTCATATAATTCATTTTTACAAATATAATTATGATGAATTAAATTTTTCATATGTTTGATAATATATTTGATATTTCTTTTATTTTTTGTTGTTCTCCTTGTTTTTTGTTTAATATCTAATTTACTAATAATATAAATATTATCAGACAAACACGATTTAATACATTATTTATTAATTTATAAATGATTTTTGCATAAATTTTAAAATGAATTACCATATTCCTTATTTAAGTGTTCCAAAATTTAAACATTAGGAGATATTTAAAAGGAATACCGATATTTAATTTTTAGAGATGAAAAATTGAGGTTATTAATTTTCTTATTATTCTTTTTGGTAAAAATTTTTCATAAAAGTACCTTTAAATCAAAGTAAAATTGATAATAGAATAATGAAAAATTTTATAAAAAATTTTGAAATTAAAAGTAAAATAAAAACAAAAAAATGATTAATTTAATATAAATTAAAATACAAGAAAATTTATTATGTTTATTATTTATTAATATTTCTTTAAAAGTTAATTTAAAATAAAACAAATTTAAAAAGTGAAATCACTAAGATTCTAAATGACAACTTTTTACTGCATTAATATTTAATATGTTAACTATTTTTAAAGATATAGAACTAACTAGAGAGGTTATAATAAATCCTAAAAATTAGAATGTTACTGGTTTTATATCGAATATAAAAATTTTATGAATTTTGATATCTTTTTCCATATTTTATAATATATCTTCGTATGATTTTATTAGTTCATCTAAATATGCTATTTGACTGTTTTTAAACCTATTTACATCTACAGTTTTATTAAATGATTTTTTATTTTCATCTTTTACTACAGCAGAGCTATACCAAGCTGCCCTTCTTAAAGCTTTTTGAGCTTGATAAGAAAATATTTCTGCTTTATTTCCAAATAAATTAGAAGATTTACCAACTTAATTTAGAGCTTCAAATCCATTTTCTTAATTTTAAGATAAATTATGTCTAATCTATTTAATTTTTTTTTAATTTTGAAGTAACTGTTATTTATGAATAATAAATTCCTCATTTATTCTAGCCTGCTATAGTAAAGAAGGAAGTAAAAAGGTAGTTACTCTTTAAAATAGAGCTAAAATTAGTAAATAACGAAGATATGGATTCATATGTACCAGCTAATCCTCAAAACTTCCATCTGAATTTATGAATTAAGACACTGCTTCTATTATTAAAAGGAATAGCTCTACTACAAGTTAATTTATCCATCCATGTGATGATTCAATTTTGTACGACATAGTAATAACTCTTAGATCATACCAAGTCTAAAGAGATTTACTACAGAAAATATCCATAGTAGGTAATTCTTTATTTATTGTTTTAAAAGATAAATTACTGTCTAAGGAAATCATAAATCCAAGACGTTGCAAAGCATAATACCTACTTTAAAAGAATTTTTTTAATGATCTATTATTTAATTAGGTTAATATGTAAAGGATCAAATTTATCCACAGTGTTACTATTATCAATAATTAATATTGATCCATAGAACTGTTATATTATAAATACGAATAATTTGTTAATAGTCCCATTGTAATAACAAAGACTGTTGGATAAAAAAAATTATTATAAAATTTTAAAATATTTTTTCTAACTGCAGTCCAAGTAGGATAAATATTATTATTAGTGTAAAATGGTAAATCGGCTTTGCAAACATGAGGTAGTTCATCTGCAACTGATTTTCTAGGTTGGAATAAATATTAGGTGAATATTCCTACTCCACTAATCCATTTTTTACTTAATACAACTTCTTTATCATCACTAGAATAGAAATCTTCCTAGATGTCGTCCTTTAGTTCTTTTATATTTTCATTTTTTTTATTTTGGAAATCATAACACACTCGTCCACTATAAAAAGCTTCCTCATAATATTTAAAAGATCGAACTAAGTTTTTATCTATCGGATCAAGAATAAAATTCAAATATAAACTGTTTGGTATGATATCTCTTTTGTTCATTAAATCTAGCAATTCTTCTTTCTCACTTATGAGTTTTAGATAATTTCCCTATCTAGTAATTAACAAATAAGTACCAGTGTTCAGCAATATATAAATAAGAATAATTATATTAATCCTAAATAATTCTGAATATAAGCTGTTCGGGTTCTAGTTAATATATGAGTATCCAAATATATTTAAAAAAAGTGATGAAAAGCAGAGACTACAATAAATAAAGACTAGTAGGTAAGTACTGAAACCCTTTAAATTAAAGCTACAAACAGTATATGTATTCAATTACTATTTGCTATCTTCAAAAATAACTTGATCACTAAAAATAATTTTTTCTTATTTTGCTTCCAAATTTTGATTTTCTAATTGCTTGCAATCTGTTTGAATATTTTATTATATAATTCTAATTTTACTTGTTTAAGCTGAAGCATAAAAAAGAGGAAAACTAGATTTAACCAATAACTTGAAAAGAAGCTAAAAATTTTTTCTATAAAAAAACCTGCAAACACAATATAAAAAAGGCCATAACAATATTGAGAGTATGGTTCCAAGATAGAAGAGTATAATTTTTCCAAAACCTTCTAAAGGAGTAGATAAAGATTGACTCTCTCCAACTATTCTTTAATTAATAATGGCATCGTAATATTCTTTAACTTTTGCTTGCACGTCCTTGTTGCATTTTTTTATTTACTAATCAGCACCTAACATAAGGTTCGGTTTTTAATCTTTCTTTAATTTCTCATTAAATTAAAGCAACTAATAATAGCGATTTTAATCAATTAAAATATTGTTTAAATATATTTTATAAAAATACTATTTTAATTTAGTTATATATTCATCACAAACTTCATCATTAAGAACCTTTAATATCCTTTTTGTTTCTAATTAAAATATAAAACATTTTTAGTATTAGGAGCAGTCTTTAGTCAAATCTTATACAATCAATGCTTATTTTCCTAACTGATTAACTAGTTCAATAAATCTCTAACGTTTCTAATCTGCCATTCTAAAAAAATCTTGAATAAATTATTATTTATTTCAATTTTTTTATCTTCTTATTTTAATTTAATAAATTTATTATAAGACTCTTAAAAATTGTAAATAAAATTTATTTAATTATTCTAATTAAATTTATATTTAGTCCTTCTGTTTAATTTATAAATATAATATTAATCATCAACTGTTCAAGATTACAGTTTTAGTATCTTTTTGATTTAAGATTATCTAAAGAATTCTTGAATGACTATTCTTTATTTTAGTAACTCAAATAAATTTAGAGATTTATATATAATTAATTTCTTTCTTCAGATTTTTTCATAACTAAAGCTGAAAGATATTTTTAGTATCTTCTGTAATATTCAAATATAATCTACCTTAAAAACAATCTGAATTATTAATAAATAATATTAATGTAAATTATTATATACTAATTTTTTAAAGTTATATGATCAATCTAAAGAAACAAGAAAATTAACTTTTTAGCTAAACATTAGAACAAAAAAATATAATTTTTCATAACCTTGCAATTTTTATTTGCCTTAAAATATTAATCTATTTATATATTTTGAAAATTTCTTAAAATCAAAGACAAAAGATATAAAAGCACCAAGAAATCAAATATTTTTAATTTTACATAAAGACTTATTTATTATGATTCGCTCTAACAAAAAATGGAAATTTATAGATATTTTTAAACTATTACTATAACTTTTGTTATAAATTATTTATGCGATTAATATCAATAGTATTTTATAGCTTTTAAATTTTATTTAGATATACAATCTAAATAAAATTAGAAATTTAAAAATAAAATACTTTTATTTTTATATTTTTAAATAATAAAAGAATTATAAAAAATATTTAAATTTCAACAATACAAACCGAAACATTTTAAAGAATATCATGCTTTATGATTAAATTTTATTTTTATAAAAAAGGAGATAAATAAAAGCGAAAAATCTAACTTACATCATTATAGATAATTATAAATATGATAAATAATCTTTAATGAAGATTTTTTAGAAAAAAGTAAGGAAAAAAATTAAATATTGCGATGATAAAAATAATTTAGTTTTTTTATATCAATTTTTAGAATAAAATATAGAGAGGTAGGTAGGTGATAATTTTTAAAAATATTTATATTCAGTTAATATTTTAATTAAAAACGAAAAAACAAAAAGATTAGAAAAAAACCACACAAATAGAGAGTGATTTATTCTCCAGATATTTAAACAAATTAAGAATATTTTAAATAATAAATTAGTTGTAATCTCTTTTACTTTTACAACATTTGTGATTAAAAAAGTACAAATATTTACAATAGAGGAGAGAAAATCAATTTAAGATTAATCTAAATAAATTTCAAATTTTAGAAATGGGGTAATATGCATCAAGAGTGCTTTTCTAAGAAGGAGAAGTTTTAGAGGAAGAAACATTTTAAGAAAATTACTTCTTTACAGAAATTTACATCAAATAAAAGGATTACCTTAATTAATATATCAAAGAAGTTCTCAATTATTATAAAGACTTTGAATAAGAAAAAGACTCTTTAAAAAGTGGTACAATCCAAAAAGATTTTTTTATTGATGACGTTTATAGAAAGCTTAAGAGTTTTTTATGCGTTAAAGTTTAAGGTAAATCAATTTTAATTTTATTTATGATTCATATTTAGTTAACTTCATTCATACACATAACATCTTTTATTTGGTTTTGGCTGCTGATTTGATTAAATTTTTTCAAATTACTTAATAAAAATCTTACATAATTTTTAAAATATTTTTATAATGCTCTTATAATGGAGATAATTATTTTAGTGAAAAAAACTTAAAAAAAAAAGTATTTCAATATAAAAATAATTAAAAATTTAGATAGACTTTACTAATTAAATTCGTCTCTTGGAAATCAACAGGATTTACTAGGAAATGATCAAGGTAGTGATCAGACTTTAAATTAAGATAAATAAATAAAAGAGCTTATAAAATTCTTCTATGGTTAGAAGGAAGCTTACATACCAGATTATCATTAATACGAGCAACATAATTGTAATATTTTCACAAAAACATTAAAAGTTATCAAAGATTTTAGCAAAATCAGAGATATTGGTTAAAATGATTCTTCATTTAAATAGTTTTTGTTGTTTTAAAGTAAACCTGATTAAGTTATAAGGTAAATAAAATTAAAGCATTTACTACTAAACTACATGTTTTTACCTTTTCGCTTTGTGATGTCGACTCTCTGTATTATATTTTGCACGTTTTTCTACTATATCTATAAATTAATTTAATTTATGATATGTAGTAATTCTAAACAAATTAAAGATGATTCAGATGATTATATAAAAGTTAATCCTCCTCTTTAATATTCTTGCTGGTGTATTAAATAAAAAAATACAGTTAGATATAGAAATTTTGATAAAAAATTTAATATTAGCAAAATATAATCGCCAATATTGTTTTACCATTATATTAGATTTTGGATACTGATTTGCATTTTGTGTGGGTACATTTTTTTGAAAAAAATGTTTCCGAATAGCGATCCTTAAGAAGGGAATATGAAATTAATAGTTTGCTTTATTATATCACAAGAAATTCTATTTTTGCTATTGGATGTGCTATCTAGATGCTCCAATACTAATGTTAATTTTGAAACTTCCTACTAAGATAAAATACAATAATTAGAAAGAATGGAAATAAGCGATGAAGATCTCTAAATTGAATTTATGAGAAAACCACTTGAACTTGAGATAGTACTTTAAATTAAATTTCATTACTTGAGTAAAAATTAGAAGTAATTTAAAAGACAAGTTAAACTTTTAGAAAAAAGGTTAAATAAAAACGATTCGTAAAATTTAGATATTCAAATTAAAAAAAACAGTTTGTAATATTAAAATTTTTCAATTTACCAAAATATCAAAACTTAAAAAAATAACACTGCTACGACTAAAGAAAAATAAATTGGAGAAAAAAATGAAATATTTGAAGAGGATGTTAAAGAAACTTAATAGAATAAATTTCATGAAGAAAATGGATAGGATAAAATTAATGAAGAAAATGAATAGAATAAAAGTAAATAAGAAAATGAATAGAATAAATGTAATTAAGAAAATTAAAGCATTTATTTAAGCTAAAATGATGAAAAAAAAGACTAAAATAGATTTTTTTTTGATGGGATGAGCATATTCTATTCGTATATATTTTAACCATAAGAGAGTGGCCTTTCACAAAAAACGATAGGTGTAGATTTAGATTATCTTGAGCTTTATGAAAAAAGATTAAAGCAAGACAATAGACTAGTTTTTGATGATATTGGCTAAAAAGGTTATAAATTCTCATTTTATAGTTGCATTGTGTTTATTTTGTTGTTTTAAACGGTTCTAGATGTAATTCTGGAGCAATACAAAATAGATTTTTTAAATAAACTACCTTAAAATATTTTTAGACAATATTGTAACTTGTTTATAATTTTTGCTTTTTAGTTTGAAGGTGTACCTATCTAAATATTGAAATCTTTCAGAAACTCACTCAAGAGATTAACTTCAATAATAATTTATGACAGAAGCAATACAAACAGATAAAAGTATAAAAATATTGCTTTTGAACTACCTTGTATAAATTTATTCTGCATTCAATCTATAAATTGCTGGTACAATATGAGAAAACTGATTTTTTAATAAGAAATAGTTAACTAAAATATTATTATGCTTCATTCGCTTTTAGAGTTTTCTACTGGTATAACAGTGATATATTTATTTTGGCCAAACTTATATTCATTTTATATGGTTTCAAAGTGTGAAGGCTTATCAATTTCTTAAACAAATATAATAGCTCTTATCATTTTATTTTATAAGATAATTTATAAATCTCTTTATAAAGTTATCAGCTATTTCTGTGAAATAAATTCCTCCTACAGCCAGCATTTATAAATTCTAAAAGATATTTATTAAAATTTAAAATAGACACAATCCAGATATGAGATGCTACCAAGTTTATTTTAAAATAAGTTAGAAAACGAAGTAAAAATAACTTACTTTCAATATGAAGCATTTACATAAATAAAAAATATATTAAAAAGTTAGCCTTAATCAAATTAGAAAATAGAATAAAAAAATTAGTTCATGAATTCTTTATCATAAAATGATTTACTCTAATCTTCAAATCTTATACAAGAAGATGAAAATTAAAGTATTTACCAAGAATTGATTGACCAATAAAATTTAGAAAGCTAATAATTAAAATTTAAGAATGATTTATTGCGAAATTCTCAAGACTTAGTTATACTTAACCATCAATAAAATAAGTAAAAAAATCAATAATTAATTTCAAAAGAAGAAATGCAATAGCATAAGGAGTATTTAGAAAAATTAATTTTATAATATGATATAATAATAAATGATTTATAAAATCATGAATCAGAAAGTTAGCTTTACTTTTTAGGTATTTTACCAATAAACGATAAACAAAAATAAGTTGTTGTAATATCCCTAGCACCATTTATTGTAACATTTATCATTAAAATTTTTAAAAAATGGGATTTTTATTATATTTTCAATTACTTTGAAGAAATATGGAAATAATCAAAACTATAATGAAACATAAATCAAAAATTAATATTTGTTTTGGATATATTTAGATTGTAATATAGAAAAACACTTAAAATATTATTTACTATAAAATTAATTATTACCATATCTTTTATATTTCAACTTTAGATTCGCTCACCCTCAAATATTTAAATGTTTGAAAATCTTAAAAAAAAAATAATTTTAAAATATCTTTTTATAAAAAACTTAAAAATTTTAAACATACGCTACATATTATTTTAAATTTTCACTTTTATAATTATTTAATATTAAAATTACAATCAAGTTATTGATAAATAAAATAATTAGAATAGCTATAACAATTTATTTTAGAAACTAAAAAAAAGTAAACAAAAAATTAATTTTTAAACAAATCAGTGCTAAATTTTATTTTAGTTAGAATATTTAAATATTGATAGACGAATAAATAGCAAGTATTTACTTAATAATTCCCAATTCACATCGATATTAGAATATTATTAAACGTATATATAAAATTAATATTCTAATTTGAATGTTTATTTATTTATTATTCAATATTTAATATTAGGTTTTATCTTTGCAGATTAGGTAAAGATAAAATAATTAATTAAAAATCAATTTAAGCACTGAGTTATCTCATTGATTTCTTCTTTCTCATCTTTCTCATATTAGGATTGATAGATATTATTAGCATTTGAGATTAAATGGTCTTTATTTTTTTTATAATTTTATTATTGCTCTCTTTCAATTTTATGGTGCTTCTCTCTCTATCTATCAACATCAGAGACCCAAGTGTAACCTCTAAAAAATGAATAATCTTATAAATGAAAGCCAGTATCATCCTTGGAGGCAGCATTCATTTTATGACCTTCCTCACTTATACAATGTCATATTTCACTTCTATTATCCTAATGTTACCTGTAATCATCTCCATCCTTTGTATTTATTGTAAATATTTTTCTTTAGTATGTTCAAGTATGTTCAATTCCTCCTGACTTATGTGCAACATGAAAAGCAGAGTTAAAATTGCTATGATAATCATAGCTTCGTAGAGTAGATTTACCATCTCCTCTTCCATTACTTGCATTTGAGCCTTCGTTTCCAATTTTTTTAATTGACTTTTTATTTAAAAAGAATTTTTATAAAATACTTGTATACTGTAAATCCTTGCTAATGGTATGTTGTTTAATGGCCCTTATTAAGGACTATTAACCAATTTCAAATTGAAATTTTGAAATTATGGTCTTTATTTTAAGGTACCATTAACAAGGGATTAAAGTATTTATTCTTCTCTAAAAAAATTTGTTAGAATTTTTAAATATTTTAAATATTAAGAATAATACGTCATTACCTATTCTTAACCTACCACTATTTGCTATTTTCTTACAAAAATACAATATCCGAGAATATATATAACAATTTATTATAGAAACTAAATAAAAGCAGACAAAAAAATTAATTTTTAAACAAATCAGTGCTAAATTGTATTTAAGTTAGAATTTTTGAATATTGATACACGAATAAATAACAAGTATATACTTAATAATTACCAATTCACATCAGATATTAGAATATTATTAAATTTATAAATAAAATTAATATTCTAAATTTGAATGTTTGTTAATTTATTAATCAATATTTTATATTAGATTTTATCTATGTAGCTTAGGCAAAGATAAAATAAATAATTAATCATCAATTTAAGCATTGAGTTTTTTCATTAATTTCTTGTTTCTTATCTATCCAGATTATGATCGATAGATATTATTAGTATTTAAAATTATAAGGTCTTCATTTTTTTTTCTAATTTTATTATTTTTCTCTTTCAATTTTATGGTACTTCTCTCTCTATCTATCGACATCTGAGGTCCAAGTGTAACCTCTACCAGTTAATTTATCTTATTTATGAATACCAGTAGTATCCTTGATGGCAGCATTCATTTTATGGCCTTTCTCACGTATATAATGTTGTGTTTGGCCTCTATTATCTTATTCTTTCCTGTAATCACCTCCATCCTTTGTATTTGTTGTATACATTTTTCCTTAGTATGTAAAAGTATGTCCAAGTCCTCCTGACTTGTGTGCAGCTTTAAAAGCAGAGCCAAAATTACTATGAGAATCATAGTTTCCTAAAGAAGATTTACCATCTGCTTTTCCATTACTTGGGTTTGAGCCTTCGTTTCCCATTTTTTTTTTAATTGAATTTTTATTTAAAAAGAATTTTAATAAAATACTAATATATTTATTATTTTCTAAAATATAAGTTAGAATTTTTAAATATTAAGAATAATACGTCATTACATAAATAAGTAAGTAAAATTGCTCAATAATTAATTTAATAGTACAAATAAGATTTTGTGGTATTTAGTTTTTCATTTGCTTGTTTTGTACTATATTAAAATCAAAGTCTATTAACAATTACTGTTAAACTCCTTGCCTAATTATTAAAACTTGTTTATATAAGACTTATCTTAAAATTATCTGATAAAGATTATGGCTGATAAAATATCTAACTTTTTTAATAGTAAGTATAATGATGAAGAGGAGGATGATGAGTTGAAGTTAAACTAAGGATATCATGTTGATGACATGCTTGGCTATCCAAGTTTTATTGATAAAATTCGTTAGAGAATAGAAGACAATGAGTAGATTATTCGACCTCGTAGATAAACTAATTAGGAATCTTTGCAAAGTAATAGACGCAATGCATTAAAAAGATATGATTATCAATAAGAGTAAGAATAACAAACTAGAAAAAAGCAGTAAACATTAATAAATAGGAAAAAAGTTAACTCACACGATTAAAAGGCAGATAAAAAAGGGGGAATATTATCTAAATACAAGCATTTAGAAACCAAATTTTTGCTAGATTTCATGATTAAAGATGACTTATATGATTTATATTAGGCTATAAATTTATAAAAGAAAACAGAAATGCTTATGATATTGCTTAAAAGATCTTTAAGTTAACTAGAAATATTTAAAGAAATTGATTAAAATTTAAATCCAGATATTTATGCAAGTCTTATTCGCTCCTTAAAAACTCTTATTGTTAAGTAAGGAAGCACTATATTTTCATTTGGATCCGTTGGAAAGTAGTATTATTTTTTAATTAAAGGCTCTGTATATATTCTCCTTAGAACAGGACTAGGTTCTAAAATAAATAGCTTAGAAAAGGTTAATCATAATTAATAAAATGATAAAGAGCATTCAGAAAAAAAGAGGGAGATAAAAATACTAAGGAAAAGAGATTCGCTTGAAGGAGGTGGATAGGCTTAGTAATCTGTCATCACAACTACATAGAAGAAAACTAAATTTATTACATATGCAAATAAGCTTTAAAGCTCTGATTCTAAGGTTTTTTAAGATAATTAGGATAATAATTCAGAAAGAGATAATACGCCTTCAAGTAAATAATACAAGCTTTCTTGGGAATCGCCTTTAAAAAAGCAATAATCTCATTTTTAGAAAGAAAATATTGTAACTAGTTCATCTAATATTACGGATTAATAGCAAGATTTAAAATATCTTCTATAATTGTAAACCCATGATAAATTGTATGATGATAGTCGCTCTTAAAAGTCTATTGAAGATAAATTAAGTATAGCATGGTCCTAAGACTCATAGAGAAATAAGTAAACTTAATTAATCATATTTGTTATTATATTTATTAAAATAAATTTAAAAAAGAGAAGAAATAAAAAAAAAATTTCCTCATTTTCAGATAGTTGGCACTCATTAGTAGGGTGATGGATTCGGAGAACTTTCGTTATTGAAAGGTATGTAAAATTGATTAAAAACTGGTAACTTAAATAATTTAAATGTGTATTTAGGAATCAAAAGAACTGCTACTATAGTTGCAAAGGAAGATTGCTTCTTCTTAACATTAGATAAGGATAATTATCTCAAATTTTTGTCAGAATATCATGAGAAAGTTTATTAAGAAAAAATTAGCTTTGTGAAATAGTTTTTTATTTTTGAGCAATTAGATAAAAGATTACCTAGTTTAATTATTTTATTTGAGCCGAAATCTTATATTAGTGGCTAATGCATATATGAGCCAGGTGATGAAGTGAACTATTTATATTTGATTAAAAAGGGAACTGTTGCAATAAGTAGGAAGATAGCTCAAAAATCAGAGAAGTAATTATTGAAATAGGTAGAATATGAAAATAGCATCGCTAGTAAATATGAAAGGGAAATGCAACTACAAAAATCATTTATTTAATAGCAGCAATAATAGAAGCAATAAAATTAAAGATAATCATATTCATCTAAAGATAACGAATCTGAGGTAATGAGTAAATTAGATTATATATATGAAAATAGAAAGGTAGAGAACACTCTTGACACAGTTTGGGATGGGTAATAAGAAAGTGATTAGTCTTAAGGAGAAGAAGAAAATATCTAAGACTTAGTTTATTCAGAAGAAAAAGGAGCTTTTGTGGGTAAAAATAACAAAATATTATCAATGATGAGAAGCTCTCCTTTAAAAAATCGTTAAAGTAGGTTAAACAGTAAATCTGTTTCGCCAAAAAAAAATACAATTCTTACAGTTGCAGGAGAATTGTGTTTTTTTGGAGAAGAGGAAATCGTGAATGGAGAAAAATACAGGTAATATGAAGCTAGAGTAACTTCTAGTAAAGTTGAAATTCTTCGTATATCTATTAAAAATTTAAAAATAATTACTAAGTATAATGATGTTATGCAAAGAATAAAAGCTTATTATGAGTTAAAAAATGAATGGAGACACGCTTATGTTGAAAGGAGTTAAAATGCTTTGCTAATTTAAGAATATTTAGCTAAGAATTTCAAAGAGTAGTATACACAAAATATTTTGAACAAAGATATATAATAAAAAGCAGCTATACAGTTGACTGCTAAAACTATTCCTCATAGTATGGATAGTTAAAAAGTCACTTAAAGCGTTTTAAATAGAAAGTTATATATTAAATCAAAGACTAAATAATTTAAACACAAGCAAAGTATTAATTCAGAAATTGATTAATTTGATTCAGAGTCCTAGAAATTGTTAAAAAAATACAGCTAAAATGACTTAGTTAATATGAGCTCCAGAAAAATTCACTTCAAAAACTCTGACAATAATATTTCTGAAGAAGAAGAGGAAAATAAAGTAAAAAATAGAAATTCATCATCGCCAAAGAAGATTCTAATTTAAAATGCAACTGCAGATTTATCATGTAAAGATTTTGAGCAAAAGGTTTCCTTCTCATTTAAAAAAAATAGAGATGAGATTTCCAATAATATTGAGTAATAAAAAGTATAATCATAAAATTAATAAAGCTTAGAACGAAAATACTCTAAATAAAATAGTATGGGTAATTCTATTCGAAAATCGTAAGCAAATTCTCCATAAACAGCTAAGAAAGACAGTATATTAGAAAATAATTTGAAGTCTATGCTTAGCTAGAAAGAAAATGAAAACGAAAATGAAAATGAGTCTCATAAGTTTATTAAAATTTGCAAAATTTAGCAAGCAGATAGCTTGATCGAAACTTTAAATACAAATCAAAATGAATAATCAGTAGAAGACTTGCTTACCTTTTAAACTCAACAAAAATAGATAAAATAAAAGCAATACTCAAAAAAAAAGTCAGATGAGATCCAAATTCATGAGTTTCTAGATTATAATTAGAATGATTAAAATTAAATTAAAAAAGTAGAAGATTAAAATTTTTATAATTCATAGAGATTACAATTTAAAAATACTATTGAGGATTCATAGCTAAATTAATCACCTGAAACAAAACAAATGATATAAAGATAAGCATCGAAATAGCATGCAGAAGCCAAATAGAAAGAGTAGAAATCTTAAAATGAAATTATCTAATTTTAGAAAGAGTAAGAAAATTAAATGGAAAAGCTGAGAGGGATATTGATGAAAGAGAGTAGAAAGAGTAGTGTCAAAAAAACTAAACAAGTTGAGAAAAAATAAAGTAATAGCTAGGAATTAGATTTTAGAGAGATCCATAATATATTCATTAACATAGAAGGGATCAAGAGTAAAAAATTAGATAAGTATACGAAATAATATAAAGAAGTTAAAGAAAAATTTAGTAAAGAACCTAAAAAGAAATATGAATATATTCCTAAATACGGTTCTGAAAAGGCTAAAGAGATTGTCAATTAAAATAAAGATAAAAGAAATAATTCTTAGTATAACAGTGAAAGAAAGCCAAGCATAATTAATGACACTACTATGATTTCTAGATAGAGATCTAATTCAATTTCATTAGGATAATCTTCACAATAAAGAAAATTTAGCTTTCGCTAGTATTTAGAAAACTAAAAAACTGTATCTGTGGAATCAACTTCAAACCACTAGATCCATACTTTGAACCCTGATTTTATTAAAACAAATCAAAGTGTATTTGAAACCAAACAATCTGAACATATTAGAAAACCTTCTTAAGCACTGTATGATGAAAATCAAAAGATTGATGCTTAAAATAAATAAATTGTAGTTTAGATCCATGAAAAATCCAATCTGAGAAACTAAATTGGACATTAAAGCTAATAAAATTATTAATCTGATGATTTAAATGTAGAAATTCTTGATAAAACATAAAATTATTACTTTTAGAAAACACCAAACCGCCCTTAATCGCATAAGCACAATAAAGAACTTGATAAAATTATTGAAAAGGATAATTCAATGATTTTATACTAAGATTAATAAGATCACCACTCAGAAACAATGATAGAGGAGTGCAAAAGAGTTGAAGAATCAGATATTGATCAAGTAAGAAACATGCTGATGTTAGTCAAAAAACTGAAAATTGATCATTTAATGGAAAATAAGTATACTGATTAAAATATTTCATCTGGTTTTATGAGCAAATCTCTAAACATAGTTTCTATACCTACAACTGCCCGTTCAACTTCATAAAAGTAGAGAAGAAAAGTAAGTCTTGCTTCAGATAAAAAAGACTATCATTTCAATTACGACACTACTTACTCGCATGGAAAATCAGTAACATAAGAAGTGAGTTAATTTAACAATACATGTATAAATTTTAAAGATGAACAAACTAACTAAAGTAATTAATTTTCCAAAAAAATTTACAACCTAACTGAACGAGAATAACAAAAGAGAAAATAAAGCAGCGGAGCTATCTTCAGGCCAACTGTACCATTACAATAATTTCCATTAAAATCTCTATAACCTACAGAAAAATAAAGTTTTTAAGTCCATTCTAGATATCAAAGCTTTCATCATGTTAGAAAAACTAATTAGTGAGATAAAGAAACATAATTATTCTATTTTTCAAAAATAATTTTTGTTTTTAACTGAGAAAAAGTAATTGAAACACAAATATTATATTATTAATTAAATTAAAAAAAATTAAACTTAAATAAGAATATCTAAAAAATAAATTTACAAATACCTCACACAGCATAACACAAACAGTAAAAGCTTTAAATTTTCTAAATTTTTGGATGAATTATATTAATGTTATAATAAATATAAATTTAAATTAAGATTTTATAACTTTGTAAATATATTTATTTAAGATTACTATGTCTAAAATAAGCAACACCATTTTATAAATTTCTTTAAAAATAGTAATTTAAAAAAAAATTTCATTAAGTGAATCTCATTCTCATTATTCTTTTAATTCACTAAATCCTTCTATTCTGCATACATTCCTAAACTCTCTGCAAGCTAAGCACATGTACTTAGCTTGGTTCACATAAGGGTCTCTTTCTTCTGTCAAATAATCTATCCAACAGCTCTCACAATATATTAAATGTCCACAAGGACGGAAAATAATTTAGGCAGGCCTCTCTTAACAAAGCTTGCAATTTAAAATATCATTTTACTAATCACTTTAAGAACACAACAATTGATACTACTAATCAAGATCATTAATTTTCTTTTTTACTTCCTATATTTCTGTTAATTTATCTCTCTATTTGATAAGAATATCGTTTATAATTTTTTTTGAACTTTCTACAGACTACTTCATACTTTAATTTTCATTTTTGAGCTCAGATATATCTTGAGTTATCTTTTTTCTTTTGGCAAGATCAAAGTTGTAGGTTTATTCCAATTTTAAAATTTCATCTTTGTGCTGTTTACAGTAAATTAATCTTTATAAAATAACTTAAAAAAATTATTTACTTTTGCTCTTAACATATCTTAATAGTCTTTGAGCTTTTTCTGCACTTCTTTCTATAATTCTTCACTAAAATTTTTAAGTAGATTTTATTTCTACTGTTCAAGTACTTTTTTTTAAGCTGTTAATCTAACAAGTAAATTAAATGAAAGTCTATTTAATTAACTAAAATATTTACTCATGAATCATTCTTACTAATTTTTTATTCAGTTCATCTTCTTATTTAAGTTGCGCTTAAAGCCTTTTTTTCCTCTGTTTATATTAATTAGATTCTTATTTTCTCTATTACAAATCACTTTACATTCTCATATTCATAATATTTATTTTATCACAGATAACTGAAAGCTCTTCTCTTAATGAATCACACTATTCTTTTACTGAAGTATTAAAAATATGTTTTTATTATTTTGTAAAATTCAAACAAGTTTACTATTTTTATTTAACTAATTAGGATAGGAGCTTGTTGTTGGCTAAGAATTCCCTTTTAATTTCTTTTCAAATGCTGCTTTTTGTTGAATATAATTATATTCTATCATGGCACAATTAATGTTAAACCCGCTTAATTCTTCTTTGTTAGATTCATTATAGATTTAGAAAAATTCAGTAAATTAACGATTTTCAGAAGAAACTAGAAATTTATTCATTACATTATTTGAAAATGCAGTGTTTTAAAAATATTGTAAATCATTTTTAAGATATCCTACTGAAATAATAGAATTAAAAAAGTTAGTATGATCATTATCCATGTAAATTAAAATATTATCAAGCACTTTATCGCTAGCAAATTAATCATAGAAAAACGGTAGAGGAACTTTTAATTTTTTTTTTTCATGATAAAACCTATCATAATTGTATAGAATGTGTTCTACTGCTTAGATTTTTCCTTTAATCTTGATTTCTATGAATTCTTTTTTCATTTTTATATATTTTGATTTTTTTATATTTTCAAAATCTTCTACTAATTTTTTTATCAAAAATAAACAAATTTTTTATTTAGTCAAAGATTCTTATCAGTAATTTTTGCTACACATTAATCAAATCAAAAAACAAGCTAAATTTCACTGAAAAAACAATTCTAATTATCCAAAATTTTCAAATTAAAATAAAATATTTTGGTTTTTTTTATTTAATTTTTTATTTATTTATTTATGTCTATGTTTTATATTTTATTTTGAAAACATTTTCGAATACTTTAAAAAAAAAATAATTTAAAATATAGGGTGAAAAATTAGTCTTTTTTGAATATTGATTGGATCAGATTTTATATAAGAAATTATTTATGTACTTATTTATTAAGTAGAATTAAAGAATCTTAAAATAAAGGTTAAAAATAAATATTGCTTCATATTCACTATTCTTCAAATAAACAAATTTTAATTAAAAATTTATAATTGTTAAAAATAAAAATAACTTATTAAATCAATAAAGTAGTTAATTAGCAATGGATCAAGAAGATATATAATAGTAATTCTCTTAAGAAAATTAGAATATTTAGTTTGTTAATACAAATACTACATCTAACATTTTACCCATCACTGTTTAGAATTCAGAGTAGCTAAACATAGAAAATTAGCAGGATCCTACAACTCTGTAAGCTGATAACTAAAAATAGGTAACATACTACTTTAGGGATTCAGACTAATCTGAATGGAGTTCAAGTGAAAGTGAGGGAGAAGATAATTAAAATGAAGACAACTTATAAGAAAATTAAATTGAATAAGAAGAAAATAATATGGAAAATGATTAAGCTAATAAAAAGAAGAAAAATAAAAATAAGAATACCAAAAAATATGATGAAGATTTTTTTGAAGAAGAGGATATTGTAATTGATCCTAAAGGTGAATAAATGAAAACCAAAAATGAAGCAAAGCCTTAAAAGTATGAAAAGTTTGAATCAGACATGGAAAGACTTGTAAGATTTGGAGTTTAATTTAAAGGAAACGAGGTTTTGGTAGAGCTTGGATAAATTATGACTATAGTAGATGACAAGATCATTATTGCTACTAACAATGAAATGAGAGAAGCAGAAAAAAGAATCATTGTTGACCTCGACAATATTATATTTAATGAATAAAAAAATATTATTGGAAATGTAGATGATGTATTTGGAAATATTAAAAATCCATTTTATTGTGTTATTATAGACAAATACACTGAGGAAATGATAGCTTAGAAGAGATTATAAGTAGGTTAAAAAGTTTATATGATTGAAGGTTATAATAAGTTGTTAATGAAAGCCTAATTAGAATTCCTGTTAAGATAAAAAGGATGCGATGCTTCAAATAGATTTGATGAAGAAGTGCTAAATGACAATGAAATAGAGTATTCAGATGATGAAATGGAGTCAAAAGCTAAAACTAAAAGAAATAACAAAGAGAGAAAATAAGATTTGGAAGATGTAGAAGAAGAAGTTAGAAATGAAGAAAAGCAAAATCCTATTAAATAAAAGAAGAATAAGAAAATTATGGTCATGAAAAATGAAAATGGTGTTTTAAAAAGAATATTTTTAAAGCCTTCTGAGTTTGAAAGCTTGAAAAATAATCCTAATAACAAGATACAGCAGCTTCCATCAGGATATAATCCAAATAAATTCCCTAAAGGTGGTAATCCAAATAATTAATAGTAATAATTCAGTATTCCAAGTGGATAAAATCCTCACTATTAGAAGCCCAACTATTAATAAAATAAATAATATAGGCCAAATAATAATCCAAATTATTAGAAATAAAACTACTATTAGAATTAGCAAAATTATTAAGGATAGCAATCTTCTTAAAATTATTAATACTAGCAATAAACTCCATTTACAAATTACTAAAACTAATAACAATAATATGGCTATCAAAATTAATAGCAGTTTAATCAAATTCCCTAGCAATAGTAGTAATATTATCAAAATAATGATTACTAATAAAATTAATAAAATAATTAAGACCAAAATTTCTAAAATTAAAACAACTATTAAAACTTTAACAATATGTAGCAATAATAATAGCACTACCAATAATCACCTTAAAATTTTCAATAAAACAATTAAATGAATTGAAAAAAATACAATCTGATCAATAAATAGATAAAAATATTTCAACTGTTTTAAATTCGTAAAATCATTTTTGAATTGTAAAAAATTAAATTTAAGATTTAAATTTTAAAAATTATTGTTTGTTTATTCATTTAAAAATATTTATTTTAATAATTAAATTTTACAAAAATAAAAAAAATTATTATTTATTTATATTTCAATATTAAAATTTTATAATTATAATTATAAATATTATTTTTTTTTAGAGTTTTTTGAATAATATCAATTTTTTTATTCAGCTTTGATTAAAAATAAAAAATGTAAAATTATTTCAAAAAATTATTAAAAATTATAATTATTGGTTAATATTAAATTATAAAAAATTTAATTTAGTATTTTTTATTTTATCAATTTTTATAATAAAATAAATATCTATTTTATATTTAAAAATAATTAAGTTATATTTTATTTCAAATAATTAAATTATATTTTATTTCAAATAATTAAATTAGATTTTAAATAATTAAATTAAATTTTATTTAAAATAATTAAAATTTTTTTTTCTAAATTAAAAACATTTTAGTTTAAAATATTTTTATTTTATTTTAAATTTAAAAATTTTACTGAATAAAAATTTTTATTAAATAATTCATCTTTTAATAAAGTGTCTAGACACATAATTATTTATAATTTGTTTCATTATTTTTTTTTAAATTTAACATTTATACCATTATAATTTTAATCTAGTAAATAAGTGCTAAGTGTTTTAATAATTTGAAAGAATAAAAATATTAAAACTAAATTTAAAATTTAAATAATAATTTAAAAAAAATTATTTTACAATAATGGATTAAATTTTTTTGGATTTGATTATTTATTTTATTTTTCTTAAAAATCATTTAAGTTATTTAAATAATGCCAATTATTTAAGTGTGTGCTTTTTGATCTATTTAAATTTTCTATGTAAGATTAAGTTAGCCTGCTATAAATTATTGAAATTATTTATCTTTAAATTATTAATTTATTTAAAAACTCACTTTGTTTTATCAAAAATAACACTATTAATTCGAATTTAAGCGATAAATTTAACGGATTTTTGTTCTAAAATAAAATAAAATATTTAAAAATGTTTCTTATTTTATATTAAAAGTCTAAAGTACACAAGCATTTAATAATATTTTATAAATTAAAAATAAATATATTATATTTCAATGTAAATTTAAAAAGATCAAATTTAATTTTTTTAGCTAAAGCGCGAAAGGAAAAATTAAAAATTTGATTGCTAAGGGATTAGTGGGAAAGTAAATATATTTGATTTAAATAATTAATTACTTAAATTAAAAAATAAATAAGCAAAAATCAATTAGAGTTATTATTTTTTTAAAATAGATTAATTGCAAATAAAAATATTAAATTAAATTTTTTATATGAATTGTGTAAAATTTGTAAAGTAAATAAATGTCTTCAATCAATATTTTTTGCTTATTTAAAAAAAAATATAATCTATTAATTTATTTATAATTTTAGTATTTTTTGTAAAAAAATCAAATGAAAAAAAAATAAATAAAAGGGAGGGAGTCGGAATTGAATTGGTTTCATTTAAAAATTGTAAAAAATGGAATATGAAAATTTTAGTAAAGAAAATCATAAAAATGCAAGCAAGCAAGGATAATCAAGAATAGGAAAGGTTTTTTAATAGATTAGTTTAGAATGATATTAATTAATTAATTAGTTATTTTGATTGATTGATAATAAAAATAGCATGAAAGTAATACATATCATGTAAAATTTGATTGATTGTATGCATGTATATATGTTATGTATAAAGGTTTTTAATCGAGTATACTTGAAATATATATATAGATAAATCAATCTTAATATTAAGAAAAATAAATAAGGATAATTGCTTCTTCTTGATAATTAATTTGTTGTAAATAATTCATCGCATTTTACATACAATCTTTCTGTAAAAAAAAAAGTAATAAAAAAGAGATAAAGAAAGAATAAAAGGAAATTAACTTTTTTTTTTAAAGATGGCAGGCACCACCAAAAGAGGAAAATAAAGTTAGTAAAAGGAATTTAAAAAAGAAGACTAGAAATAGATAGAAACTAGCAGTAAACTAATTTAAAAAGCTCTCAATTTACTACAATTAAAATGAAAATGAATGTCCATTTTCTATTTTTAATTGATTAATTAATTTTTATTCGCATGATTATTGAAATTAATAAAAATTAATTTTTTATAATTTCCTATCAGAACAAGAGGAGGATAGAAAGAGGGATGAACGACTGAAGAATAGATAGAATAATCTCAAAAAAATCAAAGAAGCCCAAGAAATGTAAATTATTAGAATAAATGTTTAGTTTGTAGCAAATTTAATTGCTCAAAAATTTATGAGGCTCCACCCATATATTTTAAAGATAGATAGCTAGATAGATATTGAGACAGGACTAAACCTATCATTGAAAATTTTTCTTTAAATTATAGGGAGGAGGTGCAAAATAAAAAGAATGCAAGCGCATAGTCTTAGGCTTAAAGCAAGTCACCAAGACGCAAAGATTCTGCTAGTAAAAAAAATTAAAAATAATAGATTTAAATCATTCATGAAAAAGGGCTCATGCAGCATATTGATTAGGGACGAAAATTGATTAATATTTTTCATTAAAAATAATTAGTAGCTTCAAAAAAACATAATTCAGGGGCCAATGCAAAACACTTAAAGTCGCCTTAAGATGATTTTGATGATGAAGTTGTTAGTGACGTTTCATCTGATTTAAGCGATTCATTAGAAGCAAAATTTAAATAGGAGAACGAAGGAAAAATAGAAGGAAGCAACTAATCTTCAAAGCATAGAACTGCAAAATACCACTAATCTGCTTTCAACTAAACTCCTCTAAGTGGCAGGAACAGGATTGGCTCGTACAAAATTTTATATTTATTTAATAAATCGTTGTTTTTGGGGAAAATAGCTAACTTTACCTTACTAATCATTGCTCCTTATATATATATAAATGAATATTAATGTCAATCAACATACTGTTTATCTTGAATAGAAGCAGATTATATTAAAAAACTACTGAATTTATAATATTTAATCTCTTTTGTTTTATTTTCATTAGTGATGAAGATGATGATGATGAAATGAATAGTCTTTTAAAATCAAATGGAAAACAGAGTCCTTTATCCAGAGAAGTTAAATCAGATAGAAGTCCTTCGATTAATATAGCAAATAAATCAAATAAGGGAAAATAACATAATAAAGAAGATAATCACTCGATGGAAATCGAAGCAGATGAAAATTAGAAGCTAACTCATTTAAAGGGTACTTCAAAATTGTAAAAAAGTAACAGAGGAGCAAAAAAGGAAGACAAAAAAAGTAAAAAATTAATTAGGATTAGATAAAATGATTTTAATTTTTCATTTATTAATTAACTCTGAAGATACTGATTAGCAATTAAGAGAAAGTGATGATGATATTAATGAAGAAGAAGAAGATGAAGATGATAATAATTCTTAAGGGGAAGAATCTGATAACAGTGAAAATGAAAGCAATAAATAAAAGGGAGGAGATGAAGAAGATGATAACAGTGATGATAATGATGAAGATGATGAGTAAATAGAAAGCATAGCCTAACGTAAAGTAAAAAGAAATGTCAAACAAAAATTTAAAATAGTGAAGGGAGAATTTGTTTCCTTAGAAAATAATGACTAGGAAGATGAAGAAGAAGCTTAACTTAAGCAACCTAAGAAGACTAAGGCTATTGCTAAAACAAAAACTTCAAAGTTATCAAAGAAACACTAATTGTAAACAAATCCCGAAGAATCTGATTAAGTATATAAGAAAAGGTAAATTTTGAATGCAGCTGGCATTACAAAAGTTAAAAAAGTTAAAATGTAAAACTTGCTTCCAACTGGTGTTTTAAAAAAGAAATCTGCATTAAAGCCAACATCTGAATCTAAAATAGGGAAAAAATCAGAATTAAAACAATAGTAAAGCAAGCAAGAATCATTATAAACCAAGAAATTAGACAAACTCAGCTTAAAATAAAAGGAAAAGCTAAAGAAATAGGTTTTAAAAAACAAGGAGGATTTAAAAAAACAAAATTAATTAGATAAGAAACTCAAGAAGAAAGTTAAAGCAGAATCTTAAATGTCAGAAGAAGAAAATTTGACAACAAAAGCTTCATTAAAAAAGAAAAATAAAGAATAAAAAGTTGGTTATACTGAAAAAGAAAAATCAGAATTACTAAAATAACAAGAAACATAAAAATAATAGTAGTTGAAGTAAATACTAAAAAATATTGAAGCTAGAAAGAAAGCTTTGGATAAATTAGAGCAATCAGAAAGAAAGAAGCATTAAGAAAAAGAAAAGGTAGAAAAAAAAGTAAATAAAAAGAGTTTGTAGCTTTAAATGCTTGAAAAAAAGATAGAGCAATTAAAAAAAGAACAATAAAATACAAATTTGAACGAATTTCACAATAACTACATGAGTAATTTCTTAAATGATGAAAATGATAGCAACAGAAGCGTTTTATCTAATAAAATTGGTATAGCTTCTACTTAAGTTTTACCTACTTCCTTCTCAGATAAAAATATAGCATTATTGATTAAAAAAAATAAAAAGAAAGAAGATAACTAGGATAATAAGAAAAAAGATTCAGAGTTAGATTAAGAGGCAGATAAAAAATTAAAAAAGAAAAAGAACTAAGAAGAAGGATAGAAATAAGAAAATGAGGAAGATATCGATGAAGAAGATGATAGTGATGATGATGACAAGGAAGATGAAGAAAGTATTTAAGAAATTAGAAAAAGCAGTAGAAGACCTGTTAAATCTAAATAATATGAGGATTATGATTATAACTCACATAGAGTAAATAAAGGTTAAAACATTGAAGAATTAGAAAAAGAAAAAGAAAAGTTAGCCTAAGATATCAATGAACTTTAAGAAAGAAAGCAAAGAGCTGAAGAAGAAAAAATAAGTTTACTCCAAAGTTTATAACTTGAGAGATAGGAATTAGCAAAAGATTAGAAAATGTATGAGGATATTTAAAATTAGAACATCTATGTAAATAATAAAAAGGATGCAAAAGCAAGTATTGTTGATGAAAGCAATGAAAGTGAAAAAATATCCAAAATTAAAAAAGGAAATAAGTTAAATAGTTAAATAGAAGTTGACTAAACGTATGTGGCTGAAGAAGAGAACGCTAAATAAAATAAATCTAAAAAGCTTGCTAAAGAAAAAGAAATTCCTTTAAAGAAAAAAGATTTAAAAGAAAAAAAGCTAAAAAAGAATGAAATTTAGTAGGAAAATATAAATGAAATTGTTTAGCCTATTGAAGTATAACAACAAATTATTCCTAATTAAAAAGTAGTTGAAGGAGAAAATGAGTTATTAGCTAAAAAATTATACAAAAAGAAGAATAAAGGTTAATAAGAATAGGAGATACAATAGGTTGCTACACAAGAAAGTATACAGTTTTAAGTATCTTAAGCTAATTTGATACCTAAAGATGAACTTTAAACTTCAAATTATGCAAATACTCCTGCAATTCTTGATAAAAAGCAAAATTAGACTGAAGAAAAATAAAAAAGTGGTACAAAAAAGGGAAGAAAACCTAAAAAAAATTTGGAGGCAGAGGAAGAATCTTCAAAACCAGAAAGTGCTAGCAACGCAAGCAAAAAATAAAAAGGCAGTAAAAAGCAAAAAGTGGTAGAAAATCCTGTTGATACAGGAATGAATTTATTAGACATTTTTATGTAAGAAATATCTAAGGTTCATCCTGATAACGAATAATCAGAAAATGATAAAAATGGAACTCGCTCCTTAGGTAATATAAATGAAGAATAAACAAAGTTAGAAATTCACAGCTAACAATCAAAATCTGCTAATTTACCATTTAACGATAATAACAACTAACAAAGCTCCAAAGGTAACAAATAAATTTTAATTAAAAAAATAATTTTTTAAATTTAATATTTCTAATAAAAAGATCAAATTTTCCAAAAAGAATCTTCTGATAAATTAGAAGTTTAACAAGAAATTTAACCAGAAAGTGAAGAAAAAATTAATCCAGAAGGACAAGATAAAAAAGAAGCTTAACAAATCAATGAAAATTAAGAAAATTTATAAAAAAGTTAAGAAAAGATATAAGAAGAGGAAATAGTTACTCAAACTGAAACTAAGAAAGAAACTCCCAAGGAAATAAATCCTACTGAAGAGGCAGAATAAAAATAAAATATTTAAATTTAAGAGTAATAAAAAATAGAAATAGAAAACGAAAATAGCTAAAATAAAGAAAATAAACATGAATGCTAAGAGGAGTAATTATAATTACATAAACATGAAACTGAATAATAAAATGAAGACCTAAATAAATAACATGAAGGATAAGATAAGTAGGAATCTGAATAGTAATAATAGTAGGAGGAGGAAGAAGAAGAAGAAAAATAGGAATAGTAATAAGTAATTGAAGAAGAAGAAGAAAATGTATAAAAGTAATTATAAAAATCTGATTTAAATCAGACTGCTCAGTAGCAAACAGAAGAAAATAAAAAGGAAGATCCATTATTAGAAGAAACTCATAAAAATGAAGAAGTCTTTAAAGAAGATATTTAGAAAGATTAAACTTTAACTGATGTAGATTTAAAGGAGCAACCATAAAACGAACATACTACTGATGATAATAAAATGGAAATAGAGTAAGAAGTTAGAGAGGAGCAAGTAGATTAGTAGTAATAGTAATAATTAGAAGATAATGATACAAAATAAGTTGAAATAAAGGAAACCACTATTGAAGATACTGATAAAGACTTAACTTAAAATAATTCTGAATAAATCTAAAATAAAAATGATTAACAGAATAATGAAGATATCAAAGATGAAGAAGACTCTAGACCTGTTAATTCTATTGATGTAGAAAATCCTTAAACTTAAATTGAAACTTAAGCAGTTTAAATAAATGAAGAAAATCTTGAGAAAGTAGAAGAAAAATAAGAAGAAAACGAAGTTGAAGTAGATTCTGAGTAAATTAATAAAATTGATAAGAATGAAGACAAGTAGAGTGAATTGAAAGAAGAATAGGAAATTGAAGAGTAAAAAGAAAAACTCGAGTAAAAAGAGCAAGAGCAAGAATAAGTTGATTAAAAAGCATAATAAATAGAAATTTAAATCGAAGTAAACTAGGAAACAGTTTAAGAAACAACTAAAGAAAATGAAATTAATGATAACTAGCAAAATAAAGAAGGTAATATTTTACAGTTTATTAAAAATTTTTAAATTAAATAAAGAATTAATAGAAGAAAAACAAATAGAAGAAGAAGAATAACAATAAGAAGATGTAAAAGAAGCTACTAAGATTGCTGAATAAGAGTTCTAATAAAAGATCGACGTATAAGAGCATCATAGCACACAAGAACAAAATAGCTTAGAAGAGGAACCATAAAATAAAGCACAGAATTTTATTCCCTAAGAAAATTAAAATTTAGAAGAAGCTCAAAAGGGCTAAGGGGAAGAAGATTAATAAGAGCAAGTATTTCATGAAAAGGAGTCTCTTGTTAACTAATAGGAGAACTAATTTATGGAAGAAGAAAATTCTCTTTAAAACTAATCAAACCAAGAATAATAGGAGTTTCAATAAAATTAACAATAATTATACTAAAACTAAGAAGAATTTGAAGATGAGCTTGGCATTGATCAAGAAAGAAGGGATTTTGATGAGGAAAACTTTTTCGATGATCTCACTCCAATTTCTATGCCTGAAGAGTAGTAGGTAGGAGGATAAAGATAAGAAATTGATTTCAACAAAATTCCATAGATTAGAACTCTTATAAATGACCCTTTCTCTTAATAAAGATAATAATATTAACATTAAAGTTAGTAGTAAACGTAGGCTCAGCAGTAACATTTACAGCAGTAGCAATAAAGCTAGAAGTAATCATCCTAATTTTAACAACTACAACAACAATAGTATTCGTAACTTATTTTATAATAATAGCTATAATAATAGTAGTAACAGAGGTAATAGTAAAACAAAAACTAGGCTGCAATGAAAATACAAACAAATGTAACTACATAACCAAACACTCTTCTTCAATAATCTAATTAAATGTAAAACACTAAAGATTAACACATCTAAAAACTATAAATATAATAAACTGACTCACAAAATAACTAAAGAGCTTAACTACAACAACAATAACAACAACAACAATAATAATAATAACAATAACAACTATAATAACAAAAATAATAAATTTTAATAGAAAAATAAAAAACCACATAATAGGTTCACCAAGAATAAAACAATCAAAATTAATAATCAAAAAATGTAAATGCTAAACCATAGTATTAATCCGAACATAAAGAGTTGAATTAAAAAGAAAACACTTAACATATTTAAATCTAAAAATAATAAGAGCCTAAAACTAATTAAAAAAACAGTGAATAAATGAATTTAGAAGGCAAACAAACATAATAAAATTAAAAAACATTAAATGCAATTGATGTTCAGTCTCATAGTTAAAATCCACAAACATAAACAGTTTAAAGCGAGTCTTTTTAAGACACTTCTAACTAGAACTCTTAATAAAAATAGAGTTCTGAAAATAAACAGCATAAAAGTGCAGAGAATGAAAAAATGGAGATAGAAGAGACTTTGAGTGTTACAAATGAGAAACTTAAAAAAGAGAATACTCCTTTTTAATAGAGAGAAGAAATTATTTAAACCCTAAAAGAAGAGAGTAAATTGAGTAGTATACCATCTTAAAATTCTGCAGCAGTAGAAAGACAAGCCCAACACAGTCCAAACTCTAAAGCAAGCAATTAAGATAGTAAACCCATACAAGAAGAAACTACCACAAGAAAGATTTTAAGATAAAAACCTAAAATAGACTACAAATATTCATCATAGTAAAATTTATTATTATTATTATGTCTTTTCTTACTTACCTTATTTATTTTTTAATAATAGAAAATTGTCTGGTCATTCTTTTGTCTAAACAAAAACTTGTAAGAATCCTCCATATAAAATAAAGATGTCTCTCCAGTCTTTAATAGTGCTAAACATCCACTCTCACTTATTTGAAACTGAAATTATAGGATTGGTAGGAGGAGTTTACGATGAAACTACTCAAGGTAAATTAAGTTATTCTCTTTTAAAACTGACAAAATCTTAAAATAAATGTAGAAATAACCATCTAAGAATGCAAACCATGCAAAAAAATAAAAACTGAAGATGATTACCACAATGTAGAAATGGATCCTGTTGACCAGTAATTGATGATAAATGATAAAAAAACATATTAATTGAATACATTAAATTAATAAATTGATTAGGGCTGAAGTAAAGCAATATTTTGAGTCTAAGAATCTTAAAACAGTAGGTTGGTACCATTCTCATCCTAAGTTTAGCTGTTAACCTTCAAAAATTGACGTTGATAATCATAAGGCATATAAAGATATGCTTAATATAAAGGAATACGTTGGAATTATCATTAGTAAAAAATTACTTTATATCAGATTTAATTGCTTTAAAATTTTAATTTAATTGTATTTATAGGTCCATACAATAAAAATGATTAAAAACCTTAAGTTCTTATTTTTGATGAACACAACGGCAATAACATTAAATTGAACTATTAACTATTTGGGAGCACTATGGATAGTGAAATTTTAGATTTTATGGTAAATATTATTTGATAAAAGCATTTCTAACTATAATTTATTTGATATTTATTTAATTAGAATCAGCTTATACAAAATACTAAAAACGAATAGGGCAGAATAAAGTTTTTTAATTAATGGTAAATATTAAATTAGATTAATATACTTATTTTGATGTTTATTATTCATTAATAAATTAGGCAAAAAGATATAACCTACAAAGATAAGCTGTTTCAAAGTCTAAAACAAATTGTCATTTCAAACTAAAGATCAATTCAAAAACAGCTTAAAAATTAAATGAATCAAGCTAACAACAAAGAATAAATAGAATTTGAACAATTTTCAAATGAGTTATCTGACTCTTAAGAAAATGAAGAAGATAGTAGAGTCTTAAATGAAAACAATAGTAATTTAAAATCTTAAAAACAAATAGACAGCTCAAATGGTGATTGCTAGGAATTTTTACAATCTAATCCCTCTAAAAGACATAATCAAGAGAATATTTCTTCTTATTCTTAAAACCTTAAGATAAACTTAAATATTTAACCATAAGATTCACCTAAAAACGCTTCTGTAAGTAATAAGTCTGCTATGTAGAACAATCAACATGCCAAAAAAGCTGTAAATTCTGTGGATATGAAAAATGAATAGGATCTTATTAAAATCTTTTAGTCTTTTAACTTATGAGAACCTTACACTCAATCAATTATAAAAGAGCTGTAATGACTCTTTTTATTATACTATGAAAAGCTAAATAAAACATTTTGAAAGTTTTTACAAAACTTGTATTTTATTATTTATTTTTTACTACCTTTTGAAGGTTTCTTTCTTTCCTTTTTCTTTCCTACTTACCTATCTATCTACCTACCTACCTACAAAATCATTCATATCATGCAAACCAAAAACAAATACCTACATATCTATCTAAATAAATACATACATACATACCTACTTACCTCTTTTGTCTAATTCTCCTACATTTCTATCTATTGCAACAACTATCTATCGTAGATATGTAAATTTTGATGGTTTAAAAAGAATAGAATATTATATTTTAAACGCTCTATATAAAGATATATAAATTAAATTGCTATCATTAACACTTTCTTTTAAATATTATTATAGTTTTGGTATATATTTGTAGTTTTATTTATAATTAGTAGTTGAATTAATTTATTATTATTATCAAAAAACTAACAAAATCTCATTTATTTTTTTGTTTTATTTACTATTTAATTCATTTTAAATTAATATTTTTATTGTTTTATCAAACTGCTAGTAAATAAATATCTTAAGAAAATATTTCAACTTCTTTAATAATATTAATTACAAATTTTGTACATGCATTTTAAATTATGTTTTTAAGGGATAAATAAATTATTTTTTAAAGAATGATTTTTTTTAAATGTTTGGTGTTAAGAATAGAGCTAGAATGAATGACCTTAGTATTTTATACAAGATTTTATCAAAGTTATTTTTAGAAAAATATGTTTTATTTAATAAACTTTAAAATAAATACTTGGTGCAATATTTAATATAATCGAATGAAATATAATGATAGATATGGAAATGATAGTTTAATGAATGGAAGGACACAGTCTGTCTAATCTCCCCTTTAATCATATATCAGCTATGTAATAAGCATAAAACAAATGCAAATAATAAATAGAATAGATGAATGTATGTATGTATGAATAAATAACAAAGTAAGTAATTAACTGACTAAGTTGATTGAGTTTATTCTGTAAGTTTTGCATGAAGATTATTTTGGTTAATTTATCTCTTCACTTTAAAATAATATTATTGATTTGTTTCAATGTGAATGATTTTGGGAGATGATTTATTTATTTTATTTTGCTTTGTTTTCCAATCAACCAGAAATCTTCAATTACTCATGTTCCTTTAATCCAGCTAATTCATGAGCTTCAGCTTGAGGATTTTCAAGTACTTAGTATAGAAGAGGAGAGCCGATTTTACGTGCAGTGAAGCAATCCTTAGCAACAGCAATTTTATCAGGGATTAATCTAAGACGATGCTTAATAATAACATTTTCAACAATATTGTAGAATTCTTGAGATCCTCTATTTGCAGTAGCCATACCATGAGCAAGATCAATTAAATCATTAAGAGGAATATAGCGATATAAACGTTCTTGGACTAACTTGGTTTCAATAACTTTCCAAAGAGCATCATCTTATACATTCATACGTCCTAAGAATGTGGCAATTTCTGCAAGGGACTTATTGCATTCTCTATCAAATCTTGTGATGTATTCTTTCAAAATAGGTGAAATGACATTGTAAAAGTAATTATCAATGGGAATTTCGTGGTTCCATAAATGGAACATGGCAAAAGAAAGCTAATAATCGGTGAGCATGTATAAATTATCCTTCAAAATTTCACTAAGCATCTTGCAAGAATAAGCAGATTGTATGGCAAGGGAGAGTTCGACGTATTCCTTTCTCTCCAATTCCCATGGTTATAAATACTTTTTGTTGGAAGGAGTGTAATCTCTTCCACGTTGACTGAAATTAAAAGCGACATTCTAAACTAAACAATTAGAACCCTTTAAATTATTCATAAGTAAGCAAGGTCTTTGACCATTCAACTTAACTATGTTGGTAATGATTCTCTTTAACATCCCTAACCTAGATTTTTTTTTTTAGTATTTTATTTGTAATTCTTACTAATTTTTTTGAGTTGAGATACTTTTCTCTTCTTCTTGATAATGATAAGATAATCCTTAAAAATCGACTATTTGAAATAATCTTTCAATTCTCTTCTTCTTAATAAAATTATAATGTTTATTTATTGTATTATTTAGAATCTAACTCCATTATATTTTTTCATATTCATTTTTCAAGAAAAATTATTTATTTAATGCATAAATACATAAATACACACACATACATATAGATCTGCATACTAACATAAATGTATTCTATTTTTATTTATATAAGCAAATACAATAAATAAATGCATACATACAAATTCGCGTATCTTAGTATCAGATAAAAAAACAAGTATCCAATAATCCCATAAAATAAATAAATAAATAAATAAATAAAAATAAGTTTGATTTGCATGTAATTTTGATATTTTAAATAATATTTTATAATACCCTATTTTAGGATATACTTTATTTACTAATAAATTAATATCAATATAATTAAGTTATAAACTAAAAATTGATTTTATAAAATCATTTTAAATCAGAGACGTAAGGAACATAACAAATCAATTTTTTAAATTGATGCTAGTTAATGGAAAAAGGCTAATAGGAGGTTAGTAATTTTTTTTAAATTTGATTTTAATGAGAATATATGATAGATAGATATTCAATTTTTTAAGTGCAATTAAAATATTTATTTTAAAAGAAAATTTTGGAAATAAAATAAAATTAAATGTTTCAATCGAAATATTTTTTTTTCTTTTAAATTTTTACTTATGAAAAATATAATGAAAATAAAAATATATAATATGAAGATTTTAACTATTTTAGAACAAGATAGATATACATACTATGTTAGTATAAGATTTTCATTTTATGGGGTAATATTGAAGTTATTCTTGACGTTACTTGAACACTTCCATAAGGAACCTGTAATCTAATTCGCCATTTTTCTCTGCAAATTTAATAAGACAGCTAAAATTTTTATCAGATAGTCTTATATTTGACTATTCTAGAACTTGACCAATTATGTTCTTTGCCTTTTCATAAGTAATACATCCTAACTTGTGCTCATTCTTAAATTTATCTAATAACAATTTTCTGTTCTTTCCTATAACGGCTAAGACTAAATCAAATTATTATGAGCACTCCCAACTAAATAATTAAACATCAAATTGGCCATTATTAGGGTTAGAAAATATTTAGTTTCCTTTGGATAAATCGATAACTTTAGGAATTTTTAGTGACTTATAAATCTAGTTACTGTTATTTTTCTTAAGATTTTATAGAGGAGATTAATCAACCTATTAAAATATTTTATAAAATTATTAACTTAAATAAAAATTATAATCAATTTTACTTCAATTTTTCTAAAGGTTTCCATCCACTCATGAATATCTATTACTCCATCTCTTCTTATATCTATGAATTCAAATATATCCTTAATTATAGGTAAAGAAGGTAACTCACTTTATGATAATTATCCAAGCTGTATTATCAAAGCCTTGAATTCATCAAAAGTCATTTTTCCTGATCTGTTTTCGTTGTACTGTTATTAAATTAAATAATTAAAAAAAAATTTTTTTCCATTTTTTTTTTTGATAAGTCTAAATAATATTTTACCTATCTGAAAGCATCTTTTGGAGATAAAAGGTATTGGTAAATGTGTTTACGAATTTTCTCTAGTCTTGCCCTTGCCCTACTAACTAGTCTTAAATCAGAGTCTCTAGAATTAATTTTATTGCATTTTTAAATTTAAATTTTATTAAATTAATATATATAATTACGTTTATTTAATTTTGTGACAAAACTCTCTCCAGTTTATGAGAGCACCACTTTTTGACTCACAAATATTTAAAACGCTATCGATATCAAATATAGAAAGACCAATATTTAGTTTCTTCATTACGTTTCTGAATTCGAGATTGGTAATAAATCCACTATTGGATTTATCATACTCTTCAAAGAGATTTTCTAACACTTTGTCAGATGATTTTACTAGCTTTTTCATTCTTTCAATAACACTTAGAGTAGAATTCTGGGCATTATCATAAGATATAAGAGATAAAGTAGAGTTAAATTTATTTTTATTCTGGCTGCTCGAATAAGGTGAAATAAACACATTTCCTCTTTATTTTTTATTAATTAAAAAGATTTATTTTATATATTTAATAAGCTAATTTACTCTTTTTAAACTTTTTAAAAGCTATTGTGATTTTTGAAAAAAACTTCTTTGAAATCATTGAAATTGATAGTATGTCCAATAGACCCAGCTACCCTGTTCCAAGCTTTAATCAAGTCTTCTTCTTTAAATCTCTTAGGTTGTTGGGCAAACACTTAAAGACAAAATTACTTGATAGAAAATATTTAAAATGAATTTCATAAAGTATGGGAAAAAAAGTAATACTTTGAAATTAATGTCTTTTCCAGATTCAGAAAAAGTTTGGAAAGCTTCCTTAGCATCACTAAATTGAGTTTCGATCCCCTCTGATATTTCCTTAATCATCATTTCAGTTGAATCGTAATTTTTTAGTTAGCTTACCCAGTCATGCTCTGATAGATATCCTTTTTTATGGGGATCAAAGTCTGAGAAAAGCTGCTAAAGGAGCTTCTCAGTAAGATTAAAACCTTTTAATACTCTGTTTTCATCTATCCATTACTTTAATAAAATATTTAATATAAAATCATAATAATCTTTTGTTTACTTTAAATTTGGTATAAAGGAGTCTATTTTAGTGACCTGACACTATTTCAAAACTAGTCCTTATATCGGGATAAAACTTGGAGACAAACAAACCTATTTAGTGTTTAGCATTTATTTTCCATTCAAAAATACTCTAAATTGAGTTTTGCTTTGATTTTTGGAATCCTTAACTCAATTCATTTATAGTTTGATTAAGTTTGGAACTTTAGAAAACAGAAGAAGAGTAAGAAGATTTTAGTTTCTAATTATTCTCTAACTTTACAGATTTGGCAGACTGAGAATTTATTTCATCAAATATTTACTTTCTATAAGAAGCAGTACTAGTAGAAGGATATCTGATTTTGGATAATTTGGACTCACTTGCACTTTATACTAAGTTAGACCCATTCTTAAAGTAACTTCTATCCTTGAAAGTATTTATATCAAATGAATCTTCGATAACTTTCTTAAAATCTCCAAACTAAATAGAATCTCTTTTATGTTGATCTATTAACTTATATAAACGATCAAGTCTTGTTTCTGTAATAATATCTTGAGGAATGTGCAAAATATCAGACAAAAAAGAATGCAAATCTTTTTTTCCTATTTGACCATCAAAATCAATATCAGCAATTTTAAATGCTTCCATATAGTCTAAATCTGTTTTTTATTTATTAATTTAGGAAATAATTTTTAAAAGAATATTTTAATTATTTTTAATCATTTACTTTAAGTTTTATACCATTTTCTCATTTTTTCTAGCATTTCAAATTGCCAGTCCCAGTTATCTTCTTTTATTTCCTTTTAATCGGAATAAAAAAATTAAATCAAAAAAGCATATTATTAATTTCTTACTTGTTTAAAGTTGATTGGCTTATTAATGACTTCTAAAAATCTTTAATAGTCTATCATACCAGTATTTAAATTATCCATATAGCAAAAATATCCTTCCTTTTATGACTAATTGAGCTTAATTATTTTATCTAAATTGCTCATTTCTGAAAGAATAATAAATCCATCTTGGTTTGAGTCTAGGATATTGAAAGCATCATAATTTGAGATCTTTTTGTCATGTAGAGCTTTTCTAATTATTCCGTTCAAATTATCAATTTGCTTTTCTGTTAATTTTATTTTTCTTTAAGGATTACCATTAAACTAAGAACCATCATTTTAATCATTTTCATCGTAATCATCGTAGTGAACTCCAAAGTTAGATTCTTCTTTTTTTTTTATTTTTAAAGATTCAGGAAGGTTCTCTGTTTCAATACCTTCTAACAAATTCTAATCTACTTCTAATCCTCCTCTATTTTTATTAAATCAAATTTAATATTTTCGTTTATAAATTGATAATTATTATTTAAATATTTTCTTTTTGTTGAACTTTAAATAATAATTCTATTAAAAATATTTAATCAGCTTTAAATTTTTAAAATGTTTTCTTGTTGTTTGCTTATTAATAAAATAGGATTGTGAAAAAAAAACTTACATTTAGATTATTTATGGTTGTTACTGTTAGTTTAAACTAAAGTTTTTATATCTCTAAATAAAAGTTTCCAGATCAAACTTATCTATGAAACCATCTTTATCAATATCTATAATTTCTGAAAGATAATCTATAATATGAGGCTTTATATCTGGATTGACATACTTTTATGTATTTAAATAAAATTAAATTAAAGAAATTATCAAATATGATATATTTACCTTAAAAACTAATCTTGCAAATAAAGAAACTTTAATTTTAGATGTATCTTCATTAACTATGTTTTCTTTTTAATATAGGTTCTTTACAAAGCTAAAGTGATTTAGAGAATTCTACCTATATGTTAGAATAAATCAAATGTATAAATATATGATTTATATATTTAATTATTTGTTTGTTTACTCTATGTAAGAATTAATCGATCTAGCCAATTTTTGCAAATTTTAAGAATCTTTAGAGTTGAATGGAGGGAAAAATGTTGTTGACACTTCTATAGATTTCATAAAATCGTTATAATTTAGAAGTCCATTTGATGATTCATATTTAAATAATCTATTTAAGTCTGTTTAGTTTAAATCTATTTTGCACTTCTTTAAAACTAATTTAAAAGCAGAAGCATCTACCTCTCCACTTTTCTTTGGATCTTATTACTTTAGAATAATAAATTAATTTAAATAAATAAATAAATAAATAAATGCAGCTAGTTAATAAATTAACTTTGTTTATTCACAAAAAGTTTAAATTATTTATAAGATAATTATTATTTTTTTGATTTAATTATAATTTTTAATAGAAATTATTGGTTTATTTACTGTAAATTCTTGTATGAGATAAGAAATTCCTTCTTTTTTTAATTGCAAATATTATTGAATTTTTCTTTTTGTTTACTGGACCCAGTTCAAATCTGAGTGTAAATCATCAAAGGTATTACTCAAAATAGTTGCTAATTTAGATGACTCAATGAAGGGTTATCCATTTAATAATAGAAAAATGATTTTAGGAAAATCTTGCTTCTTGATGGCAGGCTCCATAGATAAAAGAAAAGACTATATATCTTCTTTTTAGAGTTTTTTAGTTGGGTCAATCAGCAAATCTTTTAAATTCTTTTTCTAAAAATTAAGCTTAAGTTTTATCCATAAATCTTTTAAACTTCTTTGAATGGAAACTATAAATTTTATTAAAAATGCTTACTAAAATAATTATTTAAAAAAATATATCTACCTATAGAATCATCTCTGCCTGTAATTTCCTGCTTGAAAATTGTGTAATCTACATAACCATTATTTTACTTATCTAGCTTCATAAAGATGAATTCAAGTTCTGCAACTGGAATAGGACATCCTATCTTCTGCAAAAAACTTATAAATTCATCTTTGTTTAACTTGATAACTTCTCCTTGCTCATCTCTGGAAATAAAATTAGGATATTTGGCTCTTTTAACAGCTATTGTATCAAATATTTGCAAAGGAGTGAGATTGGTCTAAAGCATCCAGTTTTACATTTTTTTTAAAGGCTACTGTCCGTTCAATAGTATTTAAGATTCATTAGTAAAAGAAATACTTTAAGATTTTTAGGAAGGTATTTTGCTCCTTTCATTCAGAGATTTTTACTATTTAACTTATTCGGTGAGCTTAAAGTCATAATTTTTTCCTAACCAATCTATTGCACTTCCATCAATAGTTTGAGATTATATGCTATTATATTGATTAGATTCTTGATCTAATTATTTAAGTTTATCTGCAGTAAGATATCTTTATCTCTTTTATATTTATTCATCTAGTGGTCTTTTAACTATACCCTAATTAAATTTTTATTTTTTTATATTGCTAAATATTATTTTTTAATTTATAATCAATTTTTCTATTATTTACCTTGCATTCTCTTTTGAGGCTTTCGTAGAAAGTAACATTGACTAAGCCTTTTTTATATTAAAAAGTTCCTATTGCTGGTATGATCATTTATACAAATCCATCCTTTGTTGATATTTTTACATTAAAAAAAATTAAATATTTTGATCAGTAAAAAATAAGTTTTTTAATTTTTTTAAAGGGTATTCTAAAATTTGAAATATGTTAAATAGTTTGTTAGTTCTACCTTTTTAGCAGCTAAAGATATCTATCTGAATACTCTTTCTAATGACAATCTTACATTTTCTTTAGAGCAATTAGCAGATTCAGATATTTCTAACAAATTTACCTATATCATTTGTATATTTCCGCATAAACCTTGCAGATTAATTGGACGCACACCTTAATCAGTCTGAATACCGCTTTGTATAGGAATGCCGTTTAAAAAATCCTTTTAAACAATAAAGACAGGTTCTCTTAATTACTTATCTCTGATATCTGGATTAGTTACACCCTTTTTTTATCAAAATTATTTTAAAAATGTTTATGTAATCTAAAAAAGCATCGAATCAATGCATTTTGATAAAAATTTCTATTATTACTGGTAAAGTTACATCAGGATTAGTAAAAGTAAATACACCAAAGTGAGGAATTTTAACAGATCGACCACTCCTCAATTGCTTGGAAATATATAAACCTTTTTAATTATTTAGTAATTAGAATTAGTTGAAATAGATATTAAATACCAAATGATCCCCAAACACTGTTGACTGTTTCATCTGTGAGAAGACCTTATAGACTATATATTCTATTATATTACATGATAATCAAATACCAATTGCTAGAAATAATAAACTCACTTTGTTCCGCTTTTATATGAAACTTCATCTAAAATCTTTTAAGATTGCTATGATGCTCTGGAATTATCAGATTTCCTGCTTAATATGTCAGCCATTTTTTTACCTATCCTACTTATATTATTTTTTTATAGGACTAATTTCCTTCGCTCTTAACTTAATTTCTATTTAATAAATTTTTTATTACTATTAATAAGTATGACTTTATATTTAAGCAAAATAAAACCCTTTCAAGATAAGTGATTCTAAATGAATTAAATGCTAACAAAGAACTGTTTAGGTGATTTATTTTATAAAAATATATTGGAACTGTTTTAAGTCATTTGTAGAATAAAAATTATAAATTTTATTTAATAATAATTGATGCTCCCTTAAATATTAATTATTTCATCATTCATATGTGAGTATATTTTAATAATTTTAAATTATGTTAATTATAACATTTATTTATTTATTTATTTTCTAATTTAAAATAGTTATCTCTCTCTCTCTTCCTCTTTCTGTATATTTTTATAGCTGTAATTAAAATCTAAATTTTACATTATTATTGGTTAGTCAATCAAATATTTTTTAGCTTTTTACAATATGAATAAATTATACCTTAGAAGGTTTTTGAATTTTAAAAGAACTCATATTTTTTTAGACTAAAAGTATTTCATTTGAAAATAATTTCAATTTTTATTTTTAATCTAAAATATATTTAATAAATAATTTTTGTACTGTGAAAAAATTAATTGTATTTTTTCTATTCATACGATAATTTCTATTAATAAATTTATTTAAATTAAATATACAAAATATAAATAAATGAAAGAATGATGGATAGATTGATAGATAAAATTTTTTTTAAACGTTGGAATATCAAAATTAAAAAAATAAATTCTAGTTTAAAAAGAGATATTTTAAAATTTAACTTGAGGAAAAAATAAAAATATTTATATACTTGAGAGAGAAAAATCTATTGAAGGAATCTCTTAGAAAAAAAAAGAAAGCACAAGTGAATAGATAAAATCCAAAAACAAATAAATAAAGAGAAAGATAGATAGATATAGCTAAATTCACATCTTCTTCTTTTAGAATAAAATAGGATTTTTAGAATAGTAGAATCAACTTATATTTGTAATAGATTTCAACTAGATATAAATAAAGGGAAAAAATGCTCAAGTTATTATAATTAAGCAAGGGATTATTAGGTACTTAATAGTTATTGCAACCCGTTTAACTATCTTCTCTTCTTCATAGCACATTCAGTAAATGGTCAAAGCCTTAAAAATAACACAGACAAAAGGAAAGACGTACTGGTGTTGCCATTTCAGATGAAAAGGCTGCCAAGCTTTCATAATCAGAAAGTGAAGTCGAAGCTAAGAAGTCTCGTTTATAATAAATATAGAAAAAGACAATTCAAACAGATAAGCCTTTAAGAACTTAATCTTTTGAACATGATTAAAGTATTACAGATGACAAATTATTTAAAATGTTATAAGATTACACCTTTAAGTTTGAAGGAAAAAAGATCAATCCAGTTAAATAGGATTAAAAGGCTATTTAACCTGAGAAAGTTATTTATTCAGACCCTACTCAAGTTCCTGCTCGTGCTACTCCCTCTTTAAAAAATAAAGTTGGTATGGTTTCATCAAAATTTTGATAAATAAACAAATAAATGTATCTCTACTATTGTAGATTAATTGAGAGTGAATATACTCAATTAAATTAGCCCTAAAGCAACAAAATAATTATTACAAAAAACTTAAAAATATTTTTTAATTTTGTTGGCATTAATCTGCTATATTAAAACATTTTTTTGTTTCTTCAATTAGTAGTAGATCTAAAAAGTGCTACTTATCTTACAATTTTTGCATTTTTAAAATAATAAAGAAATCAATCACTTTAACTGTGAAGAAATCGTCAACAAGAAATTCGAAGGTTAAATTAAGCAATTTGAACCTACTAAAACTTCTAAAAGAACTGGTATCCTTGGTTACAAATTAGGTATGACATCTATTTGGGACAAGTGGGGTAAGCTTCATGCCCTCACTGTTATTTAAATTGATCGTTGTCAAGTTGTTTAAGTTAAGACTGAAGAGAAAGATGGAGTTAATGCTCTTTAATTAGGTAAATACTTGTTCATATTCACTATATTTTTTTGCATAATTCATTTAATAATATTGACTAACTAACTAATTAATTTTAAAGGTGTTGGTGAAAAAAGTCTTAAGAGAATTAATAAACCCACTATTGGTCATTTAATGAAGAACGATATTCCTCCTAAGAGACACTTAAAGGAATTCAAAGTTTCACCTGTATTTACTTATTTATTTATCTTTCAATTTTATATTTTAAGTATTCTAACTCAAATTTATAAAAGGATTGCTTCTTACCTGCTGGTTACATGTTGAGTGCTCGTCACTTTGTACCCGGCTAATATGTTGATATATAAGGTATCTCAGTTGGTAAAGGTTTTGCAGGTACTGTTAAGAGATGGAATTTTAAAATGTAAGATGCAACTCACGGTAACTCTCTTTCTCACAGAGCACCTGGTTCCACTGGTTAACGTCAAGATCCTGGTAGAGTATTTAAGAATAAAAAGATGGCTGGTCATATGGGTTGTGAAAAAGTTACAATTATGGATTTACAAGTATTCAATTCTTTACTTTAGCTATTCGATTAAAATATTAAATTAACTTAAAATTAAAAAGGTTTACAAAATTGATGTTGAAAGAAGTTTAGTTTATATTAGAGGGCATGTTCCAGGAAAGCCTGGCTCTCTTGTTCAAATCAGAGATGCTTTTAAAAAGCAAGTTCAAAATGAATAATTCTTAAATTTCCCTACATTTGTTGCTGGTAAAAATGATAAACTTGCTACTGTTTTAATTATGGAGGCTTCTAAATCTGATCCTAACGAAGAATATATTCACGATAATGATGTCGTTGATTGAAAAATTTTCGAAGTGTTTTTTTTATTTAATCAGTAAATGAAATGTTATCAACTTACCACTAAAGATAAGTTGAAGAGCATTAAATGTAATCAAAAAGATCGATCATATATTTAAACATTATTTATGATATTTGTATTAAAAATATATCTCTATATTTTCATTTAGTTTTTTATTTTCTATTCTAGCATTTATTTTCAATCAACTTTTTGTTAATATAACTTCTATAATATTTTATTCAATTTCATAAATAAATTAAATGCTGTAAACTTATCACTAAAGATAAGTTGAACAACTATAAATTTAATTAAAAAGATATATAATATATTTAAATAGTATTCATGATATTTCTATTAAAAATATATCTCTATATTTTCATTTAGTTAATATTTTCTATTTCTAGAATTTATTTTCAATCAACTTTTTGTTCATATAACTAATATACTATTTTATTACATAAATTAACAAACAATACAAATTTATTTTAAATTAAATTAACTTACTAAATAGCTAACTAACTCACATTAAACATAGCTATTACTGAAATTAAATTAAAAATTTAATATAGAATTCATTTTAATTTAAAAAATAATTAGATTTTATGGCTACATTGTGAGTTACAATTACACTTGAAATGCATTATATAAAAAGTTAGAAAGACTTTTATTTCTCAAATTTGGATATCAATAACAATAAAAAATTAAAGCTTTTTAGAGTGAAAATATTCAATAAATATTTAATTTGAGTTTAATTTATTAATTTTAATATTTCAGAATTCAAGATTTAATGAGTTTTGATTTTATTTAAGAAAAATCAAAAGCATAATCATTAATTAATTTATTTATTCATGAATTAGTTAGTTAGTATTAGTTAATTAATACATCATTTATATGTAAAATGCAGTTATTTTTTCTGATAAACATTATTAAAATTAATTTAGTTTAATAAACTATTTCACTTAGCTAGTGCTGGTTATTAATCGTCCGTTCTAATTAACTCCTCTGCTTATCTTCTCATAGATTTATTTTCCATAACAACACTAATTCTATTTTCAACTTCTTTTTGCTTTTATAATTCCTTCTCTTTTTATTGCTTTATGACTCTCATTTGTTCAAGAACTTTCTTATTTTCTTCTATCCTCTTCTTCTCTTCTTCAACGAATTTAAGCATATCTTGTTTCTTACACTTAATGAATCTGTATAAGACTCTAATTTCTTATGTATGTAACAATAAGGGATCATCAGCTATTTCAGGCTCTAAATAGAAGTAAATAGGTAGTTGAAGTTCCTCACGAGGATTCAACAATTATTGATTAAAGCAAAAGCACTAGATTTTACTAAAGTAAAGAGAAGCATCTTCTGGAAAGATATTGTAAGTAGCAAATCCTTTTTATCAAAAATTAAATTTACAAAATCAATTTATTTGACATATGTCAATGCAAAAATAACTTAGAAAGTTAAACAAAGAAATTTCTATTTGAAAATAAATAAAGCGAATTATTTTGAATGGCACTTATTATTAGCATTCAAATAAATTATTTTATAAGTGAGATTATGGTTTCCAAATCATTTTATTATTTTAAAATATACCAATAACTGGATCAGGTTCTTTATTGTGAGCTCTATAGAAGACGAGAGCAGTTTCACCTGCACTTACAATAACTTCATCTTAAACTGGCTCGAATTCCCAGTCTACTTCTGGATCAGATTCAGCTTTAAACACAACTCTGTATTTCTTATGGATATGTACTGTGATTTTATAATTATTTAGGGTATTATTTATGTGAATTAATCATTTTAATAAAAGGGTGTTATATGAAAATTGAATAACTATACACTATTTATCTTTCATAGAGTAATCCTTTTGTTCAAAATTTCCTGATAAACCTACGTGTTCACAAAATAACTTATAAAAGGGAACCATTGCATAACACAATCCAAAAACGAAGGCATAAAGACCAAAATTGTAGTAAGTATGCAGTTTTCTTTCATCTCTGAATTAGGTAGAGTCATTCCAAGGTTTTGAAGGTTTTTTGTAGAATTTACTAAAGTTGAATAGCTGTTAATTTTTGCTTAAGCTACGAAAACCATTTTTTTAGATATTATTTATAGGTACAGCGATAAAAGCTTTGAAGACGTTCATTTTTAAGTTTGGTAGTTTATTTGATTAAATTAAAAGTAGCACTTAAAATTTCTTTTTATAGAAGTTTATAGTATTAAATATTCTTTTTAAAAATTAATTTTGTTAAATGATTGAATGTTTAAAGTTATTAAAATTCAATTTAATAAATCCTTTATAGTTCGATGTGTTTTGTTTGTTTGTTTATTTGCTTTTTTTGATTGATTGTTTGTGATTGCATATAATTAGGAAACCTAAGCCAATAAATATTATACCGCTTGTAGGTACTATTTTTATTAAATTTTAATTTATTTTCAAAATACATTTCTCTATTTGCATTAAATCATTAAAATTTAATAAATTTCTACTTTTTTCAAATATTTATTTAGAAATGATCCACTTACTCAACTTGTGTTTTAACTCCTCAAAATTTATTTCTTTTCATTGTTGCTAAAATATCTTTTTTATGTAAAACTAGTATTTTTTCTAGCTAAAATAGTATTTAAACTCTTTTTTATTTGTTTAACTAAAAAGACATAAAAATTATATTTTACTTTAATTAAATGTTTTTCTAGACCTTTCTCATTTATTTATTTATTTTTGATGTTTTAATTAATTTTTAAATAAACTGTTATAAATTTTTCATTTAATAAATAAAAAAATTACAGTGAAAAAATAATGAAAGCATTAAATACTCATAAATTCATATTAATATTTATTTAGAAATATTTTAATACTTTAATTACTAATTATAGCTTATTAAATATTCAAATTGTTTTTACTTTTTTTTTACATAATTAAATTAAATAAATAATTTGTCAGAAAAACAAAAATAAAATTTTGGTAAATGAAAAAAATTTTTACAATTTTGTTATTACTTTTCATTGCTAACACTTCTTTAGCATTCAAGACCACTACTGCTGAAGAATGGGAGTTAATTTTTGAAGATGATTTTAATGGAAATACAATTGATCAAAGTAAATGGACTGCAAAAGATCATTGGCCTCACACTGATGTAGAGTTGCAGCTTTACATCAAGGAAGATGCCTATCAAGAAAATGGAAATTTAGTTATCAGAACTTAATTCAACCCTACCTACTACTCTCCAGATAATAAAACTTACAATTATACTTCTGGTTGGATAGATACATCTTTTAAGTTTAATTTTACTCATGGCAAACTAGAATCTAGACTTCTTCTTCCTAAAACTGGTATTAGAGATAATATTTGGCCAGCTTTTTGGACTAAGGGAAATACTGAATCAGCTGATTGGCCTCACTATGGTGAAATAGATGTTATGGAAATGGATAGCTGGAATGATGATTGGACTCCATATATTTGGGGTACTTATCACTGGGGTCCTAGAAGAAATGATCTTTGCTAAGGTTGTGGCACAATTTACCCAGATAAGAACTTCAATCTCACAGAATGGCACACTTATTCTATTGAATGGGATGAAAAAAAGATTGATTGGTTTGTAGATGGAATTAAATACAGAACAACTTATGAAAACTAAATGTTTTGCAAAGGATGCAAAGGGATAGTAAAATTACCTACACATCCTTAGTTTATCATTTTCAATACTGCTGTTGATCACTTCGCTCCCCCAAACCCTGCTGATTACCCTAAGTATATGTACGTAGATTACGTCAAATTGTATTAAAAGAAGGGATCTAAGTCTAGTTTTTGAAAAGAAAAACACTTATTCTTACCAAGTATGATTTGAGTTACAATCAAGTATCTTTAATTTACTCAAATTAATTTGGTGGTTGTTGATTTGCTATATTGCGAAATAATCAAAATAAATAAACAAAACAAACAAAAAAATAAAAAATATAATATAAGCAAATTTTAATTATAAATTAGTGCAAAATGACGCAAATCTTTATTTTTATTTGAGATATAAATAATAAAAGAATTAATGTTTTATGTAATCTAAAATTGGTACATCTTTCATTATAAACTTTAAATTCTATTTCACAATTATTAATCTAAGTAAAAAAATTTAACAATCATAAATTAGTTATAATCATTAAAAAACATAAATAATTCATAGATGATTTATGCACATTTTAATTACTGTAATTCATTTTTTTGGCGTTATTAAGTGAATTTTTTAATTTTATTAAACAAAAAAACTTTAAAAAATATAATTTTAATTTAAATAAAGTTAAAATTCAAAATAGAAATATATTTATTTATGTTTAAATATTTAGTTAGTTTGTAGGTTTAAAAATAACTATGTTTGATTTAGTTGATTATTTTATCTTAAAATGTTAATTTTATTGAGCTAAAGCAAATGAATTTTATATAACTTTATAAAATTAGATAGACAACTAGCTAGTTAATTATTTAGTTAATAAAAAATAGCTAAAAGAATTATTCAAGCAATAATTATTACCTAATTTGTTTTCATTTAAAAATGAGTGAAAAACATTACAATTAATAATTTGCATAAATATTATTGCTACGAGTTTTAATAATTTGTATAATTAATTATTCTTGCAGCAGCTTCTTTTATGAGTTTTTATTTCTTAAAGTATTTATTTATTTATTTCAAAAGAATTAAAATAAAATATCTTAATTAGTTTATATTTATTTTATTTATGGATAAAAAGTATATTTTTAAATAAACAAAGACTCTGTAATTAATTATTCTTTCTTAGAGATAAATCTAAATTTTAGAGAGTATGTATAATGCATGTATTCAAAAAGAATGATCTATATTATTAAACTGATTACTTCTTATTTATTATGCTATGTAATTTATTTTTTTAGGAGAACATATAATATTTTCTCTCTGAAACGATGAGTTGATTCTTATTGCAGCACACTTCTTTAGATACAACTCTTTTTAAATCATGTGATCTTAGTAGTTGTTTCTATTGTTATATTCTTCCTAAAGGTACTTATCTCCTTTACTTATTTTTTCCTTTTAAATTTGATAAAATGACTGCATGGTTTTGTTAGCTTTATCTAAATTTGTTCTTGATATCTGCTATTTTAACTCTTCCAGCCTTCTTTTTCTTTAGGCTTCACTAGTTGACATCCTTGTTTGAAGTAGCTTTTTTGCTTCTTGTTTTACTTAATTCTCTTAAGTCTCTATATTTTGCATCCTTTCTTCAATTTCTTTTTATTTTTTTTCAAATTCTCTATTTATTTCGTTAATATTTTGACTTCTCTATTTTTAAAGTTGCTTTAAGAATTTAGCGCTTTTACTATATTTACTGGCTATTTCTCCTGCTATCTACTCTTGGAGTTACTTTTAGTATTCATATTATTTCAAAAGCACTTATGCTTTTTACTCGTTTTGAGTTTTTGTTTTTTCTTAAATTGCTTGCATCAAGCTCTCTCTTTTTTAATTTTTCATATCTATGCTTTCATCCATTCGCTGAATCTCTTCTAACTTTTATTTCATCTCTTCATCTGCATTAATGGCACTTTATTCTCTCATTATTTGTTACTTTAATTATGCCTACTTGTCTCTTTCAAATGACATGAGTTACTTAATTTCTTCTTTTTTTTGTTTAATATTTAAAAAATGCTCATCTTCCTATTATATTTTTTGGATGATTTAAAATCTGCGATTGATGTCTTCTTCTTTCTACAATTAATGATAGTTTTTTTTCTCATCAATATAATTATTTCTGTCTTTGATCTTTTATAGTTTATTTTATAGGTCTTCTTGTTTTCTTTAATTACATAAAATTTTCTTCTTCTTTAATGTCACTTGCAAATTCGATTACTCCTCTTCATATTTTAATGCTTCGTGTATTCTTAAATTAGTTAACCTTTCTTCAACGATTAACTTTTTTTTAATTTTCTTTTGGAAATCATCTTTGTTATATCTTGATTTTTATATTTAATTGAATAAAGGCTTCACTTAATTAGAGTTCACTTGCTCTTTGTTACTTTAGATAATCTCACTTTTCTCATACATAGAACCGTCTAATTCTACTATTTTTTCATCTAAATTTCCTCCATTTTCTTTATTAATTTAAGAAGCATCTTTTGACTAATTCAAAATATTTGGAGTGAATAAAGAATTTCTAGATGTTTGATTTGCTTCTTATTATTATTTAAGCTACTTTGTTATATTTGATTCATTATTAAGTACTTATTTTTAAGGTGAGTAAGATTAACCTGGTGATTTTATATTTTTAAAATTAGGATCGCTATTCTTAAGTTTTTTAGATGAATCCATATTTTGGCTATTGTCAAATTAGGGATGGCTGCTTTACAATTTCAAGTCTTCTATAAAATGACTACCATCACTGTTCATTACAATACTATTTATATAATCTGATTTATTTGCATCTGATTATTATATTTTTTTTACTCTACCTCGAGAGGAGCCTCCTCCTTTCTCTATATCGAATTCGCGATAATATTTTGAATGAGTGAAATTCTAATAGAACTTCTCTATTTTATTTTAAGCCGATGCCTTATTTTTTTACTTTTTTTATTCAAAAATAATCCTATCTCTCTCTTGAATGATAGATTCTATTTTATAAAACCACTCATTTAGAGCTGTTAAGTATCTTCTCATTTGCATTTTAGTAGACTCTTAAATATTGTAAAAATCACTAACTTATATCCAATTTTTCATATCTTCAACCCTTAAATCTAAATTTTTAATTGCCTCAAGGATAACAGGATCTTCAAGATTAAGCACTTGTTACGGTGAGAATCTGCTTAATTGTTATAATATCCACTCAGATTTATTTTTTCTATAAACATTCTAAGAGACTAAGTTATTCGCTTACTTCATTTATTTGTTGGTCATTCTAAGCTCTGCCTAGTCTCTCATCAGCATATATTATTAAAGCTTTTATGTAGGAGATTGACTCTTACCTATTATCTTAGATTCCACTTCTTCTGTGTATTTTTAAGATGTATTCTACTAGACTTATGCTAAAGTAGAATTATCTGTTATAGAACCTATTTTTTTGACCTGAGAATTAGCTAAAACTTTACTCGCTTATGATTGTTATTATTTATAAATCTTTTCTGATTTCTTATCTTCATATTTATTCATAGATTGCCCTAAATTGATTCCACCATCTTTATTTTAGCTCTGGTTTTAATTTTAAGGTGAATTTGATCTTATTCTAAAATTGTTAAAAATGCGGATAGAATCTTTGACAGGCTTCTGCTCATCTCCTTATTTTTCTTTAAAAAAATTTTAAGCCGCCTTAAGTAAAATGTAATTTTAATTGAGGTTGTCAATCTCTTCTTTCGTATTTTCAGAATATATGTCTATTTTTTTAATCACAGAATCGCTTTATTGATTTTCAATTATTGGTTCATTGTTTTATTAGTTTTCCAATTTGATAACTTTTAGAAGCATTTCATGTAATAAATTTGCATATATTTTGTATAATTAATTAATTTGCTTAATTTCTTTATGAATTTAAAATCATAATACGCACTTTATTTATTTTATTAAAACATGGTAAAAAGTTTTTTCTAAAATAATTTATCACAGAAACTTTAAAAATATTATTTTATTAAAATTTATTTTTTTAATTTATTGAATAAACTGGAATTTTGTTTATAATTATATAAATATTATTTATTTGATAAGACTTAACCACAACCGCTATTTAAAATATTTATTTAGAAATCAAATCATCTTTTATTATTTATTCATTGTATTTATTTTTGTTTCGTTAATAAAAAATTCAAAAATTTTAATTAGAAATATTTACTATCAAACAAAAAAAAGATTACTGGATGAACACAACTGCTAATAATTACAATAGTTTAAATAATAAAAATTACGCAGCACTTTATAGTCTAGCTGCAAATGCTTTAAATTAGAGTAAAAATGAAAGCAATTAAAAGGTTTAAAATTAACAGGAGCATACTGGTCCTCCATAGCTTACTAATTTAAATATAACGCCATATATTCCAAAAATCATAAGCAGACAAAATTATTAAGAATCTTCAAACATAGATTTGGATCAAACAAAAAGTTAAGATAATTAAAAGCAGCATAAAAGAGTTAACACATATGATGGGAAATAAAATAATTAAATCTAAGAATAAAAGTACAATTACGATTATATGAATATGGTAAACAACTCTAACCAGCAAAATTTTTCTAAGGACAGTTAGGCATAGTTACTGAATATAAACAAAAACAATCAATAATATTTATAATTACAAAATAATTATCAAAATTATAACCTCCCAGATACTATATAAAGTAGCAGAACTCCAGCATTTGTTTTTTCTAATTCAAGTTTAACTTCTCCTTAGTAGGGATTCGGAGAAATTATTGATGTTTAAAAGAACGCTTAGCAATTTTAATCACCATAAGATGTAGAAGATTCGCAAAATAACAAAAATCAAATTAATTTTCAATCAAATAAACAAGATTTAAACTTAAGTGTAAAAAATATGTTTGTTAAAAATTTAAGTGGTTAATTTAATTTTAATTTAAAGGGATTAAAGACATAAAATTTAAATGACCAACTCAGCTAATAGGATCTTCAATTTATAAATATTAAATCACCTTAAAGCAACTAACAAAACATACTTTAATATCAGAATAACTCTATACAATCTTTGCCTAATTCATATTACTTTAACTCCTAAGCCACAACTAAAAACTACTCTACTCCTAAGGAATAAAGTTAGCATATCCATTTTACTCCTTAGCAAGAAATATAAAGCATCCTAAAGTATAGTGAAGCTTAGACCAATAATAGCAGGTAAGAATTTGTTTAGTAAATAAAAAATTCTAATATTAAAAATTAAAAGGGTTGGACAAAACTATGTTCAGAGCTGCACAAATAGTCCAAGTACTCAAAAAAAATAAACTTAATCAAGTAAGAGGTAAGAAAAACCAATAAAATCATTGAATGTTTCTCATCACAATTTAGAAGATTTTTAGCAATAATAATAAGAAGTTTTAAATGAATAATAGAGATAGCTAAACCAACAAATTAAAAAAATTTAATCTCTCTAAAATTCTTTTATTTAATTTAATGAAAATTAAAATGACAATTCTAATTAATCAATGCAATAAACATCTCGAATCATTTTTAATAACTAATTAAATCAGCTGCAAAGCTCTTACAGGAAAGAAGATTATCTAGGAAATTTATAAAGCAATGAAGTAACTTTAATTTTTTTTACAATTAGGCTAAGTAAATGTAACCAATAATTATTTTAGAATAATTTTGATATAGAAGCAAATATTCAACAAATGAATGACATTTGGGCTAAGATATAAGTTGCTGTTAAAACAAAAATAATTAAGCAAGTAAATTAAATTTTCAAAATACTATTTTTTATTATTATTATATTTTTATAAAAGTAAAATTAAACAGAAGACACTAAAATTATTGATTAACTTAGGTAAATTAACAAAATTTAATCTTTATTTATTATTAATACATAATTATAATTAAAGCATAGCAAAGCAATAACTTTAAATATATGGATAAGAACTTAAGTTTAAAGAGTAATAGACTGAAAAGTACTAAAAAGAAAATGAGCAATTAAAATAATAAATTTAAAATTTAACAGACAAAATATCTTACTTAAGTGAGAACGTGAGTGGATTCTAATCTGAATAATTACAAATTATAAAATCATTATAAAATAAATTAATAGAAAAAGAAAATTTTATAGTTAATCTTTAGCTGCAACTAAAAAAGAAGCAAAAATTAGAATTAAATACATCTAGATCTGAAAGAGATAATGAAATTTTGCATTTAAAGTAGCTTTTGGTATAGAAAACAGATGTAATCACTGATTTAAAAATAAAAAACTAAATGCTTAAAGAAGAAATAGTACAGTTAGGATAAACTTAAGTGTAAAAAGAAAACTCCTATCCAGAGCAAGGTCAAATTAACTAGAAGAAAAAGTAAGTTATTAATATTATTTTATTTATTTCTTAAAATAAACAACAAAATAATAGGGAATATAGTCTTTTAAAGTAAAAGGTTAATCTTTTAGAAGAGGATATAAAAAGATTCAATGATGAAATTAATTTAAAATGATATTATTAATGTATCTAATTACTCTTTTTTAATCAAATAATTCACTAAATTAATTATATTTCACCGAAATTTTGTAAATATTTTAAATACAAACAAAATTATTAAATTTTGATTTTTTCAATAAAAAAAAATTTCAAAAAATTTATTATTACCAAAAAAAAAAATGATAATTATTCGTTTTTTACTTTTTTATTTAAGTAAAATATATGAACTTATTTTATAAATTATTATTTTAAATTAAAACATAATTAATAGTAGAGCATTATAATTATTAAGTTAGTGGTTACATTTTGACTATAATTTTATTTTTTTTTATTTTAAATCAGAAAAATATATTTAGAAGAATTGATTGGCATAATGTTTATCAATTTTATAAAATAAACACCATTAACAAATTTAAGTTATTTTAAAATGTCAATTAAATTAGAATTTAGTAAATTATTTTCTTTAACATTTATTTTCATTAATAAATAAATAAACAAACATGCAAACACTAATCAAAGGCTTGGATTTAAAAGCTTGCGGACTTGAGGTGAAAGTAGAGTAAAGTTAGGGAATGTTAAAACTGCTCCTCCATCAACAATAATTGTTTATCCAGAAATGTAACTGGCTGCATCTGAAGCTAAGAACATAGCACATTCAGCAATATCGCTTTTCTTACCTAATCTATTTAAAGGAATAGTTTCCTTCATTGATATGCTTAAACCGCCTTCAGGAGTTAATTTTTCAAAGCCTGCAGTTCCATCAATAGCACCTGGGGCAATACCATTAACACGGATACCTTGGCTTCCTAATTCTACAGCTAAATGTCTAGTAATAGCATCAATAGCGGCTTTAGCAGCACCTGCATGAGTTTATCTGTTAATTATAAAATAAATTTGTTGAAACAAATAACAAATTTTTTATTTAAATATTAAATCTAGAATTATATTAATATTAATCTTTTATTAAAGCTAAAAGTAAATATTGATCTTACAGAGCTACACCACAGACTTAAAGTGTAGAACTTATGTTAATAATACTTCCTCCTCTACCTTTCAAACATTTTGCATGTACAACTTTAGTTACTAGGAAAGTTCCTTATAAATCAATTTCAATAACAGTTTTGAAGGCGTTTGCACTCATACTTTCAAATGGCACTAAGAAATTTCCTGCAGCTCCATTAATAAGGACATCTATTTTACCAACTTTCTCAATAAAATAATCAACTGCTTTTTCAATATCTTCTAACTTTCTAACGTCGCATGTAGTTCCATATATTTCAGATGATCCTGATTCTTTTTTTAAACTCTCAATAGCTGCTTAAATATTTGGAAGCTTTCTGCTCATGATGCAAACTCTAGCACCATACTTTAAAAAGCCTAAAGCAATACCATAGCAAATACCAGTAGCTCCACCTGTTATTAAAACAATTTTTCCTTTTAAAAATCCTGGCTTGAATGTGGCTTCCATATCTTTTTATTTACTTATTTATTGATTTAAGTTATTATAAAATTTTGTTTCTACTATTTATTTATTTGTTAATTTATTTATTTATTTTAATTATTCGTTTAATGCTACTTTTGATGTAGTTTATATATTATTAAGAATAGGATTTTGGCAATTGAAATAGTGATATATATATTTATGACGATACTATCGCACTTTTAATTGCGAAATTTATGTCATCGTAATAGAGTCATTAGTATGTTACTAAAAAAGGAAGATTCTAATTGAAAAAAGAAAAAGAATATAGTTGAAAGAAGACCATTCAGGTATTCAATTTACCTCACAAAATAATATCAACTAAACTTTTTAATTACTAATTTCATTTACATTAAAGCTAAATTTTACTTAACAGTTAAAAATATTTAAATTAATAATTGTGAAAATTCATAATTTAATCATTTATTTAAAATTAGGTAATTATTAATTAAAAGATAAGAGTCTTTATTTTTAAAGGTAATATTTTTTTCAATTACAAATTAAAGTATGCTTACTTAATAATAAAATAAAGTGTTGTATAAATAAATTCTTATTTTTTTTTATAAATTAAATTTTTAGATTTTATAACATTTTAAAAAAATTTTAAGTTTATTTTATATTTCAATAAAATAATTAATCAAAAATTACCCCAAAACAACTTCTAAATTATATAAAATAAATAAAGATATTAAAATATGTGTTTTATAAATCAAATTAATATAATTTAAGCATTATATTTATTATGTAATTAATTATCAATTTTTAATATTATTAAAAATTAATTTAATTAATTTTTTTCTTTTTACGTTTTAAGAATTGATGAAGAATTTAATTATTATTAATTACTATTTATTTAATTATGGATTTTGAATATTATCAAAAATTAATTTAATTTATTTTTTATATCTACAAAATTCAATTAAATTTATTATTAATTTTATTTACAATTTTATAGACTCTCTGTTCATAAAACTAATGTATTTAAAAATTATTTGTATCTTTTAACGGATGCTTTAAGTTTTACTTTACATTAGAAATCCATTGTTAGGAGTTTAAAGATTTATTATTAAGATTTTATTAAGACATTTATTAAAGCATTCTTTTTGTTTAGTTTTCTTTATCTTCTTCATTAGTTTCTTTAGCATGATTTTTAATTGGTGTTTTTGTTTATTATTATCTATTTTATTTTTACTTTTGATTATTTTCATTACTTTTTAAAAAATATTTTCTGTTTTATGAAGACCTCAACGAATCAAGTTTTTGCTGAGTAAAAGATTTTATATTTGGAGATTAATCTTTTTAACAATAATTTATTAGATTTTATTAAAATTAACTTTATCTACCTCTCTACTATACTAATTAAGCACTATTTTATATTTATTCTGTATTACCACTAGCTTTTGAGTTAAAATTGGCTTAATTAGATTAAAATTTTTATTAATTTTTTATTTCTAATTACTACTCTTAGTTCTACTATAATATTTAAGAGTATTTTTTCTTGCTAAAGAGGCTATCTCGAAATGCTTCTGAATCAGAATTTTAGAAAGATGCCAGATAATTATATTAAATTGCATCAGCTTCTTATTAGCTGAAATGATACGGTTGCTCGCATCTGTAGATATCATTTCCTGGTTAGCTTTGATTCATATTTTAGGGTATTTAAATTATATATCCTTGATCTAATTAGCTGTTCACTTTAATATATTAATTAAGTTTTTATAAATATTTTAAAATAATTTTACAATTTTTAGAACAAAGATTAATCTTTGTAAGGTAAATCTAATTTATTGAAAGCTAACTAGGTGTAGGCGTTTGGTTTTATTGATCTGGATAGAACTAAAAGTTTTAGTGAATATGTATTTTAGGACTGACTGGATCTTTAAAGCATTCCCTATTAAAACTTGGAGTCTGTTCGTTTAGATTAGTGAATTCAAAATATCTTTGAGTATCTAATCTAGGAGATTACAAAGTAAATTGTGAAGAATTAGTGAAAGCAGCTTCTAATATTGACTAACTAGATAAATTCATTTTGGGCAATATTTATTATAGTTTTTACAATTATTAATTATATTTTTGTAAACTGTTTTGGTTTATTAAATCTTTATTTAGTAATAAAATTTACTTATAAAATATTAAATGTTGGTTGAGATCAATAAATTATTTAATAAATTAATAAATAAATAACTAACTTACTAATTTTAGTAATTTTTTGAGTAAAAAACATACAAATAAATTACATCTTAATTAATTTATAAATGATTGGTTATCTTAAACCTTTTAATAATTTACAAAACACATATCCAATAAAAAATGTGTAATTCATAAAATTTCTTTTTTTTTTTTTTCAATCAGCTTTCTTTTATTTAACATTTTAAATGTTAAAGTTAACATTACTAACAGTTACTTATCCAGAGTTATCCTTTTTGAAACCTTTGATAATTCTTTCAACAGCCACTTAATTTCTTTTATTAATAATTAGAGCTTTTTCTGGCACATCGGGAACTAATAAGCTGATAAAATATTTTATACTTAAAAATAAAATAAGAAGAGAAACGAAAGATATTAAAGGCTCATTTCCTGTCAAGTAGTCTCTATATTTTGAAGTATAAATTATAAGACCTATTTTTATTAATTAAATGTAAATTATTTTTTTTAAATTAAATATTTACCTGCATTACCAAAAGTCGAAATGAAACTAATTGCTTCGAGAATGACTAGCCAAGTACCTAAATTTTTTTAAAATTAATAAATTATTTTAATCTTAATAAATAAAATACCAATGTTTGAAGCACCCTTTGGTATAGGCCTTTAATATAAGTAAATTAGTTTTATTTTATCAACTTGCAACTAGATAATGTTGTTTCCAAATGCTATAGCAAATGTAGGAGGAAATGAAAGACCAAACAATGTTAAGAAACTAAATTTAACAATCAGTTGTAAATAATCTTGTACAGTTCCATCCAGATCATCGTTAGTTATATATGGATTCAAAAGTGACTAATCCTCTATTTCTTTATCAATTCTGGTAAAGGGATGTATTTCACCTCTAGATAACAACTTTTTTTTAAGTAACTTCATAGCATTTTATGTAGCAAAAGGTATGACTACTTCAAGTACCGTTTTTATGATCATAGTTAAGAAGATGGTAATAATATTCGCCTACAGAACATTAAAGCAATTTATTTCACCAGGAACTGTTGTTTTCACTGTTTTTCCATTAACCACCTAAGTTTATACTACTTAAGAAGCACATAAATTTAGACTGCTAAATGGAGGAATGCTGTTAAAAAATGAGATCAAAATAAGCGAGTTGAAGGTATTGAAAAATTAAAACAAAAATAGCTTCGCAATATAAGAGTTTTCATATGAAGATAAAATTTTATGATTTTCGATTTTATTCAAAAAGTTAGCAAAGACATTATAAATTTAGGTAAAAATAACAATCTAAAGTGAATTCATAACGTTAGTTGCTAAGATTGCATTTGAACCTATAAACGCTGGAGGATTTGTTGTCCACTCTTATCTCAGATTAAATATGTTATACATAGTCAGTACGACCAAAAATATGATAAAAAAACTTCCAACCATGCCTGCACTTTTATAATTTAAAATAAATTGTTTATTTTTATTTTAACTTTAAGAATTTACAGCATAATCATTCTTCTTTTTACAGGTGAGAAGTACTTTTCATTTATTTTATCATTTACTATTGATCTTTAGTAAACACCAATAAATTCAGGTCTTTCAGCCTCATCTTCTTCAAATTTTTGTTAACCAAATTCAATAGTAAATAAAATCTAATGAAATATTTTTAAAACAATTATTTACTGTAAATTTGGATAAAATGCAATTAAATTATTTAATTCATAATTAAAATTATGAGAAAATGTAATATTTTTAAGAATTCATTAAAGTTTAAAAAAGATAATTTGAATAAAAAATTTAATCTTTGTAGTAGATAAATATTTTTTTTTATGAAAAGTTGTTTTATTGTTTAAAATAAATTTTAAAACTTACTTATTAGCGCTTCCAGAACTCAACAAAAAGTGTAGACCAAAGAATTATAAAGCAAGCAAAAAGTGTGTTTAGATAAAACTCAACAATATCACTAATGATAATAACTTTTAGAATATATATGATTATTCCTATAAAGGCTAGATATGATAAATGGAAAGTAAAAAATTAGACAAACTTAAAATAGAGCGCCAACTTTTCACCAAAATAATCTCTTAAAGAATCAATTTGCACAACCCAAGGCTTTTTGATATCTAACTCATTTTCTTCAGCTACACTATCAGCATCAAAATCAGCTCCTTCAGCCTCATCTTCCAATAATTTAAAAAACTTTCTTAATTCTTTTTCTGTTTCTGTTACTACATCATCGTCAACAATATTTGCCTAGATAAGTTTTTTAAACATAGGAGCTTTCTCATTACCTTTAAGCTAATAAGGATCATGAATGGCCATAAATGTCCTTAAATACAATTTGCTTTTTGATAAACCTTCTAAATTTATTTAATTTACTACCATTGAATAAGTAAGCTTTATTCTTTCCATATTCAAATACTTAGATCTGTTTTTTTTCTCGTTTACTTCATATCTTCTCCATATAAATTAACCTTTTTCATTAGTTGTCTCAAAGTAGTCAACAAATGCAGAAATTGGACGAGTATCTAACCTGTTTACAATAATCATTTTAATTCAATATTTTCAGACATATGTAAAAATATTTGATTACTAACCTATCCCATATGTTTTGCAAGACCTTTGTTTTACTGAGAGATCCATTAATCAAGTGAAAAACTTCATTAGTATCACCAAGAGCTTTACGAAAAATTAACTTATAAAGAAATGCTTCATTTTAAGTAATTAAATCAAACTTTCTGAGTAACTTTTCTTTTTAATCATTTTTTGCAATATTGTGCAGCTCTAACATTTTCTTTTAGAAATACATCAGATAATCTAGATAAACATAATAAGCTTCCCATTCCTCCCTTGAAGTATTTTCATCATCGTCATCTAATATTTCAGCCTTTTCGTTATCTCTGTTAATATTTAGCTTTTCAGACAAGTCATCCATAAATTTGTTAACCTTTTTTTACAAATCAAAAAAAATAATTATTCAAAACTTAAATTAAAATTCTGAACAATAAATCATTATTTTTAAATTCAATTTTAAGATTCATTTTTTAATTGAAAATTAAATTTATTTGAATTATTTATTTATTTACTTCACTCTTTCTTCAATCAAAATAAATTTAATTTAATAATTTATTTTAGAAGTTTTTAAATCATGAATGAGTTTTTGACATAAAAAATTTCTTAGCATTATCAATTATTTATTGATAAATTAATTGAACTTATATTCATTTTAATATATTTTACCTTAATTTACTTTAGTGCCAAATTAGTCCAAAATAAATCGTTATTCCACTTTTTCACAACATCAAAGAGCATTTTTGTTCTATCTTCAATTCTACGAAAATTTCTTAATGTTTGGGCTTTCTTAAATGTTGGCTCTTCATCTTTATTTGTAAAATGTTTGTCTTTCATAATTTCATTAACACAGCTCTATATTTACTTCTTAAGTCTTAAAGGACGATATCTAATATCACAAGGCTCTAAACTAAAAAGGTCAGAGTATCCTAATTCTAATTATTTAGTGATACGAGATTCTTTTGCTTCTTTATCAAAGTCTTTTTCGTTTCCTTTCAACACCATAAAAATGTCTTCACCAAACTCAGAAATAAAGCATCTAGTGTGAAAATTTACATTCCTAGTAAGCTTAGATTAGATTGTAAATCTAACAAGTGTTAAAAAATCCCTAGGTTAATCATTGCTGCAAAGCCATTCAGTTTAATAGAGTGGATCATCTGAATATTTTGTTAAAAACCCACCTCCATACAGCTTTTTTTTTACATCTTTATTTTGATTAAAATGAAAATTATTTGTGAAATTAATGAATAAATAAATATAATAATTAATACCTTTAAATTAAATTTTTTCATTTAATGGAACTTCCATTAAGAGATCAGTTAAGTATTATTCTTCAATAAGATTAAATCCATTGAATTCACCTTCTTAGCTTAGTCTAGCTAATTTAAGCTTTGAAAATTCTTCTAAGTAGAGATCCCATTTTGTTTTATCTCTCTTTTTTTCTTTCTTATTTCCAATCTACTTTTCTTCATCATTAATATTAATATTCTCTTCATTTTAAGGATTTAAATTATTTTTTTATTTTTTACGATTCTTTTCTTTCACTAATTCCATCTGTTAAATTTATTATTTCCTCTTCATTTCCATTTCCTATTCTTTTTACTTTTGTTTCTGAGGATCAACTTTTTCTATATAATCATCTAGCATTAAAAATGAGTATAAAAACGCCTTTCTTTCTTAAATAAGCTGGGCAGATGAATAACCATTTTCAGAAAGTACTTTTAAAAAATTGTCATAAACGCTTTCTGCTTCAACAAATTTTATGTAGGGTGTCTTACCAAAGCATTTTTCTTTATCTTCTCTATCAGGATTAAAGAATATAAGAACCAAATCTCCTAAATTAAAATCATTATAACTTCTCTGCATTTCTTCGAACTCATGCTTGTTCAAAAAGTCATCAACTAATACTTTTTCTTCAACTTAAAAAACATAATTTTAAGTTTTTCTATCTGCAATATTATTTTGCATAAATCTCATGTAATCAACAATCATTTTTATTTCCTGTTTTCTTCTTTCAAGCTTTTGCTTTGCTTGATTTTCTTCTTCATCTTTTTCACTTGTAAATTTTTTAGTTTACTATCCCTTTTCCCCATCTTTTTTTTGTTCATCTTCTTCTTCCTCCTAATCACCTTTATCTTTATGGTTAGGATCTAACTTTTCTCTATATCTGATTTCAGAGTAATCGTATGTTGGAAACATGTAAAACCTGATATAAAAAAAGTATATTTGTCAGAAGATATTATTTTTGATTATCTTCTTATTCAGTAACAAATACTAACCTCTATTTTTTATTAATTAATTTTAATTAAAAATTTAAATATTAAACATCAAAATCTTTAAAATTTTAGATTTTTTTAATAATCAGCAAAATCAAAATGAAATTTTTAAATTAGTTATAAAAAAACTTTTGTTGATATTAATCGAAATTCATTGATTAATTTAATAATCATATCTAAACATATCTTAAGATGAAGAAAATACAATTAAAAATATATAATTTGTTAGAATTTTCTAAATTTATTTAGTGATTAATTATTTCTGCTAAATAAAATAAATAAGAGAGAATTTAATATAATCTAAAAATAATATTTAGGAGCATTTAAAGAGCTTTTTAATAAAATTTTATAAACATTAATTTACACATATATATTAGAAGAAGAATAAAAACAATTAAATTGCATTTAAATAGACTAAGAACTAAACAAACATTATTTTACTTTATTATTTTAACCTTTTAATTAAAAATTTAAATATTAAACATCAAAATAAGATTTTTTTTAATAATCAGCAAAATCAAAATGAAATTTTTAAATTCGTTGTAAAAAAATTTTTGTTCATATATATCGAAATTTATTCATTAATTTAATAATTATATATAAACATATCTTAAGATGAAGAAAAAACAATTTAAAATATAAAATTTGTTTGAATTTTCTAAATTTATTTAGTGATTAAGAATTTCTGCTAAATAAAATAAATAAGAGAGAATTTAATATAATCTAAAAATAATATTTAGGAGCATTTAAAGAGCTTTTTAATAAAATTTTATAAACATGAATTTACACATATTAAAAGAAGAATAAAAACAATTAAATTGCATTTAAATAGACTAAGTATTAAATAAACATGATTTTACTTTATTATTTTAACCAATTAAAACTACCTCGTTAAATATAAATAAAATAAATTTATTGATTATTTTTTAATTTATTATTTATAATTTATGTAATAAATGAATGAATTAATCAATAAATTAATGAAAGGAATGAAATGCTATTTTATAATTATTTGAAATTTACTTCTAAACTATTTTTTTTTCTATATATTTTTTTGTTAAATTAAATTAAAGTTTTCATTAAATTTAAAACTTTTAACTGAGTTGTTTTATTTTTTGGTTAAGTAAAGTAGCTGTTTGCTACTGCATTAAGGGACCTGAATTTCCATTACCGTTACTTACTTAATAATGCTAATTATAAATTTCATGCTATTAATTCAATTATTATTATTGAATTGGTCTATTTGGAGATGTGTTTAGTAATTTCGATTGTTAATTAGATTCTTATTAACTAATTGTATTTACTGGATTTTGTTAGTTTTCACTGCCTTATTTAGAAATACTATTATGCTTCCAAGCACTTAAGTCAGCATAATGTCCTTAGTAGCTTCCCCTGCTTGACTATATGAATTTTTAATTACTTCCTAAATGCTCATTAGATTTTTTTCTGTTTTTGCCATTATTTCTTTAAGTGTAAAACCCATTACCCAATTAAAATTCATCTTATATTTTTTTAGCCTAGGCTAACTATGTCTATAATTAGAATTGCCCATTTATTTGCGAATTAAAATGATTTTTATTATCATCATTATTTTGAATTATTTTTTTCTTTTGTTCCTTTATCCTATCAGGTGACAGAGTTACTCCGATTTAGTTCTTAATTTTTAATTAATCATTCTTAGATGTTTAGTTATAGGGAATTTGCTAGTTATTATTTGAAGGAGGACTGCTAAGTATCTCCAAATTTAATTATTATTATTATTATTATTATTATTTGCTATTTTACTAAATTTAATTATTTATATTTTAGCTATTTTAATTTAATAAATTTTTATAAGAATTCATTATCTAAATTTAGCTGTCTTCACTCTGATATGGAGCTTCAGTTTTAAATATTCGCTAATCTGATTACTTTTAAATATGGTTGATTAAAGAGCTGTTAGATAGCTGCTAGTTGATATTTTGTGGAGGCTTAATTAATGGCTAGCTTTATCTAGGACTATTAACTTTTTTAATACTTTCAATCCTCTAATGATTAGCTTAATTGTTACTATTATAATTGCTATCAAGGTTGGCATATTGCTGATTTAGTGTTTGCAGTTACTATAAAACCTAAGAATTAGTTAAATGTTAATTTTATTGTTAAAACGCATTTAACGAAGGATTACTGCTTATTCCATTGACATTTGTCTATCCATTTATTATTGATGGATTTAAAATAAGGTTATAATTCTAATTTTACAAATTTGTAGGATGATTGCTATTTTTACTGTTAAAATTGCTTGGATTCTAAGATTTTTAATTATTTATTTTTTAACTTTAATTAGCATTAGCATTAGTTTGGGCAGTGTTGTTAGAGGTTAGATTATTTATATAATTTGAGCTCCCAATAATTGAATTAATATTATTTACAGATGAATTTATTGATTGGTTACTAACCATACCATTTAAGCTAGTAGTAATTGCATTATTTTATATCCCATTGCTACCTTTCTGTCTCATTTGCAATTACTTTTTCTTGCTATCTGCTGCATTTATTTACATTTACTATTGCTAGGATCCTATTGCTCCATAAACAGGAATGTTTCCATTTTAGTTATTTACTTTATAATCTTATACCTTTATTATACTTGAATTTCTAGCAGAGTTTAAAGTTTCTAGGTTGGCAGAAATCTGGTTTTAAGATCCAATCGAATCTTTCTACTTTACCCTTTATTTGCATAGACTTTTAATAAATTTTTAAGAAATATCATCACTCTGTATGCCTTTTATCTTAGTCTAAATTCTTGTTTGTCCGCTATTTTATTATTTTTTAACATTTTATTTTTAATAATTTTAAATTGATTATTGAACTAAGCGAGGGGATTAATCACTCTCTACTGTGTATTAAGCTGCTTGTGAAGAATTCTGGAAAAACTAAGGATTCTATAAATTTTATTATGGAGATTAATTATTCCTATTCTATTAATTTGCTAAGCTACTTTTTTAATTTTGTTACATATTAACTTAAGCAGCATTGTCTTTTATTTATTCTGTTTCCCCATTTTTTAAAGCATTTTTGTAAAATTTATTTATTGTGTTAGTCAAAGCATTAGTTAAAATCTTTTATGAAAGTGTTTTGTTTGAGCTCTTTTAATTTGGATGTGAGGGGCTATTACCATGATGAGATACTAATTAAGAATTACCATTAATTCCGAAATGGCTTTGTTAAACTTAAGGGACACTTCCATGATGAGATGGAATGTGAGCTCCAGAATTATTATTAGTGTTAGAAGCAGCTGCTAGATTTTATTTTATTTGCTGTAAAAGTTAAAGTTGTAAATTACAAGAAGAATTTTCTTGTTGTTAAGTCTAAGGAAGAATCTGATTTTAGCTTATTGAGTTACAATTTGTAGTTATATTATTCATGCTATTATTAGGATTTATTTGAGTGTAATTTGTTTGCTCATCTCCTCTTTAGTAATAATTGCTGTGTACTACATTGTTTGTATTTTATTTTTGATACAAATGAGAGTTTTATCCATTAAGCTTGTTGTTAGAGCTTCTTTTGTACTGAGCTTTTTTCTATGAGATTTTAGAAATAACTCCGTGACTGTTAAGAGAAGGAGATTTGCTTTATTTTAAACGAGGGTTTTAGGTATCACGATCTGTGCATATCCTACTTGGACTATTCATAGAAGATTTTTACTCTCCAGCACTAATAATTTTATTCCTCAAATTAGAAATGTTTGATATTCTTGTTGTTATATTATTAGAAGATTTTGTATTTATGGAATCTTTAATGAGTTAGTTTATTACAGAGTTATTCACTTATTAAGAATGATCTAACGTTGTTGTTAGCTAATGAGCTTAACTACTTGATGTCTTTCCTTATAATTAGTTTTTGTAAGGATTTTGAGCTGGACTCACAGAAACCCTTCCAGATAAAACCTCAAATGAAGTTTGATCTCTCACCTTACTAGAATTATTATGTTTTTTTAGAGAACTGTTATTGTTGTTGTTATTATTATTGAGATGGTTTTAACTAACACTGTTTTTTTTATCACCAACTTGAGTTTTAGCTATTAAGCTATTAATGTGAGACAATTTTTTGCTCAATTCAGGACTTTGTTCAGAATGAATATATTTTAAGCTAGGATCTTCTTTTGAATTAAAATTTTTCTTTTTAAAATTTCTAGGTGTATAACCAATAGGCGATATATCGTTTGATAAAGGTTTATTTGCATATACTTCACTTTGTTTACTATTTTTCTTTTTTGTGCTGTTATTTCTGCTTTAACTACTGTTAGTAATTTTTTAGATGAAATTTTCTTAATTATGACTTTAATTTATTTAAGTTTATTTATTTTCTAAGCTCGCAAGTCTATTTGAGAGTTTTAGCTTTTCAAAGATGGATCCTAAGTTAATTTCTGTGAAATTTCTTTCTGTAAGCAACTTTCTACTACTATTTTAGACAGGCTTTCCACTGTTATATTATTTTGCTTTTCCCTCATTAAATTCATTTGTATAAGCATGGTTAACTTTACTCGGTTTTAGCTATTTTTAGTTGCTGGAAGATATTTCTTTTTTATCCTTAAAAAAATAATAATATAAAAATTCGTTTTAGTTATGTAAAATGGATATTACTTTTATATCTGGAGACAAAGATGTGTAAAAAGGATGTTATGAATTTTATGTTGATAAAGTTGCTTGTTAATTTCTTCCCATATTAAGAAAGTCATGCTGCTTTTTAATCTGAGAAAGAATATACTGCTGAACTTACTAAACAGATTTTTGCTAGCTGTTTTACTTTTTATTCGAATCATTTTGTTTAATCCTTTGAGGATCAGTTTTGTTATAATCTTCTATTGATTAACCTAGTAATTGTGTTTGTTAAAAAGGAAAAGTATTTGATTATAAATCCTATATATTTAGTGGAAGTTATGAATTAGAATTTCTGTAAATTTCATTTTAATAGTGTGGATTATTTAGCAACATAAACCCATCTCTAAATGTGGGCTAAATACTTGGTTCTGAGCTCCTTCCTTCTGTATTTATCGAATTCACGTAAACCACATTACTTCCTAAATGAAGCTCTTGCAAATTTAACTTATCAAATTATTTTTAAGTACTTTGAAGCTATGGGTTTGCTGGCAAATTTTACCAATTTGTTCCAATTATATAATTATTTGTATTAAATGCATTTAGTTGGCTGGGTTAAGTGGCGCTGCTTTGAGATATTAAAGTGCTAATTCTCTTGGACGGATCATAATTATTATTAGAATTTTTATTTAAGTATTAATCCCTTATATTAATATTCTATGTTAATGCTTCTTAATCTATATCTAACAAATTATGATAATTTTATATTCCTTGCATTTACATTTATTCTATGATCTAATTTATATTTTAAATATTACTTTTCTATAGTTTAATCTATTACGTATTTTATATTTCCTATTTTTCAAATTAAACACTCTTATCATCTCCTACAATAAGTTCTAGAAGTCTGGGATTTTACTCGTTTTCCCCTTAAAACTCATTTTAATCATCATGCTTTTTATCTTTTTGCAGATTTGAATTGAAATCAGTAATTTAAACCTATCTTTCTTCATCCTCTTAATTAAATATTTTATTTTAATTTTATGAATTTGATTCTTAGCTGAGTCTAATACTTTTATATTTTTATTAAGATTCCTAAACTATTTTATTTTTTGATTAAGCATTTTCGATATTCATTTTTGAGTTGCTAAATGATGGGTAATATATGTCATGAGTTGATGTCTCGAAGCTCATTTGCATAATAAAATTTCTATAATTATCATATTCTTGGTAATTCTAAGAATTAGACTATTCTTCTGATTGATTTGATTAGTTTTAGGAGAGTCCCATAGACTAAGAAAGATGACTATAAAGCACTTTTGAAGGCAGATTGGTTTTCTTTTTGCTTCCTTTGCTATTAGCTCCTGCTTAATTAGAATCATTATTTTTCTCTGAGGAATAACCTTCGCTATCACTAGAATCATCCTTATTATAAATATTGTTATTTACATTATAACCAATTCCATTATTCACATTTTTAGCTACTTGACGCATGAATAACCTTGCTTGCTTAACATTTCTCTTTTAAATTACCTTGTATTAATTCGTAACTATCAAATTAGGCCTTGTCTATTTGTATGAGTTTGTAAAAAAATTAGTTAAAACAGCAAGTCTCGGAGGCACTTCTTCTACTCGATAGTATCTTTTTAAATACTCGTTTTCATCGTAGAAGTAAGTATAATCCTTTAAAGTAATTACATGAGGTAAAGCATAATTTGCTAAAATCTCATTTATAGGTTTAGCAAAATAAAAATTAAATGCTTCAAAATACCTAATATGTAAATTTTCTCTTAAAAACTTTATCCTAGAAATATTCCAATCGCAAAACTAACAAATTTATTTAGTTATTTGCTCTATTTATTAAATCTATTTTTTATTGTTTGTTCTGTTGTTCTAAACTGTTTTTAATATTGCACCTTAAGGTATTTCGGATTCTTCATAATTTTGCTTTTAAAATTTTTAAGGAGCTTAAGAAATTTTCTAATTCATTTTATGCTTAATGTCATCAAAGTTTTAGTGTGGTAAGTTTTCTTAGTTCTTTTTATTTACAAATATTTATTCTGTTTATTTAAATTGTTATTTTTACTGCTACAATCCACTATCTATCATTTACTTTTCCTCTTCTTCTAAATATTTTATGTTTTCCTCTTAAAAATCTTCTTCTTATCCCTAAGTCATTTGTCTTTTATAAATATAATCTAATATTCCTTCACTCTCTTAATTTGAATCTTAACTCTCATAATCTACATTATTTCCATAGCTTTCGTACATTTCATGATTTCCATAATGGTCTTTATTCAAATTATGCGATACTAATTACTCTTTATCTTCTTCTTCATCATCTTCATCGCCTTCTGTCTAGTAATTGTATTCTTAATATAATTCAAATTATTAATTAGAATTGCGAATAACGTAATAAATTGATTAGCTAAATAGATAGCCTGAATGCATAATATTTTAACTTGTTGAAATATAAATTAAGTGCTAATAAGCTTACGCTTTTTTGCTTTATTGTACTCTTCAGTGTATGAATCATAGCTAGAGACTTTCATTTTGTTAGTAGAATTGCTATTGTGTAAGCAGGTCAATCTATCTAAAATTCAATACTCCTACACGTTTATTTTGGAACCTAATTTTGTTTCTCTTTATTATTTAAATGAGTAATCAATATCTCTTCAATCAAATGTAATGAGCACTCAAGTGCGCTTTTATTTTTGCAAAAATTTCAGGAACAATTGTTCTAATTTCAACTTTAACTCTCCTTTAATAAAATAAATAAATAAATCAATCAATGAATCAATAAATTATAAGACCTAAATCGAAAACTATTTATTTTAATAAAAATTTATAAAAATTAAATTTTCAGTTTAAATTTATTATTTTCTTATTTATCTTAACAAAGTTAGTAATACTAAAGTTTTAATCGCTAAATAAGCTAATCAATCAATCAAAAACTAATATCTAATCAATTATTCAAGAAAGATAGACTCAAATAATATTCAAAAAATAGCTATAAAATTTTTATTTTTCCAAATAAACAACAAAAAACATTAAATTAATTAATTGCAATCAAATTAGTATGCTTTTTTAAATAGATTTAACTAAGATTTTATAATTTTTAAATTTTGCAAACAAAAATCTTAAATGTGTGTTTTTTTTTATACAAACATATATATTCACAAGATACAAATTTAAAAAAATATTGACTGATTTCTTTTAGTTATATCATTTTTTTGATTAATCTATATTTAGTAATTCATAAGTGAAAAGTGCATTAAGATTTAAAAAATTTTATTAAAGAATAAAATAGTAGTTTGAAAGGAAAAGTTTTATAAACAGATTTTATATGCACATGTAAACAATTAATACTTAAATTATAGGTTATGAGTAAACATTTATTTATTTTTATATATTTTATATATATTATTTATATATTTATATTAATTTATTGATATTTTTATAATTAATTATATTTAAATTACTTATTTTAAGCTTTATTTATTTATTTAGTTTATTTATCATTTATTTATTTAGATTTTTCATTATTTTTTATAATTATGTTAACTAATAGAATTCAGTTATCTTTTACTGCTTTTGATATAAATAGATTTATTACTTTACATTTCATTACTTTCTTCAATAATTTTGCAAATATTCTAATCTTCTTTTTGTTAAACGAGTTACTCTTTAGTTTTTACAGGTATTCGAGCAGCAAGCTTTTTTTATATTTTAATAAAATTTATATTTAACTTTTTTAATTTTTTGCATTAACATTAATCTATATTTTAAACTAAATTATACTATTTCAATTAAGAGGGGTTTTTATTAATTTTATTTTTTCTAAAATTGTTAAATTTTGATGATAAAAATTTTATTTTTTTTAAAGTTTATTTTCAAAGTTTATGAATGCCTTCTCTTAAATTTATTAAAAATAAAATTTACCTTCAATTTAATTCATGAAATTCTAATCGTCATTTTCCATTTTTTCTTTTATTTCATTTAAAGTCATTTTAGTGTTTTTAATTAAGGAAAGGAAATCATTATGAGAATAATTTTCATTATATTTTGAGCGAATCAAGTTAATAACTTCTGTATCTGATGATATTTAAATTGATTATTAAGTTAATTTAAAGATTGAGTAATTTAATTTTACATATTCCATTATCCTCTGCACTATGAACTTTATTTGATAAAATAGCTTGGAACTTAGATTTATTTAATTATTACCACTATTATAAATCTATTAATTTTGAATAATTAATTAGTTAATAAAATTTTTTTTAAAAAAAAATAAATTTATTACTAACCATAGAATATTCTGGAATAACAGCTTAATACTCTACACCAACTTCAGTCTTATTTTATCTATCTTCAGTATTTCTAAATACTTGCTCCCAGTATCTTTTATCTTGCTAGTCATTTCTAATATAATTTGTATAATTTAGCATAAATTTAATAAATAAAAGTTAATATTTTTAGTTTTATCAATCCAGTAAGACTTTTTTTTATCAGGATTAAAAACAAAGACAATTTGCTTAAATTAATTATTAATTTATCAATTAATGATAATTACTTTTATTTGGTCTAGTAACAGGCTTTGCAGAGTTGTGATTATCCTTCACTTGTTTTTCTCATCTATTATTAATGTTAAACATTTTTAATGCTTAAATCTCTGTATGTTTCAATGAATTAATTATTTACATTGCTAAATTCAATCTATTTATCACACTTTCTACAATATAAATATTTTGAATTGATAAACTTTTTATTTTTATCTTCTTATTAAGAGCTGTTTGTTTGAGAAGGAGATTGAACAGCATCAATGTATTTTTAATTTTGGTTATTTTTATAATTCTAAGAGGTATGAGCTGCTTTTGATGAAGATGATGAAACTGAATTATTACTATTTTAATTATGTAGCACCTAGCTAAAATTTTAAGATTATAGTCTATAATCATTAAATTTATTGTTTTTTTACGCATTCTAATTAGAATGTTTACTACTAGTATTACTAAAAGAGTTGTTTTAAGTAAAGCTAGAAGCACATTTTGTTTGTTTCAAATGGTCTTTTAATTTTAATTTTTCTAATTTGGATGAATAAGCATTTTAATTTAAGGATTGTAATTCAAAATGATTTCTTTTAATTTAAGTAGCTCTAAATTAATCATTTATGTGGAGTTTATGAGGATTTTATACTTTAAGAATAGTTAAATCTTCAGCAAAATCGCATACTGGAATTTATTTTATATTTTTTTGTGAGGTTTAAAACATTTTTTAGTACTGAGTGCATTAACCCATATTTTTGACATTATTAATATTTGAACTAGATGTTTTACTATTATTTTAGTAACAGTATAATTCTTTAGGTTAAGATAACTTGAATTCTTGGTCTTCATCTTCCTCGTCACTCAAAATAATTAGTTATTTTTAGGGAATAGCTGTTGCTTTCTTTTCACTGATTTAGCTGCTGTTTTGAGAGATGGCTTAGGTAGTAGCTTTGCTGACTTTAAATTTATTTTATAAAAAATAAACATTAAGCAAATCAAATAATTGAAAAATTTCATTAAAAATTTATTTATTTTATAGATGAAATTTAAACTATTTTAATTAAAAAGCAAAAAATATTAATTTAAAACATTTTTTTTTAATTTAATAAATAAATAAATTTTTGTCTACTATTGCTGATATTCGAAATAAGTACTGTATCGCTCTTGTCCGATTGGTCTAAAGAAGTAATTTTTTACATAATATTTGTGTTACCAGCTGCTTAAGCTCCATAGACTCTTTCAGAAGTCTGTTTCTAAACATATTGTTGTTGTTAGTTGTTTGGTTTTTCTTGGTTTTTTTGTTTTTATTATTCTATTTAAGGTTTTTCTATCACTTCAACTGAAGAGGAGTCATTTTCAATGTTGTTTTGCTGCATATTTATATTTTACGAGACCTGATCGTTTTCATCATCATCTATAATAATTACACCGTTTTGAGTGGCTTTTTTAGGTTCTAGCCCTTGTTTTTTTAAAACATCTTTGTTAGCCTTTTTTGTCTTACAAAGTTGGTCGTCATAACTATTAAGTTTAAGAGAAAATAAAAAGTAATTTAATAATTTAAGCCTAGTTTAGGGAGGAATTGTATTTGAATTTTAAGAGGAATAAAATCAATAAATTAACCCTTTATACTCTACTTGTGATTTAATAATTTTTAGAGCTTTTTTTCCTTTAGAAATTTGGATAATAAACTGAATAAAAAAGCTCAGAAAATTATTATAATTAAAATAATATACTAAAGGAAAAAAAATAATTTTACTCAAATTGAGTGAAGATTTTGTCGGAAAAGACAGCTAGCTTCAAAGAAGAAAAAATGGTTGTTAAAAACAAATTAAATTCATAAAATCAAGCAAAATTGAATATAATTTTTTGAGATTTTCAAAAAAAAAGAAGAGTTTGTAGAAATTTAAATTACCCACCCTATCGTATTATTGATTTTTTTATACAAATTTATTCAATTTTTCCTTAAGCAGTAAAAAGAAGATCATTATAACTATTTTACCTCTTCTTTTTTTTCTTCTTTGATTAACTCTAAAAGAAACAGTAAAAAGAAAAAAGCAAAAAAGAAGAAAGGAACGAAGATTAATAGAAAGAAAAATTGATCATTGATTAAAGAAAATCTGAATAAATAAATAAATAAATAATTAATCAAATGAAAAAATCAAATGTCATAATATCTTCTTTTTCTTTAACTTTTTAATTAAATTAGAGGGGTACCCTTATGTTTGTGTTATAATTTAAGAAAAGCTTGCATTAGAAGAAAGCTTTATCTAAGACAAAATAATCATTTTAATAAAGCTCAATACAGAAAACTTCATTAAAATGATTACATTTTAACAAAAAATTCTTTATTTCACTTATTTAAATCAATTTAAATACCTTGCATTCTTTTGCTTGATGTTTCCAAGTAAAGGCTGCATTCCTTACCCATTTTATTAATTGTCTATTCTTCTATCCTTTCCTATGTTATTCTATTGTAAGTACAAGTCTTTTGAGTTTTTAGCGACTAAATACTTGTAAGACATTTATTGATAGTTGAAATACGGATTCACAATAGGATTAGAGCTATTTTAAAAAAATATTTTAAAAATATTGTTAGTTATGTGCGTGCATGCATTTAGTAAACACTATTAAATAAAGTCTTATTTATTTGAAAGTGCATAATTTATTCAAAATAAAAAATTATCTCAGGGTTGTTGGGGAATTTTAGTTTAAAGGTATCAGTATAATCTCACAGCAATGCTTGGTCAATAAAAGACATTAATAAAAATACTAATTAAATTATTTTTAGGCAAAAAAAAATCATATTTTAATTGTTTAAGTAAGGCACAATCAAAAATATATTTTATTTCTATGTAAACTAAAAAAACACTAGCTGATTGTTTTACTGTAATTTTAAAATCTTTAAAACAAACAAAAAAAAGTAAATAATTTCTTTCAGACAGCTTTGATTAAAGGAAGCATTGTCGAATACTCATATCAGAGGAAAATTTCCTCCATCAATATTCGAAAAATCATTAATTTAATATTTCTCATTTTTATTAAATAAAATTAATAAATTGTCTCATTTTTCATAGTAAAAAAATTTTTTGCCAGATTTAAATCCATCTTTCTGGCTGGCATCGAAAGGACATTACTACCTAATTTAACTCATTATTTAAATTTCAATTAAATTGCATTAATTAGCTGTAATTTTTTATATTTTCTATTATAGCTTGAAAGATGAAACTGATAAATCAAAGTGAAAAAAAAATAGAAAAATAAAATCATATTAAATTAAAATTTTAAATTACAGAGAACTATTATGAGATGTCACATAGTAGTAGTAAGGGTTATTGTAGCTAGGAAAACCTGACATAGCTGATTTTAAATCTCTGAAATGTAGTCTTAAAAAGTGAAATACACGACGTAGCAAAAATGTTTTGAAAAAAGAAAGTGCTTGAGGAAATAGTTATCGCTCTGGGTGCTTTGGTTGCAGAAATCCTTTTAGTTTGAAAAACCTCTTTGATTATCTTCGATTAATTTTATTTTGAAAAAAAAATTAATTAAAAGTTAATAAATTTATTAATATAATAAATAATTATAAAATTTCTTAATATAATTCCATTCCTTAAATCTCTTAAATCAAATTTTTTCTAAAATAAATCGCAAAGTATAATAATAATTATCTTTATTATTATTATTATCATTAAAAAACCTATTATTTTTTCAATCTTTATCTGTCTGCCACCTTCAAGCTTGCTTTCTTTCCAAGCTTCCTTTTTCCTTTGATATTTAACATAAATAAACCCACTACTCTCTTCCTGTTTAAAGCTTATACTCTTTTATTGACTCTTTAATTTTACAGATATTTATAAAAATAAATCAATTAAGTATTATTTGACAACAAAAATCACCATATTTTAATTTTATTATTCTTTATGGATAGGATTTTAAATATCAGTTAGATATTGGCCAAGCTGCTAGAATGCTTCGAAAATATTGTATTTTACCCCAATTAATTACAAACTTATGTCAATTTAATTGATCAATTAAAATAATTAAAATAAATTTTAAGAATAATATTTTAAATGATTTTATGAAAAGCAAATACATTTTAAAAAGCCTTATCTTAATTACAGCAAAAGATCTTATTATTACTTATTCTTAGATTGATTGGTTGATTATAAAAGAATTTGTTTATAAGTAAAGCCAATAGGCGCATTCCAAATAAAAAATATTTTTTTAATGGTTGAATTAGAAAATAATTATTTTTTACATAAAAAAAAGTTATTTTTCTAATTTTCTGAAAGGGAATTGATGAATTCTCTTTACACTCTCCCATAAAAAAAGGATATTTTTATTATCTCTAAAAGATTATAGCTGATGTAGAGAGAGAAGAAAAAAAAAAAGCATATGTAATTTAGTATGTGTAAATAAAAATTACTTAATTGAATCACAAAAATAATTTGTAAATTTTGCTTTAAATTCTAAATAGAGTTAAGCTAGACTCAAATAAAATGTTTAATAAAATTATTTAATTCTTATTTATACACTATTTCTGTCATTTAAAATTATAATTTTTTCTTGACTATTTATTTGCTTTAAAGCATAAATAAATATCCTCTCTCTTCTTATACACTAATTTTTACTCTTTCTTCTTTATTTTAGATTTACCACAAAAAAAAATTGGATCTATCTATCGACCACAATTTCCGAAAGAACCTTATAATAAAATATATTAAAACAAAATATTTTAACAAACAATCACTCGAAGATGAAAAATAATGCTTAAAACTTTAAAGCACAATTTTAAGTATTATCTAACAAATCTAAAAATTTTAAATTTATCTATTTCATTTTAAATAAATGCTATCTCTGACACACCGCACTAATTATATGCTGGGGGACTTTAAGTAAAAGAGTCTTAATGGCTTAATAATCCCTAAGATAGTTTTTATGAATAATCTACATAAAAGATTGCTCTTCATTTAAATAATATATTTTAGAGTAATTTCATTTAATTTGAGCTTTTATCTTTTCATCAATTTAAAAAATAAAGTTAGTCCCATGTATATTTATCTTTATTTATTTATCTCCACTATTCTCCCCACCGAATTTATCATAACTTAATTATAGTCTAAATAATAAATTTACTAAATAACAAAATGTTTATTTGTTAGGTAAAATAAAAAAATTTTATCCTAATTCATTTTTAAATTATTTAGTTTATTAATCAAAAAATAAAATTAAAATTAATTTTTATTTTTAAGCCTTTTTAAATGTTTTTCTTGAAAAAAGCTATAAAATACAAATTAATTTCTAAAAAGATTACTTTTTAAGTATGAAACTTAATTAGCACCAATGAATGAATCTAAAATAAGTTAAATTCAATAACTCTTATTAAGTTTTTAAATATTAAATTTTATTATCAAGCGAGGTATTCTGTTTAAAAATATTAAAAATATATAATGAATGAAAGTAAAAAAAGTTGAATTCAATAACTCTTATTAAGTTTTTAAATATAAAATTGAATTATCAAGCGAAATATTCTGTTTAAAAATATTTAAAATAATGAAGTAGAAAGAATAATAAATTAATTAGTTAAGATGCTATTTAATCACTAACAAATTAGAGAGTTGAAAATCAATAAAAGAAAAGAAAGAGTAAAGAATTTTGATTAGGTGTTAAAGTAAGATTTAAATGTTTTTAAATTCTACATAAAACACACAGAAGCAATTTAATATTTAAATTGAGTATTTTAATAAACAATTTTTGAATGAACGAATGAATAAATGAATGATTAATAAAATAAATTATTTTTAAATCTCTAAAACAAATAAATAAATAAAAGCAAACAATCATAAGTGAATGAATGAATAGGTTATTTTATTTGTCTGTTTAGAATTTATCAAATAATTTTTTGCTCAAAGCTTCAAATCACCCAAACTTTCACTATTTACAAGTTTACTCATTCACTCATTCAGTTTTAACTTTCTTATTTTTCTAAAATTGATGCTTTCCTTGTTATTTATTAAATGGTCTATTTTTCTAATGCTTATTGAATTTGTTAAACTTTTTGTTGTTTTAGTTGTTATTCTTTCCTTTAAAATCCTTTACTTTCTTTTCTGCTTTTTCTTCTACTTCTACTTCTTCTTCTACTTCATTTTCAGTCTTTTAAGCATTATTATTTTTTTAGGGTTTTTATTATTCTTTCTTTTCTTACTATTTGTTCAAAGGCTACTTGGCAACTTGTTCAGTATTCTTTTACTCTGACTTTTAATTTTACTTCTTTTAACCATTTTTTTTATCTTGCTTTTACTCCTTAGCAGCAGCAGGCTTTTCTTCAACTTCTTCTTCAACATTTTCTTCTTCATCTTATTATTTTACTTAATTATTCTATTTTTCTTTCTTTTCTTAGGCCTTTTGAGCTAATTTCTTTTCTTTTTTAGATAATTTCTTTTCACCGTTTGCTTAATCGTTAGATTCCTTCTTTACTTATTTGTTATCTTATTTTTTAACTTAAGTTTCATTTTATGCCTTCTTTTCTCCCTTGGGCTTCTTCTAATCCTTTTTAGCTTATTTGCTTTACTCTTCATTTTCTTTTTAGTCGGTTTCTTCAGTCTTCTCTATTTTTTCTTGTTCCTTTTCTTCATTCCAATCATAATCTTCACCATTTGCTGTTACTTCAATCACACCTTATTGTCCTTTTTGAACCTTAAGCTTGTGATCACTTTTCTTATTTTTATTATTAATATTCACATTTTCTACATCTTCGTTTTCCATAGCATCTAAGTGATCATTGACTACTTCCTATTTAGTAACTCTAGGTCCGTTTTCTAATTTTTTTAATTTGGCAACATAAAAACCATCCATATTATGAACGTGAGGTAAAATTCTTCTAGTCTTTTTGAGTTGAGGGTCAAATCTCTTATCCTAATATTTTGTATAACCTTCTTCACCAACTTCAATTCCCATATCTACTAATTTAACGAATCTGTTTTTAAGAGCATAGTCTACAACACTCTCGTTTTCTTAAACTGTAACACTACAAGTGGAATATACAACATAACCACCCTTCTTGCAACAATCGATGGCAGAAAGAATTAATTCTCTTTGTAAGTGAGCATGCTTTTGGACGTCAATCAATTACTAATTAAAAAAATATTAATTTTTAAATAAAATTTAATTAAAATTTTTAATTTAATTTTAATAGTTTAATTTATAATATTACCTTAGTAGCTTTAACAGAGGGATCTCTTGCGATAATACCTAAACCAGTACAAGGTGCATCAAGAAGAACTCTATCACAATTATGAATAACTTTATTGAGCTTTCTTCCATCATAATTAGTTACAATACAGTTGTTAATACCCATTCTCTAAACATTGAAAATCAAGGCCTATTTTGATAAATTATAAAAATTAACTCCAAATTCATCATAGAATAAATTTATAAATAAATACTTTGTTTCTATCAGCCTTAACGTCATTAGCGAATAAAACACCAGTGTTTTTCATAAGCTAAGCTATGTAAGTAGTTTTACCACCAGGAGCAGCAGCCATATCAAGAATCTTTTCGTTAGGTTAAGGAGCCAAGGCAATGACTGGCAAGAAAGAAGAGGCACTTTAGAGCATGTAATGACCAGCAAGATATTCAGGGGTAGCACCGATAGGAACTTTAGAATCGTATATTTTCAAACCAACTTTGGTCCATTCAGCTAAGCTGTCTAAGTTAACACCTCTTTAAATAAGGATTTATGCAAGTTCTTTTCTACGAGTTTTCAAGGTGTTAGTTCTGATAGTTAAAGGTCTTTGTTGTTCATTTGATTCAAAGAATTAAACAAGCTTTTAAAGTTAATATAAGTAAGATTAATATTTAATATTAATTGCATAAATAAATTTGCTCTATGTTCTACTTTTATTGATTTTTTTTTTTTAAGAATTCAAAAATTTTAAAAATAAAATGTAAAAACAAATGTTTTACTTCATTAGGATTAAACATGGTCATAAATAATTAGACTAAATCACGGTTGTAGTTGTAATATTGCATAAAGTATTCAGTTAATTCTTCCAAATAACTTTATCTGCTACGACCATCCTTGCTATTTTCTTTGAATTTAGATAAGATGTGTAAAATGTCATTGATCTTCATGTTTAAAATGGCTTAATCTGGTTAACCTTTCAATCCCATCATATATTATTCCTTTGCCTGTTAAATAAAAAATCATTTTATTCAATACTCCCAATGATTAAATAATTATAAAAATAATGAATTTTATCAATTCAAATTTAATTACCTTTGCTTCCATATCTCCTTCATCTTCATCGTCACTCTTATCATTGGGAAGTTTTCTTGGGAGCTTGCTATTGGGTTAAAGCTTAGGTATTTCTTCACCATCTTCATCTAATTCTTCGTCTTCATCATCTTCATCATCATCACCTTCTTCTAAATCTTCACCATCATCATGTTCTTCTTCATCTTCAATATCTTAACCATCTAAATCGTCACCTTCTTCAAAGTCATCTTCCTCTTCTTGGTCAATTTCATCACTATCTTCTTACTCTTATTCTTCTTATTGTTTTCTAAGTAATTCCATTTATTTCTTTAACTCTTTCTTTGTTGGTCCCATTTTATAATAGTTTATTTATAAAGTTGATTTTATTTATTGTTTTTGCTTTGTTTTGTGGTTGATTAATTATTATGTTTATCCTTTTACTATTTATTTTTTTACTCTAAATAGAATTATTGCTTTAAATGGTACATTCAAAATAAAAAAGGATCTTAAATTTATGCAAAATATATTTATACTTCTAAACGAATAGTTTCTTAAATAATTAAATCTTTCAAAATCTTCATATTTGTTGCAAATAAAGCCAACTCATTTTACATAATATTTTGGAGTATAAAATTATTTTGCTTCTGATAAATTACTAGAAAAATTTTCAATTTAATTTAAATTAAATTTAATATATATTATAGATTTTATTTTTTGCTTACTTTAAAATCTAAACTTAAAATATTCAATAAAGATTTAAATTAAACTCAATAAATAATTAAATAGATTTTTTATATTGAATAATTCCTGAAAATTTACAATAATTATTTATATCCTTACTAGATTATTTTTTACACAAAATTAATCTAAAAAAATTTATTATTAATTTTTATCACAACCTTATTACATAAACGATGTAGTCACAACATTTAATTAATTATTCGTAGTGAAAACTAGTTAAAAATATTCATTTTCTTTTTGATTAATCCTCTAAAATTACATTTTGAATTTCATAAATCGTTAAAAGATAAAAATATTTAAATGAAATAAAATCATCAATTTTTTATTTAAAATATAAAATAAATTTATGATAAATTAATAAACTTAAATATACTTAAATCTAACTAACTAATTTTTGTATGATTAATAAAAATTTATTTAATAACAGAAAAAATAAGAAGAATCTATCTATCTATCTTTCTTTCTTTCTATGTATTTGTTATTTATGATTAGGAAAGATTAATGTTTGATTTTTGTTTGGAAACTCAATTTCTTGAAAGATTTGAGTAATCTTTCCAATTATACTATTAGTACTTTATTCCATTAAATAAAGTAATTAAGTTTGGTAAAATTGAGTTTTCATAGAATTTTTTAATAGTTCCATCAGATTTTTCGCATACTTTTGATAAATCTTTTAAAGTTTTATTATTTAAATCGGGATTATTGCTTAATTTAGTAACAGCATAAAGTGCAGCAGCTGCCTTAGTTTAATCTTACTCACCGTTTGAAATCTGGCTTTCTTTAATTTACTGACAAAGGGCTAGATATCCTTTTTTGTCATTTTCGTTAAGAGAAAGTTATTTGGAGTATTCTTCTGCATATGTTTTTAAATCAACCTTATCAAATAAAATTTCTACGATTTTTTGTTTATCTTCGAATTGATTTTTCTTGATATTTTCTAATTCTTTTTCTACATCTTCGAGCTTTATTCCAGCTACATTACAAATACTTTTTAGGTTTAGCATGGCCTCATCAATTTTTAAAAGTCTCACAAAAATGTAAATTGCGATGACACCTCTCCTTTTAAGCTATGAAGAGTTAGCTTCTTTCTCCTTAGTTTAATTTGGATTACAGTAATCCATATTTTGTAAAATATTGAAATAATTTTCTATCTCAAAGATTTCTCTTTTTTCGAATTATAAATACTCACACCATTTGTTGAGTTGCTTGCGTATATTTTTTTTATCATCTTCATCAGCTTTTCTTTTTTTCTTGCCTGTTTATTCATCAAAGACGTCTCTGCCGATTTTTAATACAATGTCTTTTCCATCTTAGACCAAACCTCTCATTTTATTCATTTAATCAGGATCGTTTTCATAGTTGTTGACTTCTTGCTCAAAAGTTTTGTAGTGACTTTCAACAACATAGCCGCATGAAAAACATTTTACGTTGCCCTTAATACGATCGTGTCTCACTTTCTAGCTGTGGCACTTAATGCACTCTTCATTTTCGTCACTCATTTACACTTCTCCTTCTTTTTTGATTATTTTATTGAAATTATAAAAATTTATTTATTTTTTTTATTTTATTTCTGTATTTGTCTATTTACTTAACATTAAAATTTTCAGCCACTGAGGATTATTTAAATAGGGTTTAATTAAAAACCTATACTTTCTTCTAATTCTACCTATTAAATCAAAATCATTAAAAGATCTTAACAAAATTATTTTATAAAAAATAAAATAAAATTAAAATTTTTTTCACTGAAAAAAAAAATTTTTTTTAAATCAACAAGAAAGGATTTAGTTTTATGAAAGTTCAAAGCTCAAAGCCTAAAAATAGTGTACTATATAAATAAATAAGGATAAATGCATACAAATAGAGTCAGTCAGTTAGTTAATTAAATTTAAACATGAGTTTTTGGAATTGGTATATATAATAGGATCAAAATATTCGTCAAAATTTTAGAGGGTTTAAATGAATAATTTAAAGTTTTTGAAAAAACAAAAATACAGAAAACATCAACTAAGATGCAATCTATTTAATTATTCATCTAAAGTAAGTTGCTCTGCTTCTCTCCTTTAGGAAATAGGGAACATTACTATTTTATAAAACACATTAATTTTATGTAAGAGTAAACTTCAAATGCTCTTTAAGCATTATATGAAAATAAAAATTTATTTAAAATAAATATTTACTCTTGATAGTAGTTACCACAGCTTTATGTGTATTTATTTGGAGTGTTTAATTGGGATTGTGGTGGTGAAGGACCAAGAATTTACTTTACAATATTGTAATCATATTATTCGTATTGCTAAGAATTATTTAAGTTAGCAAAATTTGTAAAGGACAAGCGCTTATTAGGTTAAAATGGTGGAGAATAAGTAGAATAATCATAAGAAGAATAAGGTTCTGGAATTGTAAGGGGAGGTATATTCAAATAATTCTTGTTAAAAGTGTATTAATTTTAGTAGTCTTATTAAACACATTAATTATAATTTCCATATGCTTGATCATAAATGTTATTTCTAGGAGATTAATAACTTGCTCTTTACTTCAGAAAATTTATTGCCATTTCTTGTCTTTGAATTCTCTCAATCTCTTTTTGCTGTCTATATATATATTTATTAGTTTAAATTAGATAGATTATAAGAGTGTAATTATGAATTGAGGATTATATAGGACTGAATATTGATTTTATATCATATGAAAGTTAAATATACTTTTTTTATCCAATTTTGTAAGACAAAATGATGATTAAAGGGACTAAGACTATGATGAGTCCAATAGTAATTTAATGCATTGAAATTCCACAAGTTATATGATTATTCAGAGCTGTTTTGTTTCTGATTTAGCTGAAATTTTAGACACTCTATAAGGTCTTTTTTGGAAGTTTATTGTTAGAAAATCTTCTTAATTTTTAGGTTTGTAAAAAAAAGTGTATCTACTAATTTTTTTTACAATATTTATTTTAAGAATAAAAGAAATTATGCAAAATCTTAATTCGAAAAATTGATTTAATGAAAATCACCGTATTTATTTATTTATTTTAACGTTAATATTTCCAATTTTTACAAATTATGAAAATAAATATTTTTTTAAATAATACTTGTCTGTCAAGAGCAATTAGAATTATTCATTTTTCAAAAAGCTTCAATAGCAAAATTTTTCTTCAAAGGAATTAAAAAAATTATTTATTAAGGATTGTTAAATAAAGTTTTAAAATAATTTTTAATAACATAATTATGTTAATAAAAAAAATAATTAATTAAATTTATTTCTTTTTCATTTTAAGAAGAAATTAGCAATTAATTAAATTTATTTCTTTTTTTAAGCATAAAATTTATGTTAAAGTTAGTTTTTATTTATAACATGATAAAATTATAATCGAAATTTACTTTGAATAATTCTAAAAAAGTTTCATAGGAAATTTTCTATTTTAAATATTAAATGTAAAAAAAATTAGAACTTTATTTTAAGAGATTATTAAATATAGAACAATATTTTATTATATTTTTAGGTAAAATAAAAAGTAAAGCTGAAAATAAATGGTAAGATAAGTGATGTAAATTAAATATGAAAAGAAAGATTTAAAAATGAGATCTGTATTATAAAAATAAATAAAATACAAACCATTTTAATATTTACGAAAACTTTTTTTAAAAGTATTTTTTATGAAAATTAAAGCTTTAATATATTTGTTTTACAGTAAAGATGCATTAGAAAATATTAATAGTGTATATTAACATAAATGAAATAACTAAATAATTAAATAGCGATGTTTTTATATTTGCATATAACAAATTTTTTATAATGTACTTATTTATTACTCATTCATAAAATCTTGCAAATAAAAGTGAGTAATTGCATTTAAATTTATATAAAGGTGAAAAGGAGATACTCTAAATATACAAAAAATTTGATAATAAACAATAGATGAAAGAAGGAACTATAAAGAATGACTTGATTAATAATTGATTGATTTGATTTATTGATTTCGTTCTTTTAATTAATTAATTAAAGAATGAATAAAAGTGATAAAAAATAAAATAAAAAAGCTAGTTAACAAAAATTTTATTATTTTTTTGTAATTAAGCAATAATACATTTATTTATTTCTAAAACTAATAATAAAAAATTAGAAAACAAAAAATTTAATTAATAAAAGCACGATAGTATTAAGATAAAAGCATAAATTACATAAGGTTAGGTTATGTATATAAATTCACCAAATATGGAAGGAAATAACTAGCAAGAAAAGTAGGATGATATTGAAAAGAGAAAAATTTCTGAATTTAAAGAGAAGGCACAAGAGAAAAAGCGTACAGACTCAAGGTTAGGCTTTAAAACAGTTATTTTTTTTTAAGCTTTAAAAAAAGGGGTTGGGTTTGTAGTTAAAGCGCCTGTGATCAATAATTAAAATTTTAAACCATTTTGGCTTTATGATATTAAATTAATTATATGAGATTGTAGCAAACCATTCTCAAATTTTAAATCCCTGTCATTTAGATTAGACAAAATACCTTAAAAGGCAAGAATATTAACATTTAGTTTAAAAAATTAGAAATGAGTAGCTCAACTACCATCGTAAGCGTATGATTTAGCCAGTTTAAATAAGATAGTTATCATAAGAAGACTTCAAATTTGATGAGCAATTTGATGATGAGAATGTTGATTATATAAACTAGAAGATTTAGGAGTTTAAGTTGAAAATAGTTAATCCTCAATCAGAAGAGGAGCTCTGGAAAGCTCTGCTAATTTTCGAGACAATGTCAAAAAAAAGTAATTAGCGTATTTTAGACTAAAAATACATTTTTTGAGATACTTTATATGCTTAGTTAGGCATTTGATTAAATATATCAACCTACCCGCGTTTGATTTAAAATTAAAGAATGAAAAAGTATTATTTTTAAAACATTTATAAAAGGCAAATAAGGAGATAAAAAAACTTTTTTTTGGATTTAGATGGAATCAAATATATCAAATTTTTAAACAAAATCAAATCTCCTTGCAATGTCTTTAAAGTAGAGTTACAAAAACACACATAATTACATAGCAATTGATGATTAAAACTTTTATTGAATTTATATGATTTTGCATTTTTAATAGTATTTTATCAGATTAATAATACATTTGTTTCAGAATTAAATTAACTTGATTTTAAATTAATACCACAGTAAGCTCAGTAAATATAAAGCTCACTCTTTCCAAAGATCTCAATTTTGTGAGGCAGCTACTTTAGTAAACATAGAGTCCTAATATATCAGATGAGTGCAAAGTAAACATTTGTTATATCTCATTTCATTTTATAGAAATACAAATCAAAAAAACATTTCTTCAAATGTATTTTTATAAATAAAAAATTCTCTTTCTCTGATCTTTCTTTCTTTCTTACTTTCTTTGTTTCAATATTTCTAATTTTTCTCAAATGTTTTTTTATTTGTAAAAATAGCTGGGAACTTTGTAAATGCTTTCCGAAATTACTGAATCATTTAAAAACCTCAACGACATCAGTCCTTTAGCTGATTAATTTGCTTTCGAATAATACCTAAGAGTGTATAGACAAGCTAAGACTGAGAAAACCTTTACAACTGTAAGATCGCTTGATTTCAAAAAATTTTGTTATGAAAAAGCTTTGAAAACAAATTCTGAAATTTTTTTAATTTTTGACTTTAACAGGTTTTGTAAGCTATTTCACAACTAACTATGGATAATATAAAATCAAGTGAATACTTTATACATCACGGCTTTTATCCAGAGTTTTTGGCAACATTTGAAAAATTAATGACAGTTAATTCTTAGCTCTATTTGGAAAGTATTAAAGACTTATGTATAATTTTGCACGGACTCTCAAGACAATAACATCCTTTTGACTATAATCACGAAAAATTAGGAATAGTTTTTCAATATTTGATTCAAACAAATGATTGTGATATCCACTTTGATCTATCTTCTGCAATCGATAACATTGTAAGATCCTATTTAAGTAATTTAAATTAAAATTTTTGTGAAATAAAATAATGAAAAATTTTCAAAATAGACAAAAATAATTTTGAATGGGTTGCAAACAAATTTTAAGAGCTCTACAATTTAGGACTTATGAATGTTGTTATTAAGCTCATAAATCAAGAAAATGTATGGATTCCTGTAAAGGGAAACAAGATATTGAGTGCAATCTCCCACATTAAAAATGATAAAATTAGACATGTAATGATTTTTTCTCACTTACGACTTTAAATTATATTTTGTATTTTAAACTTATTTTTCCACACACAAATCAAACAAACAAACAAACAAACAAACAAAAAAAATCCAATCTGGAAATTGATTGAAAAGGGAAATAAATTAAAGAGATATAGATACAGCTGTGGGAAATTTATAAAATTGGTTTGGATATACATAATTTTTTTAATTAAATGAAGGACTTTATGATATAAATCCACGAAAGTGGAGTATTTGATTAGATCTTAAAATCTATAAAGCACTCTTAAATTCAGGTTGTGCTTAAATATCACCTCTTTTTGACCTTGAAAAATTTAGTAGACGGTGGATGCATTTTTCCTGAAAAATACAACTATTTAATTTCAAATTTGCTTGATCCATTGGTGATAGAAAAAAAATAGGTAAAAAAAATTTTTTCCATTTGGTTTTAAAATTTCTTTGCGCTTATTAATGATTAACTGTTTAAAGTTTAGTCTGAATTCTTAATCTATGTAATTTTTAACATAACTAAGTAAGTTCTAGAAACGAAATTTAACAAGAACAAAAAGACAAATAAATAGAAAAAAATAAAATCGTCATCCTATTTATTGTTAAATTTTAATTATAATAATATTAAATAGCTTTAACAGCAGGTGATTGAAGTGATATGGCTTGTTTTTTAAAAAGAAAAAAATAAAGATTTTAAGATCGAGATTACAATCTAGCTCATAGAAATCCTTTGTTCCATATTATAAGATGAAACAGACACAGATTTGCTAAAGAAAGGTCTTGACATATTTGACAGAGTAATGTCGATGTCTGCCTAAGATGCAAACCAAAAAAAGCACATAAAGTGGCTCTAGAGACTAGGCTTTAATTAAATTATACACAGTCTTTAATAAAATAAAAATGAAGAAATATGTAAAAAAGCTGTAGCTGTTGTTTCATATCTAGATAGTGATGAAGGCTCTGACAGTGATGATATGAAAGACGAAAGTCTAGATTGAAAAAATTAGGTGAAAAAAATGATCAAAGCTTAGATAATTTAGATATATACATTAAAAAACAACAAATTCTTCAATAATACACAAAAATATTCATTCATTCATTCATTCATTCATACATTTATTCATCCAGCTAGCTAGATATTCATTTAATAACTATTTATTCATAACTTTTTAAAAATAAAAACCACTACCTTAGTAAGCTTCTGTCTTTCTTGAAAAATTCTTTTAAAATTTAATTGCTTGATATATTATATAAAATATATAAAATTCAAGGTATATTTCATATTGTTTTTATTTAAAATGCATCTCTACTAACTATTCAACTTAATAGTAAATCCTAATTCAATTCAATAGTTATCTTTCTATCAATTCTTTTTAACTAGAGTATTATTCAAATTTTATCACAAAATTTTATATTTGTTTGAAATCGAATCTCAAATTTTATAAAATATACCTTGTTTTCGGATATAACAATTCAAAGTTATAGTACCAAAACATATAAGTAGTAATTACTTCAACTATAATAATATTAGCGCAATAAAAAATAATTAATTATATATAAATTATCAAAACAATGCAATATTTGTGCTATTATTGTATTTTTATAATAAATATCAAACAGCCATTACGCTTAAGCTTTTGAGTTACAACATTTAAACATTTTTCTTTTTAATTATTATCTAATTGAAGATGTAAGATTTCAATTCATCATCAGCAATACTATTGAATATTTTTTGGTTTTTTTAAAAACTCAGTCCATTAAGTTTATAATAAGGAAAATTTTTTTCAAATAAAAAATATTTGTTTGATCTGGCTGTTTACAGAACAGCAAAATGATATATTTGAATGTATGTAAATTGCCTATTGAGAATATCTTGAAAATTAATTCGCTTAACTAAATTAAAAGTAATATTTGTAAAATTGTATTATCTAATTCTAATGTTATATTCCTTAAATTACTTAAAATTAAAAAATTAATCCATCAAAAAATAAATATGTGATATGTAAATAAAGATTAGATTGCGATGCCAATAGGCATTTCAAAATTACTAGAGCATGATAATCAATCGCCACTTTTTTTTATTAAATCTACTGGTTGTTTTAATTCATGTAACTCTGATATTATTCGTATGAAAAATATATTTGGTTCTAAAAAATTTAAAAATGAGTCAGTAACAAATATAAAATTTATTAAAAATATCAAGGATTAATTCAAGTATCATTATGCCAAAAAAAAATATATTATTAAAATTGGTGTTACTCAGAGTATCAAAATAAATTATTTTAAGAAAATATTTTTTTTTTTTTTTTAATAATAAATTTTTTATTATTATTTACTTTTTATTTTGATTTTAATTTATTAGAACTTTAATAATATTCTGCAATACTAATATAAAATGATAAAAAATATCTAACCATTTATTTATTATAAATAAATAGAGAATATAATTTCATCAACAGTAAAAATTAAATAAAAAATTTCTTACTTAAAATAAAAAAAATAATTACAAAAAAATTACTCATAAAAAATACTTGATAACACTAATTTTGCACATTTATAAAAAATTTTTATTTATAAGTAAATTAGATGATCTTATTTAAATTATCATTTCTATTCAGATTTAAAAAATATAAATTTATCATTTGAAATAATTAAAAAAAACTTAAATTATTAAAAAATTCTAATTAATACTTAAAAAAGTAAAATTAATTTAACATTTCTCTCATTTTATATAGCAAAAAAAATAAAAAATAAATAAACATTTAAATACAGATATTTTATCATTTTTAATTGATATTAACTCATATTTCATAAAACTGTTAGCTAATGCAGCTTTCTAAAATATGTTTTTATTTAATTTTTAATTTCTTCTGAAAACTTAAAGCCAAATATTGTTACACTTAGTTTTTCTAAGCTTTCAACTGTTTTAAGATCACCAACTATTTGCTAGAATGAAGCTTCTGTTGATTATGGTATTGTTTGGAAGTGAAGTTTGATTGATTTTAAGGTGTGCTAATTTTTATAAATCGCTGAACCAACTGCTCTAACTGCTTCATCATCTATACTTTCCATATTCATCAAAGTTGCACTGAATGTGTGAAGATTAGGCATATGGCAAACTTCAGCAAAAACTTCTTTTAATGAAGCACTTGTTATTTACTTGCCATTTGAGAAAAATAAACTTATAATTTGGATATCATTTAAGTTCTGCATACCCCTTGCTAAATCACGAATACCGTTATCCGTAAGTTTAGAGCATTCGTATATATCTAATTTGAATGTTTTTAGCTAACGTAAAACTTAACAAGAGTGCTTAAATATTTCAAGAGATTCATCTGTAATTACTGATTTATTATCTGCAGTTTTTGTGCGTATGGAAAGACTTTACAGATGAAGATTAAAACGAAGGGCATGGAGAGCATTATTGAGCTAGCAAATATCTACATTTCTGCTTGTATCAAACTAAATACTAAATTCGTTAGAACGCTTCATCATTTACTAATAGAAAGTATCATCTAATGATTCTTTTAAGAAAAACCATTCTATAATATCTTATATTTCATCAAACTTTTCTTTTGTTAAGCGGACACCTATTTTCGCACCTGTGGGATTTGCTAAAGATTTATTTCTTAAATGTATACCGAAAATAAAATACTCAATAAATGTTTCTGAATGAACTCTTTGAATAGCAATAGGACCTCCATTCATACCAGAAGTTGCATCATTTTCATATTCATATACCTCCTTACCTAGTTTTATAGCTTTACTCTTTACACAGTGCTAAACTAACTCTTAACAATCTTCTGGGTAACCATGAATTTCGTAATTTTTAATTATAGCTTCAGGTTTTTCAGGATTATATAGGCCAAACCATCCTGTAGATAAACCGACTGCTTATTAAAGAATAAGAATGGCTACATCATTCTCTTCAGACTACTTGAATGCTGTGTTTTTATACTTTTCTACGACTAAAGCTCTAGCCACTTCTACTTCTTTGAAAACAGCTTCTGTTCCTTTCAAGCCAGGCCAAAATCTTATTCTTTAAACTTTACGAGCAGGTTTTGTTCTATCATAAATTATATGAGCAGCAGTTATGACATGGTTGGGTCCAACCATACTGCCTGTCCCTCTCTAGACAGTATTATCACTGAATTCAGCTAAAACATACCCAATTGCAGTTTATGGAAATTCTAAAATCTAATCTCCAACACGTTTTCTTTCATCTTAATCCTTAACTTTTAAAGTGGCTTTTCCTTCTTCAGGTACTTTTGCTTGTAAATTAGATTAAACTTTAATTGCAGCTTCATTTCTATAAGTGTTTTTTAAAGGATTTGAAAAAGCTGTCATTTGTGTTAGTTTACCTATTAAATAAAACAGCATTTTAAACAATAAAAAATAATCATTGAGATTCTTTAAAATATTTTAATCCTATTTTATTTGATTTGTTGCTATTTATCAAAATCTTGTATAAAAAGATAATGGCAATATTTTAAATCTAAATGTTTACCACTAACAAAGTTTCCATAATCCAGCAAATGTTAAAGTTCTCTATCGAACTCATATCTCAAAAATGCTTCATCAGGAGGAGAATTTTTACTTTTATAAATAGTTCTTGCTTCAAACTTTTTAATTCCCTTCATAATTTCTTTTTCTTCTGCTTCCTTTCTTCCGAACTCTTCATAGTCCCAGTCTATATCTTGCATATCCATTTTAAACTAAACCTAATTTTATGTTTTTCTTTCAAGTTTTATTTTTTAATAATTAATTAATATAATCTGATTATTTCTAAAATCTTTATTTATATCACAAATTTAAATATAGAATATTATTATGATTCTTCTATGAGGAATTTATTTTAAAAGGTTGAATTTTTATTGAAAGCTAACAATCCAACTAAAGAAATTCTAGCATACTACAAAAATTAATTCATCATAACCTTTATATTTTATTTGTTACTTACCATCCACACTTGAAAATAATCATTTTTATTAAATGCACCATAAATAATTAATTATTCATAATTTTTTTAAAATAACTTTTCTTTAAAAATATTTACTAAAATAAATAAATATTTTTATAACCTTTGGATTACATTCCATATAAATAAATATAATTTAAGATAATAGATATTCAAATTTTATTACAACAACACTATTTTTAGTAATCTTTAAACCATCTAAATCAAGTAAATTGAGATATTTTTATTTTTCAAATATAGATGAAATGAATTTTAACAAATAAACAATTAAATCCCTTAATTATCAAACATGTATTGCATAATTAAAATATGTATTTTTTATAAAATTTCAATACGTAAATATAAGTAAAAATTAATAAAATTTAAACTTTTTTATAATAAAATGTTAAATAAATGAGTAAATAGGGCACTAGATTTAATTTAGAACCAACTATTAAGCCATTATTAAAATTAAACTCTAATTTAATTGAGTATTTTTATGTTTAATATTACTGGTAATATTTATTTATTTATTTTTATACATTTTCTTTTTCAACAACAACAACACGATTTACTTGTTTATACTTGTGTATCAGCCAATCTAATATTAGGATCATTATCAGATAGAATTCCTCTTTTTTTGAGTCTTTCATATATTTCTGATATTCATTGAAGAAAAACTAAGTTGAAGAATTAACAAAAGGAATAATTTACTTTTAAAAAAATGGTTGATTACTTTTTCAAAATATGAAGTATCAACAGGATCTGCTGAAACTGTTGATATTTCAAAAATATCTATATCTTTATCTTCTTTCTTAACAATTTAGTAAGCCTCTTCATACCCAACTTTTCTTTAACTTTTTAGATCTTTTTTGTTCCCAATTACAATTATATATGGATCTTCTTCTTCTTGCTCTATGCAATTGCTCTTAATCTCCTCTATCCAATTTTTTACATTACAAAATGAATCTTCTTTAGTTATATCATAAACTATTATAGCACCAACTCCACTTTTGTAGTGCCTATTATTGGTTATCACATTAACTAATTAATTATTTAAAACAAAATAAATACTCTTTTGTAATGCCTCTGTATTTTTCTTAGCCAGCTGTGTCCCAAAGTTAAAATACTACATGTCTATTCTCATGGATCTCATGCTCCCAAATATGGTAGTTGAATCCATAAGTAGGCTTATACTTAGTAGAATTTCTAGATTTTTATATTATTCTAAAAAGAGTGGGCATAATTTAAAGCAAAATATAAATAAATGTTTACTTATTTACAACATAAGTCTTTCCAACTTGAGCATCACCTACAATAAATACTAAACATTTATAGCAAATTTATTTTTAATCATAGAAATTATCTTAGTAATATACTTTTAAATTATAATGGTTCTTATTTATTTCTTTCAGCCATTGGTTTCAACTTATTTTTAGATACGCTAAGAGGTTATTAAGATAGATAACTTAATTAATTTCAATCAAAAAAAAATATATCGAATACAAAACTTTTATTATTTTTTTTTGAAATTGTAAAAATAAATAAATAAATTAAATAATTTCAGTAATAATATTTTAAATGGTAAATAATTTTGGCTATCAGATGATAGATGCTTTTATATTCTTAAAATAATATTATTAATACTAACTTTTGGTTAATTTTAAATAATAAAAAAAATTATATCTAGATCTATCACTGAATAATTAATTACCATGCAAAAACACAATATTAAAGAAAAAAATTTAAATTAAAACTTAGTTGATATTGATTTTGTAATTTAACTCAAACTCTTATTTGGTGATGACCGGTCATGTTAATTAAATATTTAATTTATTTGAATTTCTTTACATTTGAAAAATTAAAATAAGTTAAAAGAAAAAAAATATAAAAGATTTTAAGCAAATAAAAGTACTATAATGAGCGGAAAGTTGCAAGCAGGATTAAGCAATAGCGGTTATAAAAGAGAAGAGTATAATGAAGATCCTTCTTCCAAAGAATTAAATGCCTACGTTTAAAATCTTTTAAAATAAATGCAAGATAGATTTGAAGACATGAGCGGAAACATAGTAGGCAGAATAGATGAAATGAGTATTTATATTAAATTAGATTTGAAAATTATAATTGATGTAAAATAATTCTATATTTTGTTTAAAAAAGGAAAAAGAATTGATGACATTGAAAAATCTGTCTCTGATTTAATGAATGATTTAGGAGTTGATGATGTTGATTTGCATGCCAATGCAAGAAATGTCAAAATTTGAAAAATAATAAAATGTAGTTAAAATTAAATTAGGTATATTAATCAAAAAAACATCAAAAGTTAAAATGAAATAAATCTGTCATGAGACAATCTATCTTTCTATCAATCAATCAATCAATACAATATAATTAAACCCTTTAATCAATTGCAAATATAAAACATTATATGTATCTTTCCTTCTATCTATATTTTCTGTACATCTTTTTCTAAATATTTCTTGCTTTAAAAGCAAAAAAAAGTATTAAAGACTTAATCATATTAATAATTGTTTAATAGATAAATTAAAATAGTAAATAAGATATCCATCCACACATGTTTTTTTTAAGCTATTTTATATTTTTGCATTAAATTGAAATACAAATAAAGTAAGAAGTTGTTAAATTATCTGATGCATTAAAATGAAATTATCTAAAAATAATTTCATTTCTTTATTATAAAGTAAATATTCTAATTTTTTTTATGATTTTAATTATTAGAGTTTGTTTGTTTGTTTTTTCATTTATTTTTGAGATTTTATTTTTCTAGTTCACTCTCGATTTAATACTGTTCCAAACCAAATTTTACAATGAGCTTTTACACTAAATCATTAATTTTTTTATTTTGGATTTCAATTTCTTTTTCTATCAAATCAGCAACTCCTTTTAAGTTCTTAATCTACTTGCTATTTTCTAAAATAATTTCAATTTGATTTCTTTTTCTCATATAATCAATCATTTCGTCAGGCTTAATTTCTTCTTTGTATATTTTTTCTGCTCTCAAACGCTGCATTCTTATCATTTGCTTTATATTAAAAATAATTTCTGGTCTTATAGTTTCAACTTTTTTGAATTTTGGCTTGACTTGAGCATTTTTTTGCTATGATTTTTGTTAATTTTCACTCCTTTCAGTAGTTATATACTCCATTATATCTTTGTATGAATCATCAAAATGAGAATAGAACATTTTATAATTAATTTAGCTTTATTATTCTTTATCAATTTTATTTTATTCTTAAACCTGATCTATCATATTACTAAGTTTAAAGCCTTAATTTTTAGGTTTATCGTAGCTATAATCATCTATCTTTGAGAGCAAATTGCTATTTTTAAAACTGCTGGTGTTGAAATCAGAATATGAATTAAATTTATCAGAGTGCTACTCTAGTTTCTCCTTTTTAATACTCAAGCTGCTAGCTGCATTTGTTTTGTTCTACTTTTCAGTCTCTGGAAGTGTCGCAGCTGACTTACTATCTCCAAAATCTAATATTAATTTAAAAGGAGTAACGAAACTAGAATTTTTGCAAGACTAAAAATCCTTGAGCATAAAATATCGTGTGGTTTATATAATATTTGTTTATAGTTTATTAATCAGAATCAAAGTTTTCTGTTTTATAGATAATTATTAGAAATAATTAAAGTTAGACTGAACAAATAATAAATTGCATAGAATAATTAAAATTGCAAATTTGTTAAAAATACTGACAAATACAAAAAAAAAATAAAGAAAAGGCACGATTAATTTAGATAATAAACAAAAAAGCAACTGAATAATATAACTTCCTTTTTATTCATGATTGGTAAAAATAAATTAAAAATTTTTTAATTTGTAGTTATTTAATCTAATATTATTATAAAAAATTAAGTTTTAAAGGTTTTTAGGAAGGATTAAGTGTTTTACTTTAAGATAATAGCCATACAAATTGAAGAGATTTTGTTTATTTTAACAATAAATGTTCATCAGGAAATTATTTTTGCCTCTATATTTTTTTATTTACAAAAGGAAATAGTTTTCAATCCAGAAATTTTATTAATGAGTAATTTATTATTAATAAAATGTATCTCTATAAATATTTGAAATAAAATTAATATTTATTTTTCAATAAATTTATTACTATAAATAATTCAAAAATATTGGTATTTTATGGATCATAGTTAAGTGGCTTGTTAATAATAAATAATTTATTCATTTATTATCATTTAGGAAACTTACTTACATTATTTATTAAGTGGAAAAGCAACATAAAATTGAAAAAAAGGCAATATTTCTTTTTGAGTTTCTATTTATTTTGAGTTTTTAAATAATCCTTATTTAATTGATTCATTTTTAAGTATAACTAATGATGAACAGAAAATATAAAATGAGAATAGTAAGTAAGTAGGTGTTTCTATTAAAACAATTAAATTTTCTACTTTGATAATCTAAAATCTACCAATAAATAAAGCAACAAAATATAATAAAATTTCCTTTTTCAAAGCTATTTATTGCAACATCAATAATTTGATATTGCAATTAATTATAAAAAAACTAAATTCTAATTAAAATTATCATAAATTTAATAAAAAAATGACCTAAATAGACAACACCGATTTTATCAAAGAACTCAATGAAAAATAAGTTTAAGTTTTTTAAAAATTTAAAGACACAGTTGAGGCACAGTCATAAACTACATTCACAGCTCAGATGTCTGAAGAAAATAAGAAATTTTACTTAAATTAGAACGAAATTATCCGCATTTTATTAGCACGTGATTTTGATCCTAAAAAATCATTGGAGATGTGGAAAAATTGGGTTTAATGGAGAGAATAAAATAAGCCTGAGACTATTAAAGAGCAGGATATTGTCGAGGAACTTAAAGCAGGAAAAGCTTTCTTGACTGGCGGCTACGATATCTAAAAGAATCCTATATTAGTAGCAGTTTTTCGTCGCCATATACCAGGAGCTATACCAAGAGAGACTACTGAAAAATTCTTTATTCATTACTTAGAAGATGCATTAAAAAAGGCCAGATAAACTGGATCTGGACGTGTAACTATATTTGCTGATATGGTTGGATACTCTAATAAGAATTTCTCAACTAAAGATTCAGATCTCATTAAAAAGCTTCTCTCTATATTGCAAGATAATTACCCCGAAAGTTTGGGTAAGCTTATTGTGTTTAAACCTACTTGGCTATTTAAATTTGTTTATGCAATCGTTAAGCCCTTCCTCTCCAAACGTACTAAAGAAAAAATTGTTTTGCTAAAAAAAGAAGAAGAAATTTTGAAATACATTTCAAAAGAAGAGTTGTTGGCTGAATATGGAGGTACAAGTACCTTTTAATATGCCTATCCTCCAGGTTCAAAGCCACTGAATGTTTTAGAAGGAAAGGTAGAAATAGTAAACGAAAAACCTGAAAATGGAGAAGAAGCAGAAGTAGATTAGAATATTTTAGAGTGAAATTTAAAACATTAACAAATAACTTTTATAATGTATAATAATGTAATTTATAATATGCAAATTTGTACGGCTTTACTAGACTTTGATGTTTTTTTTGAATTAAAATAAATATTCTATTGAATTTTTATCACAATCTTTATCAAAATTTATCAAAAAGTTAGATACTTTTAATTTTAACAAATAGAATTAAAATAAACCTGTGAGTTTTAATTAATTGTCATTAATAAAGTTTTACAATTTAAAATATGAAACAAGAAGTAATAAACTATGTTCTTGAATTTTCTCTAATACTTTATTGATACATATTTAACTCAAATAAAATAGATGCAATTCTATAATTTAACTTAAAACGTAAAATTCAGCTTTAATTAATCAAATTATAAAATTGACTTTTCATATTTATTTTATAATACAATTTTAGATTCAAAGAGAAAATATCAAGAGATATTCTATTTATTTTTTTAAATTTAAATAAGCCATTTTCGTAATGTTTATTTATTTCTTTGAGTTATTCAATAATGTTTTTTAGAAAAAATAATATCTATTTATTAGGAAATTTAAAAATACTTTGAAGCACCAAGAATTCTATTTGTTTAATAAGTTAAAATAAATTTATATTTGTCATTTTTTAAAAATAAAAAAGCTATATCTTATAAAACGAAATTTTGGTTTATCTAAAAATCCAAATGAAATCTTATTTCTATATAAAAAAATAATTTTTAAGGATAAGAATTTAAAAAATAACTTTTTTTAAATAACTTTATAAAAATTAAATGTAAAAGACTTTTTATATATTAATTAATAATGATTAATTATATTGTATATAAATAAAATACAAACAATTATTTTTCAAAATTAACAATTTTTTCATTTTTAAATCATTAACTAATTATATAAATGTAATGTTATGGTTTATACTTAATTAACTTAAAAAATAAGGTTTATTATATTATTAACACAACTAAATGTATGAATGCTTGTTATTTATTCATAGATATTTTAGATTCAAATAAATTATATATTATTTTATTAAATAAATCATTTAAAATATATTTTTGAATGTTAAAATTTGTTATTTCATTAACAAAACACCCAAGTAAAAACAAATCTAATAAATTTGCTATACTTTTGAATTCTCTTGTATCTATATTAATTGAATACATGCTAAATTGATTTTTAATACTTATTGTATATATAATCATGCAATTTTAGAGGGTTCATTTATTTAAAAATTATATTATCATTTTAAAATAATATTTAATTTTATTACTAAATATTTATTTCTAAAAGAGCTAAATAATTAGTTTTAGAATTAATATGAGAGTACTTATTTCAATTAGTTAATATTGTGCTTCAATATTTTTAGAAACAATAATAAAAATAAAAGTGTTTTTTCTATTTAAATTCTAACTAAGTTTTTAAAAATAAAATATAAAAAAACTACTAAATTCGATTCAAAAAAAGTTAAAATGAATTAGTGAGCTCATTTGCTATAAATTATTCTTTTAATGTATTTTTTAGTTTATCTAATTCTCTCATTATTTCTAGTTAGAGTGAGTTTCCTTAAGAGTTAGAATAACATTATTAGATTAAGCAATTCAAATAAACGAAATCAATATTATTTTTTTTATTAAAATACTTTTAATATACTAAAATTTCATTATTTTTTTAGTATTTACCAAATTTTACTTTTGAAGAAGTATTCGAATCTAAATTTATTTTTTTATTATTGTAACAAACTATCAATATAATCATACAAACATTTATTTTTTAAAAAAATTTCTACAACATAATTTATTTTTAAAACTAATTACTTTTATTTATCAAAAAATATTTAACAAAAGTTCTCCGTAATAAAAAACTAATCTTAATTTCTTAATGTGTTAGTTATCAGAATATAAGAGTGTATATAAACAAAATGACTTTATAAATCAAATTTTTAGCATTTTCTAGAATATTTTCTTTTAATTAAAAGAATTTAGGGTTTCAGAATCATGCATTAATATTGAGAACGAAAACACTTATTAACTAGAAAAATAATTTTATTTTAAATCACGTGCATTGATATGAATATGGATGGAATATTTAACAATATGTTGAATATCTGATTTGATTTAGTAAATTGGTTTACATGATTGTTTTGATGAATTTATAAAATTGTATATAAATTAAATTAGGTACTTATTTATTAATATAAATATAATGGATTTGAATTTATTTGTATTTTTAATTTAAATATAAATCCCACTAACTAACTATTTAAGTTTATTATTATTATTATTAGTTGGAAAATGCAAGTTATTAGTTTTGAACAATCTACTTTTAATATAGGAGATTGGTTTTAATAAATAAATATTAAAGATAAGTTGGAATGTTTGTTTTTATTACTCTGCAATTAATTGGTTATTAAATTAAATGAATTTGATGAATTATTTATTTTTTTTCAAAAATGTTTTCAATCTATTTTGATGTTTAATACTGGTTCGTTTGTTCAGTGTTTTATTGCTAGACTAGCAGCTTCTTTCATATTTTGTTGAATGTTAAAATATATAAATAAAGAGCTTCCGAAAAACCAAATGTAGTTTTCGTGAAGGAATTTTTTAGAGTCTTTGAGTTTTAAGTAAAACAAACCAAAGGTTAGCGAGGTTAAACCTGCTGCCAATTAAGGAGTTAGACAATAGCTTGTTTTTTCCCAAACAAATTAGGTCACATACTTTTGTATCATCATACTAATAATATACTTAGATATAGGTTGAACTAAAATATTCTTCAAAATTCCTAAACATCTTAATATTTTTTAAACCCAGGAGTCTTAATTGTTTTAAAGTATTCTAATTTATTCGCTAATTTCTTCAATTTGGTTTTAAAATGGAGCGCCTCTTTATCTGTTAAGATGGCGGTGCTAATATTATTGCTGGAGTTATTCGTCAGGGACATTTTAATGGTTTTCTTAAATCACATCATATAAATCCAGTATACAACTAAATTTGATTGCGTTATTTACTTAACCAGCTAAATAAGATCTCATCAACTTATTTTATTCGCGCTATAATTAGATCATAGCTTGTTAATCCTTAAGTATTTATTCCCCTAGAATAGAAGTCTTTTAATCATTTAAGTAACTGTATTTGGCTAAATGCATATACTCCATAGTCAAGACTGTTTGTTCTCAATAATCTTTTGCAAAGTTTGTGTTAATTTTTCGTAGAGTGTTTCTTTTTTGAATCAAGAGATTGAATAGATTATAAGCAAGCAAAGCTATTATTAAAGTAAAAAAAGTAATTAATTATATTTCAATATTTTTATTTCCTTCTTTTTCTTTTTTTTATTATACTGATTTATTTATTAGTAAATTTATTTATTTTTTTCAGTGCTAACAAAATACATTGATTGATAGATAGATGCATAGATGCATAGACAATGTGCAAATTCTAGTCAATATTTGTATCTATCTAAAGCTATTATCATGATAATTAATTTTTAATGACTCAAAATTTATATCAGTCAACAAACATTTAATTTTATTTATAAAAAATTTATAAATATCAAATTTGTATTTATTTCAAATAAAGTATTCTGACAAAAGCAAAAATCAATAATTTAACTCAAATTAAATCTTTAAAGCATCAGATGATTAACACCGCCCTTAAATTAGGAAGCATTGAAATTCCATAATAAATGATTTTTTGGACCAAAAGCAATATATGTGCTATTATCCCTTGTGTTTAATTAGTACCTGGACGTATAATAAAATATATTCAAGCTTAATTTGATTTAAATAAACATGTTAATTTCAAAATAGATGTTCTAATCATACCCAAGAGAAATGTCAGCTATTTCAACGATTTAGAGCTTTAAGAAGTAAAAAATCTAATATTAATATAAATACTAAGTTGCAAAATTATTTAAATTAGGTTTTTGATATTGGCTTACTCACAAGATTTTTGACCAAGGGTTTAGAAAAATTTTATACAGCAACATCTTCTACTGTTTACATTCACGTAAATAAATTAATGCAAAATGGAAATATAGGAAGCAAAAAATATCTATTAAATATAAATTAGAATTATAACCCAAATGATTCAGAGTCGTTACAGCAAGTATATGTGCATATCATACCAAGAAAACCAGCAGATTTTTAAAACAACGATGATATTTATAAAAAGTTAGAGGAATACGATGCTGAGTAAATTTTTTGCTATTATATATTAAATAGAACTTATGTTAATATTTTTAATCAAATTTAAAATAAAGATTTACTAAGAAATTTAAATGGGGTTTCACTTAGGCAAACTCATCTTTGAACGGTGTCCTTGAAATAGAAGCTAACGAGTGCAAGAAATATGCAACTTTTCTTGAAACATTTTAGAGAGAAGAAGCAGAGAAATCTTGAATTCATATATAAATTAGAATCAATAATACTTAAAGCTTTTATGTAATAGAAGAATGAAATATCTTCTATTGATATCAAATAATAAAAAAATAGATTGAATAAATGAAATATCTCTTGCTGCAAATACAATAATTAAAATTTAAATTTGATTTTGTCATATTTATTAGATAAATAGCAGAAAACAATATAAAATAATTGAAGTAGAAAAATGTAAATAGTGATTAATGTGTATAAACTTAAGTATCCTTTATTTTTAATGAATCAAGATTAAACTAATTTACTTTTATATTTACATTTTTATTTTTTAGATAATTTCACTAAACTCAAATTGCTAAATAAATACAAATTCTATAAATAAAGTTTTATCAGTAAGTAATTATTCACTACCAGAGCAAGTTACTTAGAATTAATTTTCTTTTCATACTAATTTTTTATAAAAAGAAATAAAAACCAAATTACAATATTCTAAACCTCATTTTTACAATTATATATCTTTTCTTTTTTCATAAATATAATTTGAAACAATTTTAGAATTTAAAAAATATTTAATTATTTATGTTTTTTTATGATTATTCTGAAGTAAATATTTAAATATAATCGTTAATATTTCTAATTAGCCTGTAATAATTTAAATTCATATCTTTAAAGCTAAAAATTAGCCTTTATCTTATTATTATTCGTGTATGTAGCCTTGGAAAAGGCAGTACCCTAGGGTACTATATATATATATATAAAATTATATTTTAAAATATTTTCAAATCAGTTAATATATTTTAAAATTAATGAATTTAAAAAAATCTAAATTTTAAATAGTTTATTCATAGAAAAGTACTCTTACTAATTGACTAAAACAAATTCATAAATCTTTATTTTTTTTGGTATTTATATTTCTAATTATTCTTCATTAAATAAGCTAATAATATTATTTAAAATTATTTTAACTTTTAAAAAACTTTTAAAGATAATCTTTTGCTTTTTTATTAAAAAAAATAAATTATATAAATTAATAATAATATATTCTAAAAAGTATTAGAAAATAATATTATTAATTAATTATTGAATATAACTTTATAATTAAAAATATATATAATTTTTTTGTTTGAGTAATATATATGTTTTGATTTAAGGATAAAAAATATTTTTTGTAAACAAATTTTGATTGTGCTTATTTGTTTTAGTATTCATTTATTTATTAGTTAATAAACAAATAGATAGATAGATAGATAGATAGATAGATACTCTCGGTATCTAAGTTGTCATTGAATTACAAATGAATCAAATAAATATCAATATTTGATATTTATTAATTTTATTATGCTTGGAAATAGATCCTATGATATATATTATATTCTTTGTAATTGACATATTGCATTAATTTTGTTAACAAAGAAATTTTATTTATTTTGCAATATTCATTGGGAAAAATATTTCAAGATAATTAAATAAACTAATACAAAGAGTTTAGAAGAATCAAAACTAGTAGGAAAAGAAAATAAAAAATAATAGATGACTAATTTTGGATCACCTTTCAGAAATACTGATTCAGGTATTGTAATTAGAGACCCTGAAAATGAAAAAAGACTTAAATTAGCTTTCTAGAATTTCTGGAAGTCCAAACAAGAAGGTAAATTTGCATCAGTTTTCTGAGAGATGTTAAATTAATATTTATATTGTTTACTAATATACAAGATAAGGAATTCTAAGCTCAAATTAAAACTGCAGTTAGCAAAGATACAGTTAATTTTATGTTTTATGCTTCTCCTTTGTTCGGTGCCTTGGTAATAAAATGATTATTTTCTAGTTAAATAAATCTAAAATATGCAATTGAATTATAGATATTAGTGGATTTAAGTTAAATTTTGAAATAAAATAAATGAAATTATCTAATTAAATTAAATGATTGTCTAAGTTTCGAATAAAAAATTGAATTCCTTGCATAAAGTCATAAATATTAGAAATTAACCTACTACAAATATATCATTTTAATGAACTAAGATCTAAAAAATTTAATATCAGTTAATTTAAACAAATATTTGATAAATATCTATTTGAAATATAAAGTTATTTCTAAGTTATGCAAAAATTAAGTTTCTTATGTAATTTGCTAATATGTTAATTGATCACACTTTTTTAATATAAAAGAGAGAACTATTAAAATGTTTTCCAAGAAAAAATTAGTCTTTCATATAAGACATTCTATTTAAATACATTTTTATTAATATAAATAAAAAAGCTATCAATAAGCCATAAATATTGAGTGCATTCATTACTCATTATTTAAAATTTCTAAATTAAAATTTAAAATAAATTTAAAAAATTTTAGGCTTAATAGAAAAGTTTATTGCAGGAATTCATTTAATTTAATGACTTAATTAAAATTTAAATTAACATTTTATATATTTTAAACAACTAAAATTATTTATTTAGAAATAAGACCTGAATTTTTTTGTATAAAATAGCTTGGTAAGACATATATTGATATGTTCTGCAATCCTAGATACTTCTATTTCAGAGCATTCACTTTATCCATGTTCGCTTTAGCTGGTTACTGTGTTGGAAACGGTTTCAGAAACAGATACGAACACTCTTTATATACCAGAAATTATCACTTATTCCCTAAGGATTTACAAGATGCCCTTGTTAATGGCGATGCTCGTTACTGCATTTCATGGTGGAAATAATGAAAATGAAAATTTGAAACATTTCAAATACAACGAATAAATATAAGATCAAATATAATAGACTATTAATTATATTTCTCAAATAGAAATTGTTAAGTTCAATGTTATTTGTCTTATATAAAGTTACTGCTAAATATAATTTTCTTTTAAATAAACTGATCAATCAATAAATAAATAAATTCATCTACCAATTTCAATTGTATATTTATATTGATTAATTAATGAAAAATATTATCAATTAATACTACCTGCAGTTAAAACGCTTAGAATAAAATTATTTTTACCAAATAAGGTAATTTTAATCAAGATTACTTAAATATTTAACTATTAATAGACAGAACAACATATATAAAAAGTATAAATGGATCAAACACTGAATTAAAAATGTTAAAATAATTAAATTATTTATTTACAATCAATCAATCAACCAGTTAAATTAAATTTTCATTCTTGCTTTTCAGTATTACCAGATGTTAAGCATTTACAAGTCTTATTATCACAGAAAGGAGGATTAGTAGTAAATTTGCATCCACATAGATTCATATATTAGGTTGCTTCTTCTACTGTAAATTTATAAGGTAAGAAGGCAGTACCCTTGTGTTTTCCGTCACAAAAAGGCTAATAAAAATATATACAGTATTAATAATTTAAGCAATTCAAACAATAAATATTTTAAACTAATTATAAAAAGTAATTTACTTGAGAAGTACTTAAACCACAAGAACACCATTTATATTTTTTCTCTCCCAATTTAGGATTTTCAACCTTTTTTTAAGTTTAAAATAAGTGAATTAGTTAGTGACATAATATCAATTAATAAGCTGATATTTGCAAATATATTTTTTCAAATATTCAGATGTAATTTTTGAGTAATCGAATTTAAATTTTATTTAAGATAAATGCGTTTTATCTATGATTCTATTTTTACTTTGTAAGGTCCTAAGAGAGGAGATACAGGAACAGGTTTTTAATCTCCTAAAGTTCTATCGGGTTTATTTTGAAAATCAAATTCCTTAATTTCAATTTTAACATGCTCATATTTAGATTAAGATTCAGGCTTTTAGACTGCAATAAATTCTTCTGTTGGTACGTCTCTAATCTTTTTATAGAATTGGCATCTGACGTGATTTAAGCTTCTAGTTAATACTAATTGTTAGAATTTGCTAATCATTTTATAATAAACCTACTACTCTTTAGGATAATTAATCTATTTAAATATTGTGTTTTAATTACTTTATCTTATTAAATCTTAGATTTTATTTTTGTATGCTTCTTTCTCTTTAGATATTTTTCTGTTTAACTTTCTTTCTTTTTCTGAACCCTTCTTAATTTCCAGAATTAAATTTAATTAAAATTTTCAATTCATTTTGAATATGATGTTAAAAAAATTAAAACCAATTTCATTTCTTAACTGGTTTGAAGCACAAAAAAAAATTATTTTTTTTTATTTCATTCAATTTATTTTTTTAAAGCTGAATAAAAGTAAAACTTTATTTAATTATTTTAAACGCCACATAATTTTAGCAGTTTAATGGGTGTTTTTTATTCATAAAACTTTTCGCGGAATTAAAAAATTATAAGCAAAAAAAAGATATTAAGTTTAAAAAATTAGAAATTAAGAAATACATTAAATTTTCATATTTTAAAATATAACAAAAATGAATCAAGAATATTTAAGCATTTTTGAAGAAATAATTGAAAATGTAGAAACTTCTTCTTCAATCAAAGAAATACAAATAAATCTTAATAAATTTTACCAAAAAATGTAAAGCGAAATAGGAAATGTAAAGTTTTTTATTGATTTAATATTGACGATATATTGTATTTAACTTATTAGATATAATGGACACTTTTTACAGAAAACTGTATTAGCAAGCTATTTAATAGACTATTTTCAAGTGATAAAGTTTTCAAAAAATTCCAGGATAATATTGAAACGGACATAGAAAATATTTTTATGTTTGAAAAGCTAGATAAGTCTATTATGTTTAATATATTTTCAGAATATCTTATCTCTTAAATGAGGAAACAATTAAAAACAATAATGACTAAGAGAAAATTTGTCTATAACTTATTTGAAGCATTTTTCTTAAAAAAATATGATAATATTAAAGAAGCAATTTTACTCAATTCTGAAGGTGATTTTCGTGTATTATTTATTAATAAAATCTTCAGAATATAGGCAGACTTTTTTAACTTTTTGGAAGAAAGTCCTTAGGGATTAAATAACTTAGAGTATTTTTCAAAGTTAATATTTCTGTCTAACTAATTAGATTAGCAGAGCTGCTACTATATCATTAACAAAATAATAATTATGGGAGAAGTGTAATTGATAACTTAAATTTTAATAAAGGATATCATAAATTCTAAATAAAATTTAGGAACAGTATAGCAAACAGTAAAGTAAAAAATGATAAATTTTAATAAGTACTACTTGCTGATAGGAAATATAATAAGAGCAATCTCTGTTGAAGTTAAGAATAAGTCTCTAAAATAAGAAGAAGCAATTAAAATATTAAAAGATTATTTATAGTCTCTAGATGAAAACAACCTCGTCTGTGTTTTTTGTGATAGAATTTTATTCACTTTCTCTTTTTACAATGATACATCTAAAATATTGTCTTCCTTTTTTTAGAAATACTTACAATACAGTAATTTTATTTAATACTTTAAGACTTGCTTTACTTATTAAAAATAATATTTTAACTCTTCTAAAAAGATATAAAAATGAATAAAATATCTAAATAAAATTTTTTGAATTTTAAAAAATTATTTAAATAAAATAGACAATATGGTAAAAATATTTGTAAAGTGTTTGGAAGTATGGAGAAATGACAATTTTATTAGATATAGTCACTAAAAGCTATAATATTGTAATAAAATTAACTAATTTGCAAATAAGAAAACTTATTATTTATAAATTAATAGTTGTTACAAATTTAATAAGAGAGTTTATGGATTTGATAAATTTAAAAGATCTTGAGGATCCATCAATAATGACAAATCTTTAAAAAGGAATTACTTTTAGATTTGAGACTTTTGCTCATTTCGAATATGTTAGATCATGCTCTCATGTAATCAGATTATTTTAAAATTCATATGAGTAAAGTTAATTAATTAATTATTTTGGTTTTGAATCTAATTAGTGTGTATGGAAAGCATTGGTTAAGAAGCTGTAAATTAAAGTCGAAGAGTGCATTGATAAAGATGAACTTGACTCGTTCAATTAGTACCCTGATTATATGGATCTAGATTAAATTGAAGAAGATATAGAATAAAATAATAACTCTTAGGAAATCTAAGCTCACTTAAATTAAAAAGAGGAAGAGAAAAAAATATAAAATGAAAATTTAACATAAGAAAATCAACAAAAATAAAACAACAATAGTGATGATGAAAGCGTGGATAGTGAAGAGGAGTCATTTTATGAAATGAATGTTTAGCATACAGTTGATGATCCTCTTGTTTTATAACCTCCAAAGCATTTATATGATTGTCTGTTGGGATTAAGAAGTGATAATTCTAAGCGTTTTGAACTTTCTTTAAAGCATTTGAATTTTCTTATCAGAAAAAATGTAGATGATTTAGCTGTTTTATGGGAGGAGTTAACAAACCAATTGTTAAGAATACATTAAATTGATGTGTGGATTCCTTAGTTTGATGAGTATAAAAAGAGAGCATTAGTTAGCTTGTGTATTTTTAAACCCGAATAAGTTTCAAAGTAAATTTTTGAGTTGGAATTTTAATTTGAGATTTTATTTTTAAATTAGGGTTTTGATTGACAGATTTTTCAGTGCAGAAAGCTATGTGGGAGATAAGCATTTTCTTATAAACCTCTTTATAGAATCAGCTCAGGAGTTAGCTGATAATCCAAAAAAATATATGAGCGATTAGTTTAATGAATTTGAAGAGAAAGATGATGGGGCTTTTTATTTCAAAAAAATATCAACTTCCTATTGTAATATTTATTATAAAATAATTTACAAAAGAAAATTAAATTCATTATTTTAGACTAAAAACCTGAGTTAAGTGAAGAGATGAAAAAGGCCTAAGAAGAAAAGAAAAAAAGAACTGAAGAAAAAAGCAGACGTTGGGGTGAAACAAGAATTAAATTTGAGGAGCAATAGGATACAAGTAATTTAAAGAAAATGAATAGGTCTGAATTGCTGATTATTAATAACAATCCAGATGGTTTGTTTATAAACAGGTTAAACCAATTAATATAGTCGTTTTATTTTCCACTCTTAGTACCTATAAGAGTAAATCATAAACAACTGATGAGAAAAGAAGTTTTCTTATTGTCTAATGTGTTTGCTTTGATTACATCGTATATACAGAATGCAAGTTAGATATTTTATATTTTTTATTATTTATTAGATAAAATAAAATAACTTTATTTAAACTTAGGAAATTCCTTGCTATTTTATAGAATGGTTGAAGAAGCTCTTGATTATGTTGAGGAATTCAAGGATATTTTTGACCTTAATTTTACTCGTTCAATGCTTCAGTGTGTACTTAAAATATCTATGTTTGTTAAAAAAGATGTTTTAATGAACTATCCTTTAATTATGAGAAAGCTTATTTCGGTAAGCCAAATTCTAGCAGGTAATTAAATAAATAAATTTTGTCTAAAATAATTTAATCCCTAATTTAATATATAAAGAGAGAGGGCTTTAGAAAGAATAAGATAATGCTAATAAGTATTTAGTTTCAATGATAGCTAACAATATTTAAAATCTATTTAGCTTTACAGACTTTTCAAACTGATTTAAATTAAATAAGTTTAAATTAATCAAAAAAATTATTTAAATCAATATATATTTATTTTTATTAAAAGATATATTTTCAAAAAATAATTAAAAAAATTATTTCAAAAATAAATTGCTTACTATTTATTTGTATGCATTTTTAATTAACTTTTTTAATTGAAAAAAAAAAAGAAAATAAATTGATTATTGTTTGTTTTTTTTTATTTGATTAAAATCTTTCATTCATAAAAAATAAATACATAGAAAAAAAAAGAAAATTAATTAATAAATGTTTGTTTTTTTTTATTTGATTAAAATATTTCATTCAAAATAAATAATACATAGAAGAAGAAAAAATGAATTAAATTTTTTTATAGAATGACTAAAGTAAATTTAAAATATCAAAAAAAAAATAAATCATTGACTTCAAAAACATAGATCATTTTCAGCATCCATTTTCACATCTTTGATTTTTTTGCTAATACTTACATATTTATTTCAAAAGTACCCATAGATAAAGCAAAACCTCCAAACCTCCGATTTGCATTTTTCTAGAATATTTAGAGAACATTTTTTTATATAAAATAAGATAAGCATTTTAAAATTTATAATACCACATTAAAAAAAAATTACATAAATTCTTGATATGAAATAAGCTTATAAAAAGCCAAATTCAACATTAACGACTTTTAAATTCATTAATTTACTCTAAATATTATTAAATAAAAAAATCAAATTTGTATTGTCTGAATGAATAAATAAATGATAATATAAAAAGCAATTATTTTATGATTTTAAAAAATATAAAATGAAAAAAATGATCATAAGATAAATTAAAAATTTGAGAAAAAAAAAACAAAAATAAACATAACAACCACAAAAGTTAAAATAAAAAGTAAAACTTGATTTCTCCCTGAGGTTTTATTTAAATCATGGCATCTAATTAATCAAGATAAATAACAAAAGGATAAAAATATGATTGATGGATAATATTTAAGATTAAAATATAACTGGCATATAAAAATTTGGCATTTATATAATTTAATAAGATGTAATATAACACTAAAAGTTTCAAATTATTTGATCGTTCTTGGAGAAACCAGAGGGTTTGCTTAAGAGGATTTAATTTTTTTATTTTTCAAAAATAATTTATTTACTTACAAAAATATGAATGATATTTATAATAATAAAATCTATTTATTTATTTATATTTTAGGTTAAAAACACTTTTTCAAAATATTATTATAATAAAATATATAATATTATTCAAACATTTTATATTTATTCATCCTTTTTTCACCAGTTGTTTATCATTAGAAATCAAAGACAACTAATCTTTTTGATTTAAGACACTTGCTTATTACTTTTTTGAATTTTTATGATTTATCCATTGAGCTAAAAATTTTAAAATAAATTTGTGTAAATTTTAAAATAAATATCAAAATAGAATAAACTTTTAAATGAAAAATTATTCTTTAAATTTATAAATAAAATAATATTAGTGGAATAAAAAAAATAAAAAAATAAAATAAATAAAAGCTATCAAATAAAATCAAAGAGCTTTTTTGTTTTATATTCATTTTTTTTGTTTAAAATATTACAATCCAAAACAAATAAACTGTTTTTACTTAAGGTAAAGTTTCAAATTTGAGAGATTAATGCAATTTGCTAAACCAGAACCTAAGCCTGATGCACTCATTGCACCAATTTAATTGTCACTTTTTAAATATTGAAGAAAAAATATATCATTTAATAGTTAATTAGAAGGAAAAAATGAAGAAAAAATATGAAATAATAAGATTAATTAATTAATAATAAAAGCAAAAGTTGAAAATAAATTGATGAGCTAAATTAACAAAGAAAGAACAAAAAAAAAGCAAGCACAATAAAAAGAAAAAGAAAAAAGAGCTTTATTGTTTTTAATTAGTTTTTATAATTAAAAATATCACAATCCAAAACAAATAAACTGTTTTTACCTAAGGTAAAGCATCAAATTTGAGAGATTAATGCTATTTGCTAAACCAGAACCTAAGCCTGATGCACCTTCATCACCAATTTAATTTCCACTTTTTAAATATTGAAGAAAAAATATATCATTAAATAGTTAATTAGAAGGAAAAAATGAAGAAAAAATATGAAATAATAAGATTAATTAATTAATAATAAAAGCAAAAGTTGAAAATAAAATGATGAGTTTAATTTAAACAAAAAAAAAAGCAAGCACAATAAAAAGAAAAAAAAAAAAGAGCTTTATTGTTTTTAATTAGTTTTTAAAATTAAAAATATCACAATCCAAAACAAATAAATTGTTTTTACTAAAGGTAAAGTGTCAAATTTGAGAGATTAATGCAATTTGCTAAAGCAGAACCTAAGCCTGATGCACCTTCATCACCAATTTTATTCTGACTTTTTAAATATTGAAGAAAAAATATATCATTAAATAGTTAATTAGAAGGAAAAAATGAAGAAAAAATATGAAATAATAAGATTAATTAATTAATAATAAAAGCAAAAGTTGAAAATAAAATGATGAGTTAAATTAACAAAGAAAGAACAAAAAAAAAGCAAGCACAATAAAAAGAAAAAGAAAAAAGAGCTTTATTGTTTTTAATTAGTTTTTATAATTAAAAATATCACAATTCAAAACAAATAAATTGTTATTACTTAAGGTAAAGTGTCAAATTTGAGAGATTAATGCAATTAGCTAAAGCAGAACCTAAGCCTGATGCACCTTCATCACCAATTTTATTCTCACTTTTTAAATATTGAAGAAAAAATTTATCATTAAATAGTTAATTAGAAGGAAAAAATGAAGAAAAAATATGAAATAATAAGATTAATTAATTAATAACAAAAGCAAAAGTTGAAAATAAAATGATGAGTTAAATTAACAAAGAAAGAACAAAAAAAAAGCAAGCACAATAAAAAGAAAAAGAAAAAAGAGCTTTGTTGTTTTTAATTAGTTTTTATAATTAAAAATATCACAATCCAAAACTAATAAACTGTTTTTACCCAAGGCCAAGTGTCAAATTTGAGAGATTAATGCAATTTGCTAAAGCAGAACCTAAGCCTGATGCACCTTCATCACCAATTTAAAAATTATATCATAAACAGTTTCTAAAATAAGGGGGGTTTTCGAGAAAACTATCAAACCAAAAACCAATTTTAAACACTTATTATAAATTATAATTACTTTTAAGATGTATTTCTGAGTGCATTTATGTGTGCGAGTTTATCTTATCTTATCTTATCACCAATTTAATTTCCACTTTTTAAATATTGAAGAAAAAATATATCATTAAATAGTTAATTAGAAGGAAAAAATGAAGAAAAAATATGAAATAATAAGATTAATTAATTAATAATAAAAGTGAAAGTTGAAAATAAAATGATGAGTTAAATTAACAAAGAAAGAACAAAAAAAAGCAAGCACAATAAAAAGAAAAAGAAAAAAGAGCTTTGTTGTTTTTAATTAGTTTTTATAATTAAAAATATCACAATCCAAAACTAATAAACTGTTTTTACCCAAGGCCAAGTGTCAAATTTGAGAGATTAATGCACTTTGCTAAACCAGAACCTAAGCCTGATGCACCCATTGCACCAATTTTATTCTCACTTTTTAAATATTGAAGAAAAAATATATCATTAAATAGTTAATTAGAAGGAAAAAATGAAGAAAAAATATGAAATAATAAGATTAATTAATTAATAATAAAAGCAAAAGTTGAAAATAAATTGATGAGCTAAATTAACAAAGAAAGAACAAAAAAAAAGCAAGCACAATAAAAAGAAAAAGAAAAAAGAGCTTTATTGTTTTTAATTAGTTTTTATAATTAAAAATATCACAATCCAAAACAAATAAACTGTTTTTACCTAAGGGAAAGTGTCAAATTTGAGAGATTAATGCTATTTGCTAAACCAGAACCTAAGCCTGATGCACCCATTGCACCAATTTTATTCGAACTTTTTAAATATTGAAGAAAAAATATATCATTAAACAGTTAATTAGAAAGAAAAAATGAAGAAAAAATATGAAATAATAAGAGTTATTAATTAATAATAAAAGCAAAAGTAGTAAATAAAATGATGAGTTAAATTAACAAAGAAAGAACAAAAAAAAAGCAAGCACAATAAAAAGAAAAAGAAAAAAGAGCTTTATTATTTTTAATTAGTTTTTATAATTAAAAATATCATAATCCAAAACAAATAAATTGTTTTTACTAAAGGTAAAGTGTCAAATTTGAGAGATTAATGCAATTTGCTAAAGCAGAACCTAAGCCTGATGCATAGAAAAAGGTTATTAAATTACCAAATTGTTCTGGAATTAATGAGAAAAAGAGGAAACAGGGTGTATATTAAATATTCAAAAATCAGATATTGATTGAATTATTAAAAATTAATAATTATGAAAATACCTAAAAATAAATAAAAATTATTTATATAAATATAATAAAAATAAATTTTAAGATCTATTCTGAGTGCATTTATATGTGTGAGTTTTTCTATTCTATTCTATCACCAATTTAATTGTCACTTTTTAAATATTGAAGAAAAAATATATAAATAAATAGTTAATTAGAAAGAAAAAATGAAGAAAAAATATGAAATATTAATTAATTAATAATTAATAAAATTAACAAAGAATGAAAAAATAAGAAATCATAATAAAAAGAAAAAGGAAAACAAATCAAATCAAATAAATTAAAAGAACTTTAATGTTTTAAATTAACTTTATAATTAAAAATATTACAATGTAAAACAAATAAATAGCTTATATTAAGTGTAAGTTTTAATAGCAAAAATGAAGAAAAAATATCAAATAATAAAAAATGATTAATAAATAATTAAAAATTAATTTAAATGAAAATTAAGTTAAAATAGCTAAAAAATTTTTGTTTTAAAAAAAATCAATAAATAATGATGATAATTTCTTTTATATAAATTATTTATTTAAATAAATTGAAAATTAAATATCCAAAAAATAGTAATAATAATAAAAGTAATATTTTTTAATTAAATATACGAAAGATCAATATGGAGAACCTAATGAGATAAAAGTGAAGAGCTTTTAAACTTTTTTTATTAGTTTATATAAATTTAAAAGATATTAATAAAAAAATTAGTAATTACTTTTTCTAAGCTGCTGTATAATTTAATCTATTATATCATTTATTTTTTTTTTCAAAGATATTGAATAGCAATTTATGAAATTTAATTAATTAATTATAAATGGATAAAAAAAACAAATAAATATAATAATTAATTAATTATCAAATATTAATTTATAAATTTAGTTTTATGAAGAGATATCACAGAAAAATTAATTTAACATTCACTATTTAAACTTAATATTTTTATTTAAAACATATACTTAAAAATATAGTAGGAATTAGAGACGGCCAGCTATTTATTTAGTCATATTTGAAAAAACCTAGTAGTTAATGTTCTTAAATATTATAAAAATAATGTTTATAAGTAGATTTTTCTGTTTTAGCTCTGTAATTTTAGGAATATTTATAATATCTCTAATTATAGCATGATACCATTCAAAAATTTCATGGTTTGCCTGCCACTTATTATGAAATATATTTTTTATTTATTTATTTATTAAAAAATCTAATTTATATATATATTTTATAATAGAATTATAATTAATTAATAATTTAATTTATTATAATTTCAAAAATAAACAAAACAAAACTTTATTAAATTTTTCTGTTGAATATTAAGGGGTACTATTTTTGCAAATACAGTACAGCAACTAGTTTATTAGAAAGTATAAAATATTTATAAAGCTATTGAGTGTACTTGGCAATAGCCTGTTTATAAAGAATTAAAGAGAATGGTAAAGAGAAAGATCAAAAAAACCTTTTAAATGAAAAAATTTAAGCAAAGGTAATGAAAGTGTTAGTAATTAAAAATTTAACAAATATTTCTCATAATCAAAATAATTTAAAATATAGACTTACAATTATAAGGATAACAAAGAATATATATTTTTAATTATTTACTACCTACGTCTGTTAAAAATTTTGAAGATAAAATTTTAGAGACAATTAGCTAACTATTAAATAGAGTTTTATTACAAGCTTATACAGCAGAACTTTAAAAATAATCAGTCAAAGCAAGATTGGTTAGCTGATTGATAGACAGATAGGGTGTATTTACTTTAAAGCTAAGTGATTTTTAAAAAATGAACAATCTATAAGGCAATATAGGAGCTAGGAGAATTTCTATTAAAACGTAATTATCTTCTAACTCTGTGCAGTAAATATAGTCAACTACTCCTAAATCAAGAGAAAACTCCCAAGCATAATTATAAAAATAAGTTTCTATTTCTAATAATACTAATATGGAAGGTGTTATTACAGAGAGCGATACTTGCATGAACAATTTATCAAATAACCAATTTATAATTAATTCGAGACATGCAGCATTTATGCTGGATGAAAATATTTCGAACCCATCTTCTCAAAATACTATAACTTATTAAGTTAATATATTCAATTAACATTTAAAAGGTGACGGATCGTTTGGAGGTATGTTGCATAATAATAATGGGGGCATATAGCAATTAAACTTGAGTTAATTGTCATAAAATGTTTAGTAGAATAATGTTTATTCTAACGCATTCAAAGATAAAAGATTAACTCCAACAATGAGAAAATCGAATAATGAAGGAAATTCGTTTAATTATGAAAATAATTACTTTAATTAGCAAAAATTGAAGAATGCAATTTTAAAAAAAGGAGATTATGATGATGGAGGGGGAGGATTTTACTAAAATGATCCTAATTCTTTCAGGAGCACTGTTAGAGAGTTCGAAAATGCAGAAATCAGCAGAAATTGTATTGATCTTTAGTAAATGTAATTGTAAAGACTACCATAGTTAGTTCAAGAGACTAAAAATTCTCTTTAAATATTGAATCTAAGCTACAACAATTTTGTTATATTTCCTTAAGAATTGTGTCAGTTTTTACACTTGAAAATTATGAAACTTGATTTTAACTTTTTAAATGAGATTCCTGAGTAAATTGCTTTTTTAAAATACTTGGAAGAGCTATCTGTTTCCCACAATTGTCTCAAGATGCTGCCAGGCACACTTCAAAATATGCCAAATTTAAGAATACTGAATGTAGGATAAAACAATATTACTCAAATTGGTTAAGAGATTACAAACATTAAAAAACTTGAGGTTTTATATATCTATAATAATGAATTTACACAATTGCCAGCTAAATTAAGAAATCTCATTCATTTGAAAGAACTAGGTCTTGATTGGTTTCGCTATAATAAGCCACCCATAGATACTCTACTAACTAGACCTGCTTAGAATTCTCTATTTGCTAAACTGTTTGACCTATGTGGCTAACATGCATTAAATGCAAAACCAACCATTTCATTTAAAGAATTTATCAAACATTTTTCTCTATTAGATGGAGCTTTTGATTTTACGAAAGTAGATGCAAGAGGTCGCACAATAGCATTTCTTGCAACAGAAAGTGAGGAGCTTGGAGTATTAAAGGCTCTATTTGATGAAAACAAAGATATTATTAATCAGTAGGACAGAGAAGGCTAGACACTATTGACACAAGCCTTGGTAGATAATAAGGTGAGAAGCGTTTAATTTCTTCTTGATCATGGTGCTGACCCAAAAAAAGGAGGCGGACATCTTGGAAGCTGTCTTCACATGGCAACCAGCAAATTAAATTAAGAGCTCGTTTTGAAATTTCTCGCATTAGGTGTTAATCCTAATGCTACAGATTTCGAAGGAAGTACACCTTTGCATATAGCTTTCAGTATTTTCTAAAAAGATCCTCTAGCAGCTAAAGTTATATCTGAATAGCTACTATCAAATGGAGCTGACCCTAATATCTTAAACAAAGATTTATGGACTCCGTTACATCTCGCTGTTAGAAGAAATTAAAAAGATGCAATTAAATATGCTTTGTAATATAACGAAAAGTTGAGATAAAAGCTTGTTGCTTAATCTCCAAATAACTCTTCTAATAACTAAAATAACCTTTCTTGTATGTAAAATGAAGATGATAACAGTTACTATCAAGATTCTAGAGATTCATCAAAGAGAGCCCCATCGTACAATATAAAAAAAGATTTTATTGATGAAAATAGTGCTTTATAAGACTGTGATAAGCTTTAAATTGACTCAGCTACTCCTTCGAGGTTCACTTATATGGACAAAAGTAACAATAGTACACCAAAAGTTGGCTCTGAGGAAATGAATTTTTAGAATAGGAGCTAGTTCTATCAAGACGCAACAACAAGTTTTTCAAAAAAATCAGCTAATTTTATCAATAGACAAGAAGAGGACCTTTCTGATGAAAACGAAGATAGATCCCCTGGCTAAACGCATCGAACTGCCAATTTCAACAATTAGTAATCTATGAAAATAGCTAAAAATTGTAAAAAGCTATTTAAATTTGATAAAAGAGGAGGCGCTAATAAATGGACAGTTATGCATTTAGCTGCAAATTAAGGAAACATAGGCATGCTTGAAATTCTTTCAGAAGCTAATTCATGCCCATACTCTCTTACTAAGTTTAATTAAACACCTAGAAAAGTAAATTAATTAATTAGCTAAATAAACGAATAAATATAAATTGCTCCATTAATTTCATTTTGGAAGCATTAAAATTGAAAAATAACTTTCTAATTATTTGTGATAATTTTTTAAATTAAAAATTTACAAAATAGGTAGCTCTTTAAAGCTTAATCCTTTTTAAAATTCTAAGAAAATTTGAAAACAGATGGATGCTCAAAAATGTGCTAGGAGAAGAATATCAAAGCGAATTTTCTGCTAGAGACAATGTTGTTGAGAGAAATATTTAAAATTTACGTGGCTTTATAGCTGAAACTATGAAAAGGAAGGAACATTTTTTGCATGAATAATTAGATCTGTTTGATGATAAAGAATTTGGTTATGCAATAAAAGAAAATATGTAAAATAACAAAGCTCAGAATCCAAGGAATAAAGAGAATGGAAATGATTCAGAAGAAGATGAAATATTAGATCCAGAGTTAAGTTTTGATAAGGTAGCTAGCTCTTTTAAATTCAATGGCTTACTTGCTTAGTAGACTTCTTAATAAATTCTAGCAGGAAGCTCAGATAAAACTTAACTAAATAATTCAATGATCCCGCCAAATAGTGGGACACTAAAGCCTTAGTAGTTTGGTAGCATTATACGTTAAAACAGTAAGGGATCAGCTTAAAAATTCAAAGATGAATCTAGTAATAAAATGAAAAAAGATTAAGAAGATGACGATGATGAAGATGATGATTTAATGAATGACATTGATGAATGCGACGAAGACAATGATATGGACGATTTTGACGAAGAACCAGGTAAATCTAAAAACACTAGTAACTTTAATGGTGCTTCTAGGAATATAGTCAAGATAAGCAATAATAATGATGAGAGATCTTGCGTTTTCATGAAAAATTTACCAAATGCTAATTCTATTCCTAATTCATCTAATCCTCTTTTGTAAATGGTGTTAAATTTTAGTGAATTTAAAGGGAATTAATAATATATGAATGCCAGTAAGCAATAAGAAATTGAAGAGTAAAAGAAATTAATTGAAAAATAAGAAAATACACTCACTGTTGATTTCTTTTCTGACATTTAGTCATTAGAGTAAGAAAAATTCGGTATGGAAGTAGATAGATTAAAAAATCACTTCTTATACGCAAATACAATCTTTTAAGAATGCCTTAATACTCTCTTTTTACTTTAAGTAATTCACATTAGACTCTCTTATAAAAATATGAAATTTATTTGCGAGAAAGGTACTTTGCCTAGAAATATTCACATTATGAATGAATTTCTACACTCTAAAATGGGCTAGCAGTTTATGGAAGAACAGAAATAGTTTTTGCCTTCAATTTTAATATCTTTTTTACATGAATTATTAAGCAGAATTAAACCTCTACCTGAACTAGATCTAGATTAAGGAACTGCTTACACATAATTTAATAAAATTGCTTAAGCAAATAAATAGAATTAATTGATAAATATGTTGATTCTTAGAACAAGAGATGCACTTTGCAACTTAAACTGCTTTGATTTTATCAATGAATATTAGCAAAAATGCCTATACACTTATAATTTACAAAGTGAAAAAGGAGATAAAGATCATATCATGGCTTTTTCTACAAGTGATTATACAAATACAACTTTTCTTGACTACGAAAATATGCAAAGTATGTATTATGTAAATAATTTAAAACCTATATTTACAAATAGCAACGCACAAGGAAATAATTATGCATGCAATTAATACCACATAGTAGGATCACCTAATTATTATAATTCTATAAAATAGTAAATAAATTCTCGCTAAAGAAAAACCCAGTCATAAACTGGAGATAAATTAAAACCATCTTTCAATGGTAACGCTACATAAATAAAAAATTCAAAATAAATAAATCAAACATAACCATAGCTCTTTTAGCAAAACTAAAAACAAGTTTTGTAAGATAAAAATTCTAAAAGTATATCTCAACCTCTAGAAAACAAGCAGCTAAATTTATAATCGAATAATGTAATTAATACAGATTTAGATAGCAATTTCACAAAAAACTAAAGCTTTTTAATTAACAACCAATCTCAAAAAATAAATTAAAATAATTAAAAATCATCGAAATCTTTTATTTAATAAGATGGACATATTGAATGTTCCTCTTTTTCAGAAATTTCAAATACAACAAATTAAAATAAAAAGTTACCCAGCTAGCAGCAACCTATTAAAAATAATTTTAGTAATAATTACATGTATTTTAGTAAGTTATAGAATGAAGAATACAAAACAATAAATGAAGATTCTGCAAGCCCAAAATTTATATAATTGAGTCAAAAAATTGAAGAGCCTAAAATGCCAAATGAATTAAAAAAGATAGATTTGAATACATTTTGTAATAATAATAATAGCAGCAACAACAACACACAATAAAACTAACAAAATTAAAAAGTAATTTAAAATATTTAATAAAATATGTAACAATTTTAATTACAAAATTAATCTGCTCTTAAATAACCCACAAAGATAAATAATGTACAGATTTCTCAAAATTATTAGTTAAATTTAGATGAAATGAGTAAACATACAAACGAAATAAATAGTATAAAATAGAATCACTTAAAAACTAACGATTTCTAAACTATTTCTTAAACTACAATTAACAGTTAAACTTAAACAAAAACAGGTACATCAACTTAAACGTCAATTTCATTTTAAGAATCAAATAAGAATAAAGGAAACATAAAAGCCAATTGTTAAGGTGAATATAACTAAGAATATTAATCAAAAAAAAATACCAATCTATAAAAAAATTAATTTTAAAGTAATTATTAATATCAATCTGAAGTTCCTTAAAAAGCTTAGCACTATCCAAATTATGACACATCAAAATCAAATTATAGTTAATAATCTAGATATCAAACTAATACTCTTTAATATTAGTTAAATAATTAAAAAAATAACGATTTATCTCATTCACTCCAAGATTATAGGAAGAATTAAAGATTCTATACTACTAAGACAGGTGAAGAAAATATTTCCGATGAAGATTTAAGTGACGATTCTTAAAAAATATAAACACAATAAGCTAGTAAAAAGTACTCTGAACAAAAGATGCAATACTCTCCGTTTTGCAAAAAAGTGTGAAATAAAAAAGAATTTTGTTTAAAATTAACATATAAAAAAGTTATATAAAATAATATAGTGAATTAGTGGTTATCAATAAATTAAGTTTAAGTTATAAATCTATTTTAATACTGTATATAATATTAAAGTATAATTAATTAATACACACATACACATATCTTTAAAATAATAAATATATTTTATTTTGTCTGCAAATATATATTATAACTAAATTTCATAATTATATCCTAAACTATAATCGTTAATATTTATTTTGAAGCAACTTCAATGTTATAAGCTTTTAAGGATAAACATTCATTGTTTGAATTAATTTGTAAAACAAAAGAAATTAATATATTTTTTTGAAATAAATATTTTTAGATCAAATTTTTAGGATACTTATCTTAACATTATTGTATCTTTAAAACCTTTAATTTTTAACTATATATAATTTCTTGACCAAATTAAACTAAATTGTTAGCATCCATTCCTTAATTGATTAAATTTTATTTTTATAAACATTATAATTGAAGAAATTAAAAAAATTATTAATCTTATTAATTATAATTATTTTATTAATATTGAAAAAACAACAATAAAATTCGTTTTGAATAAAAACAAGAAAAATATTTTTAATTTTTTCAAGTAATTTTATTTACTATTTTATAAATTAAATTTAAGAAAAACTTCATGGATATCTTTTAAAAAATAAGTTTGAAGAAATCAAAAAGAAATTAGATGCAAAGCATAATATAAAAAATTGATATTTTATAAAACTTTAACACTAATTTTAATAATAAGTATCTATCTATTAATAAAGATTAATTTACAAAAAAGTAAATATAATATATAAGTATGTAATTTATAAGATTAAATAAATGTAAATAAGTAAACTGTGATTTTGGTATGCGACAAAGATGGTAAATCGGCCTTAAAATCGATTTAAAGACTAATTAATGTATGTATGTAATTATGTATTTATTTATGTAGCTATTCATATTTATAATTTTGGTTATGGTTATTTATTTATTTATAAATAAATAATTGATATGTTGTATCAATCAATCAGTCAATTAGAAGTTGAATTTATATAAAAAAAGAGAGAGAGAGACTTTAATTTAAATAGACTTTAAAAAAATATACTTTTGAGATTATATCCAGTATTTCAGTAGTGAATTACTAATCACTAGCTTGAAATTTAGTTTTTAATTAGTTAGTTCTTTAACGTCATTAGTTACAATTAAATATTTTTTCAAGCTATCAGAACTAAAAAGTATTTTAATATAAATTATTTATTTAATTTTATATTTTCTATTTATATTTTTTTGTTCGTTAATTAGCTTTGTTAGTTAATTAGTTAGTTAGTTAAATACATAGATAGATAGATTTTCAAATATTATCTAAATTTTATTGACCTAAGTTTTTTGATGAAGGGAAATTTTTTTGGTGGAAAATATTACCAATCGATTGTCTATTATCTCCACTGTAATGGTTTATAATTGATTTGAACTAAATGTCAGAATTAAATTTAAAAGTATTATTAGGTTCATTAGTATTGTTTTGGTTGAAGCTTAATCTGAATTCGTCAACACTTTTTTACCCATTTTCAAAGGCATTATTATTGAATTTATTAAATTAGCTATCTTTGTTCTTAGAATTAGGTACTGATTAAAAGAATGGAGTAAATTATAAATTCTAACTACTATCTATTGGATAACTATTATTATTTCTTTAGTTTGGTTATTAATTAAGTATGCTTCCTCTATTTGAATTTAAATCCTTATCTATATTGCTGAATGATTGTAAATTATGTGAATTATAATTTTTTGATTCTTACTAGAAATGATTATAACCCTTATTTTCTTGCTTTTAAACTTACATAAAGTGTTAATTATCGCTATTGTAGTTTCCTATTATCACTTCTCCTTAATTATCAGTATTTTTGGAAACTAAGTTACTTGAATGAGAAAAGTTGCCATTATTATTGTTGTTGTTGTTGGTGTTGTTATTGCAATTGAAATTGTTGTTGTTGTTGTTATTAGTTTAAGTATTAGAAACTTATCCATTGTTTTATAAAGAATTTATTATTTAATTAGTATTATTTTATTTGCTGTTACTCTAAGGATTGTTTAACAAACTTCCAAAAATATTTTGTGGATTAAAAATTTTGTTATTTTAAGAGCTATTCATATTCTTTACGTTGTTATTAAATTATTAATCAGATTAAAATACCTATTTTGAAAATTAATTATTTAATTGTTGTTGCTCGTTTTGGAGTAAATTATCGTCGTTATGATTTTGGCTTACAGAATAAATATTTGAGTGAGATTATTTTTAAATTATATTTTGGATTTAACTATTTTAACTTTGATTGCTATGATTTTGAGATCTTTAGAAACTTTTTTATTAATTTTGTTGTTAACCATTCTTTTAACTAGATTGTATTAGCTATTGATGCTATTAACTTAAATTTGTATTTTAATTTGGAATTAATTTATTTTAATGTGAGTTAGAAGTAGAAAAAGGGTTCGGAAATGTCATATTAGGAACCAGTTATTTTATTTATTATTATTGTTGTTGTTGTTGTTATTGTTGTTACTGTTGCTATTGTAGTTACTGCTATTGCTGTTGCTGGGATGTTTACAAGGAAGATCCAGATGATTACAAACCTGAGCTCTTTTTAGTCATATTTAAAAAATCAGCAGGGGATTAAAGAGTGTTGTTGTTATTGGCATTATTTATGGTATTGATAGCGCCATTAATATTACTAGCATTGTTATTTTTAAATTGGTTAATAGGAGGGTAATCAGTAATATTTTAGATCTTAGCTTGTTAATCTTGAAAAATGTTTAAATTCAGATTTGTATTAGAGTTAATATTTTTCTATATAGAGTATTACTTGGATTAATTTTACTGTATAGTGTTACTACTCAGCGATTACTGAGAAGGCTGAGTTAACTTTACACTTTATTAAGTTAAATTTGGTTAATTATTTTTTGAATTGTAATTTTTACTTTCTAAATTGCTGTTTGAAGTAATTATATTCTACGATTAATTCGAGGTGAATTTAGAAATAACTTACTCTTAAGCTTGCTGAGGAGTAAGATTTTTGGTAAGATTATTTTTCCGATTTTATTAAAATATTTAAAGTTGATTTAGAAAAGTTTAAGTAGCAGGATTATTGCTCATAAAAGAAAATTTTTAATTAACTGCTTCTCCTTTTTGCTAAGAATTTATTTATTATTAATTTGGAGGTGTTTTTTATTAGAAAGATGGTACAGGTATATTATCACCTACATTCTTTTCAAATATATCTAAATCCTAGCAATTAGGTTAGTTTTAAAACGACTAATTCTATTAAGCATTGTTATAATCTTAATTTGAATTAACTGGTAGGCTATTTGGAAATGGATTGGCTAAACTTACAAAACTTTGATTTCCTTTATCTGCAGGATTAAATTGAAAGTTTGTGTTGATATTATTATTAGTTTGAATATCTTTCTATTAATTAAATGGTTTTTAGTTAACAGTCTAATCATTTGCAATCATTTCGTTACCATTTTGAAATTTGATATTATCAAGGTTTTTTACTATAAAAGGTTTTTAGGCTCCTAGAAGAGTTTTATTTTATGATTATTGCTAAATTTATACATTTTGCTATACCTGCTGCGGTTTTTAAGTTGGAACTTTATATCTTTTTCATATATTATATATATAAATATTTATAAATATTAAAGTAACAAAAGTAAAGATTTACATGTCGTACGTATTGCCGTTTTATAAAAACTCTTAAATTAATACCATTTTTTCTTGTGAATTAGGAATCTATCCATTTTGCTAGAATTAATTTTAATTGTTAAAAAGAATTTTAAATAAGTTAGTTATTCCTATAAATATTTTATCTTCAAAAAAATCTTTAACAGAAAATTTTTTTTCTCAATTAAAGAATGATTTTTAAAAATTTTATTAAATTAATAAACAAAAATTAAATTATTTTACATCTATAATAATATCTGGATTTTGTAAATCGAATTTTAACAATTGCTTATTGAAATAATCTCTTTTGTTAACTTTTTATTCAGAAATATGATTCTCTAATTCCTAAAATACTTTATCTAGCCCTCCTTCGAGGCCAATCAGCTTTTTCTTTAGCTATTAATTATACACAATAGGTTTATTTTTATATGAAAAGTAGTCTTAAATAATTACTTTCTGCTCTGATGTTGATATATTTAACCCGTTTGGAGCATTATTTAGGGATTTTTGCTGCTTTGTGTTTTGGTTGGTAGGATTTTTTATGATTATGTCATCGACTATCTTACACATTGTATCTGGCTTCATATCTTTTAGGTTACTATCTATCTATTGTTTAAATATATTATAATATATTAGCTATTTTTGTGATCAAATAAATTAATAAAAAAACAAAAATAGTGATGAATTTTATCAATACTTAAAGAAATAGAGTTTTTTATATTGAAATCTAATTTTTTAATTTGTTTAATTTGTGATTTTTATCTATAGGATATCAATTTTTATATTCTTTAAAGAGGAATATTAATATCCCTTAAAGATAAATAAGCTTATATAAATTATCTCTTAGGTTTTTAAAGCTTTATTAAAATTAAAATTCACTAACATTTTATGTTTTATTAGCAATTTCTATACACAAAAATCAACCTTTAAAATAATTTTCAATATATTTAATAAATACTTTTTCTAGATTTTCTTCTTGATGGTCATAACTTTTGAATAAGAACTCTTGAACTTTTTCTAATGTTTTATGCTTTTTTTTGATATTTTCAAATAATTAATCCGCATTGTCATTTTATGGCTACTTTTCCTCTATTGGCTTTGCTACACCAGCCTATTATTGCTATTTCAACCTTTCATTTAAAATACTTTGAACTGTACCCAAGTAGATTTAGTGAAAACTTGAGCTAACCATAGGTTTTTTTTTATTTAATTATTGCTATAATTCCGTTTCAAGTGTTCCTAAGTTATATTTTTTAAACATTTTCATAAAATCTGCTTGGTAGTTGGTTATTTCGTAAGTCTTTTGCTATCCTATGTTAACTTCCTCATTTTACACGAGCTGCTCGCGTGATATAATCTATCTAATAAATTTATAAGTTAGAATTAAATTTATGCTAATTTAAGATAAAAAAGCTAAAAAATTATAATCAAAATCGAGAAAAGAGAGAATTTTAGTAAGTTTAAAATGATTTTCATCTTAATCTCTTACTTGCTTTTCTATTTTTACTAAGATTTAGCCACTGTCTTCTTCATCTTTTAATTTTTTGATGCTTCCTCAATCACCCTATTAATATTTATTGGAAATTAATTCATTTTTCATTCTGAAAAATTTGTCATCTGATAAATTTAGTGGTTCTTATAATTGCTTGTGAGTAAAAAAACTAAATACTTTGGCTTTCTTTTGCGTTGACTGCTTTAAAGCTATTTTTCACCCTATTTGATATATTCGCATTTCACAAAAAAAAGTAAATATTAAATAGCCTACAAACTAACTGCATACTTTAGAGTCTTCAGGTATCATAGAAGAATATTTGTATGCTCCCTTTTTAAAAATCTCTTTAGAACTAAATATTTCTTCTTTCTTTAATTTTTCTTATAGAACTGCTATTATTAAATCAAATTTTAATTTTACTTTTTTGCATTAAATAAATAACCAAATATTGAAAAAATTCATTTGATGCAATATTTAGTATTTTTCCCTCTAAAACATATATAATTTATTATAAATTTTAGTTTTTAAAGCGATATTCAAAATTCTTATCTTATCTTTTAACTCAATAGACGCATGCCCCTCTCTTACTTATTTTATTAATCTAATTAATACAAATAGAAAGTTTCCTAATTCCGCCTATTCTTTTATAGTTATTTACAAAATAATATTAACTTTTTTGCAATTCTAATTTCTCAATAAACTCCTTATTTGTTCACAAAAATTATAATCCCAAAATTTTTTCTTCATTAAATTGATCACCCGCAAATCTATTAAAATGTAAACAAGTAGTAGTAGCTGATAATAATATCGCCAAATTTTTCTTTCTTTTTTTACAATCTAATCTACTCAGAGTACAAATAAAGATCATTAATCGAAGGATAAAAATTAAATTTAGTACTAAACATTTTAGAATAAAATTTAAACACATGTTTCAAGGAAAATTTATTTTAAATAATACAACTCAAAAACTATTTAAATTTTATAAGAAATAACTGTAATTAAAAATAAATCTTCATTTCATGCAGATAATTTTAATTTTATAATACTTTTTTTAAAATTGACTATTTAATATTTTTATTGCAATTTTTTGATAATTGATGGCTATTAATTAGTTCTAATTTTAATAGCTACAAATAATTATTAAACAAAACTTTCTTATTTATTTATTAATATATTTTTATCTCATAAATTTAAAATAATTCCTACCAACAGCTCTAAAAAAATATTTTAACAAAAATAAAAAAATTGAATTTGATCTTTTTTTAAAATTTAAAATATCAACAATCAAATTAAGGTTAAAGTAAAATAATCAAAAGCCATTTTAGATAAACAATAGTTTAAATGATAGAAAAAAAAGTTATTTATAAATCAAATATTTTTACGAATTCTATTTTAATTTAAAATAAATAGATAAAATCCATTGATTTTTGATATTTAAAGTCAATATCTTGCAAATAATTATTTAATCATTAAATTTAAATATATTTAATTTTTATATTAATCATTTTAAAAGGCTTCAGTTTTTATTGCCTGCCATGCTAAAAAACAATCGCATTTTTCCTTTAAATAAGAGCACTATTCCATAAAACTCCTGTGATATTAATTAGCAAAAAATAGTTTAAAGCAGACAGAATAATATCATTATTGCTGAAAATGAACAATAAAATAATATATAAAGTTATTTAGAGTAAACTATAAATAACTCTAAAATGAGTAACTATAGGCATTCCGTAAGTAAATTATAAGGTTCATATCAGCGGTTTAATCAATTATCTTTAAACTTAGTCAAAAATAACGCCATTTATTGAAGTTAAAATGAGCTAGCTATTTGTAAATAGGTTTAATATTTTTTGTAAATCAAATCTAATTTGCTTTTCAAAAAAAATATATCAACCTACATTATGCTTTTTTTTGATACTAATCCCAGTGATCATCACCTTTTCTTATCCAATAAGGGTAGTTATTCTTATTTATTACGATATTGTGTTAGAATAACAAGCGTTTTAATAAAAATTAGGTTGATATTTAAAAAGGATAATATACCACACTATATATTTATATAGCTGTTATAATTATGTGCTTTTTCAATTATTTGACGTTGCTATTTAAAAATCCTGGAATTATACCCTCAAAAGTAACAAATATTTTAAATAAATAACTTTTTTAGTTAAAGAAAAATATTTTACCCTTAAATTAAAATGCAATAAAATACATATACAATTATTTTTTCAAAACGAAAGAAAATGGAAAATGAGGAAAATATATTATTTTTATACTTTTTACATTTAAAAATAGATAAAAGATAAAATAGATGAGATATTAATACCACAAAAGGTAAATTAATAAGCATTTCAAAAGTAATTAGTAATTAAAATAATATGAATAATTCAGATTTTTCCTGATAAAGAAATACTAGTCATAACTGGAAAATTTTTTGAAAACATAAAATATTGTGAAACATGTAAATTATAAAATAAATGTTTAATATAATTGAAGATAAATTAATAATTATCTAAGGTTAAATTTATAGACCTCCAAGATCAAGTCACTGTCCAATTTGTGATTGTTGTTTTGAACTTTTAGATCATCATTGTCCATGGCTTAATATATGCATAGCCAAAAGAAATTATAGGTAATTAAATAAAAATAGAACAAAAATTAAAACAATTTTTATAAAAAAGTACATTCTTTTTTTTCATACTCTGGCTAAACGCTGCTTTGGTTATTTCAATAGTTATGAATTCTATTTTAATATTTGGCTCAGAAGACATAAGTCATAGTATAGCATAAAATATTCCTAGTTTCATAGCTATTATATATCTGTTTATTGCTTCTTTATTTACAGTTAATTTATTTTTATTTCACCTCTATTTAGTTTATACGAACTAAACAACAAAAGAACACATAAAATATGGTAGCTAAAAAACTATTCATTTAAAGTAATTTTTCACTTTTTTAAGATCATTTTATTAGTTTATTTTTTTTAATTAGAAAAAGTTGGCTCAACATTTTTAGGATAGGATGCTACACTAAAATACCTTTATTTAAATTTTAAGATATATTGTAAATAGAATTAAAAAAGAATTAAGATAGTTCTCTATCTCAAATTGCAAACTTAAACTTCCCAAGAAATTAAAGCTTATATGAATAAGAAGATAGTATAGTTTCTTAATCTAAAATTGATAAATTTAATGAAGTTAATAGCTCATTTAAGTCTGTGAGAAATTCTTAAACCAGTAAAAATTAATAAACCAATAAAGATTTATCTCAAGAATAGTAAAAGCAGATAAATACAATTCAATCGAAAGTTTATTCGAAGTTTTTAGAAAGAGCTGATTAGAACTTAAAATAAATTATGAAATCAGTAGAAAACAATAGTATTTCAAATAAAAGCTAGCTAAAAGATGCTATAGGAAATTTTGAATGTAGTTAATATGAATAATCAGCATGTTTTGCTGAAGCTGATTAAAATTAAAAAAAGTCAAAGCTTATAGATTTAAGTTTAGTTAAATAAAAGTCTGATGGGTAACTTAAAAGTTTAAGTGTTATTAAAGATAGTGATAAATATGAAGCCCATGTTACTAGCTACACTCATAGAAATCACCACAATATTAGTATTCCTTTAATAAATGATGAGTTCTCGATCAAAGCAAAATAAGATAAAACAGTTGATATTAAAAGTATATTTAATACTTCAATTAATCATCAATTTGAAGATTTTATAGTAGAAGATAAAAAATCAGTCGATTTAGTTGAATCTGGAATAATATGAATGAATTATTTGTTTTTTTATCCTGCAAATGTGATTGATTTTATGAAATTTAATAACTAAAAAATGTTAAATAATTTTTAAATATTTTATTATTTTAAAAATTAATAGCTCGTTTTTTTAAATTTATAAAATGTAAAATTCATTTTTAAAAAATTATATTTTAATTTATTCAAAATAAATAAATAAATAATTATTGATATTAATATGAAAATTATTATTTTATATTTTATATTTTTAAAACAATTTTTATCCAATCAAGCAAACCTAAGCGAAATGCCATTCTTTTTATGTGATGATAGCTTTTTTAATATCATTCAATAAAAACTGATTTTAGAAATAAACTAAATTAAATCTCTTTTATCCTAAAAAAATTTGAAAATAAATTTAATTTTTCTATTAAGAAGAAATATTTTTGGAAGAGACCATTTAAAAATGCAATAAATTACGAAATGCATTATAATAATTCTTTTGGGTTAATAAACAAAAAATAATATCTATGTACAGCGAATATTTTAATTAGATTAGAATTGTAATAAATACATTCTTATTATATCGTCTATTAATCAATGAATGATTAACTTTATAATTGCTATGTGAATACAATTTATATTTGTAATTGAATTAAACACTTTATAGAGATTATATATATATAAAATAAGGATATACTAAAATTAAAAGAACATAAATCAATAAGAAATTAATAATTGATTTCATTTGATTAGATTAACATTAAGTTCATCATTTTTGTTAAGCAGATTTATTAATAATAAATATAGTATTTTTACTTAGAATATAACTAATAGATAGATAGATTGTATTTAAATGCCTAATAAAGATAAAATAGAAAATAAGGCTACTATTGAAAAGTAGAAGAAGCCTGGTAAAATTAGTGGCGATGATCCCGTAGCAGTTTTAAAGACTATCTCAGAAATTGTCTCCGAATTAATCAATGCATATGAAAAGAATGAAAAAATTAATTTAACCAAGGTATATTAAATATGAAGATTTAGCTATACTTTTTAGGTTTAATTCAATTCAGAAAGGTAAACACCTTATTTAACTAAAATAGGTTAAGAGTGAACTCTCTAGAAAGAATAAATTAAGCGGTACTCCTAAAATTGTTGACATTATTGCAGCCATCCCTGAAAAATATAAGAATACTTTAATTCCTATTTTGAAAGTAAAGCCAGTAAGAACTGCTAGTGGTATTGCTGTCGTTGCTGTCATGTGTAAGCCACATAGATGTCCTCATATAGCCACTACAGGAAATATTTGTGTTTACTGTCCAGGAGTAATTATTTATTCTTAAACTTTAAATAGCAAAGAGCGAAAAAATTGATCATTTATTTGGAAAGAAAAAAAATGAAAATGCAAGATTTTAGCAATCTTTAAATAGGATTTAATCAAAATTAATGTAAATTTTATTATTGAAAAGGGTCCTGACTCTGATTTTGAATATTCCACATAGAGTTACACTGGTTATGAACCTACTTCTATGAGAGCTATTAGAGCTAGGTAAGAGAATTTAATTATCATTCAATAGAAAAATATATAGTGTCTATGTTGTAAAAGTTATTTGCATAGAAAGAGTTTTCAGATTAATCCCAAGAAATTTCTTAATTTTTTTTTATTGAATGGTTTGTAAAAGTAGAAAGAATCATCAAGCATATACCTTAAATTAAATTGAATAAAATATTTTAATACTAAGTCTAAATTATTTAATAAAATATAGATATAATCCCTACATTTAAACTAGAGATCGTGTAGAATAATTAAAGAAATTAGGTCATGATGTTGATAAAGTAGAATTCATTATTATGGGTGGTACATTTATGTCATTAGATGCAAGCTATAGAGATTATTTCATTCGTAACTTGCACGATGCCTTGAGTGGTCATAGATCTCACAATGTTGCTGAAGCAATTAAATTTTCTGATGAAAGTAGAGCTAAATGTATTGGTATTACTATTGAAACAAGACCTGATTTTTGTTATTAACCTCATCTTTCTGACATGCTTCTATATGGATGCACCCGTATTGAGGTTGGTGTCTAATCAATTTATGAAGACGTTGCAAGAGATACTAATAGAGGTCATACAATTGAAGCCGTCAAAAAATGCTTTAGACTTTCCAAGGATGCAGGCTTCAAAGTAGTTTCACATTTAATGCCTGATCTTCCAAATATGGGTAATTTTACTAATAATTTTATAAATTTTAAATGTAAAAATATTAAATTAAACAGGTATTGAGAGAGATCTCGAATCATTTAAAGAATTCTTTGAAAATCCTGATTTCCGTACTGACGGTTTGAAGATTTATCCCACTTTGGTTATTCGTGGCACAGGTTTATACGAGCTTTGGAAAAATGGAAAATACAGAAACTATAATCCCAGTAAATTGAATTTATTTGTAGTTGTTAGATTATTAAATAAATAAATATAAATAGATGCATTGGTAGAAATTGTAGCTAAATTGTTAGCTTTGGTTCCTCCATGGACTAGAGTTTACAGAATATAAAGAGATATTCCTATGCCTCTTGTTACAAGTGGTGTAGATAATGGTAATTTAAGAGAGTTGGCTTTGTAAAAAATGAGAGACATGAACATTCCATGCAGAGATGTAAGAACTCGTGAAGTAGGTATTAAGGAAGTTCACTTCAAAATTAAGCCTGAGTAAATCGAATTTATAAGAAGAGACTACTTTGCTAACGATGGTTGGGAATCTTTCCTCGCATATGAAGATCCCATCTAAGATACATTGGTAGGTCTGCTTAGACTTAGAAAATGTGGAGCTTCAACTTTTAGACCTGAATTAACTGGAAAGTATATATAATATTTTTAAATGGTTTTTTTTTTAAATTTATTTTAATTAAAAGTTGCTCAATTGTAAGAGAATTACACGTTTATGGCTCAATTGTGCCAATTCACTCAAGAAATCCCTAAAAATTCTAGCATCAAGTATTTCATCAATTAAATATTGCTTTTATATTAATCTAACTAATAAAATAGGGTTATGGTACTATGTTAATGGAAGAAGCCGAAAGAATATCAAGAGATGAACACGGTTCTATAAAATTGGCTGTTATTGCTGGTGTTGGTACTCGTCATTATTATAGAAAGCTTGGTTACCACCTCGAAGGCCCTTACATGGTTAAATATTTAGATGGAAGAGAGTAATACGTTGATTGAGAAAACTTAAAAATTAATAAGCTAATTTTAGAATTATATAATTTATTTATTATTATAGTTTCCTATTTTATATAATTGTTTAATATTCTTTTTGGGATCTCTTAATTAGTTTTTCACATTTCTTTTTGCTTACAGATTACAGATGGATATATATATATAGATATATTTGCTTAGATAAATATGTTATCTTGCAACAAACTTCATTTTTTTTCATTTTAAATAGAAGTTTATTTTTGTGTGATTAAAATATAGAATAGAAGAGAGTAGAAAATCTTAATTATAACTTTTAAAGAGATAACAGATACATTGCTTGATAAAATCAAATTTATTTTTTGTGTGTTGATAAATCCTATTATAATTTTTTTAACTTCTATTTAGAAATAAAAATTATTTAGTTTTAAAAAAATAAATCTGAAAAAATTAAATAAAAAAAACTGATAAAAATAAACTCCACAAATTTAATTTAAAGCTTGAAACTTATTAGTATATCATTAGTTGCTCTTATTGTGCATTTATAATGTTATAAACAGATACAATCAGTAATTAATTTTTAGATCTACTTTGGAGATATAAAATATTGAAAATCTTGATTGAAGTATAATTTATTTTTTTTAATTACTTTTAAGATATATTTATTTGATAGAGAGTTAATTTAAAATACTTTAAGAGCAATAATTAATTTATTTGGTGAAAATATAATATAAAAATGAATAAATTGCTTGGAAATTAGAAGTGTCTTGTAAAAATTTAGGATATTCTTTTTTGAATTAACTAAATTTATTAAATTAGAATTGTATATTTTAACTCAATATTATTAAGAATAAGTAAAAAAGATAAAAGGAAAAAGAAGAGAAAAAAAATTTATCAAGAGATTTAATAATATAAAGTATTTAAATTAAAAATACAAAAAGGAAAAAAAAGCATTTATAAAGAAAAATACATGTAAAAGGAGTTGGAAGTAGAATCGTCATAATCTTTAGCAATTTAGGCATATGATCACTATCAAAACGGTGAATTCGATAGTGCATTAGCGTAATAAAGCATTTAGCATAATAGATAATTCCTTATAGAATAATAGAAAAACATACAATATTAAATATCAAACAGCAGCAGCACCCTTTTTCTTAAAAATATTAAAAAATTATCTTAAAAATAAATTTTGTTCTAATTCTCTGATTTGCTTTCAATCATTAATACGGAATGTAGTTATTTGAACAAATATAAAAAATAAATATAGGAAGATGCAAAAAGTAAAGAACTTGAAGCAATAACAAAATGAATCATAGTGCATTAGGGTTCAAGAAAACATTTTATTTTGTCAATATTCGAAATTAGATGGCAAAATGAGTGATGTTTAATTATTGTCTTAGTTGCGTAATATAGAATTAGTTAATGATTAAGATAATATTAACATAATATAATTGAGTTAGCAATATGTGATACTTATTTCTTTTTTTAATTGATTATTTTTAGATGAGCTCATTTAAGACATGATGAAAATCAATGAGAAAGAAAAACAGATATCTGCAGCCAATAAAAATAATAAAAAAAGTAATTTATGAGAATTAAAAAAGCAAATATCAGCACAATTTGTTTAGAGAGTTTAAATAAGAAGTTAAATTTATGAAAGGAATGTGTTAGAGGATAAAATATTTATTTATTTTAGATCTGATTTTAGTTTAAATGTTAATAAAAATATTAAAACAAACTTTGAATGATCTTTGTTACTTATAATTTGGTTTTATGCTATATTGACATCTACTTTATATATAAATGTAAAGGTACTGGTAAATAAACAGCAAACAATGATGAAGTTTCTAGTAACTCGAAAGTAATATTTCAATAAAGTTTGTCTTTAATAAATAAAATTTTAGATTGCTTTTAAAGGAAATAAAATTTTATCTTATTAAGTAGAAGATTTGTTTGTTTCAAGTTGTACTAATTATAAATTATATTAAATAGAAGGAGGATGATACGATATTAAGATACAATTACTCTGTTATTTTACTTAATATTGGAAAATTTGAAAAGGCATTTGATGTTTTACTAAAGATTTATAAAGAGAAGAAAGAAGAAGATAATTTTGCAATTGTAAAAGCTAAACTTCTCCTATTAGTAAAAATCTTTGCTTTTTTCAGATTAAAAGATTTATTTAAAAATAAACAATTTTATTATTCACTTTTAGGAATTGGCTCTATAGCAAAAACACTTTACTCTCGTGATTTAAATCCTAAATACTTTTAAGACTTAAAAACAGCTTAAAGAAATTAAAGATCCTAAAGACATAAAAAAGTAAAAGTAAATTAAAATGGTTTTCTTACTGATTGATTGCAAATGTTTTTTAAATTATAAAATAGAAGCTATTATGTTTCAGTTATTTTGGGTAATCAAATCCATAGCTTAGAATATCCAGATAATACTTGCAAATATGAATAGCAATTTTATTTAGGAATGATTAAAGCATAATTATCAGCTTAGCTAGGTGATCATAAAATGGCTAGAAAGCACATTAAATAGAGCTAAAAGTATCTTATAAAATTTGTCACTGTTTTAACTAGCAATAGCGAAACATCCCCATCTTATCATCCCAAGCTATGCTCTATTATTCACTTACACGCTCTTTCTTTATTTAATTATACTAAAGCTCAAATTGTAAATTGTTTACCTTGATGAATAAATTTCTTATTATTTACATAAAAAATAAAAGGCTTACTATGAATAGAACTTTCAAAAAGTATTTAAATTAATATCCCCTACCTGTGTCTTAGATGCCCAACTGTTAGCAAATTCTGATGAATATTACAAATATTTCTAGATCTACTAGGTGTTTTAATTGAATAATATTGGTTGTGCTCATTTGAGGATGAAAAAGAGTTCAATGGCAGTTTTTTATTTCAATAAAGCAATATAACTTGCACACGATTTCAGCAATAAACAAAACTCTAAAAAATGTGAATTATTCCCAAATAACGTTAGATAAATATAATTACTTGAAAAGAATATCCTGTCTAAAATGAATCACCTCTATTACAATTTAGGATTAGTAATTACTAATATAATAATAATATGAGACAAAGATACTATTTTTTTATTGAAAAATAGGCACTCTTCGAAATGAAGAAATATGAAAAAGCTTACTATTATTTAAGTTAAGCTTCAGAGTAAAGAACTTCTAGTTATAGCATATGGTATCGTCTTGGAGAAATTTAGATTTGCTAGTATCATGAAATTCTTTCCAAAAATTTCACAAATGTACCTAGAATTATTTCTAACTTATTTATCTTTTCTTTAATATTGAAATCTATTCTTTAAATTTAACAATTTTAACAAATTAATAAACAAATAAATAAGTAAATTCAAAATAAAAATTAATATCATGAACGAGCATACATAAAAAATATAATTTCTTCTTCTTCTTCATTGTTAATAAAAAGTTAAAAATTAATTAACATCTATCCTTATTAGCTACTTCAGCTGCACGAAGAATTTGATAGATTGACATATATTTTGTAATAAAGAGCGAATGCGGCATATATATGGATTAATTTGATACACAAGATATAAAATACTCCTACTAGACGGATGTTCATCAGGCTATGAGAAAGAACAGCAAGACAAACTTGAAAGAAGATACAATTTAAGAGGAGCACTCGTCTAAGAATTATTTTAAAAGATTCTCGTTATGCAATCAAGATAAAGTAATCTGCTTGTAAAATGACAATGACAGTGATGAAGCACGTATACAAGCATTCTAAAGAAATAAACCATAAAATAAGATATATTATATTGATAAGCAGCTTTAAGAAAAACTAGATTTAGCATTAAAGTATTCACATAGTTTTAGATTAATTCACATAAATATTCAATTAATCTTCTTAAAAATAGGTGCTTTAAAAACGCTCTGCACTTGATTGAAGGAAAAATAGAAAAAATCAATGCTCAAATTAAGAATGATACAAAATATTTTATTTATGTCGACAGTAAATTAATTTATTTAATAATAATTAAATGATTTATCAGTTTTAATTTCAAAATAGGTGATAAAAAGACAACTTCAAATGAAGACTTAACTGAACAGTATAACAAAATAAAAATCTTAAAAAAAAATAGTATAAAAAATTTTTATAAATTAAAAGGTAATTTTTAAATTTAAAAGACTCTATTTTTTCTCAAAGACAACGAATGCATCAATCTCTCCTTACTTATATTGTAAATTGAATTGTTTTTATAAAGTAAGATTGTGAATATTAATTTAAACAAACAAGGCTTACACTCATCTCTGTCGACAAGAATATAACTAAGCTCTTATTTATAGCCAAAAGGCATATAAATTAGATTATATTAGTGTTCAAAATAAATCCTGCTGTATAAATTATTAATTAGAGTGCTATATGAACCTCAATTAACCTGAAGAGGTAATCTAAATTCTAACGTATTATTTTTTTCACAACATTCAAATAAAAAATTAGGCAATTAAATTAATAAATATTGACACTAATTATTTGGATTCTGTTGATATGATGCACAGGAATATTTCAGGTGTAAATAAATCAGAAATAAGCTTTTCTAATGCAGCTATTTCGTTTGGATTAAATACAGTTGCTTTTTACCTGAAAAATAATGAAGTTACGAAGGCTTAAACAACCCTAAACAATATTCTATCAAAGTTAAACATATAAATAAACTCTCCCTTGGCACAAATTCCAACAATAATACTTAATCTCTTGATTTATCTCTACCTTTTATAAAGTAAAACTAGATATTTCATATTAATTCTAATTCTTTTAAATTTATAAATTTAGACAATATACAATCAGCATTAACTCTTGTTAAAAGAAGAAGATTAATCACATTTGTAAGTGAAAATTCAAATAAACCTCTGATGAGGATAACAAAACAAAGCTATTTAAATTATGTACACAGTGTATGAAATCTATCTATAAACAAATAAATTTATTTAATGTCTTAAATGTCAATTTTATTAAATATCTATAATACACAACTAACCAAAACAATAATTTAAGATATAATTTTTTATTATTTTATCATAAGAACTTCAATATTTAATTTTCTTTTTCCACACATTATTCTTTTAATTGTTTATAAATTATTCTTCTGTACATCCTAATCAAATTTCTTTATAGAAATTTTACTGGATTGCCAATTTATTTATTTTTTTAGATTTAGCTTGCTATTTAATTTAGATCTACTTTTTTTTTTTCAAAAACTTAGAAAAATTTGACAATTTTATATTGAGAAGCTAAATTTTTAAGTTATCATAAAACTCTTAAAATATAAAAAAAATGAACATTAAAATTCATCGTATTTACAATTACTAAAAGAAGATAAAAATTTTCAGTATGTTAAATTTTTTTGAGTCATTTAATAAAATTTTTAAAAAGACAGATTCAAATTATGAAAATAAGAACTAGTTTTGAAAAACCCGCTAAAAGATTGAAAAAATAGTTATCAATTATTATAATAAATCGTATTTTAATTTTACACAAAGAATAAAATATTCGATTTTATTATATAAAAACATTTTTATATTTTTAAGTAATTTTTTATGAGAATATTTATAATTTTTTAGTAATTTAAAATTTTAAAAAACTAGACAGATGCCAGTATAAATAAATATTCTTTCTTTAAATTATTGATAATACATTTGACATAATTAATTTATAAGTTAAATTGATTGCGAAGATTATAAGTATTAAAAGAAAAGATAAATTTAAGTTTTCATTATCTCTTTGTTTGAAATAAAAGTAGTATTAGTTATTTGAAGAATAAATTAGAAAGAGTATTTATTATAAAAATAAGGCATTTAAAAATTACAAGCAAACAAAATAAAATAGATTAAATAGATAACCTATAATTTAAAAAGTTAGTTTTCGATTTATAAACTCAAAAATAAGTAGGAATGAGTACAAATATAAACATTAATGATGTCCCAACAGAATCAATAAATGAATTTTATAAAGTGAAATAAGATTTGCAAAAAGCTTAAAATCTTGAAGATAAAAATACCAACAAGGATTAAAAAAATGCAAATAAAGATGATCATACTGAAAATCCTTCAGAATTTGGTGTTAGCACTTTCAACAAGAGCGAAGGTAATCGTAAATCGAAAAAAGATCATAAAAGAGATTATCATTGCGGTTGTGGTAAATCATATCTTTCATATCCAGCACTTTACACTCACATCAAGACTAAACATGATGGTAAAATGCCAGAAGGTACTTTGAATTCAGCTTGTAATAATAACAGAAGAGGTCGTCCAAGAAGAAATAATGTAATTATTTTAAAAATAAAGAATTGCTAAATATTAAAATATTTCCTTCCAATTCAATTTTTTCACGAAATATGAGTTTAAAAAAAACTAGCTTTGCTTTATTGAATTTTCTTAAAATTATTTATAATAAACAAAAAGGATGAACCAATTATGAAAAATGAAGAAGCTAAGGAAAAAAAAGTAGATGATATGACCGCAATATACTAGAAAATGGTATTTGAAAGCGATTTAAAAATTTTAGAATACATTAAAGATGGAAAAGGAAGCTGTGAAGAATACTAGAGCTGCTTTCCTACTTATAAAAATTGTAACAATTTGAAGGTTGAGTAGCATCCTCTTTGCTAAATTATAAAGAAAATTCATTAAAAGTAATTTAGAGAAGAAATCAACTAAGACACTCCTATTGATTATGTGATGAGTATTTATTTATGGTGTCTCTGCAAGTTAGTCAATTAAAGGCTTTATAGAACAATTTGTATATTTTTCAGAGCTCTTAGAGAATGCCTTAATGATTTTGGTTATGTCATAATTGAAGATTTTAAAAAGAGAAATTTAAATTCTAACATCGAAATTATTCTTAAGAGACAAGATGATTAAGAAGAAAGTAGTCCTTAAGCAAGTAATAAAGATATTAGTAACCCAAACGGAAATAATAGTACTAACAATGTTAATGGAAATAATTTTAGCAATAATAACCAAAACAGCAGCAACAATTAATCAAATGCTAACAGTAGCAATAACATTCCAAATACCACTTCAAAAAACACTTTTTTCACTTAAATAGAGCCTCCTTAGTATATTTGTATTGTAGCAGAATTTTTCATATTAAAATACTTGCCAAAATATGTTCCAAACTTTGATCAAAACTTTGCTGTTTATCTTATGATCGATTTCTGTAATTGGTTAAATAAAAAGTCTCTTAGTAAAATTAAATTAGATTTGTAGCACAGCTTAATTAAAGAGCGTGCAATTGCTGATTACCTCAACTTAGAGTATCCCCTTAAAAATGAATCTGTTTGAATCAATCAATTAATCTAATAAACAACAAGAGTTTGATAATAAGATTAAAAGAGAATATTCTATAAATTAGTTTTCTTATATCCAAATAAATAAATAAAATGTTTTTAATTCGTTTGCTTGCTTGATTACTTAAACCACAATTTTTGTGTTTTTTTGTCTATAAAATTTGTTTATTAGATAATAGGTTTATAAAAGTTAAAATGATATTAGTATTTATTTGTTTCAAATATATTTCATTACCCTATTATCATATTTCTATCTTTATAAAATCATAAAACGTAGATAGATATATTTATATAGTTAAGTATATAGATTTTGCGAATAAAATATCTAGATAAGAAAGGTCTTACTTAATATTTAATGAAATATAATAATCCAAAAATATTTTAATAAGTTATTAATATATATCATGCCAAAATCATAATTACTTTATAAATTAACTGAAATATATAAAATTCTATTCATTAAAAATTAAAATTATTGTTATTTTATTTTATTTTTCTCTAATTGAGATTGTTGAAGATAGATAGATGGAATGTAAATTAGTAAAAAGTTATAAGAAGTATACACAAATAGAATCATAAGATAAATCTATCATACATATTTCTCATAGATGTATTCACTCTTCTTATTAAAAGCTGTTATATGCCTTATTTAGTTATATAAAAACTTATATCTATTAGTGATTCATACTTTTATTCTTATTAAAAATATTGTTTATGCTTCATTAATATTGCTGAAACTTTTCAGAAGTATTGCTTAACAGTTAAATTGTTGCCGTTAATATTTTATGCTCTGCTCCATGATTGGCAGTTATCGATTTATCTTCTCCAATAATGTTCACATCTTTTATTTCCAAAATACCAGTAAGCAGCGGTAACACCTAATAATTTTAAATGAAATTTAGCATATATGCAAAATAATCAATCAAAAATGTAAATGAAATAAGTAAGAGTGTTTTGATTTATTAAAATAAAATGTTATATTTGTTGCGCTATAATTTATTTTATTTATTACCAAGGACAGTGAATAAAATTTCATTTCTGCCACCAGAAGAAATTTGCTTTAAGTAGTATTTAGAAGGGTCTAATGTCCACCACAAACGAGCCATTTTTACTTATCTTTTTTATACCTTTTAATAATTTTTTTTATGTAATTTAAAGATTTTTCTTTTTCTTCTTGAAATTATTTAGAAGATTAATTGAAGATAATTTTTTATTACAAGCTATTTTGATTAATAAATAAATATTTTGTTTATTAAGGATTTTGCAATATCTAAAACATTTATTAAAATCAAGCTTTAGATATTTCTTTTAATGATTAAAGAATAATTAAAATGAATGTATAAATGTACATATAGAGTCCATCTTTGCTTTAAACACTTCTAATATGCAATACGGTTGTCTAAACATGCTATGTATGCAGAGAAATCTTATCTAGAGCCAAATCTCTATTAAAAAAAACATTTTTGTTGGATTTTTATATTGTATTCGATTATAAAATAGGGTATACACTTTTATGAAATAATAAAAGAAACAAGTATTCAATGATTCGTAATTTGTAAGATATTACTTACCAATTAAAAATATTATTAATAAATTTCAATTTTAAGATAAAAAAATATTAAAAGTATAAATTACAATATGGAAGGCAATAAAGATTTAATATTTTATTATTCAGCACCTGGTAAAGCTATAATAAGCGGGGAACATTCAGTGGTATATTATAAAAATGCACTAGTCATGGCGTTGGATTTGAGAACATATTGTAAATTGACTTTGAGCAAAAAGTAGAATGATTCATCTATCGATCATACATTTATAATTGAAAATAATCAAGACTCTAGAAGCCTAATTTAAATTGTAAATATCCATTTTTTTCTATAATATTATGATAAAAACAACAACTACTTTTTCTAAAGACAGATATTTAGTTGAAATAATTACTTGAATACCTCATTACACTAAAGGAGGAAATTGATTTTTCTACTTTGTAAAAATAATTTCCATTGGTAGAAGAAAAAGATTTGATTTTGTCATACTTATTTTTAAGTGTTTTCATGGAAATCTACGGGAGAGATAAAAGTATTGAAGATACTATCAATGCTTTTGATTAAAAAATATCTAAAAACAATCTTATTAAAATAAATTTACACTCTACTCTTCCTATTTCAAAGGGTTTGGGTTCTTCAGCCAGTTACTTTACAGCACTATCTGCATCTTTAACAGTAAATTATATAAACGTGCAAATATATATTTTCCAAATATAAACAATTTTTACATATAGAAAATGTTTATGCACTTACTTGAGGTTAAAGAGTTAAGTGAAGGGTATTTAAAATTTGTCAACAAAATAGCATTTAACTTTGAAAAAATTTATCATGGAACTCCATCTGGTATAGATAACTATATTGCAACTTATGGAAATCTACTGGTCTTCAATAAAAATTATACAAATAGCTTACAGATAGGTAAACTACCTTACAAAATTTTTTTAATTGATAGTTAAGTTGAAAAAAGCACTAAGAAAGCAGTAGGTAGAGTAAGAGAAATCTATGATGATGAATCCATAGGAAAAATAGGAAAATAAACTATTGATATGATAGGAGATGTGACAGATAACATAATCAAAGTATTTAATCAAAATAATTTTGATAAAAGTTAATTTGAAAATCTCATAAGAATTAACCAAAGTTTATTAAGACTTCTTGATTTGAGTCACAGCTCTATTGAAGACATCATGAGGCATGATCATTTTTCTCTGTTTTTAAATTCTAATAATATTTTTTTAAAAATAATAGCATTTGCATGAAATACGAAATAGCTGCTAAAATTACTGGAGCTGGATAAGGAGGTAATTGCATAGCTTTTGTACCAGAAACCTATAATCAAAGTAGAGAGAGAGAATTCATTTAGGTATTTTACTTGTAAGGTATATAATTTATATTTTAATTTTTTTATTTTAAAAGGAATTAGAATCTCATGGGTATCAGATAATATTTGCCACACTGTCTTAGTAAGGAGTTAAAGAAGAGACAACTATCTGATAAATAGATAAAAAGAAAGAAGAAAAATCAAGTTAAAATTAATGAAATTCGTTTTAAATTTTAAATGAATCATAAAAATAAAATAATTTAAATTTAACCTAAGTTTTATTCAAATATATCTTTGGATAGAATATTATTTTTTATTTTGTAATTTGTTTACATAAATTTTACTTAAATATTTATTTGATCGAAAATATCTTTAATACTTACTTCTGATCGATTGTTAATATAAATTTTAAATTTTGATAAATTAATTTAACTAATAATAATTTTGGTTGAAGAGATGAAAACTCTTTTTTTAGTAATAATTAGCGCTATTTAAATTTAGTTAGTCATAAGTGGAGTAGCTAATGTTTATTGTGGAGATAAGAATTGTTATGATATTTTAGGGATATCTAGGTAAATATTTTTGAATTGGTTTCTGTTTTTTAAGATAATTGCTGATTTAATAATTAGTTCAGCTACACCTGAAGAGATAAGAGTAGCGTTTAGGAAACAATCAAAGGAATTTCATCCTGATAGAAATCTTCATAAAGGAATTGATACTCATGCTCAATATTAGTAAAAGGATATTAAATTTTAAATGGTTAAACATTTTAATTTGAAATAATTAGGTTGATCACTAAGGCTTATGAAGTTTTGAAAGATGAAAATGTTAGACAAAGTTACGATAGCTATTTAGCCAATCCTTCTAAAGGAGAATATTATCATTATTACAATTATTATAAAGCAGTTTATGCTCCTCAAACTAACCCCTTTGTGGTTATCATTTGCACTTTACTGTTTTTATCTTTTTTCTAATACTTAGCAAGAAATAATGCCTATGAAACTGCTATTAGAAGTGTATAAAAAACAGATAAATTTAAATAAGATGTAAATAATTTGCACAGAGAATAACCTGAAAGAGTAAAAATAAATTGTGTTATAAAAAACTTATTTTAGTAATTATGATAGAAAAAAGAAGAAATAAAGCAAGAATTATTATAGAGAATAGTGATATAAGGAGGTTAATCTAAAATAAAGATTTAGGAGATTCTTATTATTAGAGTTACTTTATTGCCTTATTTCATCTGCAAATATTTGTACAAAAAAATTAGGTAAATTTTGTTAAATTGGCTTCTTTTGGATTAACTAATTCTTTGCAATTTTTAAAAAGATGGGTTGTTAGGTACAACATATAAAAAAAAGAATACACTCGTGAAGATTAAGAAATTTTAACTATGTAATTGTTGAAAATAAAAGATTACAGATGGGAAGTAAATGAGAATTAAATTATTGAGAGTATTTAACAAAAAAATTTAATTTATTAGGGTTTGAATGAGGAGGATAAAGAAGAATTGCTTGAAAAAAAGTTATGGATTAAAGAAAATTATGCTTAATATGTTAAAGAGTAGACTGAAGCTTACGAAAAAAGAAAAGAAGAATTTTTAAACTCTAATAAGGGGAAAAAATATTTAAGATACATGAAGGGTGGAAAGTGAATATATTTTATTTGTTTATAGTTAGTTGTTAATAGAATTTAGTTTAAATTGAAATAGAACTATTTATAAAACGAAATATTTTAAATTTAAAATAATTAGAATTTATTTCTTTATTTATTTTTATCAGCTTTATTTATGTGTGTTAGATGCTTACCTCATATATAAATTTGTTTTATTTAATAAAAGCGGGAGAAGTTGCTTATTATTTAATAACAAAAAATTACTTTAAAAATTAATTAATTTAATATTGATACATATTGCTCTTACATCATAAATGATTGAACATCCCCAATAGATTTAATAATAATAATAATAGGTATAAAATCCATAACAATAGTAGTAGCCATAACTACCATATAATCCAAGCACAACACAGCAATAATAAGCAACTTAACCTTAGCATAATTATTAGTATTAGCAAGGATAGCCAACTCCAATTTAACAAACTCCGGCACCAATAAGCAATATTTAAACTAGTTCATAACAAAATCCCTAAATAGTTTAAGAAGAACCTATTAAACCTTAAAGAATGCCTAAATTATCTCATGAAGAGTTAATGCAAGAAGCAAAGAAAATCGTTAAACTGCATCCTCCTAAGCATTAGAAAACAAAAGATGAAGTATTATATGAAAATGCTAGATGGATAAAAAAATATTTTTATAATTAAAAAATAGATAAATAGGATATTGGTTGATAACTATGAAATTTTATTAGAATTGAAGAAGGAATATATCAAAAGAAAGAACTAAAACATTACAAATTCAGATATCCTAAATATCAGTAAGCAGATAGAAAATATATTTTTAGCAAATTATTTATTTAATGATCATAAATTTTCAAATTTTGGATATATTAATTTATAAATTTTCTATGCTAAGTTGAGATATTTATTTATTAGTCAACTGAGTTTAAATAGTGTTTTTTAATATTTCTTTATTCATTTATTGATATTGATATATTCTCTTTTATTCTCATATATCATGTTTTTAATATTTAAAGTAACTAACTTATTTCTTAAAAAAATTAAATAGTTTATGATTATGAAAAAAATCTTGTTAAGCTATGCAGAACTCTTCCACCTGATTAGATAATTGATATTGATATCTTGAAGAATGGAAAAACTAAGTTATTAGATAACTCTAAGATAAAGAAGCCTAAGATTTAGCAAATATTTGCCTAATAATAATAGTAAAAATCATAGTAGCAAATATAATAAGCACCTATGAATGGTGTACCACGCCCTCATGATCAATAACATTAAATTCAATAATAACATCACTAAAATTAACCTCCTGTACCAAACCCATAAGCTAACTAATATTAATAGTAACAACAGCAATAGCCTTAGTAGTAAATCAATTAATAGAACTAGCTACACCAATAGCCACATTCAAATAATTAACCAAACTAAACTCTTAAGTAACCAATTTAACAACATAGCTAACTTTAGTAGCCTATGCACAACTAAATGCCTTAGCAAGCTCCTTAAATTCCATAGTAAAACTAACCTCCTCATCATGCTTAGGGACAATAATTACCTCCTCCTGCTCATCCATAATAGAACTAATAGTAATAATAGACATAATATCAGTAACAAGCTCCTTAACATTTATAATAGCAACAATAGCATTAATAAAATTATTCTAATAATTACTGATAAATATTATAAATAAAAAAACAAATGTAAATTTGAACTGTAAAATAAGAATTGTGCTTACTTTTTTTTGTGTTATACAATGTAGTTATATGATCATAAGTAATTAATGAGAAATTTATAAAGTTGGAAGGAACATCGTTTACTATTTTGATAATTTTTGTAATTTGAATCAAAAGTTAAAGAAGATAGAACTTAACTTTATTTACTTTTTTAATATTTGTAAAGTAGATTTTCAACTAAAATCCTTCTAAACTATTCTAAATGAAATTTTTATTTAAAATAATAAAAAAATATATATCTTATTTATTTTGTAAAATAGAACTAATTATTTTTTATTCTAGAAAGTAAAAGAATTTGAAAGATGATTCGTAAGAATGTAGCTATCATTGGAGCTGGGCCTGTAGGACTTGCAGCAAGTATGTACATGGAAAAATTTGGATTTAATTATGCTTTGATTGAGAGAAATTAGTCTTTTATCAGTCATCCAGCAGCTCATTTATTAAATTTGAGATCTATGGAGACCCTTAGTGAAATAAAATGTAAGCAAGACTAGAATAAATTACATGAACTCATTTACTAAAAATGTGAGGATATTAATTATTTTAGGTACTTTATTATTAATACATATCTTAAAAAGGAAGAAAAGAGGTTAATTAGCCATATCTTTTTCCTTTAACTTATTTTTTTTTTTTTGCAATGATATTAAACAATACTCCTATATTTTTAGATATTACCGCTACTAAAGAAGACTATTTGATTCAAGAGAACCATTTTATGTAGACGATCACTTCTATCCTAATCCAAAATAAAAGCAAGAAGAAATCTTGCGTGAACATGCATTTGCTTAGTATGTCCACTTACCATAGCCTCACTTTGTTAGTATTTTAAAAGATAACATAAAATAAAAAGAAAATATCTACTTAGGACATACAGTTCTTAATTTCAAAAATGATAAAGATTCAGTTAAAATATCTCTAAAGGATCATGAAGGCAATTTAAAATAAATAGAAGCAGATTACTTAATTGCATGTGATGGTAAACACTCTTATGTAAGAAACTCTTTAGGAATTGGGTTGGTAGGAAATCCATATCTATAGAGCTTTTTCAATATATATTTTCATTCTAAACAATTAGCTTAGACCCTGAATGAAAGAAATGAAAATGCCATGCTCCATTTCATTTACAATAATTAAGTTATAGCTTGTCTAGTTAATCATTCTAAAAAGGAAGGAATGTTTGTACTCCAAGTACCTACTTGCCCTCCTTACGATGATGTATCCACCCTCGATAAGCTTCAAAAAGAAAAAATTGCATATGAAATGATATAAAATTTGATTGATCCCTCTATGAGAGATTAAATCAATGATATTGATATTAAAACTACAGGAATGTGGAAGCTTTCATCAGAAGTTATTGAAAAATATTATTAAAACAGAGTAATTTTTGCTGGTGACTCTGCACACGCTTTCCCACCTGCTGGAGGTAGTTTATTCAATAAAAGATATATTATTTTATAATAAATATTTTTTAGGTTTTGGCATGAACACAGGTTTACAGGAAGTTCACAATTTAGCACATAAATTGAAACAAATTTATAAATATCCAGAACACTAAGAAAAAATATTGTAAACATACCATGATGAGAGAAAATAATTCGTAACTGAAATATTGAATACAGCAAATAAATATTACAAAGTTTCGTTAGATATTGCTAAAATTATAGGGTTAAACGTAGAAAATTATTTTACCTTTAAGAAAACACTTGATGTAGCATCACCATTCTTGCCAAAAAATTTATAGTAATTCATATGGAAGACGGGAATAAAAGTAATACGATTTTAATTTAAAATATATTAATGTATATTAATAAATAAATAGATTGGAAGCTACCCAGCTGAAATCTCTAACCCAGCTAAAATTAGTAAATAATTGGAAGGTAATACAGTCCCTCTAATCTTTTATAAGGAAGATACTGAATTTAAGTATGATAAGGGATTTATAAGCTCTATTAAAACAAATCAAGATGATAAATCTTTATCTGGTCTACTTTTACCTCATATAATGATTAACTTCAAGGATAGATAAATAGCTTTGCGTTAGTTAGCAAACTATTTCTATGAAAATGAATCTGAAAGAGAAATAGTTTACACTGATAAAAGCAGATAATCTCAAAATAAAAATTTAATTATGGTAGCACTTTATAAAAAAGGCTTTTAAAAGGAAAAGTTATAAAACTTTATTGAAAATTTAGATGAACTTTTTGTAAAACCAGATATAATTGTAGGTTGTGAAGCTTCTACTAATAGTTTTTATGAAGAAAAATTAGATAATCTCCTTAAAAATGATAAGCAGGTCATACTTATAAGAAGTGATTCTATAATATTTGGTAGATATGAAATATGAAATAAATACTCTTAATTAAACACTTGAATTTTGCTTGTTATTTGTTATTGTATATAATCAAAAATTAATTATTAAAAATTAGTTTATTTTTTATTCTTGAGAAATTTTTATTTAGTTTTAAATAATTTTTGTATAAAATTTAAAAGCCATTTTTTGTAAGCAATGAACAAATTAAAATAGAAAAATCTTGATAAATAAAGTTTTTAAATAGTAAACATACAAAATAAGTTAAAAAAAATAAAATATATTGATCTACAATTTTTATTATGAAAATAGATAAATAGTAAGCTTAATGTTTAATACTTATGCCAAAGTAATTTAAAATAATGATTGAGATTGATCATTAAATTTTATTAATTTACAAATAAAAAACATAAAAAAATTATGAATATTTTAATTAAAGTAGTACATTTTTTAAATATAAAGTAAACTTATAAATAATCATTTAATTTTTGTTTCAGTATAAGGTTGATTAAAGATAAATAAATATGGTTTCTTCATTAGTTATTTATTTATATAGTTTATTTAAAATTAATAGAATTTCATATAACGTTATAATTAACTATTAGAGCTATATTAAAATATTTGTTTTATTTTGGTTAATTATCCTTATTTTTTATGTCAGATTAAATTTTTACAAATTTTTAGAATAGATAGGTTGTCATTTAAATATTTATTTAGATCAGCTTTTACTGGCTTTCTATTTTAGATTGTTCTTTTTGTATAAGTTATTTCAGAAATTAGATATTACAATAAATCCTTGCATAAAAATAATAAGTATGAGTTAGTTATATATAAGTTATGATTTCACCATTAAATACGAAATCTGAGATTCAGTAACCTCATAATATTCTCAAAAATATTACTTATTTTTTTCTTAAAAGAAATTATGTATTTCATCATACACTACCAAACAAAGAGAAGATCCAAAGCTTCTGAATATATTTGATGCATTTCCAGAAAAAAATATCTTAATACCTCCTTATTTATAAAGCTTAATTGAACAGTCTATGCTGTTCTTGTACAATTTTTCTCCTCTTGCACTTTACATCATCATTTTACGTTTTAATGTATCAGTAGGATAAGATATTGTTTCGCTAAAGACTACTACACACTATGCAAAGATATATTTCTTAATTAATAAATTCTCTTTGTTTTTGTTCTAGTTTAAAAATGCTACTTTGCCCCAATCATATAAACCAAAATACAGACTTCTATACATAAATATTCCAACTAGGCCAACAGTTAAACCTCTATATAGACCTCTCAATCCATCTTGATTGTATACCTTTGTAAGACAATCAAGGATACCATTAAATTAACGTTTTTTCTTATTATTGCCAATATCTACACCAAGGCGAGTTCTAGCAAAATCAAGAGGATAAATTAAAGCTTTTGATGAGCAACCTGCTAAACCACCAGCCATAAACTACCATAAAATATACTTATTCATTTACTAATTTGAATCAAAATTAAAAATCTTTGAATACAGCTCTTTGAAAGAAAAATTTAGTGCTTGGGATGGGAAGTAACGTATTATATTTACCATGTTTCCCCTCCATAGTGAAGGAATACCTTCTTCTTTTACACATCTTGAAAAGCAATCTACTATACCTTTATATGGTCTTAGCAAAGCTTAATTTTCTGACTGAGTTTATAGAAGAAGCTTAATTCTTTCTAGTGGAGCAGCAATAGTTTTAGAAAATGCCCCTGCAACTCCTCCCGATAAAAAATCAAGTATAAAAATGCTTTCTTTATTCATTATAATGCTTGAATAATTTCTACTTTATTTGTTTTTTTTCTTCTTTATTTCTTAATTTATTTTTAGGTTTTTGTTTAATAAATGATTATAATTAAAAACATTTAAGTTAAAAATTATAACCTTTTGTTTGAATAAATAGCTTATATGCAAAGAGTCAATTCATTAAAAATTTCTTATTTTTAATATAAGAAATAGATATTTTCGGAAAAATATTGGAACTGGTTGATGATTTAATCAACGTAAACTCTATTTAAGTATATTTTTAAATTTATTTGTGGTAAATTATATTGTTCCAGATAAAATGTTCATATATACGTCAATATATTTTTACTTTCATTGAAATATGACCTCTAATTTGTGGAAATAGAATCTTTTTTAATCCAAAATATAAAAATTTTTTATGATCTATTTTTGGTATTTTAATTTAAAAACTTATTCAAAGTGCAAAAATAATGGTTAGTTCTTAAATTAAAAATTGATAGTTTAAAAATGATTAAAATATTTTAAATTATTCGATTATAGATTTTGTTAATTGTTCATATTCAATAAAAATAGTATTTATTAGTGTAAGTAAGCAAAATGAAATTAAATAAAGAAAATTTGTAACATTAAAATATTCTTCTAGTTTCAAATAATAATTTATAGCCTATTAATAAGTTAATACAATATTTATTTATTATATTTATGTTAATAAAATTTTTATAGAATTTAAGAAAAAATATAAAATATATAATTACATAAAATAAAACAAATTTAATAATTCTTATTGCTTATTAAGATCTACTTTCTTGATTTATTAATTTAATTCTTTGAGTAATTCTTTTGTTTGATGAATAACTATAGAATATTTTGTAATTGCTGCTATTTTTTAATCTCTAAAAATATTAAATCGAGATAATTTAATAGGATGAATCTTTTTTTAGGGTTTTGTTGATTGTAAAAAATGGAATTAACTTTTAAATTTCAATTTACTAAGCTTTATTGATCTTTTGGACTTCATAATGAAGTTCTACTATCAAATTATTTTATTTCTTTTAACTCATTTTTTAAAGTTATCATTTATAATTTCAATTCTGAAATGTCTCCTTTTAGTTCTTATATATCATCTTTCAGTTCTACTATATCATCTTTAAGTTAAATAATATCTTCTTTCATTATTTTTATGTCTTTTTTTAGCAAATTAAATGTTTTTTTATGTTATGCGATCTCTTTTTGTTAAGAAATTAAATTTTATATTAACAATAAAGAAGGCGAATTAATTCTTTTTTATTACTTTTAAATAAAACACATTAATAATTTTCCTAACATATAACAATCTTTTTTAAACAAAATAATTATAAATATATTTATATATTTTCTCATTTTCATTCTAATAAAGTTAAACATTAGTTTGAATTTTCTTATTCCTATTATACTTTATTTTGAATGCAAAAAAATATTTATTATTATGTTGCAAAACATATGTAATTCCTTCTGAAAACTTAAAATTGGAAAATAAATACTCAAAATCTTTTTAAGAGAAGCGAGTAATATTAAATTTATTAATTTATTTAAAACTTTAATCATAAGATAAAAATTCAAGTAAACTTTTTAAATATTTTCAAATTTTTATGATTTTTCCTTAAATTTAATTAGCAAATTTTATCTATTTAGGAAAAAATATTTTTGTTTTAATTAATTTAATAAATATGGAATTCTTTTATGAAGAATAAAAATAAATTTAGAATAATTTATATAATAATAAAACATAATTATTTGAAAAAGAAATTGAATCAATAATCCTGAAAAACAAAATAAATATAAAAGCTTAAGAAATACTCCTTGCTTGCTTTATAAAAATAAAATGATTATATTTAAATGTAATATAATAAAAAATTGTGGTATTATAAAATTAAAGAATTTAAATAGATTTTTCAGCTTAAATTAATTGAATGACACATTACTTTGAATATAAACTAAATAATAAAATTAATTTATTTTTAAAATTTAAATTAATTATTTTTTATGTCAGAAATTTCCAAACTTTGTTTAATTATTTTTTCATTAAAATAAAAAAGTTGAAAAAATTTGTTCGTTTTCAAGTTTCAAAAGTAATCAAATAAGATTTTGATAGATAAAGATTGGTTTATTTTATTTGTTTGTTTGACCGCATTTTATTGGTAAAGAGTGAGATAATGCAAATAATTTGAACACGCATGTACGCATATACACATATTCAATAAATAATACTTTATATTTAGAACGCCAAATAGATATTGAAAATATTATTTATTAAAAGTTAATTTTGTAATAAAATTAGTCAGATTTAAGAAAATATATTTTTAGATAGAGCTATATATAATATTAGGTTAAATTAAAATGTTTTCTGAAGATAATATAATTTCCAGTGCTAAAGTAGAAACTGATAAGAAAAGTGAATTGTAAGTTATCATAAATATTTAATTTAATTAATAAAATTCTGTTCTAATATAAAATATATTTTTACATTATTCAATAAACTAACTAGCCCAGATGTAGAAGAATCCTTTTCTTATGAAAATTTTGAAAAATATATTTTGAACTCAAAGGAAAATTTCACTAATCTTTTGAGCTATATTAGGAAGATTGAATTGTAGGATTTATAGATTCGTTTTAATGCATGGAGAATACTTCTTGGTGTATTAAAAGCAGATAGTTCTGATGAAGAAAAAAAATAACAAATTGAAAAAGACAGATAAACCTATAAAGAACTTTGGGAAAAGTTTAAAGCAAAGTAATAACCACAAGAAGTTGATAAACCAAAGCCTGTGGCTAATCCTTTAATGAAAAATACATAAAATGTAACAAATTATATTTAAGATAGAAATAAATTATCAAGTTTATAAATTAAAAAACGAATTTTATAAAAAAGAGTCCCTGGAATGGATATTTTGAAGACAATGAACTAAGAAGCGATATTAAAAAAGATGTTGAAAGAACCTACTAAGATAAATAGTTTTTCGTCAATTTAAAAATAAAGAATATGCTTACTAATGTATTGTTTGTTTTCTGTAAAAAAAATTCTGACGTTTCATACAAATAAGGTAAAATATAATTTACTACTTAAAAGATATGCAAGATAAAATTATTAAATTAATTAGGTATGAATGAAGTAGCTGCATCATTTATTATAGTTTACTTTGTTGAAGCTTTGTACATTTAAAAGCACTAGCAAGAAGCTGGAGCAAGCTAAAGATCTTTAGAAATGGCTTAATTTATGATGAATATGAATTATGCTGAAGCAGATATTTACACTCTATTCAGTAAAATGATGGACATTGGGCATTTAGAAATGTTTAGACCATATTTGGCTGAAAATAGCAAAAAGAAATAAGAATATAATATAAATTCTAAGAAATCCCAAGCAATTCTTCTTCGTATATCTAAAATTTAGGATAACTACTTAAAGATTGTAGATTTGGAGCTATTCAAGCATATGAAATTATTGAATGTTGAGTTTTAAATCTTTTTATTGAGATGGATTAGATGTGTTCACACCAGAGAATATCATCTTGATGATTCTTTTAAGATTTGGGATAATATATTCTATGAATATTTCTTAAATCCTACTATTGAAAATGATTTCTTTTTAATTGACTGTATATGCTTGGCTATGATGCAATATGTTAGAGGATAACGTAAATACATTTCTTAATACTTTTATCATTTTTTTTTAAAATAATTCTTTTTAGTAATGGAAAAGGAGGAACAAGCAGATTGCCTTTAAAGATTCTTAAAGTACCCTCCTGTAGAAAACATTAAGCCAATTGTTGATGTTGCTTTCAAAATAAAAGGTATTTATAAAAAATGTTTTAAATGATTAACTCTCTTAATAAAATAGATATTATTACTAAGGGTTTGAATGAAAAAGAAGGTCTCTACCTTTAATCTTTGTAAATTAAAGAACAGGATAAAGAAGAAAATAGAGTTGTAAAAACCAAACAATAAGGCAATAAGAATTTAATATTATTTTCTAGTGGATTTGCCTCCAAATCTTCTAATATAAGCTAGGCTTCATCAACTATTAAAGATATTTAAATTTAAGCAAAAAAAACAAGAAAGGGTATTTTTGAAGAAAATAGCGATGGAGAAATAGAAGATGATTAAAAAGAAGAATAATCACCTTCAAAACCTGCTTAAGAAACTCATGCAAAATCTGAAGAACCTCATGGAAAGTAATAAAAAAAGAAAATTGATCTTAGTGATGATGAAGATGAAGATTACAAACCAGCATAGAAAAACCCTTCAGGAGTTGGTTTCCCAGTAGCTTCATTTTCTAATAAAGCTGCATCTATTGAAACAAATTAAAACCAAAAAAAGAAACCCAGACCAGTAGTTTTCCCTGATTTTTAAAAAGAAGAAAGAGAATAAGAAGCTGAAAAACCAGCTTTTGTTCCTCCTTATTAGCAATAAAAATAATAATCACAACCAAAAGAAGAACAATAACCCATCATTGCATAATCTAATACAAATAAATTTAACGAGTCTCCCTTATTTGAAAATTCCAACAGTAGTGTTGGAGGAGTTTACTTCAAATCTACTGAAATATCTAACATGACCAAAAAATTAGGAAGCTCACTTGATATTCTAAACTATATATTTTCTAAGTATTATTTTATTAATTTTATTTAAATTTTTTGAGAATTAATTATTCTAATTTTTACACAAATAGGGATTTGAAAAATGAAAATTTAAAAAAGGCAATAGAAGATATTGAATTTATAGAAAGAGAACTTAAGAAGAAAGTCAACCCTTCTTAACCTCCTATTTTTTCAACCTCTCAAACAGTTTCTAACTAAAGCTTTGTAACAAGCAGCAGCTAAAAGAACAAGCCTATACTTTTCAGTAGTGGCACATAGGAAGAAAAACCTAAAAACTCAGTTAAAATTTAACAATCTACAGGTTTTGTTGTGTATAAAACTAACTTAAATGAATGAAAGAAAGAGCTTAATTTTTAGTTATTTTATATAATTATTTATAAATTTGTGTAACATAGTAATTTGTAAATATTGCTAAAATTCTGTTTGTACAAAGTTTTTTTGTTTGCAGTTGGCAATTAAAATAAAATAAAATTATTCTTAATAAATATATTGATAGATTCAATCAAATTGATTTAAGAAATTTTAACACGAATTAATTTATGTAAATAATTATGTTGATTTAGCTAGTAAATAATAAATAGATCAATTCTAAAAATAAATTTAATTTATTAATACTTGAAAAGTAATTTAGATAATATCTATCTAACAAAATACTCTATTTAAAAATTTAATCTTATTAAATAAACTTTTAAATTAGTCAAACAAACTGTAAATGGAACAATAGCCAATTTATTATGACCCTAGCTTATATTATGAAACTTAAACTGGTAATAAACTCTGTAAAAAGAATTTGATCAGAGGAAGTGATAATATTTTCATTTATGGCAAAGTTATTATGCAATAGAAAAATATAATTAGGGGTGATTTAGGTAGAATAAATTTAGGAAAGTATTTAATTTTATGTGAAGGAGTTACTCTAAGACCCAGTTATTAAGTTTAAGCGAACGAGTAATAAAAATTTACTTTTTTTTTTCATGTATAAAAATGTTAAATCCAACTTTGCTTTGTTGAGGCTTTTTGTTATTTGAGCAAATAATGTCTTTCTACGTTTTTCAAAACAAAATTTTAAATGCGACTTGTCAAAATTATTTTTTTAAACATATTTTGTAATTATATAAAGTCAAATTAAGTATTCCCACATCACTATTGGTGACTACGTTATAATAGATTCAAACAGCATTATATAAGCACAAAAAATTGGATCTAATGTGCACATTGGAAAAAACTGCATTATTGTAATAGATTCAGAATAAAAATATCTAATTTCTTTGTGAGATTTGAAATAAATTAATTAATTTAATTAATAAATTATAAAGGGCCACAGAGCAAATATAAGTGATAACGTTAAAATACTTGATGACACAATTATTCCACCAGATACAGTTATTCCACCTTATACTGTTTATGGAGGAAAGCCAGGTAATTTTTATTAATTATTTAGCTGCTTTGATATCAATTTACTTTAAATAGCAAGATATATTGCAGAGCTTCCAGAAACTGTCAGCTATATTCATAGAGAGCAGGCTATTAAATATTATAAGTCTTTTTAACCCAAAAGAACAAGTGACACAAAAGAATTTTAATTTTCTTCAATTTAAGGATCAACTGTCTAATAATGATTAAATTAAAATTAATTATTGCTATTTCTAAATTTTATTCATGTCTATATTTTACTTGCAAATTATTTCATAAAACGAACACAATAAAAAATTATTTATTATAATCAACTTCATAATTTTACTTTTTTTAAGTCTAATTTAGTTAAATTTAAGATTATACGCCAAAATATTTTTGAATTTGTTTTTAATTATTGGCATTAATTAATTAACTTTTAATTCAAATCTTAATTTTCAAAAAAAAAAAAAAATTAAATTTTTATCAAAATACAAAATTTATTTATTTGAAATTAAACTTCAAGATAGAAGTTAAAGTAGAATTAGAACATTATTGTTATCCTTATTCACTCTTCAAGTCAAATAGAGGTAAATAATCATAGAATATCCTATTCAACTGAATATAATATGACTGATTCAGTATCTGTCACTAGTATGAGTGAGGATGAAAGAGACATCCAACCAATTAAGAAAATTAAAAAAAACCCTAAAAAAGATGAAATGAAAGTCTTTCTTAGAATAAGACCTTAAGACAATCTAGACTAAAGAGGTATGTAATCATCTCATCTGCATATTATTTTTACATTTATTATTAATATTAGGCCCTATTGGAGTTAATGAGTAAGAAAGATGCATAATGGGAATATCAAATGATGAATATCTTAATTAAAAAATAGAAGAGTTTAGAGGATTGAAATTCAACAAAATATTTAAAGAAGATTGCTCTTAAGATGAATTTTACAATGATGTAATAGCTCCTATTCTTCCAGACATATTTAATTCTAGTAAAAATATTATTTGATATCTTTTTATTAAATAATATCACAATTAATATAGAAAAAAGTTCATTGATATTTGCATATGGTGTAACAAATAGTGGCAAAACTCATTCTATTTTGGGTTCAAGAAAGTATAATTAAAATGGTGATGGAATTTTGCCAAGGGTCTTATTTTTTTTAGTTGAAGCCAAAAAACTTATTAAGCAATAGATTCAATAAAAAGTAGATTTCAATGATGATGGAATTTTCTCTGAAAATAAGATAACAATAGATGGCATTACAATAGATTTAAAAAATTTCATTTTTCATTCTCATAATCATCATCATAAATTATAAGACATTAATATTTTGTTTGAAAATTTTGAAATTTATAATGAGGATATATTTGATTTATAAACTGTTTAAGTATAATCGCAACCTTAATCTTTATAGCTAAATAATACATTTCACAACACTCTTAGTCAGTAACTAAATACAGATCATAAGAAAGAAAAAAGGAGTGCAAGTAAAAGAAATACAGCTTAAAAGAACAAGCTGAAAATAAAGGAAAAATTTAACAAAAAAATCTACATCAAAGGTAAAATATAAATATTATGTGTGATTTTATAAATTATTTAACTTTTTTAAATGTTATTTAAACAGATTTGATAACAAATGAGGTAGATAGCTTTGAGTAAATTAACTGGTTGATCAAAAATGCAATTGAAAATAGATAAGTTCGAAATAATAATGTTAACTAAAATTCAAGTAGGTCTTAATGCTGCTTTAAAATAAGAGTAAAATTTACATATTGCAATTCTCTTTATAGTTAAATCGAAGAAGAGGCAAGTTTACTCATTTTAGATCTAGCAGGTGCTGAAAGAGCTAAAAAAACAAATAACACAGGATCAAAAATGACAGAGTCTTGTCACATAAATAAGACATTGTTATGTTTAGGAAACTGTATTAGATCCTTGAGGAATGGGGATGAAAATATACCTTATAGAGAATCCAAACTTACAAGAATATTGAATGAATATTTTGTAGATCAAAATAATGTATTGATGATAGTTCATATACACCCAGGAATAAGTTATACAGAAGAAAATATTAATGTTTTAAAATATGCTGCTATAGGCCTAGAGGCAAAACTAAAGGCAGCTGCTACTATTTATGAAGGATCATCTAAACATTCATTTTTATTGATGGATAGTGCATAGAAATCTATGAGAAACGACAAATCGATTATCAGTAACATCTCATATGATGCTAGAAGCAATTACAGAGACTATTAAAGCATAGATTAAGATTAATTTTTTCCTTAAATTGATAATTTTGCGAATAATACAAACTATATCCGTACTAATTATTTTACACAAAGCGACCAAAAGAGTAATAAAGGAGGAATAAGAAACATTCATTAAAATGATTATTACTAAATTTAGAATTCTGATGGATAACTTATACTTGACTAAGCGATGTAATTATTAATTCAATCAAATTCAAATAATTATTGATTAAATTTTTTATAATTTAATTAGGAATTAAGAGATGGCAAAAACTTTGGAAGAAGAAAAAAAAAGTTTAGAAGAGAAGTATAAAAAAGAGATGGAAATCAAAGAAATCATTCAGTAACAAAAGAGGGCAATTGAAAATTACGACTTATAGTTTGAAAATATGATCAATGAAGAAAATAATAAATTAAAATTGGGTTAAAGCTTATTAAATATATTTAAAGTACCAGATTAAATTATGTATGGTGAATTAACTGAGGATCAAGTTAACTAGGATTACTTAGAATAAATCAAGAGATTTTCAGATAATCAATTAAACTCTTCTAATAACAGTTAAAGAGAGATAATTAGAATATCTTCTTAGAAATTTAAAAATAGTTCAAATAAAAACATAGACAAAACTTAAGAAAAGTATTAATAAACAGGAGGAGGTTATTAAGATAATTAATAGACATTTGGTAAAACACCATATTAAAGTTAGGAATTGGTAGAAAGAAAAAATGAAATAATTGATTAAGTTAATAAAGAGTAAGAAAGTGATCATAAATTCTACATTAGGGATAAAAATAGTACTCATTCACTGAGATTAAATGAAGAAGATATGAAACTAATTAGCTAGCAAAATAAAAAATACAGTTTTGATAGCTAAAACTCTATTTTAAATTATAAAGAAAATATTTAAATTGCATCTAATTTATATAGAGATGCTTCAAGTAAATACCAATAAGATGAAATGTTTTCATCGAAAAGTAATTCAATCAATTAAAAATAAATAAATTTTAGTTAAGCATCAATTTAAAACAATCATAAAGAAAGAAACAGTCAAAACAGTCTTTCTGATTTACAAATACATTAAATTAGAAAGAACTAATAATCTACAAGCAATCAGAAAGAGATGATAGATGAATAATCAAATCTTTTTAGCTAGAAATTGAGTTAGGGTGATTCAAGTATGATTAAAAATAGCAAGCAAATGGAAGTAGAATTATTAAAACCAGATTAAGAGAGAAAAGTTGACATGGAAAATGAATTGGAGTAATTTTCTAAAGATAAACCTTCAGCTAAGAAAAGTTCACTGAAAGTAAAAGGAGTTGATGTCGATAAGTATATTTAAGAAGTATATGATAGCTCTGCAAAAAAAGTAAATAGTGAAATTATTGATGATTCATCAGAAAGATTACTTGAATCTCCCAAAATATTTGAAGAAAAAGACAGTGAAAGCGAACATAATAAAACAGCTCCTAATTCAATAAATTCAGCAACTAATTTAGATTACTTTAAAAGAAGTCCTTCCTTAGATATACTTTCAGTGAGCTAGTAATTGCTTTAGCTAAAGTAATAATAAGATTAAGAAAGAGAAAATTTATAGCAGTGCTTGAATAATGATGAGGAGGAAATAAAACAATATCTAGAATTAGATTTAGATGAAAATAACTTAAAATAATAAATATTAAGCTAATCTTAAAAACTGATGTAACTAATTAAAGATAAAGAGTAAGAAATTGAATACTAAAGACAGTAATTTAATATTTAGTAAGATAATAAGAATAAAGAAGATTAAAGAAAAATGAAAGTTTTCGAAGAGTGGATACAACAAATTTAGCAAGAACTTAAAATTTAATCTAGATTTTTAGAGTAGAAGGAAGTTATTCTCTCTTAGTAATAATTAGAATTAGCTAGTCTACAGGCTAATTTATAAGAAAAGTATCGTATTTAATAATAGCAAATACAAGAAAACTTACTTGCTTCTGAAACTATGAAAGAATAGATACTTAAATAAGAGTAAAAGCTTAGAGAAGAAACAGAGAGAATTGTTAACCTTCAATAAAAAGTTGAAGAAGAAATGCAAATGCTAGTCAAAGAAAAAACTCTTCTTGGAATTCAAAAAAGTAAAAGTGATGAAATTAAATCTAAAACTGCTACACCTTATAAGTTTAGTAAAAGTAAAAATTAAATGGATGTTGATTATCCAATTGCTTTATAAGACCATCATGTGAACTTTGATTTAAGCAACCTTTCATAGTCTAAATAGGCTATGGAGGAAGAAATTGCAAAATAATCTTCTGCTCCAAGAAAATTAAGTGGAAGCTATTATCCTGGTCATGAACCTCATTCTTAAGGTAGTAGTAAATAGAGAAAAAATTGTGAAAAAAGCTATGCAGAAAAATAAATATAAACCTCAGCTATTCGTCCTGCTCCGAGAAATAATTAAAATAACTAATAAAATCATTCTGATGTAAGTGTTTATACCTATTATACTTACAGTGAAGCAGAATCTGTTAACCCTATCTTAATGAACAACAGCTAAGGATCTTAATAGTAAAATAGTGCTCCAAACAGCTAAAATTCTAAAGAAAATAATCTGAAAAGCAAATACAAAAATACATCAAATCTTTCTCAGTAAAAAAATAAAATACAATTTTCTCCTTAAAAGGAAAATCAATCTCTATTATTAAACTCTTCTTTAAAGCTATGCCAGCAAATATAAAATTAAAATAATTAAGTAAGTTAATCCAAATCCTTAGAGTGTAATGAAGAAGAATAAAGTAAAAAATATTTTGATAAAAAACCAATTGAATCAGATTTACAAAAGCTTGAACAGAAAAATTCAAATAAGATATTAAAAGAAAAGTAAAATGAAATGGTTGATGAAAATGATTAAGTTAAAATAAACAAGCTACAAAACGAAAGTGAACAAAATGAAAATTAAGAAGGCTAAGAAAAAAGGAGGTAAAGAGGAAGAAAGAAAGTTGGCTAAAAGCAGAAGAAAGCTACATCAAAGGAAAGATAAGAAAATTCTTCAGTAGATCTTGATTCAACTTCAAAAGAAAGTGAAAGTGAAGACTAAGAAGATCTAACAAATGAAGAATAATTAAGACAAATTCTTGATGGCATTGATTAATAGACAACTAAAAATAATAAAAAAAGAGGAAGAAAACCAAAGTAAAGAGACAGTTTGTCTTCTAATAAATCAAGAAATTCACTGTCTTCAGTTGACTCTGAAGCATCTTCAAGAGGACAAAAGAAACAAACTAAATAAGGCTAAAGCTCAATAGAAAAGGATAGGATTATATGCATAAACGAAAATGAATAAAATGTTAAAATCTCAAAAGATAATAACAAAAGATCTGCATCAAACTCTTCTGATTCTAGAAATGCTAAAAAAAAGAATAAAAATAAATACAAAAAATGAAAATAATTTAGTTTTGAATACATTTTTGATATTTAAGTAATTAATGAAAATTGAATAATAAAATTAATTAATTACTTAAAAACTAACTAACTAACTAATAAAATAACTAACTAACTAACTAACAAACAAAGTTCCCTATTAAAATATATTAAAAAATAAATTATACTATAAATTTTTTTATTTTATTTATAATATATATAAAGATGTATAAATTAATCATTAATAATATTAAAATATTATTTTGCCAAATAAAATTGTTAATTTTTATTTTCATACATTCGATGGTTTTTCATTTATTAGTTAATTTTAAAACACTTCAAACTCAGAAAAAACAAAACAATATTTTAATTATTTTTTAATTAATCAGTTAAAAAGAAAAAACTCTTTTATTTTATTGATTTAATGAATTATTTAGTGATAAAATAGTATTATTTATATTATCAAATTTAATTATTTAAAAAAGAACCTTTAGATTTTCATTATTTGAGTTGAAAATTTTTATAAATCTTTTAAATTTTAAGACATCTGATTACAGTTTAATGGATATTCAAATTAAAATTGATAGTATAAAACTCTAAAACACTCAGAATTTAAATTTATAAAATTATTTTAATAAATTAAATATTAAGTAAAAATAAATTAAGAAAATATAAAAAATTATATGATTACAAAAATTAATAAAATTGATAATTTAATTTTAAAAGTTGAACAAATACAAACTTTAAAATTATGAATTTTAATTTTAATTTTATCTCATATTATAAATATATTATAAAATTTATTTTTAAAAAATAGTTTATTCAAGTCTTTCAAACTTTCAAATTAAAATTAATAAATATTAATTAATTATTACTAAAAGGCTAGCTTTTTATTTAAATTTGATAAAAAAAACAAAAAATATTTTTTAATTTTTTGAAAAGCAATTAGATTGGTAAAATACAAATGATATATGCTTATTTTCTGTTAAAAATTTTTATTACATTTGTAATCATTCATTTTTCTAATTTACCAATTAATTCTGCGAAATTTAATTATAGGCAGAAAAATTAGATATATATCTCTAAATTTTTAAAGCAAAATTATAAGAATATTAATGGAAGTAGGAAAGATAATGATGATGATGCAAAACTAATAATAATAAAATAACTTAGATATATAGGAGGGAGATAAAGTATATTCATAAAGGAAGTTACCAACTATAAATTCATAGCCGAATATATAAAATGTAACAGGATAATAACTCAATAAGGTTGGATTTTAAAATCAATAAAGTTTAAATACTAGCAACAGTATTACACAGATAAGGGTATCAGATTTAAAGTAACTTGAAAAAAATATCGAATAAGAAAAAAGGGAATTTTTGAACATGACAAAAATTAAGATTACTAAATCTAAGAACCCTCAAATAAACATTTAAAGAGGAAAGAGCTAGGATTCTAACTAGAGAAGTTTAAAATAAAATAATGTGGGAATTTAGTAATATAATTATAATTAAGAAAGTTAATTTGATGGGGATGATTAGTTCGAAAATAATTAGTAGCCTACAGAATCAATATCAGGGGTTGCTACTTATAGAGACAACACTTATTTTTATAAATAAAGAAGTGGTTCTTCTTAAAAACTAAGAAATGGATTTAATACGAAAACTAATTTTGCAACTACACTAAAAAAGGAAAACTATAATAGCATTTCTAACAAAACTCTTAATTCTACTATAGGTGGAGGAGTTTACAACTTATAAAGTGACAGTATAAAAGATGTTAATAGTGATTAAAGTATGAATTTAGATAACTATTTAAAGTAAGAAGGTTTTAAATCCAATGCAATGCTAAATAATTACTAAAGTGGAACTCAGTAGTTATTCATAAGCAAAGGATCTTCGCCATAATTGATTTATGAAGCTCTCCCTTTGCATATAAGAGAGTTTTTTTAAAATAAAAAGGATTTTATGAAGAGCTTTGAAGAATATGATTTGACTAACAAGTGCCTTTACGAAGTTAATCAAAGAGTGAGATGCTATAGATACGAATTAGGGTGTTTGATTGATAAAATTTAAAATAGCTTCTACAAAATATATGAAAAAACTCTCGATCTTAGTATTAAGTTATACAATGAGAATAAAAAAAAGTTTGAAACGCAAATAAAAGAAAATTTAGCTAATATTGAAAGATAAGAGAGAGAAAAGAGGGACATTGAATCAACAAATAGGGATTTGAAAAATAGATATGTAGTCCAAGAATCATTATTTAAAATAACTAAGATAAATCACGATTCACTTTAATCAGAAGTACTCCTTTTGCATGATTTACTTAAAAGGGATATTTTACATAAAATAAATCACATTGGAAATTTAGAAAACCAACAAAATAAAATATTTAACTAAAAAGATGGTAAAATTTTTTTTTTAATTTGAAAAAAAATGCATTTTATTTTAAAAAAAGATCCAAGTGACAAAATGGCTTAAGGCTTGAATAACTTAAATCACCTTATAACAAATCTGCAGGGGGAATAAGGAATGAAGGATAATATGATGAGTTAAATGAGTGGCCTAGTAAAGGCTATGCTTAAAGGATCTAAATCTGATGCCTTTACTTAAGTAAATTAATTTTAACCCAAGTAAAAAATGTTTAAAAATAAGAATTATTAAGGTAGATGAAGGTGAACTTGTTTGGCTCCCTTAAGAAATTTTAGGCAATAAAAAGAAAGTTACTTTACCCTCAGTTTTAGAGGCAGAAGTGAGTTCTATAAATATTCTAAATCTTTATAGTAATCCTATGTATGCAAATAAAGAAGAATTAAACAATAGGACGAATGTTGAATAACTAAAGCTAAGAGAAAATGAAATAAACCAACAGACGTCAAAGAAAGGAAATAATATGGGAACAGGTATTTTTTTTATTTTTAGGAAATAACTTTAAAATTAATTTTATCTATTAATAATCTGTAAACAGATAACTGGAATTTGACAATTAATTTAATTGTGTTTATTGAGAATGTAACAAAAAAAAATGAAAACGGAAGAGTTATTCCTTGGTTGCATTTTAAAAATTTGGTTTTTGAAATATATGAAGACCGTATAAAGAGTAACTGGGAAGTTAATGGATCTATGCTCTCTACAGGTATTCCATTTGACGAATATTTGTGCATGTTTTTCTTAAAGCAATAAAAGTAAAGAAGATTAGCAGAAATAAGATTATTTGAATTTTTGATTTCGTTGCGTTATTACATGAAAAACCATACTAGAGCTATGACATTTGCCCTTTTATGTAATGTTTCCCAGCTTTCAGGCTCGTCGGGTGATAATTTCACATTTAAATTTGATATTTACATACAATATTTTTTCCTTTTCGCATTCAAAAGATTGAATGAGCACAAAAAGGTAAATAATTAAATTTAATTTACGAATGAAAATAAAAATTGTATTTCTTTTTTTAAAAATTAGCAATTTATAGAATAAGATGGCTTTACTTATTTACCTAAAGATTTCTTACCAGAATTACTTAGAGATGTTCTTATATTTATTACAGAAGGAGCAAGATAGAAAATTCTTACAAGAGTAGGAAAAGCTTGCTTAAAATTAAATGATGACTAAGAAGTTATTGAAGTTGATAAAATACTGGATGTTTACCTTGAAGAATATATAGAAGGCAAGAAAAAATTGATTAGGAATTTAACTAAAAACTACTCCAAAATATATGAAAGTGATCATGGAATGTTTACAATTGATGATTTAATTGGAGTAATTAAAGAAAGTGTAGATAGCAATTCTTAATCATCTTCCTTTAGATATCCGAGCATTACTTACTACACAAGAGTATTCTTACATTCTCTAACTTCGACATCAAATAAGTTCGATGTCTCGCCAAAAGAATTTTTAGCAGCATGTTCTAAATTTGGAATAGACTGCCCTTTTCCTTTTATTAAACTGTCAGCAAATTCTGACAAAGATGATGATGAAGAAGAGTAAAATTTAATTTAATTAATTTAAATTTATTTATTTTATTTAAATTAATTTTAATTAGAATTCTACGCAGACACAAGATAAAAACAGATGAGCAAAACAAAGAAGGTGGAGAAAATGAGGGCAAAGAAAAATAAAATGTTTCAAGAAAAAAATCTAACAAGAGTATTGGAGATATTAATCAATTAAATGGTGAAAATAATAATAATGCAAATGCTGATGTTGTCTCTTCTAAAAATCAAATTAAAATAGATTCTACATCAGCATTGTTTGCTTAACATTTTAGCATTTTGAGAGAAATGCGTTTATATTGCAAAAATTTTAAAGAAAGCTATAGTAAGGAAGAAGACAAAGAAGTACTTTGGACATAATTTGGTAATATCTTAAATATATTGGAGGCTGGTTGCTAATTTTTAAATTTTCCTATAAACATATGAAAAATATTTATTTAATAATATCACAATATAAATTAAATTAAAATATCTATCAAAAACTATTTATCTTTATAATACACTTTTAGTACTAAAACAATTACCCTAAGAAACTTTACATCAATATGTGAATTAAAAATATTTAATCGAAAATAGTTAATAAATGTTGCTTTACTATTGACTATAACAATAATAAAAATTTTTTATTGCTGTTGTAAAAAAGCAGAACTAGATTGAAAATTTTGAAATGAAATTTATAATAAAAAGAATAAATTTTTATATTGTTAATTTAAATTAATTTGTCAAATAATTTGTTATCCATTTAATCCCTGAGAGAGAGAAAAAATATTTATTTAATTTAATTTGTAAGCAATTAATCATACTGCTTATACTGCTTGGTTTTATTAAAGTTTTTTATTTTCTTAATTTTAAAGAAAATTTCATAAAATATTTTTTTATTTTGTAAATAAATAAATTCTCTTAAATTAAATTAGCATTTTAATATTAAGTATATCGAAATAATTATCAATAAAAATTTAATACTATTTTTAATTTTTATTAGTTTTTAATTTTATTGAGGATAAAATATTTTTTTTTCAATTTAATCAAATAATGCTTTGAATTTTTTAAAGTGGTTTGCAAAAATAATGCTTTTAATTATTAAAACTTTGTTAATAAATTTATTTAATTAATTAATTAATTAATTATTATGCTTTTAAATTTTGATATTTGAATAATTGATTGATCAATTTTTTCTGCTAATAATTATTTCAAATTTTAATTTAGCCATCATATCAATTTTATGTAAAATTTGAATTTTTACATTAATTAAAAAATATCAACGAACTTATCTTACTTAAAACAAAACTAAATTTTTTGATTTAGATTGCAATAAATATAATTTATGTTAATTTTTAATTAAACAAAATAAATTTATTTTTTTTAATAAGTTAAAATAGAATTATTTTATTATTTTTTTGAATTTGGATGTGTTTAAAAAAAAAATAAATATCATATTTTAATAGATTGAAAAAAAATAGGTGCATAAAAAAATAAATAATAATGGTAAAGAGTCTATGATTTGTAAATAATAATTAAATAGAATTAGGGTAATTATTAATAATAAATAATAATTTATATATTAAATGAATATATTTTTTTATGAATAAATGAATATGGGATCTATATATTCGTATGGATATATATTTCAAAGAAGATTTTGAAATAAAAGCAAAATTGCATTGAATATTTAAGAAATATGAGTAATAAGGTGTTCTATATTATACATTTATTTATTGATTAAATAATTAGTTGATTGATTTATTTATTAATTAAAACAAGAAGTAGTATACTACTGACATTTACAAAAGAAAAGAAAGTAACATATAAAATTAATAGTAGTGTGATTCAATAAGCATAAATATATTTTAGAATAGGAGATAATTAATTATCATATAGGAAACCATTAAACTGATTACTAAAATAATCGCTCCATACTCAAGGGAACTTTATATAAACTAAGCACATCTCATACTCAGAAAACAACTTAAATCAATTTTTGAAAATAAAGAATCAAATTAGCAAAAACATCAACTAAATAATTTTAAGCAGTTTTATCTCGTAAGATGAACGAGAAGTTTGATCCGTGTTTTCAGGAGGCTGGTATTAGTTAGCCCAACAAATTCTTTAAAGAGAATAAGATTCTTATACGTCCAAGTGTTATCAGTGAATTTTTTAACTATTTTGAAGACCTTGAAGAAGATAAGCAGGTAATTTTTTGCAACATCATTTCTTAGTAATTTTTGAAAATCTGACTCCTAAGAATCTTTTGATTCCAAAAGATAGCATAGGGGTAACAGCGATTGGTACATTCCACAAAAGTTTAAGAGGCAATAGACAAAGATATTTAGATGTTTTTAGAATATTTTTGAAATAAGCCTTTAACTACCAACTTGAATTCATAACTTCTTTTCTACTTATTGATATTAACTTTTACAAATTTTATAAATAGATTAGTAGTTTAGACGCGCTTTTAGAGATAATACCACAAATTTCCCAAAATGCAACAATGCTAGTTTCAAAAAGCATAAGTAAATAAAATGCAAAGGCCCACGATTTAATTGATGTATTGATTTAACTCGCAATAAAGTTGGCAGGTAGAAAGAACTAAAAGGTAATTAAGACATTAATTTTGAATTATTTCGTTAACTATCAATACTAGAGAAAGGAATAAGAGATAAATATTTAAGCAAAAAATGAAAGTTAAATAATGAAAATAGATATTAAATACAAACAATAGAGCTTAAATATATACAAATCAAAATGTAATTTTACCCAAAATTTAGTTTTTCAGCATTGAATTTTAACAAATTATAATGATTGGTATTTTTGATATTTTTGTTGTTGTAAGATATTATGATGATAGATACATCATTCAATTATATATAATTATTATAGGTTATTGAAAAATTGATTAGCTTGATAGTTATATTAGCAAAGGAAAACAATCTTCGAAAATCTAATTTGTAATCTGTATATTCAATTCTATCAAATAATTTTTATGATCAAAATCTAGACTATAGTCAATTATGCACTGCTGTTGAAATTTTGCAAGTAAATTATAATTAATAAGTTATTTGGTTGCTGAACATTTTTTTTCTATCTATTTTTATTAGAAAGTATTTAAGATACAAAGACCCAGAGGTTATTCTTCAACTACTCCTATTTCTTCACCTATTTTAGCTTCTTCTCATATTTAGTAGCAGTAAAAGTTAGTTGTTAACTAAATAGAAGCAGATGATAAAGAAGTGAGGTCTAATCCTTACAGTTATTTCTACTTTCAAGGAAAAGACTCAAACATATCAATTGTATAAGGAAATGCTAATCCTGTTTGGAAATTTGAAAATGTATAAAATATGCTTTTGCAAATTTATTTATAATTTATTTAAAAAAAAAGGGAATATGCCTATGCTTTTGGTTTTATTTAGACAAATTGAAATATTCTATTGAAGATTCATGCATTGTACCTCAATAAAAATTATTCACAATACATACATCAGTTGATGGCAAGGGTGGTGGTATAGAGGCTTATTTTGTTAACAATTAGTTATTTTATAGAATATTGCCTGAATAGTATTTAGAACCCACTCCTAAATCAAACGGAGTTTTAGTTGATTAGTTTTAGCCCGGAGAGTGGCACTTTATAGGAATAGACCATGAGGTCCCAAAGTTATTTGGCAAATCAGGATCAATTAAAGTAATTTCTAAAAACAAAAAAAAATTAAATTAATTAATTAATTTAAATTGATTAGGTCGTAGTTAACAATAAGAAACCAATTAGTTTTAATATGGATTATCCTAAAATTCCTTCCTCAAGCTAGATAAAAAAGTTCTGTTTTGGCGAGCATTTAATAGGTAAAATAAGCTCAGTCATGATTTTAAGTTAGCCAATAGGAGTAGATGAAATTTAACAGCTTCCTAAATTTTATCAGTACGGATTTCAGAATTCACATTCTTTGAAGAGTTTGGATAGAACTTTTGAATCATCTATAAATAAAATTTACCTATTGCTTTCTCCAACTAGATCATGTAAAATTAAGCAAAATAAATATTAATGTAAATTTTTAATTTTTAATTTAAATCAGATAATAATAGATGCTATGATGCAATTAACAATCATGTTGCTCTATTTAGTGAAAAGGCAGGAGTTTATTATAAAGACCCTCTTAAATTTAAAATAAATGAGCTAGGAGGACTCTAAGGAATAGTCCCATTATTTTATGTTATAAGTAAATAATAAATTAAAACAAATTGAGCTTCTTGTTATTTATTTTTATCAATATTTAAAAGGATTTTGCAAAAAAAGTGGTGAAACAAATGCAGTTAATGAGCTTTTAGAATTATTAATTATTTTATTGCATAAAAGACATGACTTTCAAACTCAAGCTGCTAAATTAGACATACTTAAAATTATTTCTAATTTACTAAGCGAACTAACTGAGCCTTATATTGATTTAATAACTATCGCTCGCTTAAAGGAATTAAAATAAGTTATACAAGAACCATCATTATAATAGTCTTTCTTTTTAGATTTTTTATGGAATTTAGATCTTCTTTTTGTTATGGAAAGCAACGAAGTCAAAATATAATATATAGCATTCTTGAAATCTGTTTACGAATAAAACCCAGACCACTATAATAAGCTTTTTAGTGTATCTTAAATTATTTCTCAAGCAATCTTAAAATGTGATGTTAGAACTTCACAGTGCTGCTAAAACCATTCCTTAAATCTCTTAGGAGTAAAATAAGTAGATTAAGCAAAATCCTCAATTATAGAAACATAAAATAGTCCTGCCCTCAACTCGCTTTCAAATAATAATTAAGAATAGTTCAATTAATTGTCTAAAATAATATAGCCTCTTTTTGAAATTATAGAAAGCATTTTTCTTAAAAGCTGTGATGACTTAGGCCAAGATCTCGTTTAGATATTAAATGCTTTCAATTTAAAATGTTCCCCTTGTTTTCATTTAAGCTTATTCGGAATATTGAAAGTAAATCAGAAATTTAATCAAATTATTTATTATTAATTAATTAAATCATATTAAAACAGAAAATTTTGATAGATAAGCCATCTGACCAATAGAATAATACCAAGAAATATTTAAAGATTATGATAGAAAATAAAGCAATTTATACATTCCTATATTTGATGCAAAACTCACCCTTCATTGACATCAAAGCTATGTGTCTAAAAATGATAAATTTACTCAATTAGAAAACTACTGTAAAATTTTTTTTTATTTTTCAAATATTTTATATTTTTCCATTTTAACTTTAACATAATTTGTTTTAATAAAATATCTCTTTACTTTAATAGAAGCAGTAACTGATTAATGAATATGAGTTATGTAGTTATATTTCGAATATTCTTTGGAACTTAAATTAATGCAAAAGTATTGAAGTAACTCCTTTAATTAACCCTCAGGAGTCTCCAGAAAAAGCAAAAATAGCTCCATAAATAGGGAATTTTAATTTAGATAGTAACTAATAATTAATTGAGTCAAAATTTATAGAATAAGAGGAATAAGTGGATAAAATTAATTCCAAATAAGAAATGATAAGCTAAGGTATTAGCAATAATAATGGGTAATAATAATTATTATTTTAGAGTAAAGAAAATAAAAAAATAAGCTTTAATTAAGACTAGTTTGAAAATGGGAATCACCTCAATGATAATTAAAATTTATAATAACCCTAGATAGATTAACCATAGCCGTTTTTTAAAAAAGAAAAACCATAAAGTAAACATTAAAAATAATTCTAACTCAACAAAGGAGCTCTAAATTTAAATATTGAATAAGATGACAATAGTTAACCAATTAATAATACTGCTTAAATTGCAATTAATACTGAAAATGGAAATTATTAAAAAGAAGAAACAAATTAATTAACTTAAGAACCTCTTAAAATAAATAAGCCTCCATAAAAGAAAAAAAAATTTTTATAATTAGATGATGACATTCTAATTAATACTAATGATGATTTTGTTATAAGCTAACCACAAGCTTAGTAGTAAGAAAAAGAGAGTTAGAATAATAAAAAAACATTAATCGGATTCATGGATAAGTTGAATAAAGCTTAAGAAGAAAACTAAGAAAAAGATCATTAATAGATTTAAAATGATAATAATTCGCTATCTCAATTTATTCCCCCAAACGGATCAAAAAAGCCAAGCATTTCAAATGCATTTAATAGTTAGTATTAAGAAAGTGATGGGTTCACATTTAATATTCCAAATGAACCTTATGATCAAATGAAAGTAGCTATGAATCCAGGATTCAACTAGGCTCCATCAATGCTTAACAAAAGAGCTTAAGGTAGCAAATTTAGTTTTCCAACTCTTGATTCTAATCCAACTGCAACTAGTAATACAAATAACAATGGCTTAGATTTAGGAAGTAAAAATAAAATAGGTGGTTCTAGCAAATTCTAGTTTGACTCCAGCGGAATTCCAAGTAGTATTCCAAGTATTCCTAGTGGTGGTAGTGGAACTTACATGGAACCTAAAATGTCAAGCAAAGCTGGTTAAGCACTATAATTCACGTTTCCTAACTAGAAACCTAAAGGTTCTTCAAGTTCAACAAATGACTAAGTTGAAAATTTTAGTTTGCCATAACCAAGAAAAAGTCTTAAAAATTAAAACTTAAATTTAAAATAAATCGACGATAAGAATGATGAAGAAGAGGAACTATCTGAAAAAGCTGCAGAATCTAAGTAAGACAGATCTTCGATACCTCTTGATATATCTCTTGAATAAAATGTTGTGCTTCCAAAGCTCCCTCATTAAACTCATTAAAGAATAAAAAAACCTAATTTAATGCTAAACGATGTACCAACTAATGATGAAAATAAAGCAGATACTATAAATCCACCTTAAAAACAACCTTCTTAGCCAAACTAATCAACAAAAAAAGGAAAACCATCTTCTGGATAACCATCATACAAAAAGAAATTATTTGGAAACTTAGAAATTAATATAGATACAGTTAACGAAGAGTATACTACAGGTGGAGGAGAGACTGCTCTTAAATAATTATAAATATAAAATTATGATGAAGCTGAAGAAGAAAAAGCAATAGCAGAATTAGCTCGTTTATGTGTTAAATATATGAATGGTGAGCTTAAATATAGTGAAGAAGATTATTATAATAGTAGAATGCCAAATATTCCATAAAAATCTTTTAATGCTCCAATGAGTGTTAGAGGAATTAAAAATATTGATTTATCATAGACTGGTCAAACTTACCTAGAAAACACTGAAAAGCCACGTAATTTTATTTTAAGTTAAAATTTTATAATGTGTTATTGTTTAATTTAGTTAACATTATTATGGAAAATACTGCTTAAGAAAATGACATGAGTTTTTCGATGGATTTCAACAAAGAATAAAGTATCGGACCAACTCCAAAAAATTTATAAATATTAAATAAAAAAAACTCCTCTCTAAAGGATAATTTCTTAGCTACCGATGACTTGATAAAAGCCTAATATTTTAAGGATGAGCTGATGAATGAAGAAATTGTGAAACCTCAGGTTTAGGTAGATAATTTAATTTAAAAGGACGAATAAGAAGTTGTTGCTACTGCAAATGTTAGCAATCAAGAAATATTTAATTAAACTGGGTAAATTAACTAAAATCAAGAATTAGTAGATAGATAGAAATTATTCGATAGCATAGATTTTGAACCTCTCTACATATCAATTATGGAATGGGTTTTGCAAAGATTGCCTGGAAATTTAGATAACACAATTATTATAACAGATAAAGACAATATCACTTCAAACCATGCCTTATAAATTTTAATGTCATTTTACAATCACTGCAATAATAATCTACGTCCAGTCATTATTTAAGATCTTCAGCTAGTTGTCAAATGGAATATCTAGAATAGCAATACACTTCTCAAGTACACTGAGTTTTATTATTGGCTTCTTGACATTCTTTTTGATTAACAAGTAAAAAATACATTTTAAAATTTATTTAAAAAGTTTTATTTTTAATAAAATTTAATGAATTATTAGGTAAATATGTTTTTAGAAAAAGAAGCCAACGGTAATCAAAAAGATGCAGTTTCTGCTGTTTTATGGAGTTCAGGAATGAAAATTCATGCAATTTTAATGAAAGCAGCCTTGATGCAAGATCCTGAAGGTTACAAAAAACTCTAAGGAATATTTGTTTGGTTAGAAACTAAATTTGCTTAAGCTGTAAGCTAAGACTAGAAATTTACATTCAGTGTAGCATCTAAATATCTTTTACGCAGTCTATGGTAGTCCATGCTAGATTCAGTGAATGAAGATTTAAAAGGAAATTTGAATTAACAAATAAATAGTCCAGCATTTTGGAATAATATTATTTAAATTATATACAGTACCTAAGAAATAGTACTCTCTGCTCATAATTATGAATTTAACCTTCCTAAAGTTAATGATCACTCCAAAATTTACCTTTCAATGAGAAATTTTTGTACAATTGTTGATACTTAAAATGACTTTAACATCCCAAAAAGTAATTTATTTATTTTTTTAATTTGAAATAGATTTTAATAATTATAAAAAATAAATAAAGACTTCAAAGATTAAATTACTAGTAATAATTGGATTGATAGATAAATAGTTAATGGAATTATTAAAATACTTGATAATATATGGAACGAGACTAAGTTTGATATCAACTTTTAGAAATTTCATAACAACAAATAAAATGTCGCAAATAGCTAAGCTCTTGAAGAATCTGAATGGTTGACTATATAAAAATAAGTAGCAAATATGCTCAGTTTTTCAAAGTAAGAGGAATTTGTTAAAGATTTTGATATCTTAATGTCTAATCCTATACCAGAAAGAGGCTCATTTATGAAAATATGCAACTTGTTAATAACACTTTAGATAGATGACATCATCCGCAGAAGACAATCTAAAGAAATTTTAAGGGAAGCTTTAGAAAGATTTGAGAGAATGATAAAATATTATATTGTAGTTTGTGAAAATACTAGAGAGAAAAAAGTTTTAGCATAGAAAGAAGCAATTCACGCTAATATCCTCTATTGCTTAAATTATCTTTATATATAATACGAAACTGCAATAGCCGGTGTAGCTAATAACGAAGGAAACCCAAGTGAGAAATCTGAACATGAAAAAGTAAAAAATTGTATTGGGAAATCTATTAAAAACATATTTGTTTTTATATTGCTATGCATTGAACTTATACATTAATAATATGGTAATTTCGATAACTATCCATAAATGAAGGCAAATATGGCAAGTTTTAGCGTTTCTCCTATGATTCCAAACTTAAATATGATATTATTTGATTTATTCCATACTTATCTTTTGATGATGAATAGCAGTAATAACTAGCAAAATAGCGGAAACCCTGCTAACGATTGTATCCTGAATATGAAAACACTCAAAGAGCATAAAAATGAGTATCAATTTTTAAACATCGGTGAACTTACTTTTTCTAATGAATGGGTTTTCTGCTTTACTGATAATCCTAAAATATGGGAAGTTATTAACAAATATTACAATGATATCTTCAAAAATACACAAAGAACAATTAGAGAAATAAGCGAAGAGAGCTCAAAGGGAAGTATTCGCTCTTTTAAAATGAATGAAATGAATAAAGAAGTTATTGGGCGTACATACAATAATTAAATATTTGATAATACTGCAAAAGTTTTGGAAATAGAAGAGCAACAAAAATACAGAGATTTATAAGTTAACGAAGAAAGTGTTCGTTGTGCTCGTAATTTGTGGAAAAAATGTTGGAAACGCCTCCGTATCTATGATGGCTTGTGGAAGCCAAAACATATAAATAATTAATATGATTAACCTTTTGATGAACAGAGGTTCTCATATGAAAATAGATAAAATAATCCATTTTTTTACTTAAAAATTGATAAGTATGAAGCAAGAAATCGCATGAAACCTTATTTGAAATTAAAATTAATTGATCCAAAATATGCAAAAGAATATCAAACTAAGCTAAAACAGCTTCGTGTTAATCAAGGGTAAACTTCTATTTTATCTTCGAATGTAAAGCTTACAATAGTGTAAAATTAAATTAGCAATGACAATATTAATAATAATATTGATTCGGTCAATGAAATATATGGTAAAAACGCTTAAGACTCTTTTGCTAATATTAATTCAGACCCTAATAACACAACTAATATCTAACTAAGCTCAAATAATATCACTAGTGCTATAAATATAAATAATTAAAGCAGTTAAAATACAGTAAACTCTAGTAATAGTGGGAACAGCTACTTTTTTAATTTAGGAAAAAATATATCAAAAAATATTGCTAAAACATTTAAATCAATTCTTCCTTTTGCCAAAGAAAGTTCTTCTACAAGTAAATAAAAAACAAATCAAGAAATTATTTTTAAATTTTATTCATAAAAAAAGACTAAAAAGGAATTAATGAGATCTAAAACAAAAATTTACTCATCAGCTAAGAAGTCTAATTTACAAAAAAATGTTAATGGATTAAGACTTTAACTGCTAGAAACGGTTAACTTAGCATGACTGATGATAACCTAGTGTAATGTTAATTTTATATTAAAACTTTTAATTTAAAAAAATATTAAATTTAAAATAAAGATTTTAATATGAATCAATTGAGCAAAAAGAGTCTCATATAGCTATGACTTCTCACAAAATTCCTGACGACAGAAGGCTCATAAAGGAGTGGCCTCTCAAGCAAATAAAGGAAGTTCATACTAGAAGATATATACTCAAAAGAACTGCCATAGAAATATTCTTTTTAGATGGATCTTGTGTTCTTCTAAACTTCCCTCACAGCACTTAAGATTGTGAAGAAGTCAGTTAAAAATTAGTAAGAAATAGAAAGAAAAGATGCCCAAATATTATATATTATAATACCTTAGACCCTCGCAAACTCATAGAAAAAACTAATATAACTCAAAAATGGCTCAATCGCTAAATATCCAATTTTGAATATCTCATGCATTTGAATGGACTTGGAAGTAGAAGTTATAAGGATCTCACATAATATCCTGTTTTTCCATGGATAATAACAGATTATAAATCCAAAGATATTTTCACTACAATTAGAGATTTAACTAAGCCTATGGGTGCTCTAGGTACATAAGAAAGAATAGATTTTTATTTAGAAAGGTTTTCGAATATTGATCCTTTCCAAGATATTCCTCCTTTCCATTATGGCTCTCATTACAGTTCTCCTGCAATCATCTTTTAATTTATGTTGAGAATATAGCCTTTTACTAATGGTAACAAAATAATTTTATATCAAATTTTAGTTAATGTTGTGTAAAATATTTAAAAGGCACGAAGATTTTATAAGGGAATAAATTTGATATACCAGATAGACTATTTTATAGTCTTGAGGATTCATTCAGATGTGCTACAGAAGATAATGCAGATATTCGTGAATTAATACCTGAGCTTTTTTATCTTCCTGAATTATTCCTAAATATAAATAAGGAGGATTTCGGTATCCGTCAGACAGGTGAAAGAGTTGATAATGTAGAAATTCCTCAATGGGCTGATAGAAATCCTTATAAATTTGTAGTTTTACATAGAAAGGCTTTGGAATCTGAAGTCGTTTCTTCTAGCATCAGTAATTGGATTGACTTAATTTTTGGATATAAGTAGATTGGAAAGGAAGCTGAGAAGAATTTGAATGTATTTTATCACTTAACTTATGAGTAAAAAGTTGATTTGGATTAGATAAAAGATGAATCTACAAGAATTTCTACTGAAACGCAAATCATTAATTTTGGCTAAACTCCATTTTAACTATTTTTGGATAAACCTCACCCTCAAAGATTTTCAAAAGATTAAATATTTGCAGGAAGGATAATTGCTGATCCTCAAGCTGAAATCAAAGTATTCCGTCCAAGCAATGGCAAAAAAAAGAAATAAGCAACAAAAGAATATAAATTAGTGAACTTCTTTAGTGATATGATAGATGATTCCATCATTTCCTTAAAGTGGATAAATGATACCAGATTTATCTGTTTAAGAAGAAATGGGCAAATTACTTAATTTAGGTAAAATATTTATTTAAAGATTTGTTAAGTAAAACATTAATAAAAAAAGGTGGTACAACAATCCAGTTCATCAAGCTCAATAAACTGCCATACCCTTCTAATGTGGTGAGGATAAAAAGAAAGAAATTACTCTTGACAAAGGAAAAAGTAATTAAAAAAAAATTCACAATATTTAAGTTAAAAAAAAAATATTATAAAATAGAAGTCGCTTTGAATTAAATTGATTAATCTGTTAACTACAATGAATATCCTTGCTACTTTTTAAAAGAATCAAAGGTAACAAAAAAAAATATCATCAGATTTTTAAAAAGCATTAATTTTTAAAAAAAGATTGTGATTTTAGGAGGATTATGGGATGGTATAATTAAGTTAGTTTAAATAGACACTAATTAAGAAGTAGAATCATATTAAATGCATAACGATACAGTCACATACATGACATCAGATAGCAAAGAAAACTTCCTCATCTCAGGTAAAGATTAATTCAATTCTAAACTTGAAATAATATTAAATAACTAAAGGTACTAAGAGTGGTGAAGTCATAGTTTGGAAAATAAATACTGAAATGAAGCTCTCTGTTCGTTATGTAATAAATGATCATAGAGATAGAGTAATTTATTAATCAACTAAAAGCAATACATAAATTTTTTTAATTTACTTGTCAATAAAATTAGATCACTTAAATTAAAATCTCCAAAGATTTGCTAATATTTGCAACTGCTTCTGAAGATTCCACGATAAATATCTACAATTTAATAAGTGGATAATTTTATCGCACATTTTTCCATCCAAACAACCTTTCCATAGATAATGTAAATATTCATTTTCTATTTTTAAGGTTATTTATTTATTTATTGCTTATTCAAAATAAGGTTTTAATAAGTTATTAACCTCTACCTTGCATAGTATTCTACTCTAATTAGGATCGTACCCTTTACTCCTATAGCATCAATGGACAATTTTTGGCAAAGGCAAATGAAGAATTTTTATAAATCACAAGCTCATTAATAGTTAGAGACAATAACTTTTCAGAAATTATAGTAAATTATTTAATAAATATTTTTAAGCAATGATTAATTTTTTCCTTCTAAAGATATATGGAAACGAAAGAGGTGATGTTTTTTTTAGAGAGCTTCCTTTCTTAAATTTAAGAAAAGTATATAATGTATCAATTGGAAGTCCAGTATTAAGTATCGTTTGTTCTAAAGATAAGAGGTACTTGCTATGTGGTTGCAGTGATGGGTATATATCTGTTCTTACTGATCCTTTGACTAACAATAGGGTAATATAGCTAGGTAGATCTAATTCAAATAATAATGAATAGTAAAAATGATGTTTCTTAAACTAAGCCTTCTCAAAAAAAAAGAAAATATTTCTAATTTTCAAATTCTAATTATAAATTTTGTATTTAATAAATAAATAAAATATAAATAATAAATATCTAAATTGAACACAACTTGAGCATGCTTCATTATTAAATATAAATACTGAGAATAATATAATGAATGAAAGCAATTATTTGAAAATAAATTTTTGTCTTAATATGAAAATAAAAACTTTATTAGAAACTCTTCACTACCTTGCAAAAATTAGTAAAATTTCTCTGATAGATTAGATATAATGAGAAGTTAATTAAAAAAATTTAAATATAAAAAAATATATACAATACACTTCTTTAGGAAATTAAATCAATAAGTTTAATGTATCATACATACCATTACATACATACATATCCATTTTTGTAATATCATTCAAATAACCGCTTAAAAATAAAATATCCAAATTTATTTGATTTACTAGCAATCCCTCCTCACACATTTAAAATTAAATAAGCATTTCTGCTTAAGTTAAATAAATCTAATTAATTAACTAAATCAGTAATGAATAATATTTTTTTGTTAGCAAATAAAGATATTTTTAAATATTTAAAAGAGACTTTTTTTTCACTTGCAAAAAATAAATAATTTTTAGTAACAATGCTAAAAATTTTAAGAAACAATAATTAAGAAGCTTTAATATATTAGATTTTTAGAGGAAAATAAAAATAATTTTCTATTATCTAATTAAATTCTTCAAAATTTGATTATTAATAAATTAAATACCATAGTATATTTAATACATATCCCTCCCTCTCTTTATATTTTATTGTTAGAATACTCATTGATTATTATTATGTAATTCATAAGAATCAAACGAATATTTTGATAGAATATTTTTAATTTGAGCATTAATGTTTGCATTATAAATAATAATTTATCATAAATTTTTTAATCAATTTTAATTTTGAATATATTTATTGTAAAGATTGCTTGTTGGTAGAGATAAGAAAATATTTTATAAAATTATTAAATTAGAATACAATTATGAAGAAATATAATGTAATGTAATAAATTATGAAAGTTATTTTTATACAATATTTGATATTTTTTATACAAAATTTTGTTGAATATGCTTCAAATATTTTCTATAATTGAATCTATATTTTTATTTATACTATCTGTTTCTTTATATTATGGGGAAGAGCTGTTTGCCCTAGGAGAATTTTCAGAATCAAATTTCTTTTCCAAATCAATTGCTTCTATAATATATCTATAATCTTGATTTACTTTAATATTATATGATGGTAACATTCTTTTTTCTATGTTAAAGTATTCTTCATTATAAGGTACTAATTAATGCTGAGGAACTACTTAATGGCTTCTCTTACAGCACATATTAACAAATCTCTATAAAAATCCAGAATATGAAATGTTCAAAATATAAAGTCCTAAAACTATAAGAAGGAATATGAAAAGATAGAGAATATGGAAAGCTCTATTTTCAATAGGAGCTGAATCGTTAATTTTAACTTTAACTTCTCCTGTAGTCTGATTCATATTTAAAACCAACTAGCTTTAAGAACTTGGAAAGATTAAAGGCTATCCATACATGTAGAGTCCTACTGCTAAATGAAGCAAAAGAGACCATGGAAGGATCAATAACATACGATTACTTAAACCTGTATCATAAGTTGGTGGACGTCTGCATACTCTTAAAAGTAGGTACTTATAAACCCAATATTATGATGTTAAGATAATAAAGCCTGCAAATAGCATTATAGGGATACCTGAGGAATAAAATAATGTTGTGAAAATGATATTAAAAGTAGAAGCATAGTAAAAAGAAATTGGAAATTCTGGTCCAAGAATAGTTTTGTTTGCTACTCTTTAAACATCTTTTCCTTCAAGTTGTTTAACCTTTGATTCTCGTCTGCATTTACTAATCATGGAATATAAGAACTAGAATAAAAACAGAGTAACAACAAAGAAGAAGACTGTAACTGTAATCTTTGATCCTACTTATAAGTACCATGATCTGTCAAAATCAGTAGAAAACTACGATTTATTGTTATCTTATAAATTACTAATTGGAGGTATAGGTTTAGAAAAAGTAATTGCTGGCACAAAACCATAAATATTTGCTTGCAACTATTTTTTAAAAATATTTATAAATCTTAGTCAAATTTAAAATGATTATATTTAATTATTAATTTGAATAGAATAATAAATAAATTAATTGATTACAAATAATGTAATTAAAGCTGTGTTAACAAAAAAAGCTAAGAATAGCTTAGATGTCATAGAGGTAGTGTACTTAGTAATTGTTTTGTATCTATTAAATTTTCCTAGAGCTTAAATTGTAAGTCTAAGAAGAAAGTTAACAATTAGAACAACTAAACCTGTGACAATAGTAAGAGCATATGTAGTAGCATATTTGACCCAAACGTCCCAACATAAGTTTTGTAAAGCGCTATTGGATGTCATTTGAGAAAATGAAACATTAGTACAGTAGCATTATGTGTAAAGTGAAGATTTAGAGGCTTAAGAGAAGGAAATAGACTATTTTGGACAATCCTCAGTATTCTAAGGAGTTGCAATATTGGCAATGATAATAACAGCAAAAGTGATAATCATTACGATGATTACAAGTATAATAACAGCCAAAGTTCTTAAAAATCTATTAACTTTATTTAGTTTTAAAAATAATTAAATTTCATTTAAAAATAATTAACAAAATATCTTACATGAACTAACTTCAAGATTTTCCCAAAGAATGTTAGATGGTTCATCTGGTTTGAAGTTTAATTTGAGTAAATGCTTGTTTTATAGCATAAATTCTTTAACACGCTTTTAACCAAAGAAACCTTTTGTTTTTTTGTACTCTTATTATATTTTTTACTTATCTTCAATGCTGTTTAATATTATAAAAGCTTTAACAGATGGGTATTCATTATGAGATAGAACTGAACCATTCATCTTAGTTTAAACTTATTAATTAATGTCTGCTTAAATGTCTGCTAATTTTTTACCCAATTTTTATAATGTCTCACTTTTCTTTTCATCTTTACCTAAAAATTATTATCTTGATTTTTCTTGTTTTATCAAATCTATAAGCTATGCTTCCTCTTTATGCAAGAAGAGAGTATTGTAATAGTTTCTAGCAAATTTACACTCGAATACATCTACAGAAAAATTATCACGGAAATGATTGGATAAAATTTTTTCATCAGTAATTGTGTGAGGAAATCCTGATACTTCTATTGAATAATTAGATGGTAAAGAGTTTTTCAGATCAGTTTCCTTGGCTATTTGGTGTGAGTGGTAATGAAACCAAAAAATAAATAATAAGAATATAACTGAGTAAACTATATCTGGTACTGCAACTTATATTAATCTGCTATCCTATTTTTGAATAAAGCAAACTATTAGAATAAAAGAATAAAATCTCAAATTTTTAATTTACAGAGTTGCTAACAAAATCTACTATCCTCTACTGATTTTCTACTTGATCTGCTTAATAATCAGCGTCACTAGCATTTGCTCCAGGGGAAAGTAATTTTAGTTTTGGTTGATTAGATATGGATAGTTTAGGTAAGGAATTTGTAGACATTTCTATACTATTTAAGCTTTATCCTTGGATGTTACCTATTAAAGCAGGTATAGAAATAAGAGACATTAATAAAAAAACTATAGCAGAATATTTAAGAAGTTCAAAGAATAAGCGTAATCCTGGTCCATATTAAGCAAGCTCAGATAGATCGCAATTAAGACTGTATTCTTCATAAGAACCCCCATTGTTTTTCATTACACTAAATTTGTTTCTATAAGCAACAGCTTCTTCCCATGAAGCTAGCTGATCGCTAACTTTTTCCTAGTCTAAAATAGCCTTTTCTGCTTAAAATAAAGTTTTAGATTTGGCCATTACTTACTTGCGTAAGCTCATTTATTGTGCAATAACTTTTTATTGACTCATTCTTTTATTTAAAATTTTTTTCTAAATTTTTTGATATTATTATCTTTATAATTACTTGATAATCACTTTTTAATATTCACAAATTATGCAGTGAAATTTAAAAATCTTTGCATAAAATATTAGTTAGGTTATTAAGAGCTTCGAAATTAACTCCAAAAATACCTACCAGCTATTCTGTTTTTCTATGCGTTCTACCTACTCAATAAAAAATAAAATATAAATTATTACTGTGCAGAAAGAGGATAAGAAGTGCGTTTTTACATAGAATTTCTAAGTTTAAAAATATTCTATACCAGAAAACAAGCAAAATATTCGCACCAACATATGCAATTAGCCCTTATTCTATTAATTAATTTAAATATTAGATTCAAGCACTATGTTTGATTGATTGTAATCTAACCTTAATCTTTAATTTTTTAAAATTTACAATTTCAGTTGTTAACAACTTCGTAATACAGTAATAAAATAGACAAGATTCTATCTATTTAATTGTATTGATTTATAAGCCAGAATTATAAATGAATATCTTCTAATTCTCTTAACGCATAATCAAAAAAAATATAAGTGAAAATGTTAAATCTTAGTAAATAGTAATTTAAAAATTTAATCTGATAATTTCTATAATAAATCTATTATTTAAGTGTTGGATTTAAATATATTGATTGATATTTGTGAGTAAATATCAAATATTATTCTTTACTTTTATGATATTACTATTCATGATCAAAATAGATAATAAAAGTTATCAAACTTAAATATTTTGTTTCGATTCGTTTACTATTAATATTGCAAAATTTTCAATTAAGTCTATGAAGTATGACGAAACATACTTGCAGGATAACCACCAATCTTTTAGTGATCTTCAAATAAATATAAAGCTAAAATTAAGCAGAACAAAAACATTTTTCTTTTAAATGATTGCCCCATAAGTTGGAAGAAAAATATACATTACTTAATACAATTTAAAATCCAATTATTTGTAATAGCTATATGATTTTTAGTATAGACAATAGCATTCATGTAAATTAAGGATTAATTTAGAAGATATGTCTTAAAGCAAATATTATAAAATAAACAATAAATAAATTCAACGTATTGAAATAAAATTAAATTCCATGTAATTTGATTTAAATATTTGAATTATAATAGTCTTATAATAGATGTTTAATAATATTACTAAAATGAGTATCACTTCATTAATACTTATCAAGCATATTTTTTCATAAAAGTCTTAAAATAAGAATAAGCATGAATTTTTTAAGATCAACCTTTTTTACCTGAAATTTTATTAAAAAATACTATACATAGAACAGGATAAATTTTATGTAATATTCATTTTTCTTAATACTGTTCTAATTACTTAATTACTGCACTGACATCTTCCTCATCAAAGTATATTTCTATAGAAGGATCGTATTTTGTTTGTATGTAATTTTTTATCTTAGTAAATACTCTTTTTTTGAATTTAGTTTAGAACGTTAGGAGATGTAACTCATTGCTCTCGAATGGGAAACTACACTATATATAAATAAGAAATAATTAACATTGAAGAAATAAATAAATAATTCAGTAAGCATAAATAATTGATTTAAAATGAAATATAACTATATTTATTGCATTATTACTATTAAATAATATTTCATAAAATGCCAATAAATTCTATCTAATAATAAATTCAAATTAAATATTGAAAACCCCCAATCAAATCTAATCTAAGTTTTATATCTAAAATTACTATTTTTTTATAATTTATTATAATAAATTTCTACTTGTGATTAGTTTATCAATTCAAAAATTCTCTTCATAATTTTTCATTTTTGAAATAATATTTTCAAAATATACAAATATAAAGCTTGGCGCTGGTTGTAATTAATGTTTTTTAAGCTTATATTTATTCAAAAAATTTGAATTAATAAAATTACATTAACGTTCGTGCACATAAATAGAGACTCTTCTTTGTTAATTTCGAATGCTTGGAGATTAGCCTTAACGCATTAAGGACAAGCAATTTTCTTTTTATATTTTTTGCTATACTCAGGATTATTTAAAATATACTCTTATATGTCCTTTAAACTATATCTTTGTGTCTACTACTATTCTTCATGGCTCTTAGTATTTCCTACATTTTAAATACTTAATATAAAATTATTTTTAAATCAAAATTAATTTTAAAAAAATTTACTTTTATTTTGCAGCTATTTCTTCTTCTTCTTCTTGCAAATTATTTTAATTAGATTATTAATAATAATTTTTTTCTATTGCCTAAGATTTATTATTCAAGACATTGTGAAAGTATATTTCATCTGAATCGTTTGAATTTTTATAATTTTAAAACCAGTTATTCTCATGGTCTTATAGCAAATTTCCAAAATTATCTTAGAAATCGATTATATTTTATTCTTCATAATTTCCTAGATGCTAAAATTAATCATCTAAGCTGAAATCATGATTCTTGTGCATATTTTATTATATCTAGTTAACATTCACATCATCAAGATTCTGCATATAATCTTAGCTCTTTTAAACTTATAAATTAGCCTAAAAATTATGTGTGGCATTGTGATCACTCATTACGCTTAAAATAATAACAGAATATCAAGCTAATTTTATCCTAAATGATAAAATATTTTAGTTTTTATTTTTTATATGCAGTTTAAATCAAATTTTTTTAGCACTAACAAACAATCTTAGAATTAACTAAAATTAAAATTAATAAGCATCTATGATGATTTGTGATAATATTAAATTGTTCAAAAAATATTTACAAATTAATAGCTGAAAAAAATTTACAAAAAGTGATTGTTAAAAAGCTTAAATTAATTTAGGTTAATTTTGAAGATAATTTATGAATGAATGAATATTTTATCAAATTTTCATTGAATTTATTACAAAAACCATGTAAAAATGCATGTTTTCTTTGTGTTTTTTAATTAATTAATTAACTATTAGAATTAAAAGTATCTAAATCAATATTAAATTTAATTAAGCATGCAAATGACTATTATTACTACTTGCTACATATGCATATTTGTATAGATTTGATATTCAATCAAAAATAAAACAAACAAGAATTTATTTTATAAGCACAACTATATTATTTTAAGTAGATTGCTATTAACCATGGCTGATAAAAAGAAAATTAAAAAGTAGGATAAAGAAGAGAAGTATAAAAAGCTATTACAAGCTATTGACATCAAGCTTGGTGAGGAGAAGGTTGATGAAAAATAAAAGAAAGTAGAAGATCTCATTGCATCCTAAAAAAAGAATTAATAAGAATAGTAGAAGCCCGAAGAGGTTTTAACAATCTCAGGTCTTCTTTCTAAAATATAAGGAAATGATGAACAAGAGAATGCATAAAATTTAAAAAAATAATTAGAGGATCTTGAAAAAAGAAGTGTAATTGATATTTTCATTAAATTTTGTGAGTTTTGAATTAAGTTTTCATTTTTATTCCTTTTGATTCTAAATGTTTAAAAGTTTATTAATTCTATTTATACATAATTTGTATAGAAACTTCTTCATGAGCCAGAGTCTTTCGTCAAATAGGAGAGAGCTGAAAGAAAAATTAATTATAAAATTGTTTAAGATGATGTAGCTAAATGGATTCCTATTATTAAAAGGGCTAGAGAGGCTGATCATTTAGATTTTACACAAAAGACTTAAGATAATTTGAGAATGTAAAGGATTTATACATTGATTAAATTAATAGATATTAAGTTTTTTATAGAGCTGTTTATAGCAAACACTTACATATCCTTAAAAGATTGAATTTATAAAAATATTTTATTAATAATAGAAATGCAATTTCTGGAGATGAATTAAAAAGAAATAAAATTGCCATGAGCATTGAATAAAAATTATAACAATTAAATCTTAAGACTGAAAAGTAGATTAAAGCTAAGGAGATAGAATTATTAGAAAAATTAGATCCTTAGGAAGCTAAAAGAAGAATTAATGAAATGAATAAACAAAAAATGTTACTCTTCTAACAAGAAATTAAAAACAAAAGAGTAGCTAAAATTAAGAGTAAGCTCTACCATAGAATTAAAAAGAAACAAAAACTCAGAGCTCAATTAAAAGAATATGAAAACATGGATGAAGAAGCAAGATTGTAATAGTAATAGGAATTATTAGAAGAAAGAGCCAAAGAAAGAATTGGTATGAGACATAAAACTAAATCTAAACACATTTAATAAATGTTGAAGTATGGTGATAAGAAAACCTACTAATAGTCATTAAATGATATTAATCATTAGAGATAAGCTTTACTTAAAAAAACATAAGACATAGAAGTTAATTCAGATGATTTAGATTATGACTAACTCAATGATGAAGAAGTAATTAACTTTGAATAATTTTTATTTTTTTATTAATTTTATTTAATAAATATAGTTTAAAGAACAAGCTATAAAAGACTTATAAAATGAGCTTAAAGGAGGGGATGATGATGAATAGCAAGAAGAGCTAACTGGTATTAAATTCATTGATGATCTTCATAATTAAAAAAAGAATCAACATAGAGATGAAGCTCGTAAAATCATTGCTTAATTGTAAGATCCTGATGCTTTTGAGTAATATTTATTTTATATTAATTGTTTGTTGTTAATTCAAATCTTTTTTATATTTTAGTAAAGAGATTTTGTCAGAAGATGATTTAATTGAAAGCGATGATGAAGAAGGATAAAAGAAAAAAGCAGATAAGTTGAATGCAAAGAGAAAAGCTGATTAGGAAATTTTAGAAAAGGAAGAAGAATTCACAGGAAGAAAAATTTACAAAAAATCTGAACCTGAAGAGAAGTAAACAGAATTAGAAATCGAGATGGAGGAAATGAAATAAGCTAAAAAAAAGAAAAGATTGAATGCTCTCGACATTGTAAAGGATCATATTAAATCTTAAAAGGAATAAGAAGAAAACGAATAGGAAATTGAAAATGAATAATCTAAGAGTATTTCATAAAACGGAACAAATAATAAGAAATAAGAAATATCTCAATAATCTACTATATAAGAAAAACTCAAAGAAGCATCAAAAAAAGTAGCAGCAACAACAATTAATGAAGAAAATTTGACTGATGGTTTGAACGTTAATAAATTGAAAGAAAAATTCAAAAAAAATGCATAAACAGAGTTCAGTAAAAAGGAACTTGAAGCATTCAACATAGAAAACAAAGAAGAAATCTACAAGGATTTATCTAATTTTAATGTTTTAGTAGATGATGATGTAAACTAATTTTATTAAATCATTGAATCTTATTAAATTCAAATTTTAGAATGAGTAATAGTTTTTGGCAGAAAAGTATGAAGATTACGAAAAAGACTTACCATAAGAGAAAAAGCCTTTATAAGGTATACAAACCTTTTAAATATTTTTATCTTTTAAAGCATGATTTAATTAAAAACAAAAAATAGGTTGGGGACATTGGGTTGGATAAGGTATTGAATAAAAGAATTTACCTACTGCAGAAGAATTAGCAAGACAAAAGGCTGCTAAAATAAATTTACTCAAAAAGTAGAGAGCCGATGGCAGCATGGATAATGTTATATTGAACGAAAAGAGAAATAAATTATTTACTTAGCATTTAGTCAAAGAACTTCCTCACCCATACAAAAACAAAGAACAATTCGAATACTTACACAATGCACCAATAGGTAAATTATCAATTTTTTATTTTCTGTTTAAATTGATTCATTATAAATCTCTATTTGATTATTTTTACTCCACTCTTATTACTAAGAAAAAAATTAAAATTAAACAACCAATTTTTACCTCTCGTTTGATGTAATTAAACCAGTTTATTTCTAACTAAGTTGTTAATTTGATCCTTTTAATTACTTTTGGGATAGATCCAAAAAAAAAATATGTTTTTAGAAGAGCCAAATTAAAACTAAAACAAGGGTTTTTTACAAAATAATAAACGTTGGCTCTCTATAAAATATTTTATGAGTTAATTTTAGAATTAATTTAAAACTTTTTTGTATTTTTAAATACGATTTACATAAAAAATATAACTAAAAAATGAGATAATTTAATTTTGATGTTAAAAGAGAGTAATAAAATTAATTAAATGAAAAAATCTTAGTAATTTTATATTATTTTGACCTTTTTATTGTAAAAGATTATCCAAAATTAATTAATTTTTTCTTGAATCTGTAAATTAAAATATTCATAATATTAAACAAAAAATAGGTTCAGAATGGACAACTATGCGTAGTCATGTCAACTTAATCAAACCCAAAATAAAAACAAAGGCAGGAAACATTATTCAACCAGCTACCGCTCCTAAATCCTTCTAATAATCTTGATAAAAATAGAGATTAAGTTTTATAGATAAAATAGAAACCAACTAAATTATAATTTTCATCTAAATGCATTCTAATAATTCAAAAAATAAATATTGTATTTTTATTTATTTAGATAAAAACGTGTATAAAATTATCTATTCATCAATTCTTAATTTGTTGATATAAATTTATAATTTTTCAATCTCTAAATTATATATTAGAGCTTAGAATTTATTACAAATTATGATTAATTCATCTATTTAAATATTCTCCTAAAATAGTCACTAACATCATTTAGGCTTTACTATTTTTAACTTATCAACTTTCTAGGATACTAATTTTAAAATAAAAATTAAAATATTTGAAACAAATATTTTTTTTCTGGTAGGGGATTGGAGACTTAAATTTACTTGTTTATTTATTTGCAAATTATAAATTTAGAGATTCTTTAAGAGTTAAGCAAGTAATGAAATTTCGCTTACTTAATATATTATTCGATAAAAAATTTTAAAAACTTAACTATTATTATGAGCTTAACTTAACTCCATATTTATAAGAAACCCTATTTCAATTAGAAATCAATATTTTCTTACATTTATTTATTTCCAAAAATGAAATTTACTTGATCGAAATATGTGAAATAAAAAATGATCTTACATTCTAAAAAAGTAAAAATTTAAATCTTCGTATTATATTTATTAAGCTTCCTTTATAATTGAACTCGCTTTTTTAATTGTATTTTTAAACTATTTTACAAGCGTTCATAAATTTTTTAATTCTTATATTATGTAAGTTAATATAAAAATCTATGTAATAGATAAGATCGATACAATTTTTCTACCAAATTGAATATCTTGAACTTTTACTGTAAGGATTCCTAGTATGGTAAAACAAAGAATTCAACTAGGTGAATGAGTTTATTTATATTGAAGATTTGGTTATATTACTGGTTGTAATTCGTTAAGAGGTAACAAAGTAAATTTATAAAAATGAGTGCTTATGGAAACATTCAAATTAAAATGAAAGAAATATATTTATTTACTTATTTGATTGTTAATATCAATATGATATGAATTATTTTGGTTATTATTTTTTGTTAAAATATGGATGAATACATGCATATTTGTATGCTTATATCTTAATTAGAACAAAAAAATAGAAATCAAATGAAATTTGTAAAACTCAAATACCATCACTTAATTATATTAGTGATTGCAATTGAGAAAAAAAATTAACAAAAGTAATACCAAAGTATTAGGGGATGGATGGATGCATCATTCAAACTTAAAAAAAACAAACAAATAATATTAATTACAACAAATTAAAGATTTAGTTATTAGATTTTTCAGCACAAAAGCTGCTTTTAGGTGAATTTATTTGGATCTATTAATCTTAATAATTATTAAAATCTAAAAAAAATTAATTATAGTTATCCTTACAAAATCAGACTATATAAATAACTAATAGGAAAGAAGAATTTGCTATAAAACATAATTATCAGCATATTTATTGTGTTAATCTCAACCTTAAGCTCATAAAAAATCATTTATTAACTAAACATCGTTTACAAAATCTCTACATAAATATTCGAATAAATAACTAAATGGGAAACGTTTGTCCAAGTGAAGCTAGCAAAAATAAGATTCAAAGATAAATTGATGAAGACTAGAGTATTAATGGCAACAAAAAAACCAATAAAACTCTTGCTTCAGATGGGTAATTGCAAACCGATAATGGAGTTCGTCATTCCTAAGAAGATGAGGAAGCAGAACCCGTTTGCATTATGTCACGTAAAAAAAATAAAAAAATTTCCGTAAAAGACTTTTAGCTAAAACAAGTAATTAATATTCAATTTTATTTTTTCATAATTTAATTTGATTATTCTTACTAAAGTCTTTTTATTGGTTTGATTCGACTTTACAAATACCCACAAAAACATTTCCTCTATATATAAATTAATGTAAATTTTCAAAAACTAGATAAATAGCAATATAAAAACAAAAGACTATATTAATTTATAAATGCTTGTTTTTCCAATGATTTTGTTATTTATTATTTATTTAGTTTGCAAATATTATTATCTAGTTATTAAGACTTTCGGCATACATGTACTTATCAAAAAAAAGCCAAACTTCTATTTCCAAATAATAGTGATAATATTCTTTTTATAAATTTTAGGTATTAGGAAAGGGGTCTTTCGGTAAAGTAGTTTTAGTTGAAAAAAAGGATACAAGTAAATTGATTTTTATTTGATGAAACCCACATAGGCATTTAGAGCTTATTTTATGAGAATAAATATCTCATCTAATCTTATTATTTCTAAAAATTTAATAGAGGAACTTTATGCCATGAAAATCTTGAAAAAAGACTACATTTAATATACAAATCAGAAGTTTAATACATAGCAAGAAAGAGATATTTTGGTTAAGATGAACTCACCATTTATTGTAAAGCTTCATTATGCCTTCTAAACAGCTGATAAGCTCTATATAGTTATGGATTTTATGATTGGCGGAGAATTGTTTTACCATCTCAGAAGATCTCCTATTTTCACAGAAGAAAAAGCCGCTTACTACTCAGCTGAAATCATTTTAGGTATAGAAGCTCTCCACAGCAATAATATCATCTATAGAGATTTAAAACCCGAAAATATTTTAATAGATCACAAAGGCCATTTGCGTTTGGCAGATTTTGGGCTTTCTAAAAAGGGAGTAAAAGGTAAAAATTTATTATAAGTTAAATACAAAAATATAAATCTGTTTTCCTTTCTAATATTGCTTCTAAAATAAGCAAGCAAGCAACTCTATCAGAAAGAATGAATTAGCAATATTAAATGATTTTTTTAACAATTATTTTAAATCTAAATTAGATCACGAGAGAACTAATAGTTTATGTGGTACACCTGAATATTTGGCTCCAGAGATACTATTAAGTAAATTCAAGTTTTAATATTGCTAGATAAAAATGTATTTTTATATTTAATTAAGATAATGGCCACACAAAAATGGTTGATTGGTGGAGTTTGGGAGCTATCATCTACGAAATGCTAACTGGTGCTCCTCCATTCTATAACAAAAATTAAAAGCAGATGTTTAAAGATAGATTTTTGAAGCCTATAGAAATGAAAGAGTGGTTCTCTCCAGCAGCTAAATCCTTGTTATCAGGTTTATTAAATATAAATGTAAGCTAAATAATTTCCAATACTATTAAATTCATAAATTTTTCCTATCAAATAGCCTGAATTAAGATTAGGATTCAAAGGAATTTAAGAAATTAAAGAGCATGAATTTTATGCAAGTATAAATTGGGATAAGCTATATAAAAAAGAAATTCCACCTCCATACAAGCCTAAACTTTCAAGCAAGTATGACTTAAGCCATTTTTCAAAAGTAAATAATTTATAAATTGATTTAATTTTTGAATTTATTTTTAATAAAAAATTTATCTAATTTACAATTTATTCCTAAAATAAAAAGTAATTTACAACTGAAACTGTAAAGGACACACCATATTGTGGTAAAACTATCAAAGATTCATATAATGATTTCACTTATTAAAGGTAATCAATTTATTATTAAAATACCATTTTATAATAATTTAAATTCTTATCAAAAGAAACGATATAAATTCTGCTGCTTTAAAATCATAAATGGTAAGTCGTATTAGAGATGAAGTTCCAACTAAAATTGAAGAAGAGAAGAAATCTCTAAATAACGAAATAACTACAGAAAGTAATCTAAATCAACCTCTAATTAATAAATGAAAAATTAATAAAAAATAGCAAATAATAAAATTAATAAAAATACTCCTTAGTTTTAAATTTAAGTAATTATTATATAATAACACTTTTATCCGTAACAAAATTATTATCATATATATATTTTAGTACTTTTCTATTCTTCAAAATATCTTTACCCTTAAAAATCATCCTTCATGTTTTTAAATAATATGTATGGTATTAACATAATAAATAAAATTTTGAATTAAAATCCTTTTTTAAGTTAATTAAAAAACGCATTTATTTATGAAATTATTTGTTGATTAAAACTATAAATATAAATAAAAATGGTTGAAGTATTTAAATCTTACTAATATAGTAAATCAATATACTTAATTATCTTTTTTTTTGTATAAATTCAAAAATTTTAATTTTATTTGATTACTAATTTTGTTTTATAAATTGTTGTGAAATTATTTTTATTAAGAATATGAAAAACAAAAAATCATTATTTAAAAATAATAAAAATTTTCTTTTTTAGCTTAGTTTATATGTATGTAATTAAGAACTCTACTAATATTCCTTTTCAGAATTCCTTCATTACTTATATAGTATTTTTTCAAATTATTAAGTAAAAACTTATTTAAGTTAATTAAAAACAACTTATTTATTTATTTATGGTATTATTTGTTAATTAAAACTAGAAATATAATACTTTACTTAAATAAAGTGATTCAATATTAATATATAAAAAGCTATTCTATATAAATATCTTTGTTTATTTTAATTAAAATTATAATTAATTTCTAGCTTTATGATATAAATTTAAATTTTAAATGATTTGTAATAATTCTTTTGTTAAATATAGAAATTTATTAAAATATTTTTTATTGAAAAATAGTAATTATTTTCTTTTTAAGTTTATTCTAATATTTAAATAAGAAATGAACTTATATTCCCTTTAAGAATTCCTTCATATATTATTTTATCAACTTCTGAATTAAAAATGTTAATTAAAAACAAATTATTTATTTTTGGTATTATTTGTTTGATTCTAAAATATCTTTTTTTATTATAAATTAAAATAAAAATTTAATCTAATTTCTAGCTTTGCAAAATAAATTTGTAATAATCTGAAATTATTTTTTTTAAGTATATGAAGTAAAGAAACTTATTTATCTATTCTATATTTTGAAAAATAATCATTATTTTTTATTTATTTTTTATGCTTAAATTCGATGTAAGCAAAAAGTGTACTCTATTAATTCCCTTTTACAACTCATTCATAGCTATTATAACATTTTATCTACATTATATTTTACATGAATTTACACAATATAATAAAAACATAGATTTGTTTAGATAGATAAAAACTTAATGAATTTCTTATTGTTTTTTTGTTGCAGTTATTTTAAATTTATTAAAATAATTCTTAGAATAATAATAATAATAATAATAATAATGATAAATTTATGAATGAGTTTGTCTTGCTTGTGATTATTTTATTTTAAAAATTTTTAAGTAAGAAATAATTATCCCAAAGAAAGCGAATGACTATTTGTTAAAAATTAACAATTATTAATCGACTTTAATGATCAAATTCGCAATATAATAAAATTTTAAGAGTTTTTAAGTTGATATTAATTTTAATTGATAACTTAATAAGCATTCTAATTCATTAATTTACAAAAAAAAATTTGAGAGATTTAATTTCCAAAAATGTAAGCTAAAAAACCATTAGGATTTTGGTAAACAAAGACAGATCTATTAAAGAAATACAAAGATGAAAAAAGAAAGAAATTAGATAGGTAATTTTATTGAGTTAAGACAGGTTTATTTTATGTTAGGAGACATTATTTTTTCATAATAAATCATTACTGAATTTAATGAAGATTAAATTCTCAATTATGCGAATTATGCAAAATGTTTTTTTAATTTGAAATGAAGATTTAAGAAAGATAAAAAATCTCTAAACTCTGATATGGATACATCGAACACAAGTAGTGGAGGAAGTAACCAATAATCTTTATTATATAATTGGATTTATTAAAAATTATATAGATAATATATCTAAGACTTTATTGTCAGGAAAAGCAACATCCGATTCGGTCACATTCGAAATGTCAGAACTCCCTCCTATTTGGGTTGAAATACACCACTAGACAGAAAATCTTTTAAAAGAAATAGTTGATATAAGTTAATATTTTTTCTTTTTGTTTTCATTTAATTTATTGATTGATTGTGGTTTTATTCACAATACTTGTTTGGCGTTAAAGTAAAAAAAACCTTTGATTTCTAAAATAAAATAGAAAAAGATATAATAAAAGAGAGTGCAATCAGGATCAGAAGATAGTTCAACGATAATGGAGAATTAGATAATAAAATAAATAATTTAGTTTAAGTCGCAATGAAAGTAAATTATAAATCAAATTTATTTATTTTATGCATATTAGTAGAATAAATTCATTAATATTAAATTATATAAATTATATAATAATGAGTGAATTTATTTTATTATTTTTAGAAAATCAAAGAAGCCGAAGCCAACATCTTAAAAATAGATAAGTTAGCCGAAAAAACATAAGAAACTGACCAAGAAAAAAGAAGTAAAATTAATAGATATTTTGTCATGATTTTAGATAGAAAATACATTATATTCAATAAAAAGTTAGATAAAATGTAAAGCTTTCATTAGCATCTTAAATTTAAGAGCTTACTGTAGACTTTAGGAGATAATAAAAAGGATTATATGATCAGCTTAAGTAATATAATAATGTTGGTTAAACAGGTTTTATGCATTAAATCGACTACACCTAACAAGATTAGATGATGCAAGACTAGGATATGTACGAACAAATAGCAAGAGATAGGTAAAATAAATTTTAAATTTCGTTGAGATTAATAAATCTTAAAAATTAGAGATGCTGAAATAAATAAAATTGTTGATATGATTAACGAGCTGTCAAGTATTTACCAGCAATTAGGGCATCTAGTACTAGAAACTGGTACTTTAATTGATAGAATTGACTTTAATATAACTTAAGCTAAAGAAAATACTTAAAAAGCAAATGTGCACTTAAAAAAAGTAAAAATTAATTTATAAATATAGATTTTAAAATAAATGAGTAGTTCAAGTTAACATTAATTTATTATATTTAAATATAAAAGACTGTACAATATTAAGAAAGTCCAACAGCAAAAAGATGCGTTTAAATTCTAATAATATTAATTATAATCTTTGCTTTTATTCTTACTCTAAAATACAAATGAAACAATAGACAAACATACATACAGACAGACAGAAAGACAGATGGATATAGAAGCGATTGAAAAACTATTAATATCATAATTGCTAATCTAAAATTCTTTTAAAATTAATTAATAAATAAATAAAATTAAATAAAAAATTAAACTAACTCTTCTAAATTAATATTACTATTTATATATGAGTTAATTCTACCTACCTATAACTAATGTATTATAAATTTACCTATATTTACTCTTCAAATTTTAGTTTAGCTACACATTCTTATCAAGATATTTTGCTAGAATATTATTTGTTTGTTTATTTATTTTGATATTTTAATTATTTATACTCAACACCTTAATTAATCAATTAGTTAATTAGTGATACATATAAAAGTGCACAAAATCTTAATTAATCAAAGTTTTTGATAATATTTTAGCGGTAATTCTTATAAGTTAATGGAAGTAGAATAATAAGTAGATTATTCATAAGAAAATAACAAAAAGATATTATTATTTTTGCAATTTTTAGAAAAATAATATGGAACAAGGTAAGTAATACTCTTGCAAAGTTTTAAGGAACTCTTTGTTTGTAAAATCTCATTACTTCTTCGAATATTGTTTAAGTACATTTTAATATATGTAGAATTGCAAGAAGAATTTAGAAATTTGTATGAGTCATAGGGTAGATCTGTAACCAATGCTTTTAGACTTTCTACTTTATAGGAATATAAAGTTTTTCTAAAGTGCATAGAGGAATTATTTTTATTGGTGTAAAGAGATATACTAAAATAATTATATATAATTTAAAACAAATTCATTTTATTTTAGAGAAGTAGAAGAAACAAATTAACTTTATATCCATATAAATTCTGATGAAATCATAGAATGGATTATTGCAAGACACAAAGAAAATAATTTAGACAAAAGCTTTTCTTTCATGGCACCTGATGATATTATTATTTAATTGCCAAGTCATATCTAATAAGTTTGTTATGCAATTTTTGAAGAAGATAAGCTTAAGTACTTAAATTGATTTAATATTTCGTATTAATAATTTTTATATTCATAGAAAATCATATGCTATCTTTTAATCATAAGAAAAGCTTTTAGAAAGTAAAATATTTTTTGGATCAAACTATAAAAAAAATCATAATTGAAATAAATAAAAAGATATTATCCATTAGAAAATAGGAGAGCTTTTATAAATTGATTTAGATTAGTAAGTAAATTTTTGGAAAGTCAATTTTACAATTCTATTTTTTGATAAGATAAAAAAATATTTAGATAATTAATGAAGAATCACTCAAATTTTTAAATGAAAGATGCTAAGGATATTTCAAGTAAAATTACATACAAAAGTAAACTAAAACTAAAATAATATTTCTTTATATCTAACTAAATAGGCTCGTTGGCTACTTTTAGAATAGCAAAAAATATATTTTCAAATTTGAAAGTGATTTTTCAAATAAAGAATCTTTACCAAAGCTAACTGAAGATATACTAAATGAAGTACTCTAAAGATAGGATAAAAGTGAATCAAATAGTGAATAATATGAATGAATTTATTGTCATTTATTCTTTTTTATTTTTCAATTTATTTCAATAAAATTGAATTTAAATTATTTTTATATTATTAAAAAATCATTTTTGAATAGATAAAGTTTTTAATTATATTTTCATAGTAAATATATCTACTATTTTTTACTTTACTTTTCAATATAAAATTAAAAAAATTTTATTTTGAAGAAACTGTATTTACTCATTAAATATTAATATTTTATTAGTACACTCATTTTCAGCCAATTCTTAACAGAAGAAAACTGCTTATTGATAATTATAAATGAAAAAAATTTAAATTGAAATGGAAAAGAATATTATTAGATTTTAAAATTTTGCATTTTACTGTTAATCCTCATTATTAAGGTTTCTTTATTTTAAAGATTTTTACTAGTTTATTATGGAAATTTTAATAGGACCATAATTTAGTTAAAAATTAGGGAGGACTTTAAATAATGAGAATTAATGCAATATGATAAATCTAAATTTTGTTTATTTTGAATTAAAAAAAAGAAAGAAGAACAAATAATTTAATTTTATAAATTTGGCTTTTTAAAATAGATAATTGTTATATTATAATTTAATTTAAGTAAAATACATAATCAGGGATTAAAATAATAATAAATTTTAAATAATTAATTTCGAATTATTTTTAATACAAACAAAATATTTTATTATAATCATAACTAAAATAAAAATAGTATTTCAATTAATTAAATTGACTTTTTTTAATTAAGTAAATAAATATTTAAAGTTTATCTCTGTTTAAAAAATTATAATATTATTATCAACTAAAAAAAGAGAATTTAAGTTAATAAATAACTCTCAAAATCAGTAATGAATTAGATTTATTTTATATGTGAATTTATATATTTTAATGGAAGCGGTTTGAACAGTGAATGATATACTTTTTAGCAATCTTGAAGTTGGAGTATATGAGTTTTTAAAGAATTTAGAAACAGTAAATATTTTAATAACCTAAAATAGGCAAATTTATTTGCTGTAATGCAGCTTTATAAATTGAATTGGATTCAAATTTCAGATGAGTAAATAGGTACGTGTTTACATTTATTAAATATTATTTTTATCCTCAAAAATATAAAAAGTAAATTAAATTTTATTTAAATCGATAAAAAAGATTTTCAATAGATGCTGTAAAAAAAGAAAATTAAAAAAAAAAACAAACGAAACAAACATTAATTATTTATTAATAATTAATTAAATTATTTTATAATAAATGGCTCTTAAATATTTTTAGAAAATAAATAAATAGATTGATAAATCTCCCAATTAAAGAGCAATTTTCAATTCAAATAAGTTCCTAAAATGAGAAAATTATATCTATTAATTACGTATTTAAATAAATATTCAAAATAAATTAAATTATTTATTTATTGTATTAACTTTTCATTCGTTCTCAAAATCCCTAATCTATTTATAAGGATTGTTTTGTTAGTATTTATCAAATATTTGGTTTTTTCTCAAATTTGGATAACAAATTAATTGATTTTTTAATATTTTTTATTCAAAGTTTAATAACAAAACTGTTTTTCAAATAGAAAAATTAAATTTAGATTTAAAATATTTAAAATATAATTAATACAATATAAATATTTACCATACATGAAAATGAAAGCAAGTTTTAAGTAAATATTTTATTGATTTAAAAATATATTTATGTAAAATAATCAAAAAAATATTTTAAAGCAAACAAAATTTTTGAGGATGTAATTGAGAAAAGTAAGATTTTAGGTAAACCTTAATAAAAGAAAATTTTTAATAAACCAATCCTTATTTATTCTTATATATGATTTTACAATCTAAAACAGGCTAAAAATTAGAGAATCTGATTGTAAATTAAATAAGTTATTCAATGCTTTTTATATAAAAATGATTAGTAAATATTGAATAATTGCAACATTATATATTAAAGATATTATCTATTTATTATAATATTATGATTTAACTCTAGTATTTATTCTTAATTAACAGATGAAAGGTTTTTAAACATAAGAATAGATATTGCTAACATACTGATATAAAAATAGATTTGGAAATTAAAGAAAAAGCGAAGAAAGGAAATCCTAAACTAAATACAAAATCAATACTTTGATTTTCATTAATAAATAGAAGGAAAAATTAATTAAATTATAGATTAATTTTATAATTCTTTCTAATGTTAAATTCAAGCATGCTTAATTTTGATTGCTGTAAAATATCCCAAATTTTTAAAACTTGATATTTGTAAAAAATCAAAAGTTTGATCAAATTTAAATACTTAATTTGGCTTTTCTAGATTAAGAATTTATCATTTTTATACTTTAGATTGATTGATAAAAAAGAAAAAATCTTATATATTTAAATTATATAATAAAAATTAGAAAAAAAAAAGAATAAAAAGAAATGAAAACTAAAATATTCATCTTAATATTTTCAATGCTTAATAAAGCTATTTTAAGTTATCAACCTAATTAGGATTTTTAAATTTATTAATCAACTTAAGATACTTTTTTGCCTTGCTAATAATTACCTAATAACCAATCTAAGATACTTAGTTTTTAGTAGTTATTCCCTAACATTAATATAGCTTCAAGAATCGTACTTAGCGTTAAATATATACCTTATGGAAACATTTTAAAAGAATACACAATAATCTCAATTCACTAATTAAATAATCTGATTGTATCGATAAGTTATAATTTACTATAGAATAAGATTTTTCTATCCTTCAATGGTTAGACTTAAGAATATTTAAATCCAATAATATCCTATTCTAAATAAGTATAGATAAATTTGGATATTTAAACAGAACCTGGTTGGATTAAAGCTTAAATTGCTATTTAATCTACAGGTGGAAATTCATAAACTTATCCTTAAATTATTCAAAGCTATAATTAATAGCTTTCTTTAAGTTAATTAGAACTTAATTATGGTAATCCTTCACAAAGATTTAATTTAAATCCTTCCTGTTCAATATTTTAAAATTTGAGCATAGGAATTTCAAATTCTCCTACATCTTTAACTTTTGATGAAGTAGTGGATTATTTAAATTCAAACACTAATTAGATTAGTTAAAGTTATGATTTTTTCTATACTCAAAATAATCCTGGAGAACTTATTAGTGAAATAGGAACATTTTAGTAAGTATTATCAAAACCGTTTTTAAATAGTGTGATTAGTACAGGGAATTCTTTAGAAACTATTTATTTTGACTTACCTGATAATTAATTTACAATATCTTTTTTCTTGAAGTTTTTGTAACCTCTACCATCTACATAAAGCTACATCTGTATAAATTTTGATTTTACTTCATTTTGGATTTATTTCAGATCAAATTAGATATTTATTGGAAGTAAATTATTAGCTTACAATCCATTAGTTTGGAATAATATTATAATAGCTAAAAGCAAAAGTATTTTGGGTGGAACACTAAGATTATTTATAAATGATTCTTAATATGATGAAATACCTTATAACTCTAATCATTATAGATTTCAAATTATGTTCTTTTCAAATGATGTGTAGTATGAATTAAATCATATCAGAATATATTCAGGGAGTATTTTATATCAAACAAATAATTGTTTTCTATAAAGTTCTGATGGGCTATGTCTTATTTGCATGAGCAATTATTTGCTTGATTTCTAAAATAATATGTAGTGCATCCCTAAAAATATGGTGAACACAGACAATTATATTAGAGGAGTTAAAGATTGGAATCCTCCAAGAAAATTATGTCCTAAAAATATGATAAACGATTATACTTCTTCAAGTGGCTGTAAATGTTTAATTGGATATTATCTAGAAGGAGGAAATTGCATACAATGTCCTTCTTATTGTAGAAATTGTAATAGTCTTAGTGATTGCAGTTCTGAAAGAGATTCATTAGGTAATTGCTTAGATTAAAAAGCTTTTAATGATGGGTAAAATTGTATAAGAACTTTTTTTATTTTAAAAGAGAGGAGTAACATAAGAATACCAAATTACTCTGACTATGGATCACTGTGCAGTAACATGGATCCAGATATCAACAAATATATTTTACCCAGTAGCTAATTAAACTTAAAAGCAACTGATAGCATTTTCTTTTCTTTCTCTATTTAAGTTTAGTCTTTTTTATTATTACCCCTTTAAGAAATAAGAATTGCTTACATTTAAGAAAGTTTAAGTACAATAATAATGCATATTACTGTAAGCTTTTAATAAATAAATTCCTTAAATGTTTTTTATATAAAATTTTATATAAAAAATATCTTGGCTAAATATTTTACTTTTGAATCTGAAGATTTAGCTTGGATTGCATTTTGGACTAATAATTAGAATTGCTTTTTTATGATGAGAACAAAGCAGTTCAATTATTATGATTACAATACTAGCTGTATTTAACTATTTAGTACATCTAATTTGTAAATTTGTACAGGAAGATGTGATACCACCATAAACAATTTTTGTTTATTGCTAAATAATAAGCCAATAACTTTTATAAAAAATATACATAATCCTACTTTAAATGGAATAAATTAAATGTTTTCAATCTATTAAGACGATTTTGAATTATTTGGAAGATACAAACTAGATTTAAGTTAAGTTAATTTCGAGCAGTATATTAATGATTCTAGTGGTAATTCATTATCTTAACCACCTATTTTTTTTACTGCTTAGTTATAATCGTTTAATTAGATTTAAGGATTTGAGCTAAATTAGGGTATATTCGGTACTATAAACTATCCTACTCCAAACAATTATGGTGATTTATTAACTATTTCTTTTAACTTAGAGTTTTATCCAGCTAATTAGTTATAATTTACTTTGTTGCAAATAGTAAATTTATCGAGCTCCTTTATAGTTTATTTAATACCTGATTTTTTTTAATAGCTACTCTATATTTAGGTATGCTATTGGAGTAGGTGCAAAACTTTAAAAAATGCAATACTGTATTTTAACTAATCGAATTTCTTATTTATATCTGCTAGAGTAGAGTCTAAGTTAAAAGCAGGAACTTATGTTTATTATCACATTGATATTACTTGTAACTATATTAAAGAAACCTTTTTAACATAATTCTTTTTATCTAATGACTAAGTTAATTTAATTATGTTTGGTGATTCTCAAAATCAAAATACCTTTTTCATAGATAACATCAATATTTATCCAAAAAATGTATTTGTTTATTATGACTATACAAATACTGATCCTTGCTTTATCTATGTAAACTTAAAATCTATGAAATGCCTACACCTGAAGAGAGGTTATTATTATTATAACAATTAGATAATAACAAGAGAATAGTGCATTCAACAAATACTTAATACTACTTATACACCACACATAATTGAAAAAGATTAAATTTGTATCTTAAAGGTACCTCAAACTTATCTAGAATATCTATGTGGATTGATAGAATATATAAATGGATAACCAATCTGTACTGCTTGCAAAGATAAAAATTCTGACCCATCAAAGCAGTGTTTATCATGCAAACCACAATACTTTTTAAATAAATAAACTTCTAAATGCTAAAAGTGTGATCCATAATGTTTAGAATGTGTAAATCAAAGCAATAATTGTACTAGTTGCTAGTTTGCAAATTAAATTACACCAACATGTGATTGTATTTAGTAATAAATAAATTTACAAAATATATGCTAATGTAATTATAAGTGTGGTTCTTGTAGTATTATAGATAATAATTTTTGTTTTACATGCTCTTCTTAAAAAAGGGTTTTACCTAACTGCTAATGTGACCAACAGTACTAAGAAATTTAATAAGAATGTGTTGAAATAAAAATATAGTGTTCTGATAAGTGTTCAAGTTGTGTTGATTTCAGTGACAATTGCACCAAATGCTCTTAAAATAGAGTCAATCCTCCTTTCTGTAACTGTTCTTATGGATACTAAGAATCACATAACGGTTCTTGTTTAGCTTGTCACTAAGGCACTTATTATGATCCTTTGCTAAAAATATGTAAATAATGTTCTCCTTAATGCCTCTCATGCAATTATTAGCAATGCTTTTAGTGTATGCCTGGATTTTAAGAGCAAGGCTTTTTTTGCAACTGCTTAGAGTAATAATATTAATCTGATAGTAATTAAATGATGTGCCTAAACAGCTTAACTGTCTCTATTGGAAGTTTCTACTAAAATTAATAATATTTTATAAGCTTCAATTTTAGTAGTGATTTAAAGTAATTTGATATTTCTGATGACTTGCTGAATGAAATCATAACATTTTACATCCCTGAAATATCATAAAACTACTATTCATTTATAAATGCAAAATATATAGGCAATTAATTTTTAGTAAATTTACAAGTTAAAAAAAACTTTTAAGCTTCTGAAGTTATAGCTATTTTAAATACAAATTCTTACTTTGTAAGTTAAGATGAGTAACATATATTAAATTAAAATTATTTGAAAAAAAGAATGTCAGTGGGTATAGGACCTCTTATATTTAAAGAGTAAAATCTAGGAACTGATAATCTAGATAAATTATAAAATTAATTGAACAAGTTTATTGAAGAAAACTAGAATGCCTTCAAAGTTGCAAACTAACTTCAATTAATTTTTTATTTTTTAAATACTTTATAGCCTATTTCTGTATTTTTATTGTTAAATGCTTCCTACCCACCATAACTATACAAATTCTATTAACTCACTGGTACTTTTATTTTTCCAAGAGTTTCCGATTATTAAGACAATAATCTAAAAATGGAATTTAGCGTATTTGGGTATAATATAGACTCTGATTTATGTGATATTTCAGATTATGGTAAATTCAGATAACTAGGTTTCTGCTAAAGTATCCTTATAAACATACCAATTTTATTGATAAAATAAGCTGTAATGATATTGCTAATAGCCATAATAAGTACAATTTAGTTGTATTTATAAATTGAAAAACCTATCCTTATTAAAATTAAAACTTTTATTATTCAAAGATTTAATAGTGAATTAGAGATAACTTTAACGATAACCTTTTTATGTGTATTCATTTAGTTTTAAGAAATTAGATAATCTTCTTACAGTTACAGAATGAGTTTTTATGTCAGTCTCTTAATAATTTTAGTTTAGCTCATTTTCTTTAATTTCAATCTAAGAAACATAAGGAATAAAAACTAAAAATAAAGGGAATATTCTATTTTGTATACAGAAAGGATCTAAGATAAATTACAAAACTCATATAAGATAAACTATTTCTAAATCCAAACCTTAAAAAAGTACTCATACTTATCAATATTATGCTTTTTTTACAATATACCAATTTTTGTTTGCATATTATGTGGCATCTTATTTTTGATGTCAGCTATTTAGACAATTTAGATGGAAGCTTATACATCTAAAATAAGTAGAGCAATAAAATTTTTAGGAGAAATTTTATTTTCTACAATTTGGCTAATTCATATTTAGATAATAGTTTATGAGTAGAGGTTTAAATAAAACAAGATGATAGAAGATGATTTTCTACAAGCATATATTAAAATTGGAAACATAATTATGTTAATGCTACTCTTTTACAACTTATTATTTTTTGCTGAATTTTTATATAATATTTTTAAAATAATTTAAAACTTAATTTAAAAAAAATAAAAATAATAAAATATTTAAATATGATAGGTAGTTTTACTATATAAAATTTGTTTTGTAAATTTAATTTATTGCTAATCCTGTAATTAAAATATTAAAATATCACCAACTGTGTAGGTATGTACAGATGGTGATGTTTAATTTAATTTTTATTATTTTAAGCTAATTTTACACTTTTTGTTTTTTAATTTTTAACTCAACCTGTTTTTATTAAATTTTGAAAAATTTTTTATAGCAATTAATGCCTTTTCTCAAATTTTAAACGTAAAAGAATTTTTTGAGAGTGAAAAATTCTTTTTATACATCTCTTTTTAGATTAAACAACAAAGTATCAAGTTATTGGTCTTAATATATAAGTAATTGCAGTATTTATGCTCTATAATTTTCAGAAATAATGAGTCAGCCAATAGCTGAAATTTGTAGATAATAAAACTAATTATTATTACATAAGACTACTCATTAAAATAACATTTCTTTCTAACTATAAAATTTACATTTTAGTTATTTTTGAAATCTATCTGACTTGTAAATAATTATTATATAAATTAATAAATTGTATTAATAATAAGTCAAAATAGATTAAATAAAATAGAGTGAAGAAATAAGAATGAAACTAATCAATTTCTTAATGAAATTAGATATATTCTCAGAATCTATTTAATTCAACGCAAACAAATAAACATTAAGAAAAAGAACTGCTATTGGAGCGGTGGTAAGTCTATTGATAGTTATATTGGCTAGCATATATTTTATTTACCAATGTTACTTATATTTTAATGGACAAATGGACCCTAAATTTAGATCATAAACTTTTGTCTATAAGGATGCAACGGCCTAACTACATAATGAATCATTTGGATTTGATTTAGTTTCGATCTAAGAAGGTTTATACTTAAGTTAGTATCAAGCTTAGAAAAATACAACATACTTTGTATTTATGGCATTTTTTAATTTTATGGAAAATAATATAAGACATAGATAGCAATTGAACATAATTAATTGCTAAAATGAAGATTTAAAAGACCTGAATTGTTTTGATTTTAGTAAAATAACCAATCCTCAACTAAATTTAGGAAATTCATAAAACTTTCTTCCATACATAAGCTTTTATATTTATCAATGCTAAGATACCGATTAATAGAAGACTTTTGTATTAGATAATTGCGCAAATTAAGATTAAATTTATGATTTATTAAACGATCATCCTTTGCAATTGATTGTAAAGTTTTAAACTGTTTAGTATAATACAACTTCTTAAAGTAATCAAATTTAATACAGAAGTTAAGTTTTTACATCAATTTCGTTATAAACTTTTATGTATAGCGAATTTAAGGTATAAACTCAAATCACAAAAGTTACAAAGGGTTTATTAATTCAATCTTAAAACATTTTTTCTTCTCCGATTTCTTAATAATTAATTTCCTAATCTTTTTCTCGCTAACAGATTATTGATGAATCAAAATTATATCATTTGAGTTAATTAATTTTTGATATCGATGAAAATGTGACTTTTATAGATATTTAATTTCCAACATTTATAGAAGTTTTAGCTCTTTGTAACAGTGTTTTATCTGTACTACTTTTTTTGGGAATATTTTGTAGGAAATAGGCTCAAAAATTTATTAGAAGAGACATATTTTTTATTTTACTAAAAAACTTCTTTTCTAGAACATATTTAGACATTTTATAGCATAACAATATTATTGAATCTAACGATTTAAAATTGGAAAAATAAACAACATAGGATCAGTAAATTTAATAAAATCAAACTGATGAAAATGATGAAAAACACAATATTTTACCTATTTGTTTATCACCAAAGTCAAATTTTAAAATCTTTGAATAATAATTGATATAAGATAACTTAAATTTTAAACAAGATTTTTTTGTAGAAAATGAGAATAGTAAAATCAATAAATTATAAGAAATTAATGAATAGATACAGGACCTTAAAACATAAACATAGTAAGTTAACATCAGTAAGATAGAAAATATTTAGAGGTCTTTTCTAATTGAGAGCTAAGTTACTAAAGATGGATCTCCAAGCTTTATTAAAAGCAAATTAAGCTTGTAATAATAATCGCCAAAAATAATAAATTTTGAAAAGAATCGGAAATTTTTATAAACTAATAACTAAAGTAGATTTAGGAATTCTAGTTTAGCGAATTAAAGCGAAATCAAATAAAACAAAATCAAAAATATTAAAAACTTAACTTAATAGGTTAATTAAAATTTTGAAGTATTGAGTGATGATAAGCTTTATTAAAAGAGTCTCGAAGATATAATATTTTAAACCAAGTAATTTACTAATATAATACATTCTAATATTACAAACTTAATTTACAAATTAAAGCATTAAATCGAAAAAATTTAATAAGATTTTGTTGTTTGAGAATTTTTATTTCATTTCTAACAACTAATCATTTTTTTAATAAATAAATAATAAAGAATCTCGATAATATTTTTAAATTAAAAATTAATTATAAACAGATTTTGCAAGAAAAATGAATTTTTACAATCTAAGGGAATCAATAAAGAAATGTTAGAATGCTTAGAATAATCAACTGACTAAAGCTTAGATTTCTTCTCTTTTTATAAAGAAATTTTGTTTTTAAAAAAAGCTGTCATGATTATGCTTAGTAAAGAATAAATGGCTGCTTTAAAAATTACTGGTATTGGAATAGAAACCTTAAAGTATAATTAAGAAAGCACTGAGATGAATAGCTAAACAGGTAATTTGTTTATTTATTAACCATAAAATTATTAAGAATTTTGTTAAATTATAGAAGAAATAAAAATAAATCACTTAAAAGAGTAGTTTGAAGTTATGTAATCAGAAAAATTATAAATTCAGTATATCAATCTGTTTCTATAAAGATTTTAAAACACATAAAATTTAGATATAATAGACAAAAGAATACTCTCTTCATTATCTATAAATATGTGAAATTTATTTTTTTATGTTGATTTTTTAAGTAATTTTAAAAAAATTTATATATTTTAATTAAAAAAATAATTTTAAATAATATAATAAATTATTTTAAAATTAGGAATAAATTATTTATATTTATATTTTTTTATTCATTTTGTTTATTTAATTAGCAAAAAATGATTAGGTATAATTTAATAAAATATAAAAGAAATTAATTCTCATTATAAGAGTAATTTATAATTTTTTATATTTCATATGTAAATTTGATATGTTTATATTAATATAAATAAATATAATAGTCAAAATTATATTTTAGAATAATTTTTTTTTTAAGGTCATATAATTTAATTATAAAATAGATGAGAAATTAGATGATAAAAACTTAATTCAACCAAATAAATTTATTAACTACAAAATACTTTCAAAATCATGAAAAAAATCTTGAATTTTATATACTGTAATATTTAGACGAGTATAAATTATTCTTTTAAAGAAGAATTTTTTGTATTTATAGTTAATGAAAACCACCAAAAATTGGAAAAAATATTGAATATTGTATTTGAACGCTTTTTATACAATATATTTATATATTAAATACAATTTATGAATTTTTTTAGAATCTTGCCTTTACATACTTTTTCATAAATACTTTAATTTATTTTTTTTATTTTAAATTAAGCATAATCCAGATATTAAAATATAATGCAATCCAGTTCATCATATTTTAATACCTGGATTAGCAATAAATAAAAAATATATTTCATAATAAGTCAGGCAAACCATGAATTTTTGTATGGCATCTTGCTATAATTAGAGATATTACAAATATTCCTAAAATTACAGAGCTAAAACAGAAAAATTAACTTACAAACATTATTTTTATAATATTTAAGAACATTAACTACTAGTTTTTTTTCAAATATGACTAAATAAATAACAGGTCATCTCTAATTCCTACTATATATATATTTTTAAGTATATGTTTTAAATACAAATATTAATTTTAAATAGTGAATGTTAAATTAATTTTATGTGATATCTCTTCATAAAACCAAATATATAAATTAATATTTGATAATTAATTATTATATTTATTTGTTCTTTTTAACTATTTATTATTAATTAATTAATTAAATTTCATAAATTGCTATTCAATATTTTTGAAAAAATAAATAAATGATATAATAGATTTCATCATATAATAATTTGGAAGAAGTAATTATTAATTTTTTAATTAATATCCTTTAAATTTATATAAATTAATAAAAAAAGTTTAAAAGCTCTTCAATTTTATCTCATTAGGTTCTCCATATTAATTTGAGGTATATTTAATTAAAAAAATTACTTTTATTATTATTAATATTTTTTATTTATTTAAATAAATAATTTTTATTTTTGAAATTATCATCATTATTTATTGATTTTTATTCTAACTAAAATTTTTTATATTTTAACTTAATTTTCATTTAAATTTTTAATTATTTATTTATTATTCATTTTTTATTATTTTTCTTTTTTTTTTTGCTCTTTCTTTGTTAATTTAGCTCATCATTTTATTTTCAACTTTTGCTTTTATTATTTATTTCTTATTATTTCATATTTTTTCTTCATTTTTTCCTTCTAATTAACTATTTAATGATACATTTTTTCTTCAATATTTAAAAAGTGAAAATTAAATTGGTGATGAAGGTGCATCAGGCTTAGGTTCTGCTTTAGCAAATTGCATTAATCTCTCAAATTTGACCACTTTAGCTTTGGTAAAAACAGTTTATTTGTTTTGGATTGTGATATTTTTAATTATAAAAACTAATTAAAAACAATAAAGCTCTTTTTTCTGTTTCTTTTTATTGTGCTTGCTTTTTTTTGTTATTTCTTTGTTAATTTAGCTCATCATTTTATTTTCAACTTTTGCTTTTATTATTTATTTCTTATTATTTCATATTTTTTCTTCATTTTTTCCTTCAAATTAACTATTTAATGATACATTTTTTCTTCAATATTTAAAAAGTGGAAATTAAATTAGTGATGAAGGTGCATCAGGCTTAGGTTCTGGTTTAGCAAATTGCATTAATCTCTCAAATTTGACACTTTACCTTTCGTAAAAACAGTTTATTTGTTTTGGATTGTGATATTTTTAATTATATAAACTAATTAAAAACAATAAAGCTCTTTTTTCTGTTTCGTTTTATTTTGTTTGCTTTTTTGTTGTTGTTTCTTTGTTAATTTAGCTCATCATTTTATTTTCAACTTTTGCTTTTATTATTTATTTCTTATTATTTCATATTTTTTCTTCATTTTTTCCTTCTAATTAACTATTTAATGATACATTTTTTCTTCAATATTTAAAAAGTGAAAATTAAATTGGTGCAATTGGTGCATCAGGCTTAGGTTCTGCTTTAGCAAATTGCATTAATCTCTCAAATTTGACACTTTACCTTAAGTAAAAACAGTTTATTTGTTTTGGATTGAGATATTTTTAATTATAAAAACTAATTAAAAACAATAAAGCTCTTTTTTCTGTTTCTTTTTATTGTGCTTGCTTTTTTTTGTTATTTCTTTGTTAATTTAGCTCATCATTTTATTTTCAACTTTTGCTTTTATTATTTATTTCTTATTATTTCATATTTTTTCTTCATTTTTTCCTTCAAATTAACTATTTAATGATACATTTTTTCTTCACTATTAAAAAAGGTATAATTAAATTGGTGCAATTGGTGCATCAGGCTTAGGTTCTGCTTTAGCAAATTGCATTAATCTCTCAAATTTGACACTTTGGCTTTTGTAAAAACAGTTTATTTGTTTTGGATTGTGATATTTTTAATTATAAAAACTAATTAAAAACAATAAAGCTCTTTTTTCTGTTTCTTTTTATTGTGCTTGCTTTTTTTTGTTCTTTCTTTGTTAATTTAGCTCATCATTTTATTTTCAACTTTTGCTTTTATTATTTATTTCATATTATTTCATATTTTTTCTTCATTCTTTCCTTCTAATAACT